AAGCACTCACTCAACAACCTCGTCCTCAGTGCTTACTTTATTTCCGACCTCGTTTCCAATAGTAAGCCCTGGATAGGAAACTTTCTTCCTGTATCCTGATTCGATACCGCAATTGGCTAAAAATGGATTTATATCGTGTAGTTAACTTGGTGTTGTTATTCACAACGTGCAGTACGTGTTTTCGCGATCATTCGTCCACACCTTCTCTCGAAAATATTCATTTCCTTTCTAATTTTTAATATTTAATATGAAATGTGATACTGCATGTTGTCTCGTTCAGACCGCAACAGTTTAATTAAAATATAATCGTGTTTTCGTAACTCACGCCATGTTCGCGCTGCGACGAATTGATTATGTTTTTACCCCAGACAAAAACTAACGCAAATGTAACGCACAGGCTGGTCCCAGTCATCCTCATTTGCATACGTGTGCAAAAATCTTGCACATGCAAATGATCCAATACCAGGGTGAGAGAGCAGGTAGTGGTGGGCGCGTACTGCTCGACACCCTGGGGACGAGGTGCTCACTCAAGCATTGCAAGCAAGCAATAAAGCAACGCAAATCAACCCTCAATGTAACGTTTTACCAACCAGCACATACAATGTAATACCATGGAGAAAAATATTTCTCCATGGTAATACCAACCAAATTATGAAATACGGACTCTTGTATTGCGCATGCCTAAGAGAAGGGTTGGTCCAGCGTTTATGAACGGTAAACGGCCGTGACAGAGCCAATTGAACATGATATATTATCAACGATTCAGAGAATGATAAAAAACTGGTAGTCTTAATCTCTGACAATTACTAGATGATGGATGTATAAGATTTGAAAAATACATGTTCGTGTTTATTCACTGAGCTCTTCAAAGCTCTGCCAAGGTCAAGGACATATAAGGTATAAGATACCAACTTTCATTGGAATCCAAATTTCATGTGACACCGGCACATTTGTTTTCCACACAAAAAATATTCTGAACGTTTGACTAGAGCCTCTATCGCCGCCAATAATTTTAGCCAGCAGTTGTCCTCAGTACCTCGAGAGGCGACTATTATAGCGCTAAAAGTCGCCCCTAGACGACGCGACCATAATAATTGCAACAATGACTGTATAGTCATTGTTGCAATTATGGTCGCCTAGAGGTAGTCACGAATATGCATGTTTGTGTCGTCATCGATATCTCTAAGGGCGACCATATTGCAATTATGGAGGTAGTCACGAATATGCATATCTGTGTCCTCATTAATACCTCAAGCGGCAGAGGTAGATATGAATATGCATTGTGTTGTCATCAGTACCCATAGAGCGACCATTAGTGCACTAAAGGTCGCCCCAGAGGTAGTCATGTAGTAATTATTGCAATTATGAGGTAGTCATACCCCTAGAGGTAGTCATGTAGACATTATTGCAATTATGGATGTTTGTGTTGTCATCATTATCTCTAAGGGCACGCGACCATAATGGTCGCCCCTCACAAATATAATGTACATGTCTGTGTCCTCATCAGTACCTCGGGGGGTGATCATTTTTGCAAATAATGGTCGCCACTAGAGGTAGTCACGAATATGAATTTGTGTCGTCACGCGTCACCAGTACCTCTAGGGGTAATGATTATTGCACTAAAGGTCGCCCCTGGGGGAAGTCATGTAGTCATTATTGCAATTATGGTCGCAGCGCTCCTAGAGTTAACATGAATATGCATGTTTGTGTTGTCATCAGCACCTCTAGGGGCGACGATTATTGCATTAAAGGTCGCCCTATTGAGGTAGTCATGTATCATTATTGCAAGTACGGTCGTCCCTAGAGGATAGCCATGAATATGCATGATTGTCTCGTCACCAGTACCTCTAGGGGAAACTATTATTGCACTAAAAGTCGCCCCTAGAGGTAGTCGTGTAGTCATTATTGCATTTACGGTCGCCCAGTATAGAGGTGGTCACGAATATGCATGTTTGTGTCGTCATCTCAATGGTCACCCCAGGTAGACATGAATATGCATGTTTGTGTGGTCATCAGTACCGCTAGAGCGACCAATATTGCACTAAAGGTCGACATTAGAGGTAGTCACGAATATGAATTTGTGTTGTCACGCGTCACCAATACCACTAGGGGTTATGATTATCATTGCACTACTTGAATGTCGCCCCTAGGGAAAATCATGTAGTAATATTATTATTGCAATTGCAGTCGCCCTTAGAGGTATACATGTACATGAATATGGATGTTTGTGTGGTCATCAGTACCTCTGGGGTGACGGTGATTGCACCAAAGGTCGTCCCTAGAGGTAGTTATGTAGTCAATATTGCAAGTACATTGTACTATGGTCGCCCCTAGAGGTAAACATGAATGTCCATGTTTGTGTGGTCATCAGTATTATGGTCGCCCCTATGAGGCAGTCATAAATATGCATGTTCGTGTCGACATCAGTACCATCAGAGCCTGATTAAACGCTCACCCCACAATATGCAAATGTCCTTTTCCAAACCATCAAAATCAATATAAAGAGGTACCATTGATAAAACGGAAACAAAATTCCTTATCGGCCGTATGGATGACAAAACATGCAACACAGTTAATGTGCAAACATATTTCCCAAAATTAATGGATCACAAATTCACGTGTTAATGCACAGAATTTAAGACGTATTATTATATAATGAATACCAGTTTTTTAGAATAAAAAATAGCAGATTATATCTTGAATTTCCCTTCGAGATACCAGTCTGTCAACAAGCACATCTGAGGAACGAATGTGATTGGTCAGAGTTGGAGGCGTGAGCGTGAAATCCTGATTATGATTGGCTATCATTGTGTCTTCACGTTTCAGGGCCATATTTGTTCATGATATAACCGGTACCCCCCCCCCTAGATTACCTGAAGTTTTCCTCATTTTGAAATGCTTATTTTTCCCCAATAATTGTTTAAAATCACCGATGCAAGAATGTGTGGGAAAAGGTATGAAGAAGTTTTAACTGGTCCTCAGCCCCCTTAGGTTTGTGTACAATATGCCTGATTTATTTGTCAACCATACCCAGAATGCATTGCGAATATCAAAGGTTAATTATCAGCCAACCAAGTGTACAACTCAGTAGAACGACCCACAATTTAATTCAAAAGCGTAATTGTTTTTTTTTCCTCGAACAGATGAGAAATGAGGAAAAAAGTGGGCGGGTAATCATTCTAATAATGTTACTTAAATTCTTCTCCACGCGCCGGCGACGCTTTTCCAATTCTGCATATGTGAAAATAGGTTCACGTCTTATGCACTGACAGAAGACCAAAGTTAAAAACAAAACGCTAAATACAATTCAATATATCAATCAATTTCATTTCAATCTATTTTCTCGACTATAAAAAGTTGTTTCGTTTCGATATGTCAGACACACACAATCTTTGATATGTCCACTTGTCTCATTAATAAATTTTAATTTATTAAAACAAAAACAACTTCACCTTATCATAGTGACTGGGAAATTAAAAACAAACTTAACTAGAGTTTCGCGTTTGTTTAGTTACAAACGCAGAGTGGTCGGGCGGACAGCCTTTTCATTATACACTGCCCAGTTAAGTTAAGAATATATGTTTATGTAGAAAAAAGGATCAGGACATTAAAACCCTTCAAGTACAATCAATGTTTCAAAAAGGTATCTTTAACGGTGTAATAAATTTCAGTAAACATTCTATGTGCACAAAAAGTTATTTCTGGTTTAATGACGTCATCAGTCAAAAACGGTGAATGAATGCTGATAAAGTTTGGAGAGGATAATTTCTCATTGTAAAGTTAAAATAACGTATGAAAATATAGGAAATATAATTGTTTGTATTAATAACACCTAACTTCCGGTTTGATGACGTATTGATAACACCTAACTTCCGGTTTGATGACATCACAGCATTAGAGATCCAAAGGTGAACATTGTAATGGATATCATTATGTGGACTTCGGAAATATGACAGGGATCAAATGATAGAATTAAATTAAAACTATGATCTTTTTCAAATTCTCCTTAAGGCAACTTCCGGTCTGATGACGTCATGAATTTGAAACCTTGCCAAGTTATCTGTGGTTAATCTGAGAATGTCAAGGGGCGATTTGGTAAAATTTGGACGGATGGTTTTACAATTAAAGAAGGGAAACTCTATTTTATGTGCCGATAGGGGGCGCCCTTTCGGATGATGACGTCATCACACTGCTTTTTGCATCTTGCATTCCTCACTAAACACTTTCATAATATATATGTCTGTAGTAAAATGCTTCCGCTTTTGAGTTATATTCAGTTTTTATTGCACTTCCGGTAACACCGGAAGTAAAGGTCAAGCAGTTTTGCGTCCGGGAAAACGAAATGTTTCTCACGGTACAGTCTACAACCTCACGAAAAAACGAACACAATACTCTATTTAGTTCACAAGATATAAAGCAAACTATTTTGTCAAAATTTGCCCTGAAATTGCTTGTAATTTGATACCTGATGACGTCATGATGACGTAACAAAATGTATAACATCTTCGTAACACGGTACAAGTTCACACAAGGTTTTGTGATCATACCGTGAACCGTTTGGAAGAAATGTTGCCTTGTTTTGATTTCAGGCTAACGTCTTCATTTTGAATTCACCTAACTTTGACCTTCCGGTAGACCCGGAAGTAAAGGTCAAGCGAGTTCACGTACACGACAAAAACTGTTAAGCGTTTAATGGTCTATCTGATTGCAGAATACAAACATCATTGAATATTTAGTTTAAGAGTTATAGGTGAAAGTAATTGGTCACTTTTTCAGATAAAATCACTTGTAATTTGACACCTGATGACGTAATCATGACGTCAGAGTAATATGCACCACTAGGGATGAGGGTCGATATATATTGAAAGTTACAAGTTCATACCATATACCGTTTAAGAGAAAACCCACGGAGAAGTATTGTCCGGAAAAAAAAGAAAGAAAGAAAGAAAGATTAATCGTAACAGATCCAAAGAGTGGTCGGGTTGTGCCCGACCACTCAATTAAATTCAAAGAAAAGGTCAAATATTTCTGACAAAATATAGGCATATAAATGGAGTAGGTTATCACAATTTCAATAATAAACCTGTTCTTCCTACATCATCCAAATCCACGTGTTCAAGTTACGTTTGTACTTTATGAACTGATGTAGATTGTTTTAAAGCGCATGGTCCAATAGTTACTGTTTTGTAACCACTTTTACAACATTTTGCATTGTCTTGTTAAATAAAGTGAATCTTACACACTTCCCAAATTAATAGGGAAATAACTCACAACTAATGTCTTTTTACAAAGAACAGTAAAAAGTCATGGCCGTTTCGTTAACTTGTTAAAAATGTTTGAATTATATTTTGCAATAACATTGTTTTCAATGGAATCATACAATCCAAGAGTTCTAAATTAGGAGTTCTGCTACTTTCGTTGCTTTTTCCAGCAAAGAAAACATTCTCAAGATATATAAATTACAAGATAACTTTCGTGAATTTCCAAAAAGCAGACGTTATGAATAACACATGAAACGACGTTCACTGCAAACAAACATTATTTCAAAGTATTGGTCTATGTATCTGTTTTACTTTATAGTAATTTAAGTATCTGTGTACGTTAGCAAATATACTACCCTTTTCATCAACTCATTTCATTTATTTTACAAATTTCATCTTACAAATTTACATTTTATTGTTAGATTTAGGAAGGTTCTTTAATTGTATTTACTTTTTGTATAAAGTTTATGCATTGAAGAAATACATGCTCTTGTATTTGTTTTTATTTCACATACAATTATATGGGGTATATGCATTTCTTTCGTTATAAATGTATACTTCACAAGACTTAACTAATTGTCATACTTTACAGTGTACCTTGATAAATCTTCCTTGTCAAAAATGTAAAACTTGTGATAGAAAAGTCCCAACAAGACAGGCTTTTTCAAGCCTTATTAAGTGCAGGGTTACATTTCGTTGAATCTAATAATAAAACATCATAATTCAAACCAAATGTTGGCCAGTTTTACATATTTATTTATATATATAAAAAAAACTTGTTTTGCATCTGAATATTCACAGGCCATGCTGCATAAAACATGAAATAAACTTTGCAGTTGATTTTTTCTCGTGCAAACTTTCTTCTGATTTAATGCTTACAGGCAGCCTGTGTGTTTTCTCCTCAGCACATGCGCAACGTTTATGGACAACCATTACTGGTCAACTTGTGCCTTTCACATCCTATGAACCTGAAACTCAATGTAATGCTGGTGATAACATACAGGTTTTGTTTTAAGACCCATGCACTTCAACATCCTACAGAGGCCTAGTCTGTCCACAATGGCTACCACTCCACCCCTCATACAAAAAAAAAAAAGAGCAAATTTGCACTGTTCAACTGGCAACAACTCCTCCAGTTGGGAACTGTGAAGTTTAGGATCCCATTCCTATATAAGCATGAAAATCCACTTTGAACCTTTTGGACTCCCCTGTAAAGTAGATGACCATGACACAATGTTGAATATCGGCAGGATAAATTTTGTGGAAAGAGGGCAGGGTTTGATTTTTGAGGGAAATTACATGGAGTATTGAATCACATGCTCACTACTGGAAAATCAGGTATGAAAATCACATTTTCTCCCCCCCCCCCAAAAAAGGTGGGTCAATACAATTAAGAGAAGATTGCCTGAGGTTGCACATGTAATACTGGACAGACGAGTTGTACTAAACTTCACAATTGCCCTCCAATTGTTGGCATTTTGAATGGGCAGCTGAGTCCTGGAGAAATTACACTCTTCCACTATTGCACAGACCGAACAATACTGGTGTCAGTCCAGAAACTCTTCCTGTAAAAACAAAAAAAAAGATAACTTGAAACAGATCAGATTACTGGTGTAGTCCTTCAATTCCTCAGTTAATTTTTTGTACAATTCAACAGTTTATAAATATATTTATCATATTTTCACATTTCGGTTTGTTTTAGGGGATGTCCTAAACAAATATCATTAATTTTATTGGCTGACAGATACCCGTATTAGGAAACGCATTAACAAGAATCAAACAAAGGCAAATCAGTTCATCAGTGTTCATTGAAAATAAACCAGCTTTTGTTAGCAATTCATATCTCAATCTTGTTCTTAATTTCATTTTTTTGGGGGGTTCGGATTGTATCTTCGCTCGACTACTCCAGAAGTTCAAATTTATCATTTTTCAAAGCGGGTTATCGTGTTTTGCTCGATTGCCCGAGAGTTTCCCACCGATTGAAACTGTCAAAGGGCTGCTTAAAGAAATGATAGTTAATGAGTAGTTAAATGGCCGTCTATTGTGTGGCATACTTTAGAGGTGAGTGTCGCTAGTGTGCATGCATTGCTGAGTCAATAACACACAGGTCAGGAATGCAATCACACTCAAAATAAAAGACAGAAAAAAATAATTTCTTCAAGAAATCTTTCCCCTCTGTTGTCAGGGTTTAATGATGTTTAAAAATGTAATATTATAGCAAATAAGCATTCAAACAACTGAAGACAGAATGTTGTTTAAAAACGTATACATTATAACAAGGAGAAAAAAATGAAAGAAAAAAATGGTTAAGGATCACTTAGTCACCAGAGTGGGACTTGGCAGTGGGCCTGGGAAAAGAAAGACTTATCGTTCCCATGTTTGCCTTCAACCATGGTACATGATAATGCTGACCCCTTTCCACAAAGAACCAGAAAAGGTGAAGATCCCTATCAGCCTGAATACTAATCTAAACAAATAGCACTTTGCCCATGATAATTTATTTCTGTACCAGGTAACTGGGAAGTGCGCCGGGTTGGGGTATGTGTGGGCAAATAAGGGCCACACTCTTCTTGGCTCAGCTTTCTAAAAAGTGACTAATTTTCCACTAACTTAAGGGCATTCCATGCTGACTTTTTTAGCATTATTTCACAGGTTAGCTTAGAGTTTGAGTTTGTGGGCATGTGTAAAATCCTTTTACAGGACTTAATTGGTGCTTTAAAACGAGATCAGCAGAGAACTGTACAAGTCCTGTAAGAGCAAAACATTGACACCGTAGGTGTAGAATTCTGTGACTGGCAAAGCAGGGAAGTGTGGCCCAGATGACTATTTCTTGGCATTTTGCAAGAGTATGAAGACCCTTTCAAACTGATTCATGAGAATTTGTTTTCCTTAAATTAAAGGCTGCATCCGAATCAGCTGTCTAGAGAGCTAGGTCTAGGTCTGTGCCCATTGAAAATATGCGGGGCGTGCTGACAATAGACGTAGCCGTAGCTCTGGAAACCCGTTTCAGACACAGCCTTAGTCTCCCTGTACTACACTGAGGTTTTTTTTACAGAGTTTTTTTTTCAGAGGGCTGGATACGCCCAAGATAAAGGTAGTTTCTAATTGAAATAAAACATATACTATATATGTACATATACATATATGTTTAAAACATAAACATATAAACTAGAAAATGTGTGCAGATAAAAAATATCAAATTAGTTGAACAGCACTGGAAGTGCAACTTGGAAAAAAAACCTACCAGGCTATAACTTACTGAGGACGGAGAATTGTGGACAAATATAGAAATGCACAGTTGTAAATGAATCAACCAGGCATGTTCTACTCTACCCATCTCTTTCCATGGCTGGGGAATATATTATTTTATGAAACCAAATACATGTAACCATTTCAAATTTCATTGCTTTTTTCTGTAACAGTTTTACTGATTAAACATTTGGTTAGTTCAACATATATTTTACAGGCTTACACCCCTGTAACTACGGTCAATAAATGACATTGCCTGGATCCCAACTAGTCCATATCCATCGAACCCCAAACACCTGGTGTTTGCAAGATTTTGATAAATTTGGTTCTGTAGTTCCCAAGAACTTTAAATTAAAAAAGGGGCTGATTTCAAATTTTGTTAAAAAGTTCCACTACGTACAGGTAAGAGCAGAATTAGATTTTGGAAGATCTACCTAGGTTCCTAATGAAAAAGCATTGAGGCTACTACGTGTACTGTACATGTACATGTACATTATGACTAACACACACAAATCCACTCTGGATACATAATGGGTAAAAAAAAAAGGTAGAAACGTAAACTAAATGAATGTAACTACAGAATGAGTCAAAAAGAATGTGACCGAATTAGAAAAAAATATTTTACAATATACCAGTATTTGGCTCGCTCCATTTCATGAAAATAACATAGGGATAAAGTACATGTTATTGACTAACTGTGAAAATTTCAGGTGATTTTCATACTCTATTCCCCAAGTTATGTCTATTTTGATAAAGAGATTACAGAATTCAGCTGTCCACCACTGATCATGTCCTGTTCTGCAAACGGATGAATACCCATTAAATACAATGAAACATGGACATTATTCCCACCTCCATGAATGAATGAAAACTTGCAAAGGAAAACAATAAAAAATGGCCATCGAAAAAAAAGAGTTGACTAGTTCCTCATATTTTGACTGAAATTATTAAAATCTCATTTGTATTTGAATGGCCATGTGTAATCTGTAATTCTCACTCAGCTCAATAGCTTCCAATGGCATTACATGAACAGCTATAAAAAAAAAATTGCTTCTTTTAACAAAACATGCATAACTTCTGATAGCATCGATAAATTTAAGATTTTCTTTTAGATGAGTATACTTTCAGAAGTACGTACTTCATTGGTGTATCAAATTTGATTGCTTTTCAAGAAAACAAAATCACTAATCCAGGTCGCATTCTTTTTGACTCAATCTGTACGTGCAGCTGCTCTTGTCAAGTGAAAATGAGGAAATTCCATCTCATGGGTAATTAAAAAAAATGAATTAACAGTAAAGGATTGGGTGTAAAATGCAGATTACATGTATATACGGTACATTGTGCAAGACATTGTCATCCATGATATAAATGGAAACGTTACAAACCAAGCAACAAAAACAGCTGTCTACTTTGGTTCAAAGAATCATTTGATTTTGTGCATTTTTTGTTTGTTTGAAGCAACAGAATTGCTCAAAATTTAAGTAGGGTGCATACCAATTAACCTGTTGAAATTTCAGCTCAGTGGATACTATATATTTTGAGAAAACAGAAACACCATATACACACATTTTTAGGGACTGGATTTTGCTGCTAACGCATATATAAAAGTGTGCTGCGGGCAACCAATTTTGAAACCACCTTCAATGTTAGTTTCCTTCCGAATGATACCAGTTCAGGCAGAATAATTTCACAGGGTATTTGATACCAGTACTAGTCCTATATTCAGCAAGGTTTCTGTCATTAAATTTGTAGATACTTTTCCTGGTTCATTGTAATTGCAAATGATCCTACGTGGTTTTAAGGAATTATTCTGGGCTGGTTGTAGGCAGGACAGATATCTCTTTAGACTGGGGCCACACATGGGGAAATTGAACCATGGAACAGGACAATAAACCTGACAATCAAAACTACCAATGTGGACTTATTTCATTGTGACACATCCTTTTACAGGATGTGTTACAATGAAACAGAAAATAAGCTTCTTTCCATTTCGCAAGAAAAAAAAGGGGGATGGGAAAAAAATAATAACTTAAAAACCTGGCAAAATCATTTCAGAATGCGCGTCAATGTACAAGTTTAGTAATACTATGAAATTGTTACATAGTTTACAATGACCCATCTATTGAAACGTGGTCGAAATTGTGTGAACAACTTCATGTTAAACTTGTATTGTCTTGAGTACGACAGCAGTTGCCAATTGATAAATTCTGTAATCTGCTTCAGAAGAGGACTAAAATAGGACAAGGCTAGAGAAATTGATGTATCATGTACAGAATACATGCATCATACTGCTCATTCAAATTTATTTCAAATCTAAAATGGTTTCGGACCATTCAACTGTCAATGTAAGATACACCAAAATCACTTCTGCAACCAATCTCATTTACATTTGGCAAACACAAAACTGAAACAAGTTTTTTGTTAGGAAATAAATAAGCCATTCTGTTTATAGAAAATAATCAGGACAGATGAGTGGAAAGCTTCATGCATTAATGAGACTAAAGTCTGCTGTTTGTGAACTAATTAGACATAATGATCACACATTATCATGACCTGGTTATCGCGTAGTGGCTGTTAACCTTTACACAGCATCCCCCACGTACACGGTGGGTGAACTGTGATAGCGGGGGGATCACTTATCCATTGTCAAATGCGGTATTGATCTCTGGATGAGGTGATAATACATGTAGTATCTCTCAGGGAATTATACCTGGGACATCGGTGATGGTGGGAAAATTATAAGATGAGCATGTACACTCAATGTGCTAAAGTCAACACATACATGTACTTGACATATCTTGTTTTAAAAAGTTTGCCTCAAATTGGATGATTGAAGCTCATGTGAAATATTCAGTGCATTTCTCAACTCCTATCTGTTGTCAGATAATACTTGAAGGATATATACAATTGCAAACATAGGAAAAACACAACTATCAAATTATAATGAAGACTGTAAGTGAATAGTCTCAAGCATCCTGTGAAATCGTGGCATCTGTGTGTTGTCATTTTCAAGAAAAGTGGAATTTTGGTACCGTACAATTTCCAATGAAGTCGGCTTCGTTGACAAAAAAACTAACGTTTTTCTAATACTGCCCCAATTTACCAATTATAGTTGGGCCACATTTTGTTCCCAATCTGGTTCCCTGACCTGACGATTCCCTGACGTCTATAAATTGCTCCATTCTGTCTGAGGTAGGGTCAGGGAACCAGACTACAAGAAGAGCATTATTTTTGGTTGGTTTTTCCAGCATCTATGAACACAAAACATGAATAGGTCGGTGTAACAATATTTGCAATAAAATACTAAGCCCCAAATCCATACATTTCTAAAAATTACAGCAAAAGCCAATGTTGTATACTACCGCTAACGAAGAATACAATAACTGGTTATAAAATGATACAGCTTCGGTTTGCAGTTTTGTTCGCAATCAGTTACACATCCGTGAACGGTTGCAAGCCAGCTAGTCTGGTTCGACCTGACAATTAATTCCTGATGTCTATAAATTGCTGTATTTCGTCTGAGGTAGGGTCAGGGAACCTAACTAAACTAAATTGATTACAAATGAAGAGTTTTTAATCACTGATGTGAGATTGGGAAAATTATTCACAAATTGCAATGTGTCTTTCCATGTAATAAATAACTCATTCAACATGGAGAGGATTGGAAATATTGCAAAACTTACATTGATTTATTTCATGTTAGTTCTCCCTTAAATATAATTATTTTCATTTTAATTTATCAGAACAACTAACTCTTAAACTTTGTAGATTGGCCCCTAAATTCCTTAACTTTTCACGATATCCCAAATTTCTTCCAAAACTTTCTAAAATAGCCTGCAAATTCCAGCACTATCCTTGCAGACCCCAAAATTGCAACACTGGACAAATATTCAGGCCCTTCCAAGGATTTTCAAGACAACAGTGTGTTCCTAAAATTCATGAATACCTTGAAATACCATGAAAACCAGGTGTTACAAATACAATAGTGTAGTGTCTCACTTCATATCCAATATGGCCTTGAGGGAACGGACTCTATCAGCGGTAAGGAGATTGCTTCCTTTGACAATGCAAGTGGATATGCTTCAGTGCAAAACTGTGGTGTTTAGCATTAATGTGTATTGATCTAATATGAATCTTCAAAAGGCATAAGTAGGGCAATTTTGTTGTGGGCCATTAAACACACACATACACAAATAAACTCAAAGAAAAAGAAATATGCTTCAAAGGAACAATGCTTATTTGTGTCTGGTAAAAAGGGGCCTAGACAGAATTTCTGGAGGACTTGCAAGAATGGGCAAATTGTAAAAAGTGGTTTCTTAAAAAGTTGCTGTGTTCAGATAAATATCTGAGACCTGTAACGCATGCTAATATTTTTTGTTCAAGTTGAGAAATCAAAAGGAATAAAAAAAAAAAATACGATCTTTGCAATAATCAGCAATTTGTTTTTAGATGGAAAACAACAGAAAACTATAATTAAAATACAGTTATAAAGCAAGGATTGTGAGAAATTTTCTTAAGCAAATGTAAGAGCCAAAACAGTTTTTTTTAACGTACTTAAAGGCAATATCAAAAACAGATAGTCGGGATGGCACAGTGGTACTTTCCTTGCCTTCCACCACATGCTGTAACCCGAGTTCGAATCCCGCCTGGGCCAATATGTGGATTGGGTTTTCAGTCCCTACCTGACTCTGTGGGTTTTCCCCAGAAAATATTATTCTTTTGGGGTTTCCCCCATCTCAAAAACTGTAATTTCTTCTAATTTCTCTCTACAAGTTTCTTCAGGCTTGCGAGCTGCAGTGCCTTGGGCGCTTTTGAGGAATCCTTGATTTCAATACCAGAAATAATTATCAAAAAAAATCACCAAACCCTGACTGTAGTTTGTTTGTAGTTTATGCTCAATGTAAGATCCTTGATACGTAAAATGCAAATTGGTCTTTTTGAGATAAGGTGGATACGATAGGAGACGATATTTCAAATGGGTTAATAAACTGAGTGAATACACAAATGGGGTGTCATGGCCTAGCGGTTAAGAACACCGGACTCATGCTCTGGTGTTTCAGAGGCAACAGTGGCGTGGGTAAGAGCCCGCCGGGTGGACACTTGTGCCCTTGAGCAAGGCACTTAACCATTATTGCTTCGTCCTTCGGATGGGACGTAAAGCCGTAGGTCCTGTGTGTTGTGTAATCCAATGCACGTAAAGAACCCAGTGACACTTATCGCTAAGAGAAGGGGTTTGCCTCAGTGTTTCTGGCCTCCTGTATAAACTCCCACGCGGAGTATTTAGGAGATGAACCAACCAAGAACCAAGAACACAAGAGTTTACCTATTCCAAATAGTGTCCCATACAAACGACAAAGGGTAATGAAAATCAACAACACAAGAACTCTGAATGCCAAATGAAAAGATAACGCAAGAAAGCATAGACAATCTGCACGCATTTCATTGTGTCTTGGAGAATATCTCCAAGCCAATCAGTAGTACCAAGAAAGAGGCAGCCCACGGTTAGCTCCAAGACTCTCAAGCATGCAGTAGTAACATTCACAAGGAATGGGCCTTGTCTTGGCGCGACTTGAGATGGAGGGTAGGGTATTAGTTCACCAATTTCAAATGTTAACATATAGAGTCTGTTTTGAGCTTGATCTCAAAACTTTTCTTCAACAAATCTTTATTTTGTAGAAAAGGCTTGGGTTGGTGCATGTTAGGGGTTTCAGTGAGGTTTCTTTTAACCCACCTTCTGTATCACTCTTTATTACACTGTTTTTACTCCTTGATAGCCACAGTAGCCACAGTAGGCACTGTGCCTAGGGCCCACGAAAAATTTGGAGGCCTACGCAAAATTCGAGGGCCTACGAAAATACCGCAGTATGCCATAAAATACATACAAAAACACACATAGTCGTGTTCACACCGTCGATCGTGGACGTCCTATTGTCTCTCTTTTGTTTGTAATATAACTTTTTAGGAAGACTCCCATAGGCTTTGTACACGACCCCAATCGCAGACGTATGCTAGGAATCGTGGACAATATTGTTCTCTTTTGTTCTCTGGTATTTTTCGTCCACGGTTTGAATAGATGAACACGCCCAGACACGTTTGTTTATGGTGTAAATTGAGGATTTTCTTTTGTTCCTCTTCCCTTTTCCTTTGTTTGTACTTTTACTTTTTCATTATTGGTTTTGTACACGTTTTCTAATCGAGGTCATCCTCGATTTGGTTCCTGTCCTTGATTCATCGATGATGTTGCACGTGTGTGTCCTCGATTTACACCATAAACAAACGCACACATACAAGAAGAGTTGTTCAAAGATTTAGCGTCTCTGTCAGAATTTTCAATTTCACCAACTGAAGCTCATGTAGCTGCATGTACATGTACATATACAATTTACGTTTTAAGTTTGTCGTTTTGAAGCTAGGTGCCAACAGGCTTTTAGAGCTACCAGTTTGGCTTGGCTTGATCTGTACAGCTCAGCATCAACACGAAATTGGTGATGATGCCTAGTGCGGAACACCGGTGCCTAGGACCTACTGAACACTAAATCCGGCCCTGCTAGGACAGTTTGGGATGGTACAGAAAGTAACAGGCAAGGCACTTTTGGGCAGGACATGAATTAATGAGTCCGGTTAACCAACCTCAACTGTCAATGTAGGATGAACTGTCTGCTTGAGATCCACCCCAAACATGTCCTTCCAAGGAGTCTGTATGGCGTCCAGGAGGCGGGACAAGGAGGAGGTGTTCTCAGTGGAAATGTGCCAGTGAGACTGGTCTGCGGTGTCCTATGGAGAAAAAGAAATACTCAAGTTTGTAAAAAGCCTTAACGCTAAGGGAAATAACACACGCAGTCACCGAGTCATATAAATACCATTGTCATACCTCTGTCTTTATACTGTATTTTCATTGGCCCAGGACGATCACCTGACCGGGCGATAAATATGCATGGCACACTCCCGTTGTATATCACATTGTGATATCACATGCATGTAGACTAGTCCCCGCCCCACAGTCCAAACCATTATGCGTGGACCGCGTTTAAACCAGACTATACTTGTACTCACTGGTACCCCGCAGTACTTTCACGTTCCACAATATAATGTATAGCAGTGAGGGAGCAGTGCATTTGCAGACGATATTTACTTTAATTTGGCGGCCAGCGACGAGCGGCATTAAGATTAAGTACGTTTTGACTGACTCTAGTAACGGTGCCTAGGCCTTCAGAACTTCGGAAATGCAGAGCTGACACAGTTAGTTTTTTCGTATACGATCCTCATCAGCCTCAACATGTCAGCTGAGCCCGGAGGCACAGATTCTCCGCCCCAAAAAAGGTTTTTGAGCCGCTCCAATAACAACAAATAAAAGATTTAGCTTCTGAACAAGACTCATCAAACACCAAACGTTGTACCGACTGCGCAGTCCGTGTTGTACGAGAATTCTGCGAAGAAACGGGCAGGGACACTCGTTTCGAGACACTTCCTGTGAAAGAACTGGACAGTCTTCTTGAAGACTTTTTTGGAATTTTTTTTCAAAGATTCCTTCAGTTTGCCACCCTTAATTTCCCTTAGAAAAACAAGTAAAACACATCATCAAGACAGAGGTATGACAAAACAGTTGTTGACTGATGTGATGTGGGATATGACGTTTTGAACACCCTCGGGGACGCATAGCACCCTCGGCTTCGCCTCGGGCGCTATGCGTCCCTCGGGTGTTCAAAACGTCATATCCCACATCACATCAGTCAACAACTGTTAACTATACTGCCTTCTTGTATAATGCCATTCATGTCATTTGATCAATCCAAGAAGCCTGCCTTCTTTATAGATCGCAATCTTCGAAAAGAACTCGTAACAGGTTTCAACTGCCCTAATTTGGCATGCTGAAATACATCGGGACAATGTTACTGACCAACGCTGATCATCCGCTCTAACTAAACATGTTGTAAAAATCAGTGCTATCGTAGACCATCTCCAGAGGATCATTTGGAGACGACATTAATTTTGCTACATCACAGCCATATTTTGTTGTAAACCACTGCTGTTTGGCAAAGTGAGGCATCAATTATTGCAAAGCAAAACAATCAAAACACAATCTCCTAAATGAAACAAATTCCCTCTTTCTTGAACCTTGGGGCTTATATGCACTTTTGGCTCAATGATAGCTGTACATACACAATGGGGCTCAATAAACAACAAATCACTTACTTCGTGGAAAAACGTAATGGATATATCTGACGGTGAATCTTCATACAGCTCCTGCAGAAAGCAAGAACATGGACCAAAATGAATGTTGAATGCTAAACAGACATAAATTCTTTCTTAATGGGAAGACAATGAACCTGTTTGGTACTTCAACTGCACATGCACATGCACACAAAGTTTTAATGATTTTAATTTTAATAACTTTCTATATCTCTCTTCTTAGTGAAGTACATGTATTGTGATTTTTGTGTAATATTATTATTATTTGTAATTTTGTAAGTGTTCATTAATGTGTTTAAATGTAAAAGGCCAATGGAATTTTCCGTCAGGGATAATAAAGTCAAATTGAATTGAATTGAATTTTTTTAACAATTCCCTGTGCACTGCAAAATAATAGTGGGTACTAATACGACAAATGAAAAGTGTTATGTTTAAATTTAAAGTCCAGAAGTTATGAGACGTTTAGGTGACACAAAGTATAAAACATGTTGAACCAATATAGGTTTTCTTAGTTAGTCAAACATGTGTATCATTCAAATTCCAAGGAAATATACTTTAATTTTGTTCCAGAGCATCGATGGGCTCCATTGTTCCTATCGAGTTCAAACTATCATCAACTGTTGTTGGGAAATTCCTCTTATATATGTAGATCGGAGCTGCTTCGGTCATTAATATTCATAAGCGCATTCCCCGCATGGCAAGGGAGAAGATTAACAGATTTACAGCACACTGAAGAACAAATTTCCAAAAGCTATGATGAATTAGAATGCGACATATGTGGAATTATTACCACCAAAAATGAAATCTGCTGATGTAAATTTGACATTGAAATTAACAATGAGTCCCAACAATTTCCTGAAACAAAATTGAAATAATTTGTAAGATGGAATTTTTGCGTCGGGGTGATGTAAATTAATATTAGGTTTTGCCCTTCATCGACGTATAAACATTGTAAATTAAAATTATCTTTCCATGGAGTAACCCAGGTAAAATTATATGATATTTAACAATTTCAAAAAGTAGGGCAACTTTATCGAAGGCCAAAGTTTCAGTCTTCTTTACTCGCATCAAGCCAGTAGTTTCAAGAGGTTTCTTAGAGGTTAAAATTATGGTCAGGTAAACACAAGTTTTTTTTTGTTTTGTGAAGATCTGGATGCACTCACCACTTCGCCAACATCGGTGATTGTGTGGTGGTCCTTTAGCGTGAACTGCGGCAGCTTTGTTTGGCCTTTGGTCTTGGTCTGTCTCAGCGGCCACCAGTGGTTCTCCTCAGCCAGGTAGAGGTCAGATGGGGTCACCACGATACTGACTGGCACGAGGTCAAGGGCCATCGCTATGGAAAATGGTGGAAGAATTGTCACTAAAGAGACACCAACATAAAAACCACCCAAATAGGCTATAAGCCGAAAGTTTTATCATGTTGAAGTTACTGGATATGGACAAATTGGGTTAAATGGCAAAGAGGTTTGTAATGCTGAAGTTATTGGTTAACTGGCAAACTCGGTTTAATGGCAAAGAGTTTTGTAATGTTGAAGTTAATGGTCACTAACAAACTTGGTTTAATGGCAAAGAGTTTTGTAATGCTGAAGTTGATGGTTACTGACAAACTTGGTTTAATGCAAAGAGTTTATGGAGGTTTGTGATGCTGAAGTTGTTGGTTATGGACAAACTTTGTACAATGGTAAACAGCAGAATGTGCAAAATCATTTTTTTTTTGGCAACAGTACACAGTTTCAACAAAGTAGTAAAAAGTATAGGGGAAAGTGTAGGGGAAAGTGAAAGTTACCAATAGAGTACAAACAGAGTGCCTCAGATGAATTCTTGGTTTTTACCATTGAAAAAAAATCTCAGCATGTGTGCTTTGCAGCTCTGCGATAAAGCTGTTGTCTATTGCATCTGGACTCATATCAGGCGTATGCAGGATTTTATTGACGGGGAGTGGGAGGGGAATGGGGGTAGGGGGAGATGAGACTAATTTCCCTGCTGAAAGGTAGCCAGACACCAAAAAAAAAAGGGGGGGGGGTGGTCGGATACCATCTGAGTTTGACCATCGGAGGTTTCATTCAAAGAAGATTATAATGGACACAATTGAAAAACAGGTGGCGTTCTTCATTGCGGCAAGTAAACAAAGCTGTGAAAAACCACTGTTTTAATTCTTTTCTGAGGGTGAATAGAACCACCCCCCCCCCCCTTAAATGCGCCACAGGCTATATCTGTCTAACCACATATGAGGAGATGTTTAACAATACAGATTGTATGGATCTTCATTGCAGTTAGTACTTTTGGTGCATTTTCCATCAATGTGCATTCTGTACTCATGCATAGTTACCTCAAATGACATGCACTGAAAAAGAGCAATAATTATTGACCGTTCAAGAAAGTGCAAGTCAGTCTTCATTGAGAGATGAAGGGAATGATGCAGGGTTTCAGGGTAAGAGTAAATTGAATTTAGAAAAATTTTGGGAAAAAATGATCTGTCATGAAATTGCATAAATTTGCAACCCAGAAATTGTCCTCTGTCTGTACAGGATGTTACAATCTAGACCATTTTGTCTCTTTTCTTTTCTTTGTACCTCAAGAAGATAGAAATTTCGTTAATATTTGTTAAAATTTTAGAAAAAAAACCCCAATATTTTTCCAAAATCTTTGAACCCATCACCAATGCGAATTGTGAGTGAATCTCCGATGAACCCTTTCCTGTGGGATCATGAAAAGTACAACAGGACTTTGGGAATCAGATTTGGAGAGATAACCATGCATGTCACCTTTTACATTATACCGACATGCAAGGCTAACAGTTCAGCATCTTTGGTATGTTATTTTGCCCACATTTAACAGCTTATGTCAGACGAGAACAGTCACGTGACCACAACATTCAATTCCGTAAACAAATGTGACATGGTCTATGAACATGCTTTTTTTGTAATGCTTTAAGTTAAAATTAAAATGTGACAAAAAAAAAAAGAAAAAAAAAAGATGTTTGTTAGCATACAACTCAGACAGACACCACATAGAGAATGTTATGTTGTTGAAAAAAATGTCACTGCACGAAAAGTATAAGCATGAATGGAATACTTTTTGGGGCACTGCTTGAGATTTTCCGATCCAGACGTAGTAAACCTTGAAAAAAAAAATTGGAAGAAGTCCCTTTGTTACCATGAATGCAATCTCAAAACAAGCCATTTTATACATGCCGTATTAGCTGGTTAAAGTTGAATGTAATTTAATGTATTGGCAATTCCAGCATTGTGAAAAGAAGTCCGTGACATAGCCAATTAAAGGGAATATACATCATTTGCTTTTGCTGTAATTTTCAGAAATGGATAGAATTGGGGGGTTGGAAATATATAGCAAATATAGTTACACTGACTTTTTTGAGGTTTTGGGTTCGAAAATGCTATAAAAACCAAGAAAAACAATCATTTTCCTGTAGTCTGGTTCCCTGACTCCATATAAGAAGAAACAGAGCAGTTTACATACATTGGGGAATTGTAAGGTCGGGGAACCAGTCTAGCTGGCTTGTACCCGTTCATAGGTGTGTAATCGATTGCAAACAAGTGCGATGGTCAATTGGGGCCAGTATTTGAAAAAAAGCCAGTTTTTTCCAACGCTGGTCGGCCGACCAGCGTTGGAAATTGATACAAAAATACCACTTTTCTTGAAAATGACAGTATACAAGGTGCCATGATTTTACAGGATGCTTTACACTGTCATTCAGTAACAGTCCAGCAAGGTATTTCAAAATGATTTGGTAGTTTTATTTTTTGATGTTTGCAAATGTTGTATTTTCCCTTTAACCATGATATCTAATTAACGATTCAGAGAATGAACCCAAACTCCTAGTCTGTAATCTCCTAGACCATTACTAGATGATGGATGTGCAAGATTGTGGTGCATTTTCAGGTTTATTCACTGAGATTTCAAACACTCTGTAACGGACATTACGGAATGCTGGAATTGCCCTTTAAGATAAAATTGTGCATAATTTTTTAAAAATAATAAAACTACAATCAAAGTAAATGATAATGTCAAAGGTGTTTCATGGAAATATAAGTTTGTTTATTTTGTTTTCAATCATGATCCAGCAATGTTAATGTTCTTAATTTCATGGTCCTAATGATAATGTTTGCGTAAAAAGTATCCTTTGAGTATTATTTCAGAAAGACGATTTTTATGAAATATTAGCATGAGATGATGCAAAAGCTCTGTACAGCAGGACAAATCCTGAAAAAAAATGGCCACAGTTCTTTTATGAAAGTTGCCTCTGCAAAATATATCTAGCCAAGCATTCATTTGGATGGTGGATGAAAAGTGGAATTTGAAAAAGGAAAACAACAGAGTTATTGCTGCATGCGAGTCTTTGTCTGCATCTCCAAGTACATGTAGAAGTTTGCATGAATGGTGAAATCATCTAGAAATAAGCACCAATGCTATGTTTGTAGACTATCCAGTGAATCTGGGGAGCAATTTCTGTATTTGACCATGGAACAATGACTCCTTATCAAAATTATGTGAACTCAACAAGTATTCAAGTATTCTTCCAACTTATGGGAACACTTGTGACGGCATTTCATAGCTTTGCCAGATCCATCTCTATATCCAAAGGGAGGCATTTACACAAATGTAAAGTGTTTGGACACAGGTATGTCAGAAGTGCACAAACACACAAAGGCTCAATTGGACAAAGCAGTTTGTCATTATTTCTTTTTACATTTTAAACAACGCCTGAATGAATCCCCATCATCTGATTGGTGGGTCCTTGATCACATGTCATTTGATTATTTGTCTCAATCCATGGCCCAGCCGCACCGCCAAAATAGAAGTTCTATTCCAGGGTAAATAGAAATTCTATTCCACAGTAAATAGAACTTCCATTGCAAGGTCACACAATTGGTGGCTCTGACCAATCAGATGATGACGATTTATTCAGGTGTTGTATGTATAACCAATAATGAATGTTTCACACTCGTGCAATGGAAAGAATAATTTCATCTAGTAACAGATGGAATGTTCCATTGCACTCGGTTTCTCCACATGGAATGGAACATTCCATCTGTCACCTCATGAAATTATTTTTACCATTTCACTCATAAACATTCTTTATTTGTTTACCATGCTTCCACATCTACATGAACAAGTTTGCATGAGTGCTACTTCTTATTTTCTGAAACTAATGTGACAATAGCCTGCAAACTCAGAAAGGCTTCCCCTTTACGGCTTACTCTCAAAACATTTCCCTTCTTACCTCGCTTGACACTCTTGGTGGTCTTTTGGTAGGCCAGCATGTACAGGCTGATCTCACTTTCCCTCTCCAATACCCCCTCGTCCATGGACTCGCCAAAGACCTGGCTCATGATGTTCATCAGGGTGTTGGGGTGGTCCCTGGCCACGCCCTTGAAGCGTCGCTTCTTGCCGATCGGGGCTCGCTGGATGGCCTCTGTGTTTCCGCAGCAATGAAAATGGTCGAAAAATTAGAAGTAAAATCTCACAAACTCTTTATTACACCTCAGACGGCTGCAACATCTGACCACATCATCCTAAAAATGTTTTAAAATAAAATTTGATTTTGAAGTAAATTATTTATAGCTATTCCTGAATTCTACTACTTTTATACAATTTCCCCCCAAAATGGTATCCAATAGATGGCATGTTTTATTATAAATTTTCCTCGTTAAAAATCACTTAGAAAAGTTGAATTTCTTTGAATTGGCTTATGATTTCAACCATTCCTTTCAATCTTGTTGCTGATATATTGACTTCTTCATATTACGTCTGATTGCTATTTCCTAAGAACTCGGTCATGAAGCGACAATATGGAATAAAATTTGGTACACCTATAGAGCAATTTAATCTGTACATTCACAAAATTTGATTTTCATAAGACAAAGTGTGCTTTAATTATTGAATAGCAAGTTAACGCACTGTTATCAAAGCAAGCTGTACTATCCGTGTATTGTGTACGGAGAAATGCGACTTCCGTGGTGACCATCCTCAAATAATGTTGCATAGTGCGGTGACCCCAAGGTCCATTTTTTGTATGTATTTGGTATCAAAACATGCGCCAGACTTGAAGCTAGAAAGTCTCGAAAGTTCATGGCGGGAAGTGCATGTTTTGGGGTGGGATGCATCGGAATCCCCCACCCCACCCACGGCCAATTTAGGGTTAACCCGAACTTACAACACATTTAAGTTATGAACATTCCAAGATCCTTCAAAAGCCACAGCCATATCCGCATTCTTTGGATTTGAACTTCAAGGGCTATCAAGCCCATGAAAGTCCATCCAAAGCTTGTGCGACATAGCTGGACTTAACATTCCTACATCCTAAAATAAATACACCAAAATTGTGGATTTTAAAGAATAGGGAAGGGTATGGCCTCGTACGACTACACAAAGTCATGATTTATTCAGTGATAACCATATCAGCTTGCATGCACCAAAATAAAATCTTTCCTAACTGCTAAGGCCCTGTCTCAATTAATATCCGGGACAAGTTTCGGATAAGTTGCAGGAAGAATCATTCACTTTGATGGTGCTCTGCATTTGTCCCGAACATGTTACCGGGAAATTTTCATCAGCAACTGCTTGACTCACCAATACTGATAACTTCATTACAGGAAGGTTGTGGGGAAGTTGTTCAGAATCCTGCAACTTATACCTGATACAGCGACCACAAATTTTCCGGAACTCGTCCCGGATATGAATTGAGACAGACCCTTACTTTCCAACTGTGACACAAACGCCTCGCACATCTCCTCATCCCGCAGGACGATGGTGTACAGGATGCCCTCGTTGTTGAAGTCTAGCTGGAAACTCTGGCTGCCGGGACCCACGTGGATGTGGAGGAGGTCTCGGACGGAATGCTGGGATCTCTTGGCCAGCCAATCAGAGGGCTTCTCACTGCACATTGTACAAAACAAATCAGAATTAGTGAAAGGTTCCCGATCTGTAAAGATAAAGGCGCTCCAAATCATCATTTTGGCCATTACGTTGTCAATACATTAATCAGGTTTCAGGAATAAACATGCAACTGTCAGCCTGTTACCAGGGATATCAGGGTATGTATACCTGTAGATTCAAAGTGCTTAACAATTGCTCAGGCAATGTGAAAACTTTTTCTTGACAACAATATTATCTCTGGTTTAACCCTAACAATCCCCATCCAGTCAAACTGCAACACCAGGGTTTGTTGGAATCTGTTGGAGCGAGTACTGCACTAATAAACTGATTACCCATTCCATAGGTTTAGGCAAATCACCACAATCAGAGTCCAACAGTTTCTGAGTACAGTTTACCATATGGTGTTGGAATTTGCAGGAGTGAGGAAGGTTCCTAATAGGGGGTTCTTTCATATTCATAATTCGTAATCAATTGATTTATTCCTAGAAAAAACTTATGCTAGAAAATTAGCAGCAATTTCCATTCATTTTTCAGGTTGGACTTTACATTAATGAAGAAGTGTAAATCTGAATAAACCCTTAATTCAAAACTGTTCTTTTTGATGCTGGATTTAGCAGGCTACTCACTTCGTTGTACGATTCAGTTAGATTCAGAAGTGTACCTAATGTAACTTTTCTGGGTCTCCGATGTCCCCGCAAAAATTAACTTCTCAAGCTGGCAGCAAGGGACTTAATTTGGTCAAGGTGGTAAAAATCTCTGAATTTAAACATAAAAGTCCAATGCTCCTTAACGAGGTTCTGTGGTGTGTTTACCTTTCCTCCCTGCTGATCCTCATGATGTAGATGTTTTGAGTCGAGACGACTAAAAGACCTGAGAAGTTTGCTGACTTGCTGAACTGGAATATGCCACACTACATTTTTGTCATAAAAACAGGATAGTAAAAAGTAAAACAAATCTGAGAAAAATTTGCCATGATTGCAATTTCTATACATACATGTACATCACAATACTACACAAGTGTTACCTACGTCGACAATGAATGGCAACACATACATTTGTGTATCATGCTAGCATGGCGATTATCATGGAGCAGCGCATACACAATGATTTGCATACCAGTACACCTGGCTTTTCAACTATCGTTCGCCGTACAATGTGAATGCGGTGAGTCCATGCAAAAAAACTTATGCTTGATCAAGCACTCTTGTTACGAGTCAAGCGTGCTGACAACATGTAAATATAGTGTGTAACCAATATTTATTGGCTCGCGAGCGACTATCAAACGACATGTACCTGAACGACGAAATGTAGCAGGCTTTTTATTATTTTTTTTCTCTGTGCATGCAACACAATTTATTTTCCTGTGAACAAGTGGAATGCGGAATTTTTTCCCAAAAACTTGAAAAAAGCCAGAATTCCGGCTACAGCTGGAAGACTGGCATCCCTAGGATCGAGCAAGAGATGGCAAAAGAAAAGGTATTTTTGATCTTGGTTTGCTTGCATTTTGAGTTTTTCAAATCCTAATCTAAAAATGAAGGGGTTGGTGCAGTAATTTACAGTGTTTCACTTGATACCTCAAGCAGAAATTTGCAGAGAAAACCAAGCCTGCATTAAAATGGCTCACCTTTATCATGCAAGCAAGTTCTTCCTTGCCGCTGAACAATGACATGGAGAAGTACAGCTTGAGCCGATGGTCCACGTTGGTGAAATCACTGTCTATTGCTTCCAACATGGAGTGCTTTCTGGGCATGCTCAGACTGACGCTGGCCTCTAACGATGAGTTCAAAGAGCTCTCTTTGCTCGGCGATGTCTTCTGACTGGATGGCTTGTTGGTTGGGGACTTCCTACCATTCCTGTCAAGATTTTCATGCTTAGTCTTCTCCCCGACATCTCTTGAAGGCACTCCTGAGGTTTCGATTTCAGCATGGGGCTCATCAATGGTTGGTGTCAGTGACGAGTTCGTTGCATCTGGCTTGCTGGCGGCATCACTTAGAGCATTGGCAAGATTAGTTGGCGCCGCGTTTAGACTGGTGTCAAAGACCGAGTCCGAGTTGATACTGACAGCATCGATGCTGTTGTTTCGGAGGACAGCTATTTCGCTGTCGGTGCTGCCCGCACGTCCGACGCCTGAAACCGTGTCGTAGGAAGGGGTATCCTGGGTGCTGTCATTAGAGCCGTTGAAACTCACCTCCAGTCTCTCGTGGTTGGATTTCTCTGCTGGCAAGATGACGATATCGTCCTCACTACAGGGTCTACTGCCACGATTTTGAATTTTATCTGGAGTGTCATTTCTGTGTTGCTTCAGTGTTGTAGAAGAATTGCTCTTGGACTTAGTCCTCATACGGTCTTCTTGGGGCTGACTAGTTTTGTCATTGTCAATTCTTTCTGCAGGTGAATTCACAGCGTTGTCGATCTCATTTCTTGATGGTGGGTTGGACGTCTCTCCAGACCTAGGCGTAGTGGCCCCTGAGACTTCCCTGCTACTCACCCCATCCAGGATGTCAGGAGGCACCAGGGAATACTTCTGGCTGAATGGAGCCATGTTCTCCTGGAGCAGCTCCCGCAGCTTCTCATGCTGGTAAGTGGAGATGTTCTCTAAAGGGTTGGTCTCATCTCCCCGGCTCATTCTGATGGTCGGGTCGGGCAGGGCAAAGTTGCTCTCCTGAGCCGTGTCCTGATCCGAGGTAGCCGACATCGCACTCCCGTTGTCCTCAATCGATTCCTCGGTGATGTGCCTCTCCCGCTTTATCGTGGACGTAGCAATCAAACTGGAGCTATTGACCAACGTGGAGGTGCCTGAAGACGACGAGCTGATGGCCTGCCCAAATGTCATCCCTTGTCCTGGGCTGGAGGAGAGGGAGTTGGCAGCGCTGTGGTACTCGGTGGACGAACCGCTCCGGCTTTTCTCAGTTGATGACAGTAATACAGAATCCTTATCCCTAAAGGGAAATGTTTAAAAACAGAGTTTCTTTCAGCAGCTCATTCATAATCAGTTCATAAAAGTGAGTAAGAAGCAGTTCAGCTGAAACCTAATTTGCAACCAGCACAAAACATTTGTGGCCACTTTACTTTACTTTTCCTAACATACATAAACTCAAGAAGATATATTTGCAGTCACAGAAAGCATAACAAGAAGCTGGTCAAACCAAAATTTGATCTAAAAATTAATGAAAAGTTGCTACTGGACAAAATGTTTCTTTCAGCTCACAGGATTGTAACTAAATGGACAATTGACCTATCGCCATTTGCGAGTTGGCCACGCCCCTTAGACAACCCTATGATAATTTGTACGCTAAATTTTGTTTGTCTCATATGTTGCACGTTCCGCATCCATTTGTATATCATTAATTGGACAATATTTCACAAGCTGCGTTTATGCGATTTTACGCGATTCTATCGTGATAGGTCAATTTGTGTCTGCTACAAAAAAAGTCTACTGAAAGACACATGTGTGATGAGTGCAACTCAAAAATTGAAGATCTTACTTGACTTTCCATGGCGAAGAAGATGCCATGGGTCTGAGGTTCATTTCCAGCGAGTTAAGGGACCCTGTGGGCGTGCTTACAATAGATGTATGGTTGCTTGGTGAGGCAGGGTTCTCGAGTTCCACAATTAATTCACTATCGCAGAAAGGACACACTGAGAAAAAAAACAAGCATTTTTGTTCATCACTGTCTCTGAAACACCTCAAAATGCCTAAGTCATGTAATTTTTTTAACGTATTCCTTGGAAATGCACGTGTGTCCCATAGAATCAGTTTCAATTTCCATTTTGCTAAAAAGGGCATTTTGGTGTCCTTTTTTGTTTGTTTTTATGCTAATGTGAATTTCGATATATGAGCAAAAGCGTGATGTCATTTTAGGCAGAAACCTCAATGTTACAGCTTTTTCAGCACCAAAAGTTGCTTGAATTGATTTTTTGCAGTCATACATTTTCTTTTCTTTGGTGATTCCTTGTTGTTTAAGTACATGAAAGTAAGCCAATGAGCAAACGTTTCTAACAAATATTTTCAATGAGCAAATGTGTGGGTTCACAATTTGAACAGAAAACCCCCAAACTATGGAACCCTCTGACAGCTCAGCGAGCATCTTCCAAAACTTCCCATTAAAAAGCTTTGAAAAACTTACCACCATTGCCCTCCCCTTCCGAGTTGTAATTGCCTCGGATGGTACCCTGTTGGGCGGGGAGTTTTCTCTTAGCCTGATGCCCTGCAAACTCTGTGGAGCACTTGAGGCATTGGAACATGGCCTTCTGATGAGTGGTGGCTGCTAGACGGTTCTCCTCCAGAAATGGCCGAAGGGTCTTGCTTAATATCTACCAGATTAAACAAAATGGGGATTTTCTCATGTGAATGGACAGTTGTAAGTACCCCCTCAATAGTTAAAATGATGCAGAGATCCTATACTAAAGGACATTAACCCTAACCCACCTCACTCCTCCAAAATCCTCCTGGCGGTTTTGGAGGATTCTAGAGGATTGAGGATGTATGGTGATTGAAGCACATGAGGATTTTGGAGGATTGAGGATGAATGGTGATTGAAGCACAAGAGGATTTTGGAGGATTGAGGATGAATGCATTTTGAGGCAGGACTGTCTGATGATTTTGAAGGATTTGGCGTTGGTTATCCTTCATTTAAACACGAGCGCAAAGTTTTGGGATGAGGAGGATTTTGGAGGATTGAGGATGAATGCATTTTGAGGCAGGACTGTCTGACAATTTTGAAAAATTTAGGTGGAGTTGCAAAATTTTGGAAAATTTTGGAGGATTTTGGAGGATTGAGGATGGTTGTAAGCAACAAGGGCCTAGGGGGTTAGGGTTAAAGCCCCATTACGCCAAAAATTGTCGTTGCCCTCACCCAACCAAAAAGATGGACAGCCATGATTAGCAAGATCTGCAAGAGTGCAACGCAAGGACCCAAAACAGTCTTCAATTGCGTGGCTTTAATGTCACCTTAGATGTTCATTTTGCTGATGTCTTCAAGAGGTACAACATCAAGTTTTAAGGCAAATTTCTATTACATCTCTACACAGCATGACAACAAACAATTCAGTTCTGCAACTCAACGTTTAATAGTCACAAATTAATTTAAAACTCACTCAACAGCCTAAAACATTTAATAATTTCGGCTATATTTAATACAACTGACCTTTTTTGGCATTGTTCAATTGTCAGAAGAAAGGGTATATAATACATTAAACACACAAAAAAAGAGTTCCCGCTTGATTTTTGTTTCATGTGAGGGCAACACAATTTGTTTTTGTTTCACTTATGTCCAATGTCGAATGTGTTCATTTCATGCAAAGATGCTCGGGTTTGTGCCAAGACGGAATATTACTGGTACAATTAAAGTGAGCACAAGCACTGCGTCGCCCAATGTCTCTATTGAGGAAACCATGGAGTGCCCTTTGCAGTTCTTGCAAAGTAATGTACTCCTTGGGATAAAAACTCTTTATGTTGATAAATAGAAATAAAGGCCACAAACATTGAAAAATGATGCAAAGCTGGGAAAACAGTCATCAGAGAGCACTCAGAGAGAATATGGTTTCAGTCATTTAAAAAAAAAGAATTTCGATTAAAAATTCAGAACAAAGTTCCAAAAATTATCCCCAAAACCAAAAACCATCTGAAAGGACTACGTACCCGAAAACTTTCCTGATCCTCTAGAATGTACTCTCGTTTCTTGCGATCTCTCCTCATGTAATCAAACGTCAGGTTAATGACCGGCAAGAGGTCGTTGACCCCTGCCTCCTCATTCCAGACGGGCTCAATACTCTCCTGCATGCTACATGTAGGTCCACAAAAAAAAATGAAAAATGTATGATTATTCAATACTTTTGTAGAAACTTTACGGATGTAGTATTGTTAAATTGTGTCGTGTTATAATATGGCAGGCACATCTAAACAGTATTGATAAGGCCAAAAAAAAAATATTCGGTCTCTGGTCAGACCAAAGTTCCGGAATTGACGCGGCGACGCGGCTTTTTTTTTTTTTTTTCAAGCTTGGATTGTACAGACAAGGTGGGGTACTATTTTGCTTTTTTGGTGTCCTCATGTACATTGGTGTCCTTCATAATTTGCCTTGGTGCTCTCGATCATTTGCCGTGGTGCAATTTCCCATTCCTTGGTGCTCTTTGGTAAAAAAAATTGAGGAGGTGCGGCAATAGAGGGCGCTGTTGGAGCTACCGCGGAACATTTTGGAAAAAAAAAAGATTGACGCGCATGATTAAAATCGACGCGCGCGCTGACCAGAGACCGACTTTTTTTTTTTTTTGGCCTAGCTACGGATAATTTGTGGGAATGAGGTCCTCTCAACCATTTTGAACATTATAATATAAGTACCTACCCCTTGAGGCATTTGATCTCTAGTCTCTCCGTCACGTGACCGTTCAAGTTTTTCTCCTCCAGGTGGGTCTCTCTGACAGTTAAGAAGAGATGCACAGGGTCGTCCTGGTTGGACTCTTGTACGGTGACTAGGAGAGGACTGCACAGCTCATGCTCTGGGAGTTAGGACGGAGGGTTGGGAGATAATAGGATAACAAATTGAGGATGTGAAAAACTTTCATAATGCTCTCGGAGGATTACTCACTAGGGCCAAGTTCGGGCAAGGACCATTAGTCGACTAGTGGTTGATTTGTGACGTACCTTACGCCTGCGCACTGATAGCAACGTGCGAACGTCTCTAGTCAAATGCTGGTCAAAATGTCATGGCAAAACGTCTGGATCCTGGCTCTCTGCTAGCGTTATGAATGCGCTCGGCTATTGGTTACCAGCGAAGCAACCAACCCCAGTAGGCTGGTTCCAAATAGTCGACTAGCGTAGTCAACCACCGTTGACTAGACAGAGTTCGGGCAAACGTTAGTTAACCATTGGTCAACTATAGTCCTTGCGCGAACTTGGCCTACAATGCTCTTTAACAAGCTGTAGCTTAAACATGACGTACACAATTTAAAAGGAATGATGTGTTTGCTGCCACCAATGTGTCGAGAGTCTCCCATTCCATGCAAATGTGGACATGACTGAAAAATGGAAATTTATGAAATCTTTAAAACTCTAATCATCATAACCTCAAATGTAGTGTCAAATTAAAGGGGACAACAAGGCCTTTCATTTGAGTGAAGTGGTACTGAGATGGAATATGTTTAAGTACATTTTTTGTCCAAACAATTTTTTGGGTAAACTTAAGGATTTTAGGTAGTCACTTTGGCACCATGTTTTTTACATGCAAAATGCAGGTGTTATTGTGAGTGAGAAAGGTTCCTATTTCATGCGAAGATTTTTTTGTTGGCGATTTCTTTTTAGTCACTTAATTTCAAGGGATTTTCTATAAGAAAAATCCACCCTCAATGCTTTCACTTTATAAAATAACAGCACAGAGTTGATGGAATACCCCCTTTAAATGTAACATGAGTAACATGAGTTACCATGGAATGCCCATAACTCTAACGACCTGGTACCTACAGCACCAAGGCCCCAGTGTTCTTTAAAAAAAAAATTAACAAACCCTCCTCTTCAGGTGTCCCTTCTATCCAGGGACTCTCGAAAGCAGCATCCGAATCTGACGCTATCCTCTCCAGAAATATTGATGGCTTGGAATTTTTCTGCTCCAAGAGAACATGTGTCTGCCCTGTGCTCACACGCTTCAGATCAGCCTTCACCTCAGGCAGAAAAACATCAGAAGACGGCACCGCAGAGATCTCTTCCATAATGCCTTGATTGTCGTTTTTGGTATTATCGATATTATCGACATGCCTGCTGCCGTCGGCGCTGGCATGCACTATGATATTGCCGTTAATGGTGCTGTCGATATCGCTTTCGATACCGCTGCTGCATGGACCCAGCGAGTTGTCGCGGTTAGCCTTGGGTTCATCACGCGTTCGTTCTACTATCTTTTCAGTCTCCGATTCGCTGGTGTCTGCTCCTGACTGGCGGTACGGTGCCTGTAACGCCAGCAGCCAGTCGGCACCATGCAGCTGACGCATCTTCTCATGCTCCCGTTTGGTTTTCTCGATGTCTGAATGCCGAAGCACGGACGCTGAAGGGATTAAAAACAATGATGAAACAATGTTTTTTTTAACCTAACCCTGCCAGACGCAACAGGTGTTAAAGTATTTTTTTGTATTCATATAATTGAAAATGTTACCGGTCTTGAGGAGTGATGAAAAATGTCCAGGATGTTATTTTAATCGTATTGGGGACCATTCAGAATGTCAATGTTTAAAATATTCAATCTTTTTTTCGAAATTGTTTTCACCCAACCATCCACCCCAAATTTCGATGTTTAAATGTTGAATGACTATTCAATATATCCTATTCACTGAAGAATAAAGTAATGCTTCAAATGAAACAGAGATTTTGTAGGTCAGTGCTGTCCCAGCTCAGGAGCTTTCAATGGCTTTTCCAGGCTTCCAGCATGCAACTTTGTACTTGAAACAGAAGAGGAAAGTACACAAAACTTCATACAATGTTTTTCAGGTTTCCATAACACTATATTTAAAAAAATGAAAAATAAAATGGTGATTTCGACTTCGTTTTGATTAGCTTTTGCCGTGTCCAAAAGTGTTGTAGATCCGGCGGGATCAAATTCTTGACGAGTACTTTTGTAGCAAAGTTCCCATCATATCCAACCAATTTGGCCATTTTAAAGGGCGTTGCGTGTTCTTTTTATCAATTTGTAGACGCTTTTATGTTGATGTAAATTTCTGTATTTGTGAATGCAGAATGCGTGGTCTTACAAGCTGATTTGTTTTGTTTTTCGGTTACAAGCAATTTTGTGGGGTTCTTTGATAAGTGAGTGGCTGATGGTTACTGTATAATGAGCAAAATGTATACGAGCAAAATGTAGCAACTACTAGAAGGACCCAAATGTTAAATTCAAAGAAATACTAAACTGTCCAATGAAAGCCTCAGACATCAGGAAATACATGTAGACATTGGAAAAGTCCTGTATCTATCCATATTCATTAAAGGGAATATACAACATTTGCAAACATCGAAAAACAAAACTACCAAGTTTTTACGAAATACCTTACTAGGATGTTGGTAAATGACAGTCTAAAGCATCCTGTAAAGTTATGGCACCTGGTGTGAAGTCATTTTCAAGAAAATGGTATTTTTGTATACATTTCCAACGGTGGTTGGTCGTTGGAAAAACCTAACTATTTTTCAACTACTGCTCCAAATTTACAATTTTTTTCAGTCAAAATGTTGTTTGCTATTGGTTACATGTTCATGGACGGGTGCAGGCCAGCTAGACTGGTTCCCTTACCTTACAATTTTCCGGCATCTATAAATTGATCCATTTTATCTTTACTGGAGTCAGGGAACCAGACTACTTGAGCATTTTTGTTTTTCTTGGTTTTTCCAGCATTTTCGAACACAAAACTTCAAACATGTCAGTGTAACAATATTTGATCTAATATACCAACCCCTCAAATAGCTCATTTCTGAAAATTAGAGCAAAAGCCAATGATGCACATTCCCTTTAATACATGGACAGCTTAACCTTCCTAGTCTTCTGCACTTCACAACCCTTCAATTTTTGCAAAACCACACTTCCAATTCCTTTGAGGCAATTTTTTGCGGAGTGTGGATAATGCTTCATATAGTGCAAAACAGTATACAGAGGCAATGAGATATGCACAAATTCTCCCCACTCCCTTCCAGTCAGACTTGATCAGTACACATAGGGAGAATTTTGAAGCCTCAATTTTAGAGCCTCACCTTTGGATTTGGCATCGTCCTTGTGCACCCCTTGGTCGGGGATGGACACCTGTCGGACCTTTGGTGCCCGCTTGCCCTTTGACCTCTTGCCCTTGTCCAGGTCCGTCGATTCGTCAAAGCTGGAGTGATCGTTTAAGAAGGTGGAGCTGGTGTCAAAGGAAGCCTCGGAGGGGACGCGCAAGACGGGCTTGGTCAGGCCGACTCTGGGTATCTGCTGTTGTAGAGAATTCAAATAATGTAATAAGTTGGGAGAAGTTTGCAGATATGCCATGTCAAGTGTCCATCTGTACTCCATGCATGATTGCCAGACAACGTTTTCTGGGTGCTTGTTAGTACACAAATAATGAGTGTTTGTGAGTGCAATGGTAAGAATAATTTCATGAGGTGACAGATGAAATGTTCCATTCCACGAGACGAAGCCGATTGAAATGGAAATGGAATGGAATGTCACCGAATGAAATTATTCTTTCCATTTGTACGAAGATGAAACATTCATTATTTGTTTTATATAACACCTGAATAAATATCCTTGTCATCTGATTCATTGACTTTTAATAGCCAATTTATTTAGGTTAAAAACTGTTTAAAAGTTTGACAAGTTCATCTTAATTATATTAATGCAAACTGTTCAACAGGTTGAGAACAATCATATTCAATTTATCTCGATTTAAAACAGCGCCACCACCAGCAGCAGTGACACCGTACAATGGAAGTTCTATTCACCGTGCAATAGAACTTCCATTGCACTGTGCGCTGCGCGCCACGGGCGCACCGTGCGTTGGTACGAATAATTCCATGACATGTGATCAACGATCCACCAATCAGATTACGGGGATTTATTCAGGTGTTGTATAAAGCTGAATATTGATACTCATAATTACGACACTAGGCCATCAAATAAGCTTCGTCTTAATAAAGTTAGAACATCCCTAGACCTTTCAACCATTAGACACCAGGAACTCCTTCTTTGGGATAAAATTTGATCTTCCTGCCCAAAGACGATGATTAAGAGCAAAATTATTACTTTAATTGCCAAATAAAGTTATTAATAACACACTAACAGTTAAGGATGGTAACTTATTTCATGTAACTTATTAATAACTAATATTTATTTATTTATTTATTATTACATTTTGAAAGTTTATTATGTCATGAATTTAATGTAACAACATCTATTATTTATTATCAATACATGTATCTTCTGTGGTCAATCATGACTTGTATAGGTACATGTATTCTTTGTGAAGGGGGCAGACCCAGTTCAAGCTTCGGCTTACCATCGTTTGGTTAGCTGACCATCGCTTTAAAAAAAAAAGCCTTTTGTGGTAACACTGCCCCAATTCACCAAATTTAGGTAGTCCACATTTTGTTGGCAATCGGTTACAAATCCGTGAATGGGTACAAGCCAGCTAGTATGGTGACCTGACCTGACAATGGTACACTACACACACATACTCACAAAGATATGAAAGATATGAAAGGTATGAAAGTCACATTAATAAACAAAAAATACTACAAATTGTACTTGTCAACATCAAATCAAATTGCACAGGGTAATTTTAGCTTCACAAAAAGTCATCTGCACAAAGCGACAAGAACCGACAAGATTCATCAATTTCATGCATACATGTAATGGATGGCAGTTTACATGCGACAATTAACACACAACTTCTTGGAATACATGTAGTCTCTTGGAAGTTTACAAGACAGTTTTAACCCTAACCGCCCTGAATCCTTCAAAATCCTCTTTGCCAAAGTCGAGCAATTTGGAGGATTGAGGGAGGTTACATGGCAAAAGTGCGTTACTGATTTCGTAGGATGCACTTTGTCAAGGTCTTGGGCCAGACCTTGTGTTGTTTTTGCTCAGCCATGCATAAATACAGGCCTGGATTATGCTTGAAATCCTCTGTACTGCTCCAGGATGTCTCTGGCCAAGTCTCAACATATTAACTGTCACTGTCGCAGGATTTTGCAGGTTTCAGGCAATGGTCAACCCTCCATGGACCACATTCAAGAAATAATGGAGGATTGAGGCTATATGCTATTTTTCCACGAGGCCAATTGGAGGATTTTGCAGTATTTAGGTGACATCCTAGGAAAAAGGCCTAGGGAGTTTGGGTTAATGTCAAAATCATTTTATGTTAAAATCAAGGGAACAGGACTGTCATACAGGGTAGGAGTGAGACAGTGAATGCAAAGTGCCATCAAAGAAATACTGTCATCACACCAGAAATTGAGTACTTCCACAGTTCATGACTTTCCCAGCATGTTTTATGAGGTTTTACATGGGATCTTTGACTGAACAGTGAATCTATATCCGGGGCCCAATTTCACGGCACTGCTAAGCACAAAAATGTGCTTAGCACATAAGTCTGGCTTATAAAAGGAGGTTACCAGCCAAAACTCCATGTGATTAGGAGTTTTGGCTGGTAACCTGCTTTTATAAGCCAGACGTTTTTTATACTAAGCAAATTTTTGAGCTAACAGCACAGTGAAATTGGCCCTAGATTAGTCTATGAAGATCAGCAACTAGACAGCTTCAACTGGCAATTTGGGAATCATACAATAATGGTGAGTTTTTGCAAGCAAACATACGTGGTTAGTGCGCTAGATAGGTCATCTTGCTATCCACTACACTTGCTAAGCGTCAGTGTAAAACAAATAGTAACTAGTTGATTTTTGCCCTCTTTGGTGTTAATTTATTTAGTCTTTACTCGTGTATGATTTATTTAAAAGAGGATGAATTTCTGAATGAATATGTGCCATTTCCCCCCCCCCCCCCCCCCCCCCGTTATTCAAAGCAGGATTTGCCGCAGATATGATGCATACACGTACACAATGGTCAATAATGGTTACAGATAATATATGTACAGGTATTAGTTCGGAAACCAAACCTGAAAAATGAAAAGTGCAAGACAGCTCTACTTCATTTCAGACAAAACCAAGGTGAAAATGTTCCTAAAAATTCTCAGTGTGCCTACATGTGAGTGAGTACTCTATAGAGTACCGAAGTGAATACATCACGTGCACAATGTGTGTGTAAAGACATTAGCACGTGATTCAGCCAGTGAACCAACACGCACGCATACTCCATTCGTTTGCACTACACTTTCTGGTTCTAAATGTCACACTTCGGTACTCTATTGTTAAATGTCCCCAAGACAGAGGAACCTGTCATTACCTGGTTTTCTGTGCTAGTAAGAGGAACACCATCTAGATACATCTGGGAGAACAGACATGGACAAAACAGACCAACACTGAAAAATTACGATTCAAACTGCTACAGTGGAAATTTGCAATATAAGAAGAGCATTATTCCCATTCAGATACTATGAAAGTCAACCACCTATGATTGATACTCAGCAATCTATACCACCTAAGAAGTCACATCATCGATAACTGTGCAATTCAGGAAATTATGAGCAATTGTGAAAAAGATTTGTGTCAAGTTTTTGTGGAAACAGCTGCTTGCCCATGAACACATTTACTCTTTTTTTCAATTGTAGGCCAAACGAGTGCATGCATTGGTCAATTCTGCCACCACAGCAAAGCAACAGCCATCAAGCCATGCTCTTGTTAATCAATTCGCGTGGGAGGACGTGATAGACGCACTGACTGTTTTTATCCACAGGCACGGCTGGCCTCCAGGAGATGTCTAAACATGCTAATCCCTGTTGCCTTTTGTACACGCATACAAAGTCCGTGAAGTCTGTGGAGGCGGACCGTGCGTTGATCTTGAATTGGCCGCTGTTCACGGCCTGTTGTTGCACAATTTACGCTCCAGTGCACACCCAGTAGAATTGAAACATACAAAATTTTGGCACAAAATATCATACAAATACTGTTGAAATGACTTGCGAATCAGTATTTGTGGCGTTTGGCTGTTTGTCAGAAGTTGGCTATAAAATGTTGCCTTTTGCGAAAATCGAAATTTCCGGCAAAAATTCTCCCGGCGCAAAGTGGTTAATATTGGAACAAAGTGCTTATGCAAACATCACTCATAGTTCAGCAAGACACAAGACTAAGTACTGCCTAACTTTTTATTAACAAAATTAGGCATGTTCTTGAATAAAGATTATTTGAAAAGTTCACAGCAAATCAAGCCAGTCTATTTGTCAGCCCAGCTACCAAGGCAAAGCAACAGCCCATCCAAGTAAGTATGCATTCTTACAATCCAATATTTTTGCCAACTGGCCATACCTTGCGTGTGGCGCCCTCTGGAGGGAACTTGCTGATAACTACTGACCTGTAAGCAGGGTCAAAGGCCAACGGGTTGCCAAGGAGATTGACCTGTGACAAAGACACACAATGCCCGAGAATTAAACTTCACTTTAAATCACACAAGAACATGACTAAATGCTTTTGCTATTTAAACGCATACAGGATCATTTGCTTTCATACGTTTTCTAATAATATAACACCATTCAAAGTCCAACTCAAAAAAGAATGGGCAAACCTAATTTGTTGAAATTTCATCTCAGTGCACATTGCTCTTTTCGAGGAAACAGTGAGGACAAAAAATGATGACCAATCTTTTGATCACGAAGCACCATTTTGTCCACAGCACTCTTTATTTTCAAAGATCAGTCAATTGAATTGATTATTTTGTTCGAAATCACCTACATTTCTCAATTTATTCTAAGTGACAGCAAGCCAGACGGAATAATTTCACAGGGTGTTTAATACCAGTACGATATTTAATCCAAGTAAGCTTTTTAATAATAGTGTGACAGGTTACTTTTGGGATGAATACCAATGATCCTATAGGCCCTGTGCACAAGTACCCCCTCAACGACACGAAAGAGAGAGTTGAAGGAGACCATCAGTAGAGGCATTCAAACGCATTGCCGACGAGGCCTGATGCTCACGCAAAGATGCTATGGCTTTGTGCACATTCACAGGGTTCTCCAACAAAGTAACAAAAAACGCCCTCCCTTGTAGGCCCACGGAGCCCATATGCCTCTAAATGAACATGAAAAATCTCAGCCAACCTCTCTCAGATTGTGCAGGTATCCTAGGGTTCTCAGTTCTGCTCCGTCGTACAGGCAGTTGTTGCACAGGTCTAGTTCCAAGAGGCTGCTGTAGTCCTCTAAGCCAGACAGGTTATCTAGACTGTTGTTTCTGAGGACCAGGGTCTGAAGGTTTGTCCTGGCCACCAGACCGAGGGTAGGCACTCGCTCCAGGTGGTTGTAGCCCAGATTCAAATGGGCCAACTCGCTCAGGCACTAGATCAGGACAATACACCCATATGTACGTTACATACCTAGTGTGGACATTCTTTTGTTTTCATGTAGTTAAGAAAAACCTGTGAAAAAAATTCATTTTACTCACACTGTGAAAACTCTTTCAACCCAAATTTTTTTCTATGATTCCCTTGAGCGTTTCTCCTCATTTTGCCACAGATAAACCTAACCCCAAAATGACTCTAAACCTGTTTTCCAGAGAGGGGGAAACATTGTGTGGAAGTGGGCAAGTCCACACAACGTCGCTGCTATCTGGTTTATGTGGACCTTTTTTGTTCGGAAGTCCACACAGTGAATGTAAGCTTGTACACAGAAACTCGCTCAGGCACCAGATCAAGACAAGACACACAAACTAGAAAATTGACTGAACTACAGCTGGCAATTAAACACAGGACAGTGGTGCTTGTGTTCTTAGGCAAGACACTTTACTACAATCGCCTCTCTCCACCCAGGAGTTTAAATGGGTGCCTGTGAGGATAGGTACCAGATTTACACTGATCTCAAGCTCCTGCAGAAAACTGGTCCCATGACCTGATATGATAAACAGGGGTAATAAAAGTTCTTTGAAACTTTGGTTAAAAGCACTATATAAGCACCACATTGCTGCACATGGGCACATGTACAAATGCAGGCAACAGGAGCGTAATTTGAACTTGGTCACACTTTGACAAGTATTGAGACTCACAGCTGCATCTTTTAACTTAACACCTGTCATTTCCCTAGTTTTCAAGGTTTATGTAAGAAATACACACTTTTCTTTTTGAAAGTAATGAAAAGCTGTTTACTGGCGAGATAATTTTGATAGCTGGATTCTGTAGAAATCAATCCAACAGCTGGTTTGTGGCTGATATGAAACTGTAAAAAAAATATATAGCAATAAAAGCTGTGATTGTCCAAGATGTTTAAAATATTCAAAACATTGAGCAGCTGTGGAAAATGGTTTCTGAAACAAATATTTCAAAGGTTTGCCAACATGTTTTATTCCAGCGAACCCAAAAGCTTTGGATGTTGAATGTAAAAATGTTGAGTGTTGTTTTCTTTTTACCTCCAGATAATCTCTGGTGTGTTTGAGCTCGTTGTGGCTGAGGTCCAACATCTTCAGAACAGGGAGCAATCTCTGTACAATAGGGAGTGGAATATCGCCAGTTCAATTATTAAACTTCATTTGAGTTTTTCTTTTTTGTTTTAACTAAGTACAACTATTTGAAACTTTATGAAAGACTAGTATCTCTGAACCACAAGAAACAGCACAGACAAAACGTAAAACCATGCACACAGCTGCAACGTATTCTCAAGGCCAATTCATACCTCACTTTGTTCATACTTTGCAAATGTAAAGCAGAGTTCACGTCAAGAAACACTGCCAAAGTTAAAGAGGGTTGCAGTATGTGTTTTGCATTTATGTGAAGAATAACTGGCCGTTGAGCAACTTTATGAAGTGAATGTGATATGTATACAATTTGCTTGGTTTTCTATAAAATTTAAATTTCAATGAAATTCACGAACCACAAAGCCAGAAAGCCCTCTAGGAGGAGGCTACAAAAACTAATTCAACATAAAAAGGAATCCGTGATATCGTTTCCCTTGAGCTGCACACAAAAATGTTAAGAAATAGATATTACCAGTGAATTGTCGAGATGGTCAATGTAGTTATAGCTGAGATTGAGGGTATGAAGGGATGACCACGGGGCTTCTGATACCATGTCACCTCCACACGAACACAGGAGTAACTATCATAGAAAGAAAAATGGTTCCATAGTAACCATGTGACAAATCAGTGTGAATACATGCAAGTAACAGAGGGGAAAAACAAATCCTTTATAAGATGGAATTTGCGTTCGGGGTGATGTCAATTCAACATTGCTTTTCGCCCTTCAGCGACGTATTTTTATAAACACTGTATACTCAGTGTTGCCCCAAGTGATTGTGAGAAAAAAATCACTCGGGTGGGACTCGAACCCACGACTTCGAGCTTACTAGCAAAGACGTCTTAGTTTGATTGCGGTGCCCGCTGCTATATCTGATGCTATCTGTCCATTTATAAGCGTGTCAATCTGCTGTAACTTACCGAGAGTTCACCGCACACACTATCTACGCCGCCATGTTTGTTTGCATTATTGTTGATGTACCCTAACGTGGCGCGGCCCCTAACGTGGCGCACTTGGATTTTTCGCTTGTAGCGCCTAGCTAGAGCAAAAGTTTTAACTGAAATTTCACAGAAAGTGAAATTTCATCAAGTTCTAAACACTCCCGTTCACAAATCACAAGTTTATCTACCCGTTACAAAGTTAAAAGAAAAATTTATTTCGGCGTGATTTTCCGATTTTATTTCGAAGTGCACAGTGAACCCTTTGAAAATGTCCCCCAAAATTTGAAAATCATTTTCTGACAAACTTCTAGTTGGGTTTGAAAGTACACGTAATAACGGTTTATCAGAATCTATCACATTTACAGAAATTCTTTAATGTTATTTTCCGAGATTTATTCAAGTGCGCCACGTTGGGGAACACTCAGCCGATTTGTGCCCAATTTCCGGACGCCACCATTTTTGAATTTCGGATTAAATTTCATGACACCAAAATTATTCGCAGAGGTTAAATAGCAAGCATTAACAGGGTAAAAGTACCAGTATTTCACTGAACGAATTTAAAGTTTGTCAACAAAGAAGTTTGGCAACACTGATGTGGAAAGTCGGGGTAAACGACTAAGTGCTCCACATTAGGGAACACCACTATACATGCCTTGCTTTGATTTTCAAGATGGCGTACCCTGATGAAGGTCTATTGACAGCACGTGAGTGATCAAACACAGTCAGTGTTGTATTAGTATCATACCTGCCTTGAGAGATTAGCCAAGTCTACATAATTACTGGACTACGGCTAGCAATTACACATGTCCCTATGGAAGAAGCTGTAGCCACTTCCCCTAGATGCTAGTGTTACTGCCTCCCATATCCATTTAATTGGACGCAACCTTACATCATCTTACCTGAAGTGACTGCACACAGCGTGAACAGATGAGGACCTGTAGCTGATGGCGTAGGCATCCTAGCCCATTCAGCATATGCACGGGGACCTTCTTAATCTCCAGCATTGTCAGGCCAATGAATCTAGAGATCTCTACTTGGCCTTGCAAAGTACTGGTAGGATGGATCAGCTGTACAGTGATACAAAAAAATCAACAGAAAATATTTCAATAATAAAGCGAAGTAAATCTTTTTATTTATTGATTTTTTTTTGGGGGGGGTGTTCATGATTATTTTTAGGTGGCTGTCTCTGCAACAAAGCTACTGATCGGCATCTTTGAAATTGGGTCCATGATCATTTTGGGTGGGTCCCCCCCCCCCCCCAACCTCAAAGGAAAGGTGCTCATTATTAGTTTTGTTTTGGAGGCTGCTCGTGCTTTCTTTCTTTTAACAACTTTTTAAAAGAGGAAAAGATGACAAATCTGGCAAAACTCTCTAACAGTGCTTTTTATGGAAAGCCTACATGTAGGCTAGCAAGTACCCATTAAAAAAAAATCTCACAGCAAAAGATAAAGACCATCTTGGAAAATGTGTCAGCAGTCTTTGTGGATACCCCAATCCAACAGGAAAAGAAGAAACAGAACTACTTGCATTCTCCTTTTTATTTACATTTTTTAAAAGTTATTAATCTGGCTGATAAAAGTTATGAAGTGTACATAACAGTGTGAATGGCTTTACCATGTTGTCAACACGGTAAAATATTTCAGGTGAAAAGGCAAAATTGACACAAAGCAGGATTCAACTTTCTGAATTCTGGAAGTCAGTACAGGTGCTCTACCAGCCCTTTGTTGGCAGTCTCCCAATTTGTCTTGTAGGTTTCTTTGATTATTTTCCAACTTAAACATTAATAACCCTTCAGAATATTTAGGCTAGAAACCCTGCTCCACGCTATGTAACACCACTTGCAAAAATGAGAAGCCCGCCCACTGTAGCAAGATCCACAAGGTCAAACATTTCAAGGCTGAACTGCTTCATCAGAGTCTGTGTTCACCAACTGCAGCAGGATACAACTGTGGCATTGTTCAATGGGACTAGCTCTCATCATCTCTGAATTGGCAGTGTAATGCACTGACTTTGATGGCCCAATGCAACAAGGTCCTACAGACTTTCATATCTACAGTAAACTCTGGCTAAACCGACATCATACAACTCGTCAAATCGGCCGTCTGACTAAAGTCCCGATTGTCCATAATGCAATTCCATTGAATTTTTTATTTAAAAAGTCGGCTTTTATAAGTCGCCATATCGCTCAAGTTGTCGTGTAACTCTCGGTCCCCTTTCCATAAAAAGCATTACAAAATCCTTTGTGTAAGTCGGCATTCAACTAATCATGCATTGGCATCGACTTCCTGTACTGCGGTTGGCAAAGTGTCGAGTGAAAAGTGGTTTCGCATGGCCCGTGATCACTGCATGCATCGGTGTCGAAAAAGGGTGTCCTACTGCATACATCGCATATGCATAGTGAGCATATCAATACCAGTACCCCCTCTAGGCTGTACGTATGCACTGTCCATTTTGGGGGTCGTCTTATTAAATGACTACTGCTACAATCAATGCGTGCGTGGTATAAACCGGACCACGCACGCATTTAATTCGTTACTGTGCACGTACATATGTATCGTGGTCTCCATTATCAATACCCGAAACGTGATGATACAATTCGAGGATTAATTTGCTGGATTCAACTCAAGCATTAAGGAGATAATCAAGGGTAAATCGAAGCCAATTAGTGCAATGAATCATGTGTGCAAAAGACCATTCATGTAAGTCGGCAAAATGACGACTTACAGCAATCGTCACAAATTCTCGGGTCCCGAGAGTGCCGGTTTAGCCGGAGTTTACTGTTTTGCACTGTGCTGCATCTGGCAGGATTAAGATTACATAAAAATCTCGGCTGAGACACTGATCCTTATACCCCCGTGCAATGTAACAGACAAACCACATGGATTAACTACGCACCTTAAGGGCAGGCGTCTTCTTCACATAGTTCAGGAGGAACATGACCGTCTGTGGCCATCTCCTGTCATGTGATTGGTGCTGGTCATGTGATCCACTGTCCACCGATGATTCCTCCTCGCACTGTCTGAAGCTGCGGTTAAGGTGGGCCAAGGTGTGTGAGGTCAGGGCAAGGTTGCAGCGGCCATTCAAGATCTTACCACCTGAAAACAAACAAAAATTGAGAATTATGAAATGATTTAAGTAAAATGGGATTCTATTAAAATCAGCATCATGTGGCTGATATGAAAAATATAACAGTGGTTGAGGGTGGATGGTCGATATAAGCTCCCAGTGATGAGAAAACAATCCCCAAAATGAGTGTCAATAAAACAAGTAAATACTCACTGTTTTTCTGTAAGAAAACTGTCAGTTCCTGAAGGCTATTTGTTGCCTGCATGATTGCCTTTCTGGAAGTACTGGAAACAAGAGCTGGTCTTTTACTGTGATCGGATTTCAATGCAGCGCATCCATGATGTGACCTGTAATAATTTGTGTTCAAGCAAATGTCATTGAGAATTTTTTGTGATTTTTTGTTTTAATTCTTGAATGTATTTTGAAACCTTGCAAAGCACATGCATGCAAAAGCAATGCTGTCACATAACGCACATTTTGCAATGTTGTGAAATATCTGTGATGTAGTACGGAAAATGCACTGCCATGACAAAAACCCTGCGATTACACAAAAGGAATTTGCAATACTGTAACATAAATTTTCAGCGTCTCAAAAACAATTTGCTTCATTGATTCACTTCAGGGTCATCATACTCGCAACTTTTTGAACAGAACACAATGACAATAAGAAGTGGAGTGAGTGCCTGCACTTGGACTTTTGACTCATTCTTACTGGTGCCATTGTTAGAGAAATCAAGATGACAATTATACACATCCATGCTATCGTTGGTTGTACCCTGCATGCATCATTGAGCAAGTTTAATCAGGAACTACAGGGTGTATAAAAAAAAAGGAAACCCAGATGCGTTTATGTTAATTATAAAAAATCTAACAAATATTTTCAAATAAGTTAAAAATCATGTGAAACACCAATGTGTCTTCTTTCCAAAGATACCATGATTGTGTGTCTGTGGCCACGGATGACTGAGCATTCGTTGTTATTCTGTCAAAGTTAAAAACCTGCACTGGGCCAAGTTTGTGCAAAAGGGTAACTGGTATTCTGGGCATGTGGGAGGCTTAAAGAAAGAAGATGTCCTTTTCTTTAAAACAATTTATTCAATTTTGACAGTTATTTAACCACTCTCATTGTTGCAGTTAACCCCTCCTGGCCCAGTGCCTTCAACTTGGCCACCACCTCTTTCCACACAAAGCTCTGCACAAAGTCTACATGTAGTCCATCTCAACCTTTGCATAACAAACCAGCCAGCAATCTTAGCCAGGTAAAACTTGGCCCAGGGCAGATTTTGACCCTTGACCAAATAACAACGAATGCTCAGTCCCCTGTGGCGACAGACACAAAATCAAGGTATCATTGGAAAGAGGACAAATTGGCTTTTCAAATTATCTTTAACTTATTTGAAAATATTTATTAGATTTTTTATAATTTACATTTACATCTGGGTTTCCTTTTTTATTGTTGATACACCCTGCATAGTTTAAAACGATAGTTTGACTAAAATTAATTCAAACCCCTATTAGTCAACAATGGTTGGACTAGGCTGCTTAATTTTCTACTAGCCATGACGTTGGTTGCATTGCTGGTTACAATGCACAATGATGCACAGCAAGGAACCAGAACCAAGAAGTTTTGTGATGATGTTTTGACCGGCTTTTGACTGAAGACATTTGCATGTTGAGTGTACACTGTGCAGGTGAAGGTTAGATCACAAAATCAACTACTAATATAGAACTAGTCAACCTAGCCCCATAAATGTGGCTCAAATACTGGACTTCCTCCATATTGTGAGCCACACGGCAGGGATAGCTACGTGTGGGGAAAAGTTGTGTTTCAGAAAACTGAAATCAGGACTGTTTGCTTTCACTTGATATTCACCATGGCAGATACTTACCCAGTTAATAACAAGGAAAAATTTAATTCTGTATCTCTAAATGTCTAGTTATCCTGCCATTATCAGGCGAAATTTGCAGAGATTTTGTTCAAAAATTACCACGTATTTTTCTCAAGGTCAGGTGTCATGAACTATTTCCTGGTATTAGCCAGGTAAGTAGGTATCTTCCATAGCGAGTATCATGTGAAAAAACAGTCCCGATTTGTACTAGTCAACCAATTGTCACTGAATGACATCAAACTTGCACATTATGAAACAAAGTGTTTAAATAGCTGTGAACCGTTCCCGCATTTTTTTTCTTCAGTATAGTGCCCTCATGCACATGTATACAAATAGGCCCACACCATATAAGATATTAAATAACCATCTCATACTGAGTGAACCCATGGCCTAGTGGATAGTGTGCCTGCCTTGCAAGCACGTCGCTTGAGTTCGACTCCAAGTCTTGCCCCTTTTTTAAACTATATTTTTTTGTGTCCCAAAAAGTATAAAGAGTTATCTTCTTTGATTGTTTTAAATCAAATCCCACATTTAATTGCAGATTATGTCATTTTCTTTTTCTGATTCATCGCTCTGGAGGGGTGTCGGACGCTTCGCCCCATTTCCACGTCGCCCCATGTCACTTCGCCCCTAACCACTTCGCCCCATCCCCACTTCGCCCCATCCGCACTTCGCCCCATCCGCACTTCGCCCCATCCCCGCTTCGCCCCATCCCCGCTTCGCCCCATCCCCACTTCGCCCCATCCCCACTTCGCCCCATGTAGATTGGTTCCTCCAAGAGAGAAATTAGGATGTCAAAGGTATTGTCGTTCTCAGATAAGTGGGAGACGGGTTGGTATAGCCGGGTTGGGAACTATAGAACTATGATTCATAATGTAATCTTTTCCTTTACTTTGCAGCCGCTGTTGTCATTGGTTGATGACTAATAAACACTACACGAACCATCAACTAAAGAGTTATACTTATTGATGACAACAGCAACAATCTAGACTCTCTGACACGCTCTACCCCTCCCAATGGCTCACGTCAACTGCTCGGCTCCTGACTGTGAGGCATCCTGGCCTAGCAACACACCCCCAGAGGTGCTGCTCGCCTTGATCAACCTACACGCCCGCACCGCCCACCCAACCGTTCCTGCCCCTGCACCTACTCCCGCCTCATGCGCCGCCAAAGTGGAGAAGGTCAGGCGACCTACGGTCATGGCTGCCGGCACGAGTGAAGAATGGTCCTACTTCGAGCTACGATGGTCCGAATACAAAGAAGCCACGCATCTCACAGGAACCGATATAGTCTACCAACTGCTTGAGTGCTGCGACGACCGACTCAGGAAAGACCTGACCAGAACATTTGGTGCCCTGACGTCGCAGGATGAACCGACCATCCTCAAAAACATCAAGAGCTTGGCAGTTCGCAGTGTGCAGCTCCAGCAAATGCGACAGGACCGCGACGAACCAGTGAGGGCCTTTGCCGCCCGCCTTCGTGGCCAGGCTAGCGTCTGTAACTACAAGAAGGACTGTACGTGCTCTCTAGTCGTTGACTTCAGTGACATCATGGTCAGGGACACCCTCATCCGTGGACTAGAGGATGAGGAGATCCGCCTGGATGTCCTCGGACAATCCAAACAGGACATGCATTTGGACCAAGTGCTTCAATTTGTCAAAGCGAAAGAGAGTGGCAAACGCTCTGCCGGCCGCCTCCTCGAGGATGGTGCCACTGCCACTACGACTGCTGCAGCTGCCAGCTCCTACAAACGAAGGGAGAGATCCAAGCTACAGCCCCGCGACATTAAACCTCAGGTGTGTGACTACTGTGGCAAGGCGGGCCATGAACGTAACAAACAGGAGCGCGTGAGGAAGTGCCCCGCGTACAATCACACATGCGCGAAGTGTGGCATACTCCACCACCACGAGAGTGTGTGCCGCCAATCCCAGCGGAGACAGCAGCCAGCCACGCCCAAGGCACAGGAGTCACCTCACAATGCCACCGCAGTCTTCGAAACCCTGTGCTCTGTCGACGACGCCCCACCCATGGACGCGAATGCAATCACTCTAGAGCACCACATCTACAATCAGTTCTGCGACGCATGGGAGAGGCGAGGATCTGACCCCCAACCCATGGTGGACGTCTCTCTCAAAGCAACTCCTGAGGATGCTCGTGACCTCGGCCTCCCTACCCCCCTGCTCAGCACCACCTCCTCAGCCATCTACCCTGCTATGGCTGACACTGGCTGCCAGTCCTGCCTGGCTGGCACGAAACTCCTATCCAAACTGGGGCTTGAAAGGAAACACCTCATCCCTGTCACAATGAAAATGAATGCTGCCAACAACTGCCGCATCGACATAGCAGGTGCCCTGGTCCTCCGCATCTCTGGCACCTCCCAATCTGGAGAGAAACTCGAGACCCGGCAGATAGTGTACTTCACCGACTCATCCGACCGGCTGTTCTTGTCTAAGCAAGCCTGCGTCGCCCTGGGCATGATCTCTACCAGGTTCCCCACCATTGGCGAGGCAATCAGGCCCGACAGTGCCAGCGTCGCATCTTCTGCCACCTCCCCGACGCCCACACCAGCAGCCTGCCTCACGCCAACATGCGAGTGCCCACGACGCCAGATGCCACCGTCTCCCCCAGCAGACCTCCCATTCCCAGCCACTGAGGAGAACCGGGAGAAGCTTGAGACATGGCTGCTGGAATACTACAAGTCGAGCACCTTCAATGTATGTGAGCACCAACTACTCCCCATGATGGCTGGCCCCCCACTGCGACTCATGGTGGACCCTGACGCTCGGCCTGTCGCCTGTCACACACCTATCCCTGTCCCTGTCCACTGGCAGGACAATGTAAAGGCAGGCCTTGACCGCGACGTCCGCCTCGGCGTCATCGAGCCAGTCCCAGTCGGTACACCTGTCATATGGTGCCACAAGATGGTGATCTGCCCCAAGAAGTCAGGCCAGCCCAGACGGACGGTTGACCTCCAGTCACTCAATCGTCACGCTGTTCGTGAGACCCACCACACACAATCACCATTCCACCAAGCACGTGCAGTCCCTCCCCAGACTCGCAAGACTGTGTTCGATGCATGGAACGGCTATCACAGCATTGCCCTAGCTGAGGAGGACCGCCACCTCACCACATTCATCACACCTTGGGGCCGCTACCGATACTGTGTCGCCCCACAGGGGTACATCGCCTCCGGTGATGGCTACAGCCGCCGCTTTGATGAGATTGTGTCTGACATCCCGAAAAAGACCAAGTGCGTGGATGATACCCTGGTATGGTCTGACTCCATCGAGGAGGCCTTCTTCCAGGCAGTTGAGTGGCTCGACACTTGTGGCAGACATGGCGTCACCTTGAACCCCAAAAAGTTCGCCTTCGCCAAGATGACTGTCAAGTTTGCTGGCTTTGAGATCACCCCGACCTCTGTACGCCCCTGCCCTGAGTACCAGAATTTCCCAACGCCCCGTAATATCACAGACGTGCGCAGCTGGTTCGGGCTTATCAACCAGGTCTCCTATGCCTTCGCCATGACTGACCGCATGCTGCCCTTCCGCAAACTCCTCAAACCTGGTACCCCCTTCTCGTGGACCGATGAGCTGGACTGCCTATTCGAGGAATCAAAGGCCCTCATCGTCAGCGAAATCCACAAAGGGGTGGAGATATTCGACAAGACCAAGCCGACTTGCCTTGCAACTGACTGGAGCAAAGATGGTCTGGGATTTTGGCTGCTCCAGAAGCACTGCGACTGCCCCTCCTCAAAACCCTTCTGCTGCAAGACTGGTTGGAGGGTGACTCTGGTTGGGAGCCGCTTCACTTCAGGTGCCGAGTCCCGCTACGCCCCAGTGGAGGGGGAGGCCCTTGCTGTCATCGATGCACTTGACAAGGCCCGCCACTTTGTCCTTGGCTGCTCTGACCTCATAGTGGCGGTGGATCACAAGCCCCTCCTGAAGGTGTTCGGTGACCGCTCACTTGAGGACATCCCAAACCCTCGCCTCCGCAACCTCAAGGAGAAGTCCTTGCGCTACCACTTCCGCATCGTCCACATACCTGGTGCACGCCACGCTGCAGCTGATGGGGTATCCCGCCACCCCGTGGGTAAAGGCGCACCGCTACAGCTCCCTGATGATGTCGCACCTGTGTACTATGACTCAAGCGAACCAACGACCACTGTGCTGCCACATGACTTCCTCACTGCTGTCCGCACCAGTGGCCCAGACCCTGTCGAAGTATGCAGTCAGTCTGCCACCACAGCTGCTAAGATGATCAAATCAGTCACATGGAATGATGTCCGCCTCGCCACATCCAGTGATCCAAACATGTGCAGACTGATTGAGATGATACAAGGGGGCTTCCCCACTCTCCCTGGTGACCTCCCCCGTGAGCTCCGGCCATACCACCAATTCCGTGAGAATCTGTCAGAGTTTGATGGCGTATGCCTTTACAATGACCGTGTCATCATTCCCTCGTCCCTCCGTGCCCGGGTCCTTGAAGCACTACACTCGGCCCACCAGAGCATCACCATGATGTGCGCACGAGCTCAGTCCTCATTCTTCTGGCCAGGTATGACCCCCGCCATCACCGATACACGGGCACGCTGCTCTCCCTGCAACCGTATGGCGCCATCACAGCCAGGCGCACCGCCAACGCCTCCCGTCCAGCCCGATTATCCATTCCAATGCATTGCCGCTGACTACTTCACCTACCGCGGCTGTCACTACCTGGTGGTGGTGGATAGGTACAGCAACTGGCCAATCGTCGAACAGGCAGCCAACGGCGCCAATGGACTCATTACTGCATTGCGCCGCACCTTCGTGACCTATGGAATCAGCGATGAACTGTCCTCAGACGGTGGCCCAGAGTTCACCGCAGGGTCCACCCGCGCTTTCCTCCGCAACTGGGGCGTGTGTCACCGCATCTCATCCGTCGCCTTCCCCCACAGCAACTGCCGTGCTGAAGTGGGCGTCAAGACTGTGAAGCGCCTCATCACTGACAATACTGACGCTGAAGGCACACTTAACACTGATGAATTTCAGCGTGCCATGCTCCAGTACCGCAACACGCCCGACCATGACACACACCTCTCCCCTGCTATGTGCGTCTTCGGGCGTCCCATCCGTGACTTCATACCCATCCACCCTGGGAAGTACAACCCACACAGCACATGGCGGGAGACACTCACATCCCGCGAGGAGGCACTGCGCAACCGGCACATGCGCGCTGCAGAGCGTCTCTCAGAGCACACCCGTCCCCTCACGCCACTGATTGTCAGCGACTGCGTGCGTATCCAAAACCAGACCGGACCGCACCCGACCAAGTGGGACAAGACCGGGGTTGTGGTGGAGGTGAGGCAATTCGACCAGTATGTCGTGAGGGTTGATGGATCTGGTCGAGTCACCCTACGCAACAGGCGATTCTTGCGGAAGTACTTGCCTGTCGTTCCACGTGCGCCCCTCCTAATGGCACCCGGCCCAACACCTTTGCTGCCGGGGTCGCATGCAGCTAGCCAGCACCCGAAAGCAACCCCTCTGGTGCAGGCCAACAACCGGTTACCACAGGACGCCTCAGCCACACCACCTGCGATGCTTCCAGCCGTCTCCCAGCCAACCCGCACCAACCATCCTCCAACCCCGGATGGCTTGGAACCGACTCCCACCTCACCTGTGACACCCACCGTGGCCACCACGCGTCCACCCAATAGCCAGTCCCACCCAGGCTCCGTTCCCCGTGCACTCCGCGGCCTCCTGCCACACAATACTCCTGGTCTGAAGGAACACCTGGCCCCGACCGTGGATCTGCCACCCCTGGACCGCTCCTTGACTGCCCCTCGCCGATCCACTCGCTTGTCACGACCGCCGGCCAGGCTTAGGGATGAACTATAGGACACCCATATACTCTGGACTTTTTTTTTTCTTCTTCTTTTTTTTTATATAGCCAAAGTTACAGCTACAGTTTACTTCCTATAACCTATGCTTATTCTTGTTTCGATCTTTGCTTATTGTTCATGTTCACGCCTTTGCAATCTGTGCATTTCTTTAGGTTACTTAGTTATGTCTGTTACATTTGGAATCTTTTCTTCCTAGAATTGTTAGCCTTTGTTATTCCCAAAGACTTGGGGGGCATATAGAACTATGATTCATAATGTAATCTTTTCCTTTACTTTGCAGCCGCTGTTGTCATTGGTTGATGACTAATAAACACTACACGAACCATCAACTAAAGAGTTATACTTATTGAGGAACAAAGTTGGATCTTTTACTTCAAGCTTTTTTTCTCGGTAGGGGAGAGTGATAGCTTGAGAGGTTGGTTATGAATTGTTTATTTGGTCAATGTTGGTGGGCTAATTCTTTCCGTTGGTTAGCAATTAGTGAATCTGTTGGAATTGTTTTGAAGCCAATAAAATAGATGAGGATTTTTTTTTTTACATGTAACAGCTGGGGCGAAGTGGGGATGGGGCGAAGTGGGGATGGGGCGAAGTGGGAATGGGGCGAAGTGGGAATGGGGCGAAGTGGGGATGGGGCGATGTGGGGATGGGGCGAAGTGGGGATGGGGCGAAGTGGTTAGGGGCGAAGTGACATGGGGCGACGTGGAAATGGGGCGAAGTGTCCGACATTCCTCTGGAGGATTCTTTTTAAATGTAAAAAAAGTCTGTAATTGCATTAGGTCTGATTCCCGTCTTGTGAATATGAAATCACAACAGCTATGTAAGTGCGGAACCAGACAAAGATTCGTCACAATAAAAAATTCTAAGTCTTTAAAAACAGCCACTGCGCATGTTCAGTGCTGTTTCGGTACAATACCAAAAAACAATCACGGACCGATTCAGAGTAAAATATCCACTGCCAGCATTTTGAAAGGATGTTTGCAAGTAAAATCAGTAAATTAGGAATGGTAACAATGCTTATAAATAAATCCCCGTCATCTGCTGGTGGGTCGTTGCGTTGATCACGTGTCATTGAATTATTCGTCTCAACGTACAGCGTGGCCGCACAGCAAATATAGAAATTCCAATCCACAGTAAATGGAAGTTCCATTGCACAGAGACACTTTTGGCGGCTCTGAGTTTGACCAATCAGATGACGAGGATTTATTATTCTGGTGTTGTAAAAAAAACAAATAGGCTAACTAAAGGCCTAAAGAATGTTTCACATTCGTGGAATGGAAAGAATCATTACATTCAGTGACCTCATGAAATTATTCTTACCACTGGGCAGCGGCGGCGTTGGCACTGCACTCACAAACATTGTTATCTAAATTCAGTGACAATCATGACAATGACAGTGAAGTGTACAAAAGGTCTGCTTAAAGGGAATATACAACATTTGTAAACATCGAAAAATAAAACCACCAAGTTTTTACGAAATACCTTACTAGGATGTTGGTAAATGACAGTCTCAAGCATCATGTAAAATTATGGCACCTGGTGTGAAGTCATTTTCGAGAAAATGGTATTTTTGTAAACATTTCCAACGGTGGTCGGCCGACCAGCGTTGGAAAAACCTAACTATTTTTCAACTACTACTCCAAATTTACAATTTTTTAGTCCAAATTTTGTTTGCTTTTGGTTACATGTTCATGAACGGGTGCAGGCCAGCTAGACTGGTTCCCTTGCCTCACAATTTTCTATCATCTATAAATTGATCCATTTTATATTTCGTGGAGTCAGGGAGCCAGACTACTTGAACATTTTTGTTTATCTTGGTTTTTCCAACCTTTTCGAACACAAAACTTCAAAAATGTCAGTGTAACAATATTTGATCTATTATACTAACCTCTCAAATAGTTCATTTCTGAAAATGACAGCAAAAGCAAATGATGTACATTTCCTTTAAACTTTTTAAAGAGGAACAAGGCTTATCCACAGTGACATGAATGAGGGCGCTCTACATGCAGACTGTGCAGGTTTTTCCGCACACTCCCCGTCATTCAGACATCACATTCAAAACTAACCATACATAACTTACTTTTCCCACACACAGGTTTGACTACAACTGGCACTGGCAGGTGAGCTGGGTTATTGTGAGACAATCAAATCATTTGAAAATCCTAAGTTCTTACTCTATTTACGTTTGTCAGGCCGCCATCCAGAACGAACCTTCATGCTATTTTTATCCTGCATGTCAATGATGTTGTCACGCCCCAACTATCGCATCGGTCCCAACTATAGTTGGGCCTGTCCCAACTGTAGTTCCACAGTTGGGCTGGCCCAACTATGGTTGGGCCTGTCCCAACTATAGTTGGGCCTGTCCCAACTGTAGTTCCACAGTTGGGCTGGCCCAACTATAGTTGGGCCTGTCCCAACTATAGTTGGGACGGTCCCAACTGTAAGTTCCATTGTTGGGCTGGCCCATCTATAGTTGGGCCACTCCGATCTTTTTATTTTGCGGTGTCCCAACTATAGTTTACATTGATGTACAACCATAAAACGTTCCCTACAGCTCTGATACACGTCTGACTTTACTGGGGACAACTGAAATTAGCTATTGATGGGGCGAATCTATAGTTGGGCCACCCCAATCTTTTTATTTTGCGGTCCCAACTATAGTGTACATTGTAGTACGATTATAAAACATTCCCTACAACTCTAATACACATCTGACTTTACTGGGGACCAATGAAATGATCTATGGGTGGGGACCATCTGTAGTTGGGCCACCGCAATATTTTTATTTGGCAGTCCCAACTATAGTTTACATTGATGTACGATTATAAAACATTCCCTACAGCTCTGCTTACATGTCCGACTTGGGACCTTTGACATTAGCTATGGGTGGGACCCATCTATAGTTGGCCGGCCATGGCAATCTTTGAATTTTGCAAAATGTTGCTGGATAATAAAACCCAGCAGCTGGACAACTCGTCCAACTAGGCAGTACCACGTGACCCGGCCAGCCTTGCGGCATGCATGCACGACGAATACATGGTGCCAGCGCCGCGGAACATTTAATCCAACAAGATCTATCAAGCATGAAGCATCCGGCGCAACTCCAGTCCTAACTATAGTTGGGCCGACCCAACTGCCGCACTATAGTTGGGACAGTCCCAACTATAGTTGGGACCGATGCGATAGTTGGGGCGTGACAGCGTCATGTGATTTTTGCCACCTGCATTTTAGGCCTACCCTTGTTGCAATTTTAACACTCAAAACATTCTTTCTTAAAACTTAAACCAATGTAAAAATCATATTTGTTTGCATAAAACATCATAAGTCTATTGTTTAAAAAACTTTTTATTGATAGTTTTTATTTTGGTATGGAACTAAACACGAAAATTGATAAAAAGTTTGGAAAGAGGATAAGGATACCCCCTGACCAATCTGTGACGTAATAATAATACGTCATCGGGATTCCGTCGCGTTAATTTTCTTGGTGCCCGGCACCTCCTAGTTTATAATTGAAGTATTATGGGAACCAGCTATAGTGTGTACGTGCGGCAGGCAACCGGCGTTTCTTGCGTGCGTGCACGGCTTTCGTGGAAACTGTTTAATCGCGGACGTAAAACTGCTCGTATTCTAACTCATCCGTGAGCTGATCAAGGAAGTGTCAACATCGCAAAGTCTTACATTTCATTCAGGTAGGCATAATTTCGAGCATATTAGACTTTTTTCGCTGTTCTGTTCTTATTTCAGTTTTAGTTTAACATTTTTGTCTTGCATTTTGCGACAGCGAAACTCACTTAACACTTGCAATACTTGGCCTACACTTTCACTAGCCTATAGCCAGCTAGCTTGTTTAAACCATAGAGCAAGGACAGCCCTGTTGTGCCCATTCTTGAAAATCACGCAATCTTAAGAATGCGCGCGCATTCTTAAGAATGAGCGCGCATTCTTAAGAATGAGCACGCGTTCTTAAGAATGAGCGCTCATTCTTAAGATTGCGTGGGAATATCACATGCACAATTTATGAATTTTGCGCAATCTTAAACATTGCACGACATAATTAGTGTTAAAATGAAAATGTATAGCGGTTAAAAGGGAAACAATTCATATAAAGAGGAAAGAAAATGTTCTATGCTTCTGTGCTCGTATAATTATGATAATTTGAATCAAATTAAACCTGTTATTATTGCTTTTTTCTGCCCACTATGGGAAGTTTTGTAATAACGGAGGACTGGGAACTAGTCTGGGAAGTGCTTTGTTTAGGCTAGACAAGTTACAAGTCCCTGTATGTATCATATGCATGCCACAAAAAAAACAAACGATGTCCAGAAGCTGCCAAAATTGCTCTTTTGACTAGATAGAATCCAGCTCTGCGGCATATAATGGTGGGGGTGTGAACAATAAATTGGTGGCAATTTAAATGGGAAATAGCATTAGCACTATGGGATGAATATTCATTCTCATTCTTCACATTCTTCATTCTTACGTCCCCCCCCCCCCAGTTGGATCCAGTTGCACAATCATAAGAATGTGCATGCGCATTCTTAAGAATGCGTGATTTTCAAGAAAGCGCACAACAGCCCCATAAATGTGGCCTATTACTGGACTGCCTCCGTAAACATAGGCCACACATCCACATGTACAAAAACGTGTCGCACTTTGCCAAATTTTGATTTTCGCATTTAGGCTTAGTTTGTAGGGTTTTTTTGCTTTAGAAGCATACTCACCCTCTTTATAGGCTAATCAGAAAGTGCTGCTTTTTTCAGATGTCCAAATTTTGATTTTCGCATTTAGGCTTAGTTTGTAGGTTTTTTTGCTTTAGAAGCATACTCACCCTCTTTATAGGCTAATCAGAAAGTGCTGCCTTTTTCAGATGTATATTTTTCGCGAAATTTCCAGATTCATTTTTACACGTTTGCGTATCAAAATTTCAACATGAAATTTCACAAAAATTAGACATCTGAAAAAGGCAGCACTTTCTGACTATTGCCCGTCCTTTTTGCATTGTTTGCGTCATATTGAGCACGCGCGCTTTAGCCTAAACATGACGTAAACAATTGAAAAGAACGGCAGTGCGTGCGGGTGTTATGTTCTAAGCTATATACTGCCACGTTTGCCTCAGAAAATACTGCTTTTTTGCAGCTTTTTCGAGAACCGCTGGTCCAAACAACTTCAAACTTTGCACTACACATTCTGTTGTCCCAAAAAATATACCCGCCGATTTTCAACTTCATACGGTGCCCGGTTCTGGAGATAATCGACGGACAGACAGACAGACAGACAGACAGAGATTCCTGGAATTATAGTAAGATAAAAGAAGAATATCTCATTTGTTTGCGATAAAAAAAACAACAAGAAAATTTAGAAAGAGTGGGAGTTTCAAAAGGGATCTCTCGCTTGCATATCAAATGCGCTATCCTGATCTGTGTCACTTGCTGCTCGAACGATGGTGGTAATTTAAAACATTATAATACAGGCCTACTCGTCCATGCGTCAAAGAGGGCGCTGTAAGTTTTTTCCGGCTAAATATCGTTTACTAAAAGAAAGCCGGGTCCGGCAATTTATCCACTGCATGTATCTTATTATTTAAGCATCAGATGCTAATGAACTTATGTTGGTGAAACACAGAACCAATACTGAAAATGCTTGGGTGATTTGCCATAAGTACCAGTAATTGTTGTGGAAAGAAAAATGCTTTGTGACTCTGTTAGTGACTTTGTGTTTCTTGCGCATTTGTTGTTTTCTTCTTTCAGAGTTGATTTAGTTTGAAACCAAAGAATGGCTGGTGCTCCTAGTTCCACGGTGACACAGACACCCAACATTGACTATGGTCAGTACAAAGAAACTGCTGTCGAAAAGCTAAAGAGGAAAGCATATGATGAACCATTCGTTCCTCTTGGTAAGCAAAGCAACAACAAAAAAATAGTCAAGAGAAATTTTTTTATCTGAAACTTTGTTGGTGGGTTAGTTTAAATATAAGTGTAGAATTCCACGAAAATATTGACAATTTGTCCTCTATAACCTGTTCAGATGCAACACCGAAGTCTCATTCCACAAAAAAATTCATCATATACATTGGGCATGTATATTATTCGTAATTAAGTGAGCACAGTTGGCATTTGATCACAGACTTCATTTGTCACCGGTGGCGTTGTTTGTTTTAACAACCATCGGACTGACGATTGAAGCAAATCCAAGGGAACAGCACATAGTGCATTACACTCCAGCCTGTATGTGCCAAATGTGCCATAGTGACGAATGACTTGTAATATGCAAGTAAAGTCCTAGTTTCCTTGGCATGAAACAACTGACAATAATTTATTCTCTGGGTGGCCAGGCAACCCAAACATTTGAGGCATCTCTTGCATGTCATTTAGCCCACATTAATTAAACATTATAGAGAGGTAAACACTTTTCAAACCATTCATATTACTAAAAATATATACATGCAGTGCAGAAGAGAACTGTTTGGTGAAATATCGTCGCTTTGCTCACGAAGTGACAAAACCCTCGAAAATCGATAATTATTCGATTTTGAGTTTTACTAGCCATTTTATTATAGTTGTCTCAAGGAACAATTTGACCAATTTGACCAAATCTTGTTTACTTTCTTAATTATTGTAAACAAACAATTGACAAAAAGCCTGAAATCGGTGATTTTCATTTTTACGAAGTGTAAAAAAGTGTAAATTGTTCTCATGAAGTGACAAAAAGTCACCTCGTGAGCAGGGCCAGAGGAATTATACATTGGTCAACACGCGGCAGGGTGGGAGCATACACGCGCGCGTGAACGATGTTGAAAACGAACAGACGGGCGCGCGCTCAACTGTCGTGACGCGCAAAAGTAACAAGTTTGTTGCGTCGGGAAAAAGTACAAATAAGTAAAGCCTCCGCGATTCATGATCCCACGAAGTGACAAAAACTGTGTACAAAGTAATTGGCAAAATATGGGAGCCAAAGTATTGATGTTCTCACGAAGTGCAAATTTTTTTTTAATGAATTACTGTTTAATTACTTACTATTTTTTACAAACAACTATGAATTAACAAAGAGCAAATCATATCCTATCGGACAATGCAAAAAAAAATTCTGTTACTGCAAAGTGGTCGAGAATGTCTTTTGAAAAAATGAATAACTTCAAATGAGATTATCTCAGGATGAATTTTTGTCAAATTTTGAGGTTTTTGTCACTTCGTGAGCAAAGCATTTGTTTAAAAAAATTGTATGTTGTGGTCATATCATCATATGACCACAACATCCAATTTTTTTAAACAAATGTGACATGGCCCATAGTGGAATCCGACGACCAAAATTAGCTGTGACTGTGATGGTGTCACGCTCACGCGCATACTGCACATGTGGCAGGGCCAAATTGAACTTGTAGTTTTTACTGTATTGCTTTTAGTGTTTAGGTATAGGTGTAGCTCCCCTGAATAAATCACCCCTTTTTATTAGATGTCCCCTACCCTTTCATAGAGTGTGTACCCCTGATTAACTTTTCCCTCTTCCCCAGTAACATGACCCCTTAGAACAATAGCCCTTTTGATAAGACCCATGTGCTCTGCCACCCTGCAAGTCCACAGCCCCTCACTTAACAGACCAGCGGCGGTAGAGAGAGGACTGCGTATTATATATCCACTCTTCCCCTTTTCTTGGGAGCGCCTGCCCTGTGTGTTTATCTGCTCAAGTCACGTCCTGGTGAGTCATATTGTGAAATTGTTGTTCTTTTATATTGTATAATCATGTTTTGAGTTCTAGTGCAGTTTTTGGAAGGTTTTTACTTAGTTATGGTCTAAAGTGTGTTTTTGTCTTTGGAAAGTTTTTGTGAAAGTTTAATTTTGAAGCTTGAGATTTTACTGTTCCATGATGGGTTATGATTTGGATTCTGCACAATTATATTTTCTTTCTTACCTTTTTGACATATATGGAGTAAGGATGAGTATTGTTTTTTAAAGGAGTTAAGTTTCTTTGGCTATAGTTTTACAGGTTGGAAGAATGTTTTTCATGAGTTTACATTTATTGAGTTTTGTTTTATAACTTTTGGTTCCTTTTTGAAAGATGACATGATTTGCTTGGAGAATTGATTTTTTTGTTGAGAAAGATTCATATTTTACCCCTAGAACATGTAGATTGAATGACTTTTTTAGTGTATCTCTACCATTGTTTAAGCTAGGTGGTTTGACTTTCCCACAGATCTAGAGACCCAAGTGTATAAATTCCTTTCTTAGAAGATCACCAGATGTTTATTCATGAAATTAGACTTGTCTTAGTCCCACTTCCTTCACTGCATTTTTCTTTATGTTTAACTCCACTTTACCACCTGTTTGTAACCTTGAGGCTTAGTTTGATTGTCTTAGACTGGGAGAAGTCTAATTAGAAGTTATGTGGAACAGATAAGAGCCATGGATTAGTACTCATTAGATATTCAGCCAGAAACTTGTGTTGCCATTGTGTATGTTGGGCATTAGTGACCTTGTTTATAAACATGCTGTACATAATAGAGTTAGACTGCGCTATTTAACCAATTTATTTTTCTTTTGATATATTTCTTAATTGTATTCTTTCTTTTCTTGTCTTTTCTTGATTTTTAGGTTTCAGTCAGAGTGCATTTAAGGTCCATTATTTTGACGCTCTGTGTTGGTTTTTTTTTCTTTTCGTCTTCTTTAGTTTTTTTTAGGTTGGGTTTATTTACTTTTCATTTCCAATTACTTTTTGTCTCCAATTTGATTTTTTCTCCAAATTTATTAATTTCTGGTTTTGTTTTCCCAAAATGTTTTTTTTTTGTGAATGTAAAACTTGCAGTTAATCGTGGATTAAATTGTTTTTTTGTAAAGTTCCATCCCAATTCAGTCTGTCTCTTTCTTTTTTTTAATTTGTCCCAGTTTTCTATTAAATTTTTCGCGACTTATCAATTTGAACCAGGCCTTTACAGATACTTTCTTAGTGAGTCATTTTTCTACGTTACATTTTTGGTGCCGAAACCCGGGATTGATTATTTTCATTTGGAAATTAGCCATTTATTTATTCGTTAGCTGGGACATTTTTTTTTTTTTCAAAATTCTCCGCCATCTTTTCCCCTAGATTTTTTTTAAAACAAACCAACACAGAGCTGATTTTAGTGGATCCTGACAGTGCATGATGGCTGAACCAGCGGTACTGACACCACTTCAGATGTGTGGATTCGATCCAGCGCCAGAAAGCTCCAAACTCATCGATCTTGAGTCATTGCCCAGTGCAGAAACGCAGCCAAGCATGCTGGCAATTCTGCAGCACCAGACGTACATGCAGGAGGTCATCTTGCAGCAGTTCAGACAGATCGACATGCTAAAGTCGATAGTCAGTAGGGTTGTTGGGGAACAACAGCAACAGCGGCAGTATATCCGAAGCCTGGAGGTAGCCCTGTTCGAAAGTATGGCCCAGCGTCCACGAGTTTTCCCCATCCCTACCCCTAAGCCTGACCTGAAGACGACCGAAGTTCCTCCCCGCGAGAATGTGCACACCGATGGTGACGAGTCTGGTGGATGTTCTGACAAGGCACAGAGCTGCAGCGATGAAGGCACGAGTGGCCCACTGCCAAATCTACTGCAGGCCCTGCAGGCCCAGCAGAGCGATGCAGCTATAAAGAGAGTCGTCGAGCTGAAGGAGGCAAGTCCAACTAGGATGAGTAACAGGAAGATGGAGAAGGAGTCCCGAGTAGTGAGGATGCTACTCCATGCATGGGATCGTCTTGAGGTCAAGGGCGGACTCCTGGTCTTCAGAAAAGGCGGAGACAAGCCGCGCTTCCTGGTGGTCCTCCCTCGACAACTGCGAAGGGCAGCATTTCGTAGTCTGCACAGAACCATGGAGACATCGAGCTACGGCAGAGTGCTGAAAGTGGTCCGAGAGCGATATTACTGGCCAAGTCTCCACAATGAAACAATGGGCTATATGAGACAGCATCGAAAGGGAACACGGCAACTGGAGGTCTTCAATGTCCCACCGCCTCATGAGTTCCGGGATGTTGGCCGAGGACCCTGATGATGGCTTTATTCACATTTTTCTAGTCTAGTTTGTGGATATACTGAAGGTGTCGTTATCAATTGTATATTTTTGTTTATGTTTGTTTGTTTTATTCATGTTTAATTGAATCAATTTTTTTTAATGCCATTGCTGGGGACAGCAATATTTTAAAGATGGCGTGAGTGTGGCAGGGCCAAATTGAACTTGTAGTTTTTACTGTATTGCTTTTAGTGTTTAGGTATAGGTGTAGCTCCCCTGAATAAATCACCCCTTTTTATTAGATGTCCCCTACCCTTTCATAGAGTGTGTACCCCTGATTAACTTTTCCCTCTTCCCCAGTAACATGACCCCTTAGAACAATAGCCCTTTTGATAAGACCCATGTGCTCTGCCACCCTGCAAGTCCACAGCCCCTCACTTAACAGACCAGCGGCGGTAGAGAGAGGACTGCGTATTATATATCCACTCTTCCCCTTTTCTTGGGAGCGCCTGCCCTGTGTGTTTATCTGCTCAAGTCACGTCCTGGTGAGTCATATTGTGAAATTGTTGTTCTTTTATATTGTATAATCATGTTTTGAGTTCTAGTGCAGTTTTTGGAAGGTTTTTACTTAGTTATGGTCTAAAGTGTGTTTTTGTCTTTGGAAAGTTTTTGTGAAAGTTTAATTTTGAAGCTTGAGATTTTACTGTTCCATGATGGGTTATGATTTGGATTCTGCACAATTATATTTTCTTTCTTACCTTTTTGACATATATGGAGTAAGGATGAGTATTGTTTTTTAAAGGAGTTAAGTTTCTTTGGCTATAGTTTTACAGGTTGGAAGAATGTTTTTCATGAGTTTACATTTATTGAGTTTTGTTTTATAACTTTTGGTTCCTTTTTGAAAGATGACATGATTTGCTTGGAGAATTGATTTTTTTGTTGAGAAAGATTCATATTTTACCCCTAGAACATGTAGATTGAATGACTTTTTTAGTGTATCTCTACCATTGTTTAAGCTAGGTGGTTTGACTTTCCCACAGATCTAGAGACCCAAGTGTATAAATTCCTTTCTTAGAAGATCACCAGATGTTTATTCATGAAATTAGACTTGTCTTAGTCCCACTTCCTTCACTGCATTTTTCTTTATGTTTAACTCCACTTTACCACCTGTTTGTAACCTTGAGGCTTAGTTTGATTGTCTTAGACTGGGAGAAGTCTAATTAGAAGTTATGTGGAACAGATAAGAGCCATGGATTAGTACTCATTAGATATTCAGCCAGAAACTTGTGTTGCCATTGTGTATGTTGGGCATTAGTGACCTTGTTTATAAACATGCTGTACATAATAGAGTTAGACTGCGCTATTTAACCAATTTATTTTTCTTTTGATATATTTCTTAATTGTATTCTTTCTTTTCTTGTCTTTTCTTGATTTTTAGGTTTCAGTCAGAGTGCATTTAAGGTCCATTATTTTGACGCTCTGTGTTGGTTTTTTTTTCTTTTCGTCTTCTTTAGTTTTTTTTAGGTTGGGTTTATTTACTTTTCATTTCCAATTACTTTTTGTCTCCAATTTGATTTTTTCTCCAAATTTATTAATTTCTGGTTTTGTTTTCCCAAAAGGTTTTTTTTTTGTGAATGTAAAACTTGCAGTTAATCGTGGATTAAATTGTTTTTTTGTAAAGTTCCATCCCAATTCAGTCTGTCTCTTTCTTTTTTTTAATTTGTCCCAGTTTTCTATTAAATTTTTCGCGACTTATCAATTTGAACCAGGCCTTTACAGATACTTTCTTTAGTGAACCGTTTTTCGTCGTTACACACACGTTCTAAATGATGAGCCGCACGCACATTTTGGTATTCCTATTGGCTGAAGGGGCCTGGAGTGCATCTGTGCGTGCATACTCCCTGAGCACGACTCGCGCGAACCTGGTGCCACCGCAGAAAATGGCTGCCGCCGGATTGTCTAGTTACGTACCGGGTATCTCAAATGTGTACACCCTGTTGTGTTCAGGAGGATAGCATACAAATGGATTGCAAAACAGGCACCATTTCGTCTTGCAGAACCCCTCATTATCACATATTTTTAAATGGTGAAATGTGCTGTAAGTCTTGCTGTTTCAGGGGCGGATCCAGGAATTTTCGCAGGGGGGTTCATCAGCCAAAAATTCTGAAATGTAGACAGGTTTTTTCTCCGGACACTTGGCCTTTTTGGCCTGGGGGGGGGGGAGGGGGGGGGGGGCTCCTACCATAATTGCAATGGGGCGCTGTTGAAATCCAGCAATTATTTACACTATATTACAGAATAGTGTACAAATACCCCCTAACAAAGCTGGCTCTGTCCGTATTTTGTGCACTGGCGGACAGTATTATTTTTTGGGGTGTCAGAGCAGGGGAGGTTTTTGGCATTATTTTTAAGGAATTTCTATGAATTATTATTTTTTTTGACAAAGCTGGTTGGGGGGGTTATGACCCCCCCCCCCCAGATCCGCGCCTGTGTTTGCTTTTGCCATGACAGTACACTGTGTGCTTTAATTGGCTCATTCTTAGGATGCAAAACCCAAGTAACAATGACTCCAAATGGAGTGATGTAATTGGTGCTACATTGGAGGATAAAGGGCACGTGATAACTGTACACACTCGAGGCCCCCTTCAATGGCAAACACATTGTGCATTGATAGAAAGCTATTGTGCAAAGCTACTGCCCCATGACAGATTATCTGAACAATAGCTAGCAGAATTCTTTCGCCATTGAAGGGGGCAACCCTAACTCCCTAGGGGGTATGCAAAATTGTATTGATATTGGAGGATTCAGGACTGTTAGGGAGAAGTACACATGCATGGCAAGGTTCTGTCAGGATAGTAAAAGGACTAACATGTTTTGTTATAATTGACTCTGATTGTCCAGGTATCACAGCCTTTGTCGGTGCCCTGGTCTGGGGAGCAGTGTCCTACAAGCACAGGAAGGGAATGTCCACCTCCATCTACCTGATGCGGTTACGTGTGGTCGCACAGACCTGCGTAGTGGGTGCCATGACAGTTGGAGCTGCCGTTACCATGTTTAAAAACACAATGAAGAAGGACTAACGTACATTCATGTTATCATTTTGTTTTCCTTTTTAAACTAAAGCCTGCCATGATTATTTGAATATTCCATCTTAGATGTAAATAGGATATTCACATACATGTTTTTTTAATTGTAAGCACAAATGTAAATCATGCATGCTCCACTCGGAGTATACCGATCCATTAGGTTGAGCCTCATGATGTTTTGACCAAACACAACCAAATTTCCAACATGTTTAATTAACCCTAACCTTCCCAAGTCCTCCAAAATCCTCCTTGCAAAATGGAGGATTTTGCAGGATTGAGGATATGGCAAAAATGTGTGGCTGATTTTGGAGGATGTACTGTGTCAAGGTCTTAGGCCAGGCCTTGTGTTGTGTATGCTCAGCCGTGCATACATGTACATTTAGGCCTAGATTATACTTGAAAATCCTCCACACTGCTCCAGGATGTGACTGGCTCTGCCTCAACATATTGACAGTGATTGCTGGAGGTTTTTGCAGGATTGAGGCAGTGGTCATCCAAGGACCAGGTTCAAGAAAAAAACCAGATGATTTTGGAGGATTGAGGCGATATGCAATTATTACATGGAGGCAGCTGGAGGATTTAGCAGGATTGATTGAGGCTGCATCCTAGCAAAAATGCCTAGGGAGTTAGGGTTTTAACATGGAGACTTGCACTGGAGAGGAACATGTGTACTGTAGTTGCCAAAGTGCACAGTGGGCGGGGTTGCATGATTTCCAACGTGCACAGTGGGCGGGGCTGATTTCCAACATGCATATTCATATGCAGTCTGACAGACAGGCACATGTGTAGTTGCCAAAGTGTACAGTGGGCGTGGCTTAATGGATTGATCTATTTGGACTCGATTCAGTTTTCAGTTTGTAAAAACAAAATGCACAAATGTGCAACAAAAGTACACAAGATATAAAAAGTTCAATAGGATGGAGTCTATAATTTCTTTGCAAGCAACTTGGTTGTTCTGATGCAGTAGTGTGTGTTTTTCACCTTGACTGAGAAATTTGTGTAGAGGATATGATCCTGTTACATGTACATGTACTATCTGTTAATTCTTTCATGTCAGAATGTATTTTGCTCTGTTGTCTGTAAATTGGCCTTATTGCCATTTGTTTTTAATAGTTTGCACGTTAAGTTAACTACATGTACTGCCAGTACTCTTGTACAATGTAAGATGCACTTTGCACTTTGCTTAATCCAGCGATCAAAATTAGAAGCCATTTTTGAGGTGGAACCATGTCTGCGCGCATGCCGCACGCATTCTTAAAGACAAGGTGCGCGCGCACGCAGTTTGTTAACCCTATTGGTCAAAGTAGCCTGGAGTGCGTGCGTATTTTATCTGAGAGTGACTCGCCTGAGCCTGGTGCACCTCAGAAAATGGCTGTCACAGAATTAGTCTGGCAATGTTGTACATGTAGTTGAGTCCATCACTAAGTCTGTCACAAGTCAGTTTAAAAGCCAGTCGCAAGTATCAGGGGATGAGAATTGGTAAAGCAATGCCTTTGTCACGGTTCATTTGCATAGCTATAAACTAAAATGGAGATCGGAGGACTTGTTATGACTTTTCATGGACTTGACTGCGAGATTGTATCGTAGTACGTATTATTCATAAATATTCAACTAATATACTTGTGTGTACTCATTTTGTGCATTGTGGGAAAGTCGTGGACATTCACCTTATGAAGTGTAAAGGAAAATGTAGTGCATAATATACATACACCTATTTACTGCTGACATCTTGTTACAGATCATTACATTCACGCGCACAATAATGTTATACACAAAAGTACATAAGCAGAGAGTAAATTTATGCTAGCTATGGGCTCCGTACGCAAACAAAAGAGGGCGCATTTTTACCACCCAGTGGACGGGACACACTGTGTGCGTGTACTGGTGCTCTTGTATTGTATTACGCTCGAGGACAGACAACAAAAGCAGCACAAAGGGGCCTTTGATCCTCGGATGACGGTGCCTATTGTTAAAACCGGTCCTCGATCGTACGGTTATGTGCTTAGTCTATGGGAAAGTGTTATATTAGAGGGACAAAGGAAAACACAATAGGTTGTCCTCAGGCGTATAGTAAAACACGACTGTGCGCACGCGTGTATGGCACGAAGTACGCACGTCTTATTTATTCTGAATGTGCAGAAAGCCTTAAGGTCCTCGCATGAACGTTAGCGTTGTCGGCAATGTGTTCAAAATGTTTCTCCCAGTGGTCTCCCTCAACTCTCCCTTTCTTACCATTGAGGGGGTACTTGAGCTCATACTGTATAGCTCTGTTATTTTTAGCATTTGTGAGAAAATGGCACTGTACAGTTTGAAGGTAAGCTCTTATTATTTAAGGCTAAGTATGACCAATTTCAGAGGTAGAAATGAAAGGATTGTTATTATCTGTGCCAAAATCTGCTTGTACATTAGACCAAGTAACTGGGGTGCTAGAATTCCTCTTTCGAATGTTGTCTTTGAAAATGATTTCTTGTTCATGGAGTGGATAACAAACGATTGAAAAAGATGATGAACTGATTTCAAAAATGAAAGCTAAAATGCATGGAAAAATATAAATGTATGCTTCATGGAAAAACGTTAGCTACAGCTAAAAAGATGGAAAAATTAACTTATAAATAATTGTATTGAATATGATTGCACAGACTCTATCTTTAGTGTACAACATGAAAGGTTTATCAGAAGAAAGAAAATTTGGGTCCAGCTAACGGTACCTCAGGGTTCACTGACCCGAGTGTGTTGTGGAAATGTGCATGTTATGTGATTAATAAGCGTGTGTTTTACTTTTGGAAATTACATTTATTTAGAAGGTTTTTCAAATGAAGAACAGATGATGATAAGGAGTGATATATGAAAGCTTTCAGCGAGTGGTTTCTGCTTGTTGTAAGGTTTGGTTCTTGACCAAAGTAGCACCATCAGGTTTACCCTCCTGCTGTCTGAACAGTCACAGACAGTCAAAAAATCAATCCTCTTCCCCTGCCATGCCTTTTACACAGGCTAGTCACCGACAGTCAGATCATAGTTTCAGAAAGCACTGTGATTAGTGAAATTCAGTCAACAGACAAAAGCAGGCAAGTGGTAGGCGCAGCTGGCTTATCAATCACCTACAGTCAAAGCAAAGCTTTATCAAGTTACATAAACAGTCACAGACAGTCAGTCCTGCTTTATGTAGGCTGCAAGGACAACTTTGCACAGAATGTATGTTTGCATAGGAAGGTTTTAATATTTATTTTTTTGTTAATGATTTTTATGATTTTTGTTAATGTACTTTGTTCAGTAAATATTATTATATGATGTGACTTGTGAACAGTCTTAATATTGTGAATATCAAAAGGACCATTGAAATTTAAAAAAAATATATCAACTGGTGGTCATTGAAAACGTAAACCAGCGCTGTGGGGACATAAAATGACAGGTTAATGATAACAAAATTGAAACGTGTTGTCTATTTCTCCAAAATATGATTATGCAATTTTTTTTTTAAATATTCATTGATTTGGGTTATCCTTGTATTATTGGTTTGTCTGGGTGTGTTGTGAAGTACATTAAGTTATTTTGAAGTACATTAAGCAATTGAAAAAGAAACTCAAAAAGCTGTATTGCCCTGGACTAACTGAAATGTTTTGCCTCGGTTCTTCCAGACTGCAAGCAATTATGCCAGTTTCTGCTATGTCATGTTAATAGTTGGCCAGAGTTAAATATATGTTGAATAAAACAAAGGATTTTAAAATGTTATATCCTTTTTTTAGCGCGCTTAGGTAGAGTACAATTTAATTTGTGTTTTCTTAAATTCAATTTTCTTAAAGATTGTGTGGTGCCAATTTTTTTTAAAAGCCTTTATTGTGTGCTGTGATGTGTAATGGTGTATTCATGGTAGGCAGTACACAAAACTAACCATTGTACAAATTAAGGGAATTAACTCTGATAAATCTACTGATTAAAACCAGTTGTATTTGGGGGATATGACCTATAATTTAAACAATCGATCGTGGATTAAATACAGAAATCACATGTTACTTTGAGGGCAGAGTGTTGGGGCCTATTGGAGAAGCCATTGAGACGAGTAATTGGATTTAAAAATTAAGATTATATTCGTGGGAAGCATTTTTTTGAACAGCAAAGCTGTTGCATTTCGTTTTTAAAACTGTATCACTAGTAGTGAATAAACAAAATGAAGCAATAGAAAACCTTATCTTTCTCTGTTCATTCAGTTTGTATGTCTGTGTGTATTTTTTATTTAAAAATCCCCTTTGTTTTCCCTCCATTAGCTGGTGTATTTTTAATTAACACACAACAAGAGAACAAACTGGCATGTTTCTATTACAAAATTGTTTTATTTAACTTAAATAATTTAATCCTCTACACATGTAGCTAAATTTAGCATGCACTTTATGCACCATTACTGTAGACTTAATCATTTTTTAGGTTATATTACCTGGTTTTCTTTTTTTGTTTAATAAGATGCCCAGTTAGAGAAAGATGAAAAATTTAATGAGAATTCGTTTTATTCCACCTTAAACCTCAGTCCATCATTTGCAGCTATCCAAAAAGTAACTGACAAAATTATTGTTGAAAAACCTACTTGGTTGAAAGATAGTAAAGGGACTAAACTCCCTGTGAAATTATTCTTTCTGGCAAGCTGTCATTTTGAAGAAATCAACGAAAGAAGGCCTTTCCAACGATGTGTCTAAAGACGCACCGTTGTTACGAACAAAATGCACAAATTTCAAATGATGGACTATACCTTTAATAAGATGATAAACTTGAAGTGGGACATATGAAATGCTACAATTGTTGTACAGTACATAAAGTTAATGAAGGGTAAGGTGAGACTTCACACAATTTCTTACAATGCAGAAAAACCTTTTAAGTCTGCATTGGAAAAGACAGGAGTCTTGAATAGCAGTCAAAAAGTTGAACAATGGCCACTGTTTTAATGTTGAGAACTGTGTTTACTTGGTGGGTGACAATGCTCCCTCAGATCCTTGCAATGAGAAATAGTAAATCTTCACAGAAAAATAGAATTCTGCCTAACAAATTTAGTTTTTTACTCAAGGGGCCTTGGTGTTTGAATGATGGGTTCCTGAGAACGTTAAATGCAGGTTAACTTTATAAAGAAATAATTAAAATTTCTTAAACAATTCTCTACCTCCAACTGTTTGCCTAAAACTTGGTTTACTTTCCACCAAATTATTTCAGTTCCCTGATATTTTTGGGGGATCTGTATTCAGCGTGGAATTGCCAACTGTAGGATTCGTTTGAAATTAAGCTGCACTTGATCCACCAGTGCAGTATGGCTGAAAAAAAAAAAAACCATCAGCGTCATGAGTGATGTTTAAAGCTCATTCATAAATACCTAAGACAGTTTACCCATTCCTATTGGTCGAGAGCCCGTCACATGGCCGGTCTTAAACGGTTGATAACACATCGGCTGGCTGGTCTCAAACACTTTTCCAGTGTCACATGAAATTTGGACAATGAAATCTGGTCCCTTTTACCCTTTTATTGGTTGAACTTTCACAATCCTCAGTTAGGCATGCGCAATACTACCAATGCGTCCGTATTTCATAGTCCTAAATTCACTCTACACCGGCACAGCTGCGTTCTGCACCACAACGCGCAGTACGTGCCAATATCCGTATAAGGAGTTGTTAACGATTACTCACAAGAGGCACATACGATAACATAGCCAGAGGGGTGTTTAAAAAACATGAAATAACCCTGGAAAAACCCTCGTTATGAGGGAATAAATGTGTGCTTGGCCGGTATTAAACACTATGTTTAAGACCGGTTTGGAGTCTGGACGCTGATAATGACCCAAGCTGAAAATCAGCATCCAGACTCTAAAGCGGTCTTAAATCATAGTGTTTAAAAACCGGCCAAGCACACATTTATTCCCCCATTTATTCTGCCACCACCATAACGAGGGTGTACTATAGTAGTATGCTGCAAATGGATAAATAAAGGTACCTTAATAACAAATTTCCAATTCCAAAACATGATAGACATATTCCAAAACTGTAATCTTTTTTTTTAAAGCAATTTTATTTCTAATAACATACTTGGACCTAGATTACATGCAACAGTAGCTACAATTGTTTACAAAATTGTAGTCTGGTAAATCACAAGTCAAATACGAGAAAAACATAAAGTCTATCACACATCAAAATCATGCCAGATCACAATTGAAATTGGACAAATAAAGTAATGCAAATGGCGCTGTTTTTTTATTTAGAACAAATAAAAATTGGCACTTGATGCGACAGGATGACTTTCGATGACTTGTGATAACTTGATTACAATTCCGTTTAGTGCTACATTATTCAAGATGATCATCTGACCCTTTTTAACATTAAAAGAAAACATGGCATTTACATGTCGTTAGTATAAAAACTGTACAGTATTATGCAAACAAATTCTAAAATATAAGTATTGTTAACAAACTATTGGTATATAAATAAGCATTACTATGTACAGTTGAGTTGGATTGCTTTCATTGTGCCAGTGACCTTTCATAGAATAAAACTGGAGAGGAAAGTCACTTTCGTTTTTGGTTTCTATTGAGGAAGAACATACGTGGAAGGTTTGAGAGCAAATATCTAGAAAAAGTCAGGTTTCTCTGATTGCCTTTAAAACAAGAAAGCAGGAAGTTATAAAAATAGTAACCTCTATACACAAGGTTTTGTTGTTAATGGTTTGGCACTTAAAAAAACAATAAGTACATGGAGACTGTGTTCAAGTGGTTAACAGGTAGAAGTGATCACATTTTGTATTGGTAAGAGCCATTTTTATTAGCCAAGGGAGACATTTATGGATGTAAGGAGGGGGTAGACAGCATGCCAAAAAGTATTTATGAATGAGGATAATATTGTGATTGAGCAATTATAAATAAGATGTTTATAAAACCGGTCAGGGAGAGCCTGGCAGCTAATAATGGCCTCTTACTGGTTTTAAACCAGACGTTTATAACTGCTTCATCATACTATTATCCCCTTAATTACTTCAAATGTCAAATTGCTTCACGAGATCCAATCACTCGTATTCTTGCAAAATCCTCCAATACTAAATCGGCGAACTAAATTACATTTTTGAGGTGGACGAAAATGCCCCTCAGGTCAACCTGCAATTTGCTTCCACCACACCGGAACTAGCCTTCGTCGATAGTGTCATGATGGTATCTGACCCCTAACAACACTAGTTGTGTGCTATGCACTGTAAGAAGCGCGAACAGAAACCTCACACGGCTACAATAGGCAAATCAGTTGGCAAAGAGCGGTAAGATATAATCCCACACACTATCCATGAACGCCTTGACCAAGGCTAGTACAATCGCGGTGCAAGAGAAGCGCAGGTCGACCTGAGGCCAACTTAATAAATGGCTCCTAAATTTTATCGCGGAATTAGTCTATTCCTCCTGGTGGATGCTGAAGGACTGGGAGGGTTTGGGTTAAAACCTCAGATCGTGATTTTAATTCTCCCAAACTCGAAATTGCATCATGTAAGACTTGCATTGCACTCAGCCTTCACAAAACGTTTGGAGAGAGGAGAAATGGTTGTGAAAGGGCCTGGCGCTTATTTCAGAGAGAGCTGTCAGCGTTGCTCTACTTCTTCCCCCAGACTTCTCTTCTGCTGATCTTCTTGGCTCGGTTGTTGGTCTTGGGATGAGGAGCGGCGCCAGCTTCTACATGACGACCATACAAACTGAAAATACAGATCCAAGCTTAAGTAAGACTAGGGAAAGGTATACCTGCAAATAGCTCTTGCAGACAATACAGCGGGCAAGCTGACCTCAAAAACCTGCAAGATTTTACGAGAATACAGCACATCCGGGCACCATAGAATCTACAACGCGTGTAATGTCCTATTTTTTCTGCAATTTATTTTGTGCCTATCCAATCAAGGGTAATAAATGCATATTTCGAAAGAAAAGGAAGCATTACAATTTACAACATATTGAAAATATTCCAAATTGATGACTGTTATAAAATTAAAACTGTAGGCCTCAACTTCCGTTCAATCGATCACGCAGATACCAATGGGGTAAATTCAAATGCTGGAGTCTGTTACTAGACTAGTCAGTGTTTGGTACCCCGATGTTCACGTAAAAAGTGAACATGGACTGGTGAGATTTTCACGCTCTTTCCAAAGTAGTTTTCGCTGTATTTTCTCGTTTACTGGGATGCTCATACTTGATTCAATTCACACTGAGCAGAGTCGAAACAAGTGGATTATTGCCTCCAGAAAAATATATTGAAGCCTTCTAACAACAGCATTAAACAAATTTTCAATGTTTTCACCACTTCAAATTGCTAATTGTAACCCAACAGGCTTTATTCATATATCATCAAGTTGCTCTTGACGTGATATTTTAAGTTTCACCCACAAAAGTGCTATTTAATTGCTATTTTTCTAGTAATATAAAATTTACTTTTCTTGATAGAGACACTGAGTAAAAAAAGATTCTACCCAACAACTTAAGTAAATCTCTTTGTGCAAGTTTGCTGCAAAAGCAATCCAAAATAAAAGCTTTCTTTTCAGGGTTTGATGACACCAAAAACAGAAAAAAAAGTTGTTTGTTTGTTAACCAGCTTGCGCCGGGATTATTTTGACATTGACCGGACACAGGCGCGGACTGTTTTTCATGAACCTCGATGCCAGACGGGTTCAGGCCGTCATCTTCGGGTAGCACACCCTGATATTTCCGGCCTCGCTCGCTGCGAGCGGGTCGCAGACAGATAGTTCGGGCATCGCTCGTTTTGTGTTTATCCGTTCCGAATACCGCAAAACCTTTGCGTGTATCCACTTCATCCTACGTGATGGAAATCCAAATCCAATGAGCACAGAGACGGCAACTTTCAGGAATATTATCACAATGTATAATTTATATGGATTCTTTCTTTTCTCTGATTACTTCTTCATTCATCAGTACTTACTACTTATAAGTGTCGGAACGGATGTAGTCAAAGACATGTGACACGCCCACTTGGAACTGGTCAGCGATGGGCGGGACCCAGGGGTTGTTCTCCGCCTTGAACGCTGTGTGACCACTGTACAGGTCAAGCTTACCTGCAATGAACATCCACGTGACAATGTTAACATCTCAAGAAATTATACTGTATTCAAAACAAACCACTGTAAATGTGCTAAATGTTTCCCTACTTATTCTCAACGGAAAGAGGCCGGACTTGAATAAGCATTGGGGATAAGATATGGGGAAAACTGGTTATTCCAAGTGGAATTCCCCCCCCCCCACAAAAAGTTAAGTTGTCTTAGTAAATGTGGACTCTTTTTTATTAGAAAGTATACATAATGCTGCAACTATTAGAAGAAGAAAAATACATACAAGACATGGATTTGAACTATTGGCCAATTAAATTATTTGCAAGTTTTCTTTTATTTGACGCTTATTAACCTTCCTAGTGGAAAGACAATACTCAGAGCGATATGTGAATCCCTTTAAAACCTTGTAGGTCACTCTCACGTGAAGGGATATGAAGTGTTAAAGTCACTGTGTCACCAAGAGAGTCACTGCCCCCCGAAAAAAACACTGCAGAGGAAAGAGGGGTGAAGTGTGACCGAATCTGCCTGCTTGCCCTGGTCTTAATCACACCAAGAATAGGGCAGGGGTTTGAAGCATTATCCATACTCCACAGACGATTACCTGAAAGGAATTTGAAGTGTGGGTGCTAACTACATTTTATGAACAAAAGTGGTTTTGCAAAATTTGACGGGTTGTGAAGTGCAGATGACTAGGAGGGTTAAGATTAAACTGATAGCTGAAGAGTTTGGGGAGTTTGCAAGATTGAGGAAAGTAGAGCCCAGAAATGACACCCTCAAAGTTTTAAGTAAATAGAAATTGAAAGAATTTCCATTGATGTCTTGAATGGTACATGTAGAGGATTTTTGGAGGATTCAGGTAAATTGAGAGAGTTAAGGCCGAGTTGCCGGTCCTACCAAGTTCTGGTGGCAGCACGGTGAGCCTGTTCCCCTGGATGTGAAGTTCTTTCAGTTTCTGAAGGTCCCCGATGGCTTTGGGCAGCCCTATCAATTCGTTGTCTCTCACTGCAAGCTGATCAGAAAGGAGAAAAGACAAAACAGATGGTCGTTCCTTTCAAATTATGTTGATCTGAGCAGGAATACAAGATCCTTTGTGCTAGCTTTTGCTGTTAGGGTCTGTTGGGTAAGGCAGGCTGGAGTTTTAACTTTGGTTGTTACCAAGTAATTTGTAAAGTTGGTTAGGGGTACCTGGTCCAATTATCTGGAACCGGTTCCTGACATCAACGGTCGGGTAGTTGGTGCCCATGCACAGCCCAACTCGATAGGTGCAGATGTTGTTGCCCATGAGTGAAGTGGGTGGTGCCTAGAGATCAATCTACTCCACAGTTCCCCAACTAATAATGACCTTCTTTTGAAGTAAAAAAAGAATGTAACTCACCACTTCGAGTTTGGTCAGCTGACCGACATCCTCGGGTATAACTTCAAAGTCATTGTCAGAAAGATACAGAGCCCTCAATGTTTCTGTGCATTTGAAAAATAATAAAACAGCCACTCTCATTTTGCGTAAAAAAAGGTGAAGATTCTCACAATACTCCAAACTTCAACTGGTCATTGAAACCCTAACTCCCTAGCATAATTTACTAGGAACTGTACCCATCCTGGCAAATTCCAACACCATAATGGGACATTGTACACACAAATTGTTGGGACTTAGATTCTGGAGTTATGCTTAACCCATTGTAAAAGACCATCAGTTTAGGGGTACTGTACCAATCTGAACAGATTTTAACAAACCATGCTGTTGGCTTTGATGGGTTGAGTTATGTTAGGGTTAAGCAATCAAAGCCCCATCTGAAGTTACAGGGATGGGTTCTACAGCACTGAACGTTGCAAAATGAAGCAAAACTAAGGCATCACAAGTCAAGTCACAAGCTCTTCAAATGAACTGTGACAAAAGCATTCCTTTGTCATTGTTTATTCCCTGTTACCTGTAATTAGACTTGTCTATTGATTTACTTGTGATCCACTTGTGATAGACTGTGCTTGAACACTGAACTGGGTGAAATACTGAGATAGTGTTTGGACTACAGGCTTGTTTTTGCTTCATGTGAATACTTAAATGCAAAACAAAATTGACGTCAGAAAATATGCAGCGCAAAATTTACTTGGCATACAATTCTTACAGCTTTTGCAAACAAGCAACGCAAATACGTCACAATCTCGTTATGTACCATAATTTTCGGAATATAAGCCGCGGCTTATACGTTGATTTTGCCCATGAAAATGTTTACTGCGGCTTATACACAGGGCGGCTTATACGCCGAGCCTTGAAGAATAAAAATGAAATTCACATGTGTATTTAAATTAAATGTACTGGTATAAGAAGAGATATGTTGCTGAAATGAATTATCAATTAAGAAAGTCATTAACGAACCGAAACCACGTGCCACGTAAAGGTGCCGAGCGGTAAAAAGTACGGTGAAAGCTGTCTTCGATCGACGCGACGCTTGCAACAAGCCGCACGTCATTCTAGTGCTGCTGCATGCAGCATGCTTTCCCCAGCTGACCACACCATTTCAGATAATATAGGGGTGTACTATCTTGGAAACAATAATTACCAACCTTTCCGCTGTTTAAAAAAAGAAAAAAGACGACTAATACTTTTTATGGTGTCCGAAACATTTCTTTATTCGATAATCAGTTGTTCAACGTCACAATAAAATGTTTGAACTTGAAATGTATTCAAGAAATGATGTAAACCTCAAAACACGGACTACATCACCCCTTACAAAATTAATGGATTCGTCCACGAAAATGGCAGCATCGTTTTGACTATTTTTGAAGAAAGTTACGATCGAAACTTGAATACTGCTCGTTAGTAATCACAAAAAAGTTTTGAGATAAAAACGGACCTGTATATTTTTAGGACAAAACAAATCAGCATATGTTGCCACAAAGCAAGATTTGTAGGTAGCGCTCCAGTCAGACAACACACGCAATGGGGGAAAATCACGGTGGGTTGCACACTCTCTCACGTGCTGCAGGAAAATGTTGTCATAGGCCGGCGCGGCGCAGGCTGCCGCGCCGGGCGATGTATTAACTTTTACGGCTGGGGACCGGACGGGGCAGCCGGCAGCAATTCCCGGTGTTTATTTCTCATCATCAATTTCCACATTTGTTTGTGAGAGTATCGATTGTAAATGATTTGATACAACTTTTGTGGCCCTTTTTATAGCTTCTGTAGTGTAAATGGAACTGGTTCAAAGCATTTTGGCTAGAATTTGGAGGCCTTACAAAATTGAAACCGCTGCCGTCGGTGTGGCTTATACGCCGGTGCGGCTTATACGCCGACTTCAAATCTTAATTTGCAGATTTTTGCGTGCTGCGGCTTATACGCCGCGCGGCTTATATTCCGAAAATTACGGTAATTATTTTCCCGCTGAATATGAAAAGAGCGATTTATTGAGCTTAGGAAGAGCCTGGCTCAAAGCGAGAGAATAATTTTTTCTTACCGAGAAGGAAGAAGTTTCCCGGCAGACTGTTCTCTGTCAGGTTGTTGTAGGTTGCATCAAGGACCTCCAGCTTGGGGAAGGAGCCAAACCCACGTGGCAAGGCATACAGGCGATTCATTCTGCAAGACGAAATGAAACATCAGTATCGTGAAACTGTAAATCTTTTAGATCCTACAAAAATTCATCAAATGTTGCGGATTTTACAGCATTCTGATTTGCAGCCAATTTTACTTAATGTCGAGGCTCTCTCTCTAAATGACCAATTGAACAGAACTGTCTCAGTGGTCAAAATCAATCAAGCGACTACATTTTTAACTGTCCGAGGTATCCCAGCCCACATGAAGCACTACTGACTTGCTGCCACAGTTGCTCTTACTTGATACTGCCATGCTTGGACTGTAGCTGAATGATATGCCAGCTAATTAATACCTGTTGCCTTCTTTCATGATGATTGAATGTGACTAGTCACAGTGCTTGATGAAAAAAGATGAGTTCCATTGTATTCTTTGTTCATCAACTTTATCGACTACGAGAAAGCCTGTGACAGTGTTGACCGAGACGTGCTATGGAGGCTCCTTGACCATTATGGCATACCACAGAAGTTCATCAACCTCATCAAAAATACCTACAAGGGAATGTCATGCAGAGTTATACACAACGGTCAGCTTACCGAGGGTTTCGAAGTAAAGACGGGAGTTCGCCAAGGCTGCCTTCTGTCCCAATTCCTATTTCTAATCATGATTGACTGGATCATGAAACGTACCACAGAAGGAAGAAGAAATGGGATACAATGGACACCCTGGGTACAGCTAGATGACCTCGACTTTGAAGACGACCTCGTCCTCCTTTCTCACAGACAAAGACAGATGCAGGACAAGTCCAACACCCTAGAAGAAGAATCAGCACCAACTGGGATGGGGATTTACGGCGGCAAGACCAAACTACTGACAGTGAATGCTGCTGGGAACACAGGAATCACTCTTGGCGGTAAAGCTTTAGAGGAAGTGTACTCCTTTGTTTACCTGGGCAGCATAATCGACAAGCAGGGTGGCACAGATAGTGACGTCTAGGCATGGCACGGTAAGGCGCGAACAACATTCTTAATGCTGTCTAAGGTTTGGAGCTCGACGAAGTACTCTACCCACACCAAGATCCGAATCTTCAACTCAAACGTCAAGTCAGTCTTACTCTATGGCTCAGAGACATGGCGAACCACAAAAAAAAAAGATAATGAAGAAGATCCAAACATTTGCAAACAAGTGTCTGCGGAGAATCCTCCGCATATACTGGCAGCAACATGTCTCAAACCAGGAACTGTGGAGGAGAGCTCAACAAACCCCAATTGAGGAGGAAATCCTCAAGCTCAAATAGAGGTGGATCGGCCACACTCTAAGGAAGCCGATCTCAAGCATCACCAGACAAGCCTTGACTTGGAATCCACAAGGGAAAAGAAATAGAGGAAGGCCAAAGAACACCTGGCAGCGAGACACAATGGCCGATGCGAGACAGATGGGATACAGCTGGAAGGAACTGGAAAAGCTAGCGAAGAACAGACCAAGATGGAGTAGCTTTGTGGATGGCCTATGTGCCACTAGGCACCATCAAGGCATTAAGTAAGTCACAGTGCTTACATAAGATCTGATGTTGGTGCCTAGCCTGAGTATATGACAAAGAAGGGGAAGTGCATTGAACTTTTGTCTGTCTGTTCGAACAGTTATATTTCCATTGTCACAACTCCTCCCCCTTTAACCAATAACACTTGAACCCTAATCCTCTATAAAATCCTCATGGCGGTTTTGGAGGATTTTCATTCATTGTCATTAGTCTGGTAGCTGACTATGGAGAAATGTGTTGAAATACAGACTAGTACCAGATATGCCAGATGTTTCTTTTGGCACAGTGTTGGACTGGTTGTTTCAGATGCCATTCTATTTTCTGTTATTGCATGTTTTCAGTCCCTTAAGTTTTTGGACTCTCATACACAGTATTGAGAGTCTTAACTTTTTGGACTACCCTCACTCCTTAATGTGACTGTTCAAAATTTCTGCCAGTTCAATACTCACCCCCCCCCCCCTCCCCCAATGTACTACATCTTAGCACCTACCCTATGTTGAGGTACTTGAGGTTTTGCATTGAGCTGAGGTTCGTAGGTAGCTCCTCAATGTAATTGTTGAAGAGGTTCAGGGTCTCCAGTGAGGTCAACTCTATTATGTTTGGAGGGACCACTGGGAGAAAAAACATAAGAAAGATTAATGTTTCTTCCCCAAAAATAATTACTTATTAGAAAAGCGTTTCATTTTTAACCATTTTCTGTCGTAAAAAGAAATGCAAACTACTTCTGGTATTAAAAGAACATTAAACTAAAATTAAGCAAATTACATTCTTGCATTATTAAAGACACCTAAGACCTTGAATATTTTCATATAATTTTATAACAATGTTTATAACCCCTCACCCACAGATTCTGTGTCTTGATTGGCCGAGAGCGAGTCACATGGTACTTTCTATTTTTGCTATCTTTCAGTGTATGGCCAAAAGTACTACACCCGTAGCAACCAAAGTACTATACCAATGGCGCGGTATTTGTGTGCAAATGCATGCTGGTGTGCGCATTGAGCTTTGCGCGTACTGTTCCCAAGAGAACGCTCCACAGAGTTGGGTTCAAACATTTCGTGAAGGGGTGGTTTGAGAGAGAGAAATACATTTCCCACCAATTTTATATTGAAATTGAAGTTTATTTTAACTGTGTTCAGATTTAAATAATTAAAAATATAAATAAACTAAACCAAGCAGAATCTGTGGGTGAAGTGTTATAAAACAAATATTGAATGCTTATCTCGTGGTGAAGTAAAACCAGCCTCCCTCGGTGATCCATGGAACATTCTATTTTCCCTCGGCTTAATGTCCATGGATCACCTCGGGAGGCTATCCCGCTACTCCTTCACCCCCCCCCCCCCCCCCCCCCCCCCCCACACACACACAAAATACAAAATTTATAATCAGTTCTTGTCATTGACGTTTACATTTTTCTGAACTTACCATCAATTTTGTTGTGGCTCAAGGTGAGTCGGCTCAGATTCTTCAAAGAGACTGTTAATCCATAAAAAAAATTTGAAACAAAAATACTCAAAATTAAAAGTCAATGCATAGAAAATAAAAACTCGAAAAACATTTTAGACAAATAATTGACACAATTTATCCCAAAAAATTTTTTTTTTCCCAAAATTGTTTTTTAACACAATTTTTTACCTGAGGTGTGCATGTATTTCACTTACTCAAACAATGCAAATGTTTGCCAATGATTTCCAATTGGATGCATGCACAAAAAGATTACGAACATTGATAGAATGTGCAGGAGTGGAACGCTGCCTTGCTCATGTTGATGTCATTATGATGTCAAATTATTAGTAATGCCGAGCATGGGCCAGGAAAAAATCAACCTGTTCCCCTTTTTTCCCGGCCAGTTCTTTTTTCCTGGCTGCCTCCTTTTTAATTTTTTTTTTTAATTCCAATACATTTGCAATACATTTTGTACATAAGCCCCCTATATTGTCAATATTTTGTCTTTTTATTTGTCTCCAACAAAATTGTAGCTATGTAGGAAAGGTTGTGGCTCCTTTTGGTAACAATGTTGTTTCAGCAAAATAGTTGAGAAAATTGAAGAATCCATCAACCCGAAAACGCCCGTCTTCTTCACTTTTTTATATTTTTTACTCGGCTCAATATGGAATCTTGGGGATACCGAATAGGGTCAATGTTTGTTCCAGGTTTCACATAAATTTTGGACGAAAAAGGATAACTGAGTGACACAGGCCATGCACAATACTAGTCCGAGTAACTAGGACTCTACGGATCGCTTTTTTAACATTTGGACATGGTCGGGCATACTCCTAGAACTATGAGGCTCCACTACGTGGCGCCTCATAGTTCTAGGAGTAGGTCGGGCGACCAAAAGTTAAAAAAGCGATCCGTATAGATAGTTACTCGGAATAGCACAACACCTGACTTCACACACATTATCACACAAAAACGGCTTTATGGTATAGCATAGACCGCTGAGAAATTCGTCCACTTTTCTTGATGTAATTTTTGTAAAAAGGAGCCTTGCATGCGGTGTGTACTCACAGAGTCCGGGTGTGTCAACAAGTTTGCTGATCCCCCTGTCACTCAAATCCAGATCGGGACTGTTGTGTTCCCTGGCCTCTTCCACTTGTTTCTTCACAGATTTAGACATTGTTGAAAGATAACAAATACATACAGTGTGAAAAATTAAGTCAAATTACAATATCAAGTCTGAAAAGTGTCAAAAACGAACTCTAAATTTCAGCATCTGATTACGTTGTGTGGGCTAAACCCGGAAGTGCCTAGGAACACCCCGGTCTCTGCATACATGCAATGCACGTGCGCAAAAACATAGTGCTAGACGGTCTTAATTGTGGTATGAAAATCACATTTGCAGTAATTTTTCGAAATTGAAATTTCATAAGATGTATAATAAATTAATTTTAGATAGTTTCTGGAAACTATGTTTGAAATCACTATTTTTTGAGGAAGAATATTTGCCATTTTTCAATGTGAATAGGTTTCCCATCATGCACTATTATGCCATTAATTCTGCGGACGGAAGAGGGGACGGAAGGTCAGTCTCGCGTTTCTGAAATTGTTGAAATATTTTTGACTGTGAATCATTTGTACGACATGTTTGTATGTGTTTTTTGTCATTCTCGTAACGTACAGCGATTGTAAATGTTAGAACCGCCGTTTGTACTTTGTTTTCGAACTTAGAAATCAAATTTAATGTGTATTTACTGTCTAGCCATGCTGGCTTTGCCGCCGCGCCGGCCTTGCAACGCTTGCCGACGCCGGCGTGGGGCGTTCAGTGTGGAATACAGGTCAACTCGTACGCGAACCAACTCGTACGCGACCAACTCGTACGCGGCACAATTCGTACGCGAACCGACTCGTACGCGGACCGACTCGTACGCGGACCGACTCGTACGCGGACCGACTCGTACGCGGACCAACTCGTACGCGGACCAACTCGTACGCGTGAGTTTAGATGATTGGTTTAGCTCACATGGACAGATGAAATTAGGTTCGGTACGGTAGGTCGGCATAATTTTACCTTTTTTGAAACGTTGAGATTTTCAAATTAAATGTAGTTGATTTTTGAATCCGCCAGTGCTACTTACATTCACGATTTTTTAGAGAAGAATTCTGCGTTCGTTTGTTTTTTTACAAGTTCGCTTGATTGATTGGGAAGTACGGTCTTCGCGATAACCAGTATGATTGGTTCCCGCCGCACCACGCACTGTATAAAGAATGCATGATTGAATCGCTGTAACCTGTGTATGCCGCGGTACAATTGCTGGTTGGTTAGACCATGGAGGAAGGAATTCCTTCCTCCATGGTTAGACAAGTAAAATGACAAGAAAACACCGATATTTGCGAGGTCTATTGTATAAAAAGGAGCTACTATAAAAAAAGGAATATAGCATCACGCATGCTTATACAGTTGTACGGACAGTGTCCGCCAGTTTTTTGCTTGGGTCAGATAGTTTTTTAGTCCTAATTGTTATATATCCAAATAATATTTTGTAAAAAAAGAAAAATGGGGAGTTGATTTTTATTTTTTGTTAAAATCAGAATTTTATATAATTTCACCGGAAATACGAGGTTTCTTGGGTCAAATGCGATTTTCTTGGGTCAGAAAATTAATTTTTTGCTTGGGTCCGATAATTTTTTAGTCCTAATTATTATGTATCCAAATTATATTTTGTAAAATAAAACAATGGGGAGGTGAATTTCACTGATTTTTAAAAATTAGAATTTTATTTAATTTCACCGGAAATGCGAGGTTGCCCTGAAAATAATTTTTTTTCTTGGGTCCGAAAATTAATTTTTAACTTTGGTCCGATAATTTTTAGTCCTAATTATTATGTCTCCAAATTATATTTTGTAAAATAAAACAATGGCGATACAACACTCGTCTAACTACAAAAATCAGTTACTTTATTATCATCATTCACGGGTTCACTCCCAATCACACACAACGGTCACACATTGAACTACGGACTACCCGTCACACTATTCCCAAATTCTTCCCAACCATGCCAACCCAATCCTCGAAACCACTCGTAAAACAGCCCGCGTACGAGTTGGTTCGCGTACGAGTTGGCTTGCGTACGAGTTGGCACGCGTACGAGTTGGTTCGCGTACGAGTTGGCTCGCGTGCGAGTTGACCAATCCACGTACGAGTTGACTCGCGTACGAGTTGGTTCGCGTACGAGTTGACCTGTTTCCTCAGTGTGTACGTGTGCGGTGTGTGCGGGGCGCGTGCAACTGCAAGTGTGGCCAGAGCTCAATTCTTTTTGGCAAAAATTCCATACTGGGCCACCACTCATATTCCTCAATATGACCTGAAAAGTACCAAACGTGGAGTAATTGCAGAATACCCCGCCACTCGGAAATACACCCCTAAAATCACTGGCTACGACTGTACGAGGTTGGAATCACTGAAAAAGAAACATTTCAAGTCCGTTGCCAGCTACGCGGATACTGAGTGGGGTCCATTATTTGAGAATGAAGCAACACAAAATGAATGGGAGGTCCTGAAAAAAATTCTAAGTCCAAACCAACCACCCTGTTGGCGGCTACGGAGTGGGAGTCCCCTTGAATATGCTTGAGAACGAAGCAACACAAAAGGAATGGGAGTTGCTGACAAAATTGTAAGTCCAAACCAACTACCCTGTTGGCGGCTACGCGGTTACGAAGTGGGAGTGCAATGGAGCATGACGCATAGTACATACAAGTAGCGCTGAGAATGTTTATTGAGGTCAATCAGCCGTGACCTCGTAGCCGGCTACAAGGTGGATAGATCGAGTGGCGGGGTATTCTGCAATTGTGCCCCAAACGTTGTTAATCTGATGAAGAAACACTGTATAAGGAGTGCAAAAGTTCTTTGATAATACTTTAAAATGTTCTGTCATGGCCTAGCTCTACTGAGTAGAGCGTTGAATTACGGGTACCCCTCCATACAAACGCTCCACCGATTTGCCATACTTTGGTGACGGCGTCACAGTAGCATAGTCACATACCCATGCGAGGACAAAAAGACCCCCAAAAACCCGGTAAAGAGAATACAAATAAGAGAGACAGTTACCCTGGATTGATTTACACATTCATGACGTTCCATCAGACCCCTTACATTGTTCCCAAACAGCGAACATTTTGAAGAAAAACAGCAAAATAGTCTGAAAACTTACAGCTCAATGTGTTCGCCGTGAGGCTCAATCCTTGCACCGGTTTGCCGAATGAGGGCGTCTGACGTGACGTCACCGTCGTTGCTCGATCGAAGAAAAACAAGTCGCGCTTTATCAACGACTGCTTCGTGTCAGTCAATGATACGTGCTCCAATCCGCGCCGTACGACAGTATGGGCTTTGCACACACCCAAGGAGCAGGTATCATTACACGAGACAGTCGTTGATAAAGCGCGACTTATTTTTCTTCCATCGAGCAACGACGGTGACGTCACGTCAGACGCCCTCATTCGGCAAACCGGTGCAAGAATTGAGCCTCACGGCGAACACTTTGAGCTGTAAGTTTTCAGACTAAATGCTGTTTTTCTTCAAAATGTTCGCTGTTTGGGAACAATGTAAGGGGTCTGATGGAATGTCATGAATGTGTAGATCAATCCAGGGTAACTGTCTCTCTCATTTGTATTCTCTTTACCGTTTTTTTGGGGGTCTTTTTGTCCTCGCGTGGGTATGTGACTATGCTACTGTGACGCCATCACCAAAGTATGGCAAATCGGTGGAGCGTTTGTATGGAGGGGTACCCGTAATTCAACGCTCCACTCAGTAGAGCTAGTCATGGCCCATAGACTTTGTGCAGGAGCTCTGAGTGGTGGCCCAGTATAGAATTTTTTCCCGTAATGAAGCTTAAATTCTGTAAATTCATGCGAGCGTAGGATCTTGCATTGCCAAGAAATTTGAGGGGAAAAAAACAACTTCAACACAAAAACAAACTTACAGCAGAACTTTTGATTTTCTGAGGTCACGCACGGTACGCTGGTACTCCGAGTCGTGCACACGCGAAATGGTAGTAACCGCCCGGGTACCAGTACAATCTCGTGCGCCGAGTGTTTCTATGCAAACTCTGGATATACTCATGTATCATGTATGTAGCCACGTTCACGGGTCTAACCTGGACCCTTTATAATATCGCCTTTTTTAACATTCGGACATTATGGTCTGGCGATAGTAGGGTCTACGTTTATAGGATTTTCCGTTTATAGTGCAATAGGCACAAGGGATTGGTGTGTTTAGACATCACCCAGTCAGAGGCGAGTAGAGGCAATCTTGACCTCTTGATCCATCAGACATGCCTGGGTACACAAACTGCTGTTGCATGTTATCACTGGCTCCGGCGCGAACTGGTTAAGATCTCACTCTCTCATTGAAACCAGTTTGGGGATTTTGGACTCGCCCAACTAGTTAAAAGCGATATTTAAAACCAACATGTGTGTCACAGATAGAGTGCAGGGTTTTGATTTTTTGAGGGAAATGTTGGGTAATTATTTTGATAATTTGGGGGTACAATTACAATGAAGAAGACAAACGCAACACGAAAATAACGAAGGCAATTACTGCGACGCTATGTTGATTCAGATGGCATCAACTAGAAAATGCATTTGAATCCCGCATTTTTTTTCTACCAAAAATACTGTTCAAAATCACCACAAAAATAGGGTGATCAGAATTAAAAGTCTTCTGCTTTAGGATACAAAAGTCCTTTTTAAAATAATAAAAACATTCTTGACTTTTTAAAGTTGACCAAAATTGAAGGGGCCTGTACCTAGTACACAATCCCCAAAACTTTTATAGTAACTTACCGCTCTGAAACATATTAGTGATGACATCTTTTTGGCTGCTTTCTTTCAAGTAGGGTTCTTAAAAAACAGTCAAATCCAAGGCTCGCCCCTCCAAGAAAAATCTGGGACGTTCTTACAGTTTAAGTTTCTTTGTGGTGGTCCGAAACATGTTGCATTGCTGGATGCAGGAACTCAAATGCACTTTCTTTTGGATGCAAGTCCTACGTTTCAACAGTCACTCGGTCTTAGATGTCCAGTTAAGTTTACACTGACGGGCGCATTGACAAACTGCACCTGCATTTCTCCCATGCGGTGTGAAGTTGCCGGGGTCTAGTAGCAATGATGTAGTTTCTAAGGTGTCACTCAATACCTCTTGAGGAGGTTGGAGGCAAGGACCGTGATATATTAGGAGCAGTACAAATTGTTGGCATTGTTGAGAGATTCATGTGTATAATGTGGTTTGTAAAGATTTTGTCGTCTTGTACATACAGTAGATGTGCATTAGAAGCATGCATAAATACCATTGAATTGCATGCATTTGTAAGAAATGCCATCGATCCAAAAACATGAAACAATACATAAATTGTGCTAGAGAAATCTGTATATATATATACACATGTAGGTTCAATTATTTATTTATTTGAAAAAAAAAAAAATTATTAGCAAAAGTAATTTTTGAAAAAAAGTGGCCTGTTAAAATGATATGTTAACAAATGTAAACATGATTTGAACAAAACCAGTTATTTTTTAAAAAAGTGGCCTGTTAAAATGATATGTTAACAAATATAAACATGATTTAAACAAAACCAGACAACCAGATATTGAAATATATTTGGGATTTTTAAATATTTTTTTTTCATAGACGACATGTCAGAATGTAGAATTTGTATAAAAAAAAGTTCAAATGACTTTAAATTTAGTGCAGTTAATTTTTACAACCAAGCCAATAGTGTCTCTTTAAGCATGCAGTGGGTCGCTTGGGCAGGCATCTCCCGCTGGCAACATCCGTGCCTCTGCATCATGCTCAGTCACAGAGCCAACGAAACCCAGGCTCTGCCCTGATGCAAAGCAGGGCTGGCACAGCATGCGTCTGGAACGATAATTGCCAACAAATGTTTCATGGCCTTACCCTCAGGGGCAACATATGTCGTGAAGTACATGATCGTACATTCAAATTTGGAAGCTGTTTTTTGCAGTCACCTGCTTTTGAACTGGACTGTAGCTAGTGACATGTCTGCACGGCTGCCGGGTTATTCCTATTCCCATCCCCAATGAAAGATGCATAAATCACATCATTATTGTAATCTCATGCATTTGCTGTCCTCATCAAAGATGATTGTTTACGCTTGCTGGGAATGTTCCAAGTCATTGCTTCATCCCTCACACTTGATTGACGAGCGAACTAAACCCTAAGGTCGCTAGTATTTCTTTTAAACTCATTTTAATGGGGTCCATGTATCAACTATGTTGAACCTTGGTCAGCTGCTGCTTCAGTTTGACTAGAATAAGCATGAAAAGTGTATAGATCTTGCATACAATGGCAATGTTACTCATGTTTTGGTTAAATTGAGAATATAATTTAATATTTGTTCATATTTGTACTCTCCTCTTTATCATGTATGTAGGCAAATGGAACACTTGGCTCGGCTTTTATCAAGGAGGATGGTGACGTGAATGTAGTTACATCATGGAGCTGTATAGCTCCATGGTTGCATGGATGAAGAACATGTATGATGGCATGCCACACCTTTGTATAAAATCACAGGTATGTTGTATGTTGTTTGTTTGTTGGGTTGTTTGTTTGTTTGTTGCTTTTTAAAGGGAAGATACAACATTTGCAAACATCACAAAACAAAATGATCAAATTATCACAAAATACCTTACTTGATTGTTAAAGAATGACAGTCTAAATAGCATCCTGTAAAATAGTGGCTCCTGGTATGCTGACATTCTCAAGAAAAATGGTAATATTCCAATGCTGGTCGGCTGATGACCAGCGTTGGAGAAAACTAGCTTTTTTACTCAAACACTGCTCCTAATTTTTCACAATTTATTCCGCGTTTTGTTTGCAATTGATTACACACCTGTGAAGTGTGAAGGGGTTCAAGCCTGCTAGACTGATCCTCTGACCCTACAATTCCCCAAAGTGTATAAATTCTCCGTTTCATCTTAAGTGGGGTCAGGGAACCAGACTACAAGAACATGAACGGTTTTCTTGGGTTTTCCAGTATCTACAAGCCCAAAACGTGAAACAAGTCATTTTAACAATATTTGCTATAACATACTAATCCTCCAAATTCATTTATTTCTGAAAATTGCAGCAAAAGCAAACGTTGTACATTTCCCTTAAGTAAATGTGCTTCATGACCATCATTGAGCACTCCTAGGGAGAGACCGATTGCTGGCGTGCACTGGTTTACGTATATGGCGCAAATTACTAACGATTGATTGTATTCTGAATGTGCACAAAACCATATTGTACGGCCACAGTGCGTTCAAGTCCCAAACTCTCTATTTGTTGAGCAGCTACAAATGCAAGGAGTCCATAAGGTTGATGCATCTCTGTGTCCCATCTGCCCAGTGATGAGTCTTATGCCGTGAGGCGGGCCGCTGAACACTGACATGGACCTTCCACTTTTTCTCCAATCTTTCGTTTCCTCAACCTCTTTCTCTGTTGCTGTGTTTTCCGTCTCTGTGTGTTCTCAAGTCTCTTTTCTATCGCTCATTCTTCGATGAGTCCGTTGATGGTGTTCAGCTGGATGGCCGTCTGTGATAGTCAAGATTATGAGAGCTGAGGGCAGAACACAGATAACATATTTTTTATTTGTTCAGACAGCAAATCCATGCTGCCACATTGTTTGACTGAAATGTTTGGTCAGCCATAATATAATGCATCCCCCAAAAAACATTGTATAGGTCTTACTGTTGTGAAGCTTAAAGATAATTATTTTGAAATGAAAAAAAAAAGTAGCGCTGTCATTTAATAACTTTAACCTATACATGATAAAATTTACTTTAAGAATAAATATTTTTTCCTGTTTTTTTTTTCCCAGAGAGTGGCTATGAGCAGCATGTGATTCTCTGGACCCCACTGTTGCATTATCTTCAATTTTGATGGTCGAGGTGTCCACGATATGTGTAAGTTATTCCTAAGCTACAAATGTTGCAGCAATTTTTTGTCTGAAATGTACATGTACTGCTAACCGGAGATTTGTCGGAGTGCGGATTGTTTCACCCTGTGATGACAAAAGATGCCTTATTCTGAGATGGCCCACAGTCAGTCCCTTCTCCAGTCACTTTTCCCTACTAATCTCCTCAAGCATCCTAACTGTACCCCATCCCATACCCCCGTCCCTACCATCCATCACCCACCCTACTTCCTGGAGTTGTGGCTTGTCTGTGGTGCTTTGTTCCGTGAGTGGAAAACAAGGCTGTCTGAGGGTACAGTGTCTGAAATCTCCGTAGTATTGACAGATATTTACTGAACTCCTGATGGAAGTTTTGCCTGAAGAAGTACCTTTCACTGATGTATAAAGCTATAAAGCACTGTACGTATGCATACTCTGTGCTGCCTGAGATTGTGCGAGAGCATATGGGCTCCGTGCACAAGCACTCCTTCGACGGCCAGAAAAGAAGAGTTGGGGGAGACCTAGACTGGTTCCCGATCCATCCATTACATATTTCGAATGATCAAAAGTTATTGGGGGCGGGGATTAGTCTGGGAGACCGTCGCACAAGTACTGTGCAGTACGCACACGCTGTGTGTCCCGTCCACGGGACTCTCAGAAGTGGTAAAAACGCGCCCTCTTTTGTTGGTGCACGGTGGTTGGCCCCGAATTCCAGGAACTTAAGAAATCGCCATATCTCGCTCCCAGACCTATTTTCATGAAACTGGGTGGTTCTTGAGTCCGAAGTGCTAAATGGTAACACATGGCAACCAATGGAAATGCACATGCTAATGAAAAGATGTTTTATCAGCTTGGATGACCGTGACATAATGCAGCACCACCCTATATAGGAAAAATTCCCAAGATTGCTTGAATAGGATTCGAACCCACGACCTCCTGTTAACTTGCGCAGATGTCTCAACCAGCTTGACCTCTGAGCTTGCTGGGGTTGATGGCCGGTTCGAGTCTGATACAGCAGTGGGAACAGCAGTCCGTGATTAAAGATGAAATTTCTGCATCACTGATATGTTCTTTTCCTTGGTTTTTTACCCTAACCTTCCCAAATCCTCCAACATTCTCCTTGCATAAGTGGAGGATTTTGAAGGATTGAGGCTATGTGGCAAAAATGTGTGGCTGATTTTGTAGGATGCGCTGTGTCAAGGTCTTAGGCCGGACGTTGTGTTTTTATACTCAGCCGTGTATAAATTTAGGCCTAGATTATACTTGAAACCCTCCGCATTGCTGCATGATGTCACTGGCTCTGTCTCCACATTTTGACCATTATTGCTGGAGAATTTTGAAAGATTGAGGCAATGGTCACCTCTAACACATTCAAGAAATAATGGGCAATTCCACGGTTACTCACGTTACATTTTTGATGTACTTTTGAGTTTCCTTTGGCTGTAATTACCTTACTGAAAAGGTTTAATAAATGTTATCCCCATGGTAGATAGAGTAGACCTAGACCTACCTAAGCATCAAAGATGACATCCAGAAAAATGTGTTATGTATGATAAACAAGACGCACAAATCGGTTACTCACGTAACATTTTCGTAACGTGAGTAACCGATTTTGTGCGTCTTGTTTATCATGCATAACACATTTTTCTGGATGTCATCTTTGGTGCTTAGGTAGGTCTAGGTCTACTCTATCTACCATGGGGATAAGGTTATTACATAAGGTTATTACAGCCCAAGGAAACTCAAAAGTACATCAAAAATGTAACGTGAGTAACCGTGGAATTGCCCTAATGGAGGATTTTGCAGGATTAAGGGTGTATGCAATTTTTACATGGAGGCAGTTTGAAGATTTTGCAGGATTGAGGTTGCATCCTAGCAAAAATGCCTAGGGAGTTAGGTTCAATGTAGGGTTGAGCCTATGGGCTCATGAAAGCATTTTTTTTCCCAGTTGCATAAATTTATATAATGAATTATTTCCACAGGTGGGTTGGTCTCTCTTCTTTCACAAATGATCAGAACTAACTTCTGACACAGAAGGGGTGAAGCACCGAATGAAGGCAAGTTCAAACCTGTACGCCTTTAAATAGAGCAAGTGTCTAAACTGTCGAATTTGAAAATGTCAGATTTGTTTCATCTTCTGACCCATTTCGGATCTGTAAGAGGAGTATGCTTCTGTGGCTTCAGAAGATCAGCCAAAAGCAAAACTTCAAACCGTGAAAATAAGCATGCAAAATAAGCATAAAAAAGACTCCGTGCACAAGTACAAGGGACTATTAGAACTACTTTGCCTGACGATGATTTGGACATACCTCACGCCATATGCAAGCAAACCAGTGCCTGCACTCGGTGTGTCCCTTCCAATGGAGGTCTCGGGAAGGGCTCATGCACGGAGTCTATAAGTATTCGATGCACATGAACATGGATTCCTGAATTTTGTTTATCAAAAGATTATAAGACATCATCAAATGTAGCTTTAGCAGGTATGACAGCTTTCCCTCCGGAAATAATGTTTCGGCTTACCATAGGCAACAGGTCAAGTGCCCAGTGATGACAAATCATGCCGTGAGGCTGGCTGCCGAACACTGACTCGGACAACTTTCTCCATCTTCATTCTTCCCACTGAGTTTTTCCATCTTTATTCTTCCCTTCTCCTCCCCGTCTCTCTCCCCGTCCTCTGGTATTTCCTCCTTTCTTTGTCTGACGATGTGTTTGGCTGGATAGCTGCCTGTGATAGTCAAGATTATGAGAGCTGAGGGCATTTGACATCGACTCCCTTAATTACAACAATATCAGAAAGTTTTGTTAGCCTTAGCAATGCCCATGGGTGTCAATGACCCCTTTGTGCCCATGACAAAATAAAATAAAAAAATATCATGTGATGTCTTGTGGTCACCTGCTTCGGTCAAAAGTACAAGACGATAAAGTTTGCAGTTAATGTGTGACTGTACCTTATGTACCTCGTTGGAAAAAATCTTGCAATTAGTTGCTATGAGAATATTTATAAAGGGTAATCCAAGGATTAAACCAAATTTAAAATGTTTCCCCATTTTGATGTTTTTTTATGCTTTAAATGCTCCTTACATTTTATGGCAGATTGCAGATCTCTGGATGTGGCCACAAATTCAGAAGTACACAGGAGGTATGTAGTTTCTGTTAATTGATGTGTAGTCAGAATTTGTACCATTGTCATGAACATGTTCTGTTTTACTATACTGCCTCATACCCTACCCTAAGTTGCATGTGATGTGTAAAGTGTCTTCATTTAAGACCACTTTAAATCCCATTCTTACAATATGGACTCTATTCACAAATACCCCCCTCAACAGGGGGAGAGTTAGGACAGGTCACTGGGAGGGACATTCACACGCATTGCCGATGGTGCCCAACACTTGCACCATGACGTACCAAGTTTGTGCAGATTCAGAATAAATTAGCTGTACATACTTTTTGCCAAGGGGATGTGTGACCTAGTGGTTAGGGTTTGTGACTCATGATCAGAGGGTCAGGGGTTCGAATCCAGCTGCTGGCCGTATGTTGTGTCCTTGGGCAAGCCACTTCATCCCAACTTGTCTCTCTCCAGCCAGGAGTATAAATGGGTACTGGCATTAGCTGGGGAGTAACCTGCGATGGACTTTCTATTCCCCAGGGGGATTAGAAATATCTGTCGTTTCATGTCACTGTAACCAAAGATAAACGCCGGCCTGATGGGCCTTACTCGCTAGGGACAGACTTTACTTGACTTTTCGCCAAGCTGATGCAACTGTACTTTACGTGTGCAGAGGGTGTCTTCCACTGGAGCTCTTGACAGGGGTCACAAAGCGCCCTCTACTGTTCATGCACTGAATCGATTGAGTAGTTGTGCCCAGTGATGACATAGATGCCTTATTCTGAGGCCCATCTACAGCTGGTACCATCCCAATCCTCTGTCTGCCTCACCTCGCCTTCCCCTTGCCTCTCATCTCCAATTCTTTTCTTGCTTCTCTGTCCCCATCTGTTTCTCACCTGAAATCAGCTGTAGAGCGTCTGAGCGGACAAATACTTGAGTCTGAGGGCTTTAAATTGGCACTTTAGCATAGTATTACTAAGCGCATTGATAGCTTTTTTGTTTTTTAAATAAACCTTGTTCCATGGGCCCATGATGAAACCCATGGACACTGTAAAAGTACAGTATCAAACTACTGTGGAAGAACTTGTACCTTTTGCTCTAGGTATTTGGTTGTCAAGTTTCTGATACTTATTTTATGTGACAATATTTTTGCTTTGCCCTAAAAGCCCTTTGTTTTTGGAAATTAGAGCTAGACTAGTTCACCTCAGTTTTTAACTTTTTCTTTTCAGGTTGTCAGAATTTGGAACCAAGCTCTTACGTTACTCATAGGAGTACTACATGCGTTTTGAAGGAGCTTCATTCAAACAGAGGCATCTGTGTGGTGTTTTAGCTATAAAAAGTAGTTGGACTTCTTGGAAGCCTTTTTCTAAAGCATAGAGGATTTGTGGGCAGTACTGAGCATTTTGTGGACGGTGTTACAATTGAGTGCTGTTGTAGCTCAGACATATAACAAATTATGTGGTATACATTGTAGTTGGGTAGAATTTAAGCATATCTCTAGACCTTGAGGTGTATGTGCACATGTATTTTGTTAATTAGAAGTACATTTTGTACAAGCACGTTTGACAGATGTAGAGCGGTTAGAATAACAAAAAGTCATAGAATTGGAAGCTTAATACGTTCGTGTCACTCTCGCTTTTTGCATGCCACTGCACAGTCTGGCCATACAATGTCGGAAGCAAATTGCCCCATCACAGTGCCGGACCAAGCATCAGTCTCTGGCAAGCCTTCATCAAACATTTTACTGACTTGCTTGATTCATTCAAGAGCTATTTTGATGATAAACTGGACTGGTTGAGAAAAGAAATAAACCAAACACAAGAGGCGCAACCACAAGCAAAACCTGAGCCCACCTTTAAATTGAAAGGAAAACCAATCAAATTTGTGCAACATGCCATACAAGATTTTCTATCAAAAGGTTTAGTTGCCCAGGTATCACAGAAACCCACAGTTGTAAATCCCCTTTCAGTCTCCACACAAAGTTCTGGCTAACTTAGGTTAATTCTGGATTTGAGACATGTAAATACAGGTATTTGGAAAGATTCTGTCAAGTTTGAAGACTGGAAAGTCGCATTATCTTATTTCTGAAAGACGATTATTTGTATACCGGTACTTTCGGTCTCAAGTCTGGGTATCACCATATGTAGATATTTGTGAACCTCATTAAACCTTTCTTGGGTTTTCATGGATAGACAAGAACATCACGCAGTTTTACGTATTCAAAGTCCTTCCCTTTGGGTTATCATCAGCACCTTATGTTTTTACAAAGTGTCTCCGACCACTAGTCAAACTTTGGAGATACCAAGGAATTTTCATTCTGTATTTAGATGACGGATGGTGTAGGTCCCCAGACAAAACTTCGGCCTTAAATACCGCTTAACAGGTGTAGCTTGGTATTCATTGATCCGCCTTGCAAGACAGAGACAACTGCTTGATTATCGGTGAAGATCTTTACATTCTTAAGTGTAATTTTATGTTTAAAGGCTGAAAGTGCTGATACTCCAAGGCCAAGCTCTGTGGTTCATAATGTCTGTACATTTATAATAGAATCCTCTGCCTTGTATGAAAAGTGTATTGTTTCCAAGATAATTGCTCAAGTCTGGGTTGTACTTATTCAGGTTGTAGGTGTGTTTGTTCTAGATTGAAACATCAAATGTATAGAAACCATTTTAACAATTTTTTTGATTTAGAGTAATGAATGTTAACTTGGAGGGAAATTAACAAAGTTTTAAGTGTTTTGTCATTTAAATGTTATTCTGAACCCTTAAGCCTTAACTCTGTATTTTCTGAAATTTTTCTGCAAAACGGCCATGTTTTGCCTTTCAAGTAATTTTCATATTCCATTTAACTGTTTTGCAATTATTTTTGTTCCATTCATATTTTGAAAACGGGGATGCATTCAGAATTCAGAATAAAATACACAAATGAATGGACAACCAAAGGTCCTTGTTTTTGTTTCATTTTATTAAGAACTTAATTACAGGTTTTCATGAAAATAATAGTTGGATTTAAGTAATGTGTTTTTCTCAAAATCATCTAGAATATTACATATTATGACCGGCATGTTGAAGACTGGTGATGTAAAAGGTTTAGCAGTTGTCGTATAATCGGTATAATGATCTAGGATACAACCAATATTTTTTTTGTCTAAAGACACTTTATGAAATTATTACATGTACAGCTTTCAGCATCTAATGCTTACTGTGTGACGGGAAATATGGCTCAATGCAAGTTTTACTGCTGAACAAAATTCAAACTTGTTTATATAACTTTATAACTTCATTTTTGTTCATTTCCAGTTCAAAACTGAGAAACATTGGGATATAATTTTGTATGAAATTCTTTCTTGGGTTAAACAAAACTACAACCACTAAACTAATGATACAAAATACACCTTAAACTCCCACTCCCCCAATGGTAGCAAGTGCAATGTTTTCACAAATGCTTATTCTCAAAATAAATGTAAATCAAAAATTCCATCTTATAATTATAAAATAAATGTAGATTTGATATACCTTAACCAAATTTGTGTTCTTGGGCAAGACACTTTACTACAATTGCCTCTCTTTACCCAGGAGTATAAATGGGTACCTGTAATGGTAGAGACCAGAATGCGCTGATCTCGAGCTGCTGCAGAAAACTGGTCTCATGGCCTGATGAACAGGGGTACTAATCCTGAAGCGCTTTGAGACCTTTGGTACAAAGCGCTACATACGCACATAAAAATTATAAGAAAACGCTCACTGGTTGAAAAGACCTTTTTACAAGCAGAATATCTTGAGTAAGACAACCATATCCTTAATATGCTTTAACTGCAACACATGGAGTTTCACTTTGATACAATACAAAAGTTTTTTGAATAAATTAAAATGAAATGTTCTCTGTTCTGAGCGAAGAAAATACTCAACAACAGAGATTTCATTATGATTCGCGAAGTTTGCCACCCCTAACAAGTTTGCTTGTCAAATATGTAATAGTCATAACTTCGTTAGTACTTCTGATATTTGCCAGTGAAAAAGGTAACTTCTTTGCTGAAAAACAAATCTACTTGCTATCTGTGATGGCACTTTAGGTAATATACGCACTCCTGTGAGTATCTTTCTTCTCACTCGAGGGACTGGATTAGTACTCATAAACACCTGCCTGTCGGCCAAGTATAAAAAAACGGAAAATTTAACCAAAGTGAAACTATGCTTGAAGAAACAGTTTTTAAATTGTTATTTTGCGGGTTATTGACTGTCATTCCATGGCTAATCTATCCAGCACCCTGCGGTAGTCCGTCATCAGTTCCTGGTACCAGTTCTCCAGTGTCTCGTGGCGCTCTTGCAGGCTGGTACCCTGCATCGTCGCGGCCAGTTCCTCGGGCTTCAGCGTTCGACACATCTTCTCCTGGTCACACTTTTGCTTCTAATAAACCACAAAGGAGTACAAAAAGGCAGGGAACAAACTTAAGAAAATGTGCAAAGCTTGTCCATGGAGGCATAGTCTGGGGGGAAATTACTTTCCTACGGCTTGCAATTATACATTATGGCTATGGAAGCGGCTGAGCCACTTCCCATAGACACGTGCGTTGCTGCTAGCCATATCCAAGTTTTTGGACATGCCTAGCCATAGCCAGGTTGTTTTTGGACATGCTCTTATGGACTTGGTAAGCTGAAGAAACATCTGTACAAAATCAAATAAGCTGAGACTGATAGTAGTTGATTGAAAATATTTTACATATTTTTCTCTTTTAACTTTTTTGGGGGGTTCTGTGGTGCATGACAATAACTATGACCAAACTTATCCTAACTCCCTATGACTCCATCACTGCACAGAATGCAAAATTATCTTGAAGCTTGGATGATGCATCAGGCCTTGTGTAGACTAAACTAAATGGGCAGCAACTTTCCTTATGCCTGCAAAACCCTTCAAAACCTCCAGGTGGATTTTGAAAGATCTAGGAGGGTGGGTGTTACAAATTTACAGAAAAGAAAGTAAAAGCTGTGTTGTAAAATCAAAATGTTGGCAGACCACCACGACAGACCTATGAATTTTTTCTGTCTCAAGGCTTGAATTTACCACAACTCAAAAACACTCTGAAATATCTATATTTTATGTACGGCCTATTCATCAGTGTTTTTTAACCATTTGTTGCATTTTCCCAGTTTCCCTTTCTGTCATTCTGAAACCTTTCATACACAAACTGCTACATTCAAGCAACAGCTTCAGACCTTTTGCAGAGAATTTCATAAACACAGTTAACTGATAGTACAAACTCAGTGAAATCAATGAAAAAATTCACGCGAAGAAAGTCTGAAAACACACTGTTGTACACTGAATCAGTACTGTACCGGTATTTCATACAATTCAGAAGCAGGGAATATGCACCAAATGAATTTAATTTTAAACTTGGTTGAAAGATTTATGTTCTTGACCAAATTGACATAATAATAAAGTTGGAAAAAAAAAATTGACTGGAGCAGGGTTTGAACCTGCGACCTATGGATTACCATACCGGTGCTCTACCATCTGAACTACATGTATCAAGCCCTGTGTTGGGGTTTTCCCAATTTGTCAATACCTTTGTTCAAGGGGTGCTAGTCAGAAGCCATAAACCTGTAAAGGCCATGTGGCCAGGGATTATGCTTAAATGAACTAAACTGTGAAATCACATCAATGCAAAAACAAAATGGTTATGGGTTCGAATCCTGCACATGTCAATTTTGCCTGTGGAATTTCCCCAGCAGGTTTAAGCCACGTGTAACGCACCTGGAATGGGACATTTAGTCTTCTCTTGATATCCAATCTGTAGGCTTTCATTTCGGCAGGGTCTCGAGCGTCGGTTTCCCGCAATCTCAAGATCTCGTAGACCCGCCGGACTTGCTTCTGCAAGGGAAAGGGAATCAGGGTTCAAAGAATTATTAACGGCTGGGGGAAAAAAAATTGGTTACCTCACTTGCAAAAACAATCTCAACTACCCAAATAAAAACATTCAAGCCAGAAACCAAGTTTCAGGTTGGCACAGTGCAGTGGTTCATTCCTTGCCTTCCACCTCCATGGTCCAGCAGCTGATTTCACGAAACCTTACGCAATGGCGCAACTCACTGGCGCTACACTTTATTGCGTAAGTTGCGTAACATTTGACACTGCGCAACATTTCACTTATGACACATTTCACGCAACTCTCATACTGCAGAGGTCTGCGACTTGTGCCATAAATTATGGCATAACTTGCGCAATCATAATTTAGGTGGCATAGGTTGTGGCGTGGTGACTGAAAATGACCTATTTTACAAGTAAATCGCACAACTCCTCAATGTTGATACAAGACACTCACAGGATCTTGTTTGAGGTACATGAATTACTATTTTACTCGTGACAAAATTTGAGTGTTGCCGCACGATTCCGAAGAAAGTCGGACAAAATAATTTTTAAAATGACGGGCTGCGGTGATTCAACGACTGTTTCGTGAACGAACACATTCATTCATATACAGCTGTCGCAAATGCTGTTATTATCCTCAAGATGTTTCCATTATTTAAAATGTTGCGCAGCTACGCCAAGTTTCGTTAAATCAATCGTAAGTTTGTTGCGCAGCTGCGCGCAACAAATTTGTTCCGTAACTCTTACGCATGGCACAAGCTATGCACTTTTTTCGTGAAATTGGCTGATGGTTTGTTTGGTTCCTGCCCTGGTCCACATGTGAATTGGGTTTCCCGAGAATATTCTTCTGGGGTTTTCCTCCCACCTCTAAAACTGTACTTTCTTCCCATTGTCTTCTCACTACAGGTCTCTTAAGGCCTGCGAGCTACAGTGCCTAGGGTGCTTTAACCAACTGCAATTCGGGCGATAGCCTCGGAAACTTTGGAATAATTAATTTACCAATCTAATCTTATAATTTTCCTAGTATATGAAGATTATTCACAGCTTTCCTGTGTAAAATCTTTTCCACTCCAGGAAATAAAATGTGCCAAAGTAAAAGGAAAACAAAAAGCCGCACCTTGCACAACTTCAGTTTTTCCAGAGCCTGTTTCTCCATGTCTACCGAGAAGCCATTCTCCAAATTGTGACGTTCAAACGCCGGAAGTTTCATACAATCCCGGCAGTCCAAAAAATCTCTCAGCCTCACAAAATCTTCAGAGGGATCCTCAACTGCAGGGAAAAACAAATTAAAAAACAACAAATTCTACTTCAACGTTTGTTTTCTGAGACATCAACTGCATAAAACATAACACAAAATGCGAAATAGATTTTTTTTAAAATATTCTTATTGCCATTTTAGTTTTAAGATTTCTAGAAGAGATCTGGAAATTGATATTCTGAAACCTAAAATAATTGCACTACAGGGATTCATGAAAACCCTTTATGCTTCATCTAACTACTTGCACATTCCAACTGTTTGTGCAGCGAGACGTCTGGTTGGAAACAGAAGGGAATGGTCCTCCATAGTGCTAGCTCCAAGGATTCTTTCAGAAGCCAAGGGAGGACAGCATTAAGTCAAGTCAAGTAAGTCAACTACTTGCCGCCGGGATTATTTTTGGCCAAAAAACACCATCTATGAAAAAGACAAGAAAGTCGGCCAAATTTTTGAATTAGGTCAAACACCACAAATACTGACTCTTGAGAGTCATTTGAACAACATTTGTATGATATTTCTCACCAAATTTCATATTTTGCAACACTTCGAGGCTCCACCACGGAGCCATATTTGCTACAACGACAGGCCAGGTACAGCGGCCAAATTCAAGTTCAAAACGCGGTGTGTACAAAACCAATGGGAACCACTGACGTGTATACACGTCCACCACTGGAAACTCGGGGAAAGCTTGATGATTCAACCAGTCACCCGTCCCTGGGAATATATATGGCCAGATCGTGCCTACACGCCATTCGCTGTTATCTGGTTAATTTAGTATATTTTTTAAGCAACTAAACCTAATTTCAGGCCAAATTATGTCAGACAAAACTAATTTCATACCTGTGATGTCAAGGACTTTGGTATCATTCCTGAAGTGTGTGTTCATTGTGTCTAGTAACTGGACTCCATGCCCCATTCTTTGGAATGGCGGTAGTATGAGCACCTGACTACAAGGGCAAAAAAAAGGAGGGGGGAATTGTGAATATTAGCATGTAAATATGTGGCGCAGTGAATTTTGAAAATTCACAGAACAAATACACGTACAGTAAAAAACTGACTCCCGAAATCCATTTGGTTTTTGTTCAAACATTTGACAAATCAGGTAGACGGTCAAAAAAGGTCTGTTGTCTGACCGTAATGTCATTCTATAGTGGTGACCCCTATTGACCAATCGCCGTTTGCAAGTTAGCCACGCCCCTTAGACAACCCTATGGAGTTTCTGTACACTAAGTTCTGTTTGTCTCAAATTTTCCATTCATATATCATGTAAGTGGTCAATATTTCATAAGCTGCATTGACGCGATTCTAACGCAATCCTTCCGCGATAGGTCAATTAACGTGGCACACTTCAACGTTTCCTTCGACTTTCCTCATGCAGTGTTGCCAAACCTCTTTGTTAATTTTTTAATTAAACTTTTTAATTCAAACTAGTACATTTACCTTAATAATGCTTCCTGTCAAACCTTTGTGAACAATTTTGGTGTCATGAAATTCAGTCAGAAATTCCAAAACAGTGGCATCGAAAATCCCAAGTTGACAAATTAAAATGTTTTTAACGTTGACAAATTCTGATAAACCATTAATATCTCCACTCACATACTCAGGTACAAGTTTGTCAATGCATTATTTCTTATTTTTAGGTGCATTTTTTAAGGGTTCATTGTGCATTTCAAAATATAATCGGAAAAATCACGCAAAAACAAATTTCCCTGTTAACTCTGTTACGGGTAGGTAAACTCAAGAATTTTGAACGGGAATGTTTACAAATTGATGAAATTTCACGAACTGTGAAATTTGAGGTAAAAAGTTTGCTCTAGCAAGGCACTTGAGGCGAAAAATCAAAGCGCGCCATGTTAGAGGCCGCGCTTTGTTAGGGGACAGCAACAACATCAGTGTGTTGGCAAGACACTGATAGCTTAATTGCTGGAAGATTATGGGGCATATTTCAGGTCAATCCGGTCTGTGAGAAGATTGCAGAAATATTTCCATTTCTTATTTTGAGGGGAGTGCTTACCTAATTCTTGGCCTTGTCAGGTCAGGGTAGGCATAGTACCGGTAAGCTGTGGCATAGCCGGCTATGGCATATCTCTTGTTACCACCCACAGTGTATTTCTCAAATCTGAAATAGAATTGAAAAGAAAATGCATAACGTCAAAGTACCATGTGACCACACTGTTACCCCGAAAACTAGACGGTAGGGCTTATTTTTAAGTAAAATAACCTCAAATATTAGCACCGTCGATTATCGATTATCGATTTCCAAAAAAGTTAAAGACCATAAAGATGACACTTTGATTAAAAACAAACACCAATCTTAAGTCCCAATATTCCACGGCTTTCGCTGGAGCATAGTGCTTAAATGTTTTAATACAAATCTCAGCACTGAGGGTTTGTGCAGAACGGGCAGTTTCTTTCAAGGTTTTACATGGGGGAGACCGCAAATTCCAGCAAACGCAGAGCACAGAGCGACGCCACTTATCATATGGCGATGTTTTTAGTTTGAGTCACAAGCACAAGTTGCCGCTGACTTTATTTTATTATACGAAGCGTTAAACAAAAAGGAAAAGCACAAACGGGAGATTTATTTTGACGATAATCTGATGCAATTTCGATATTTTGATATCATTCCTCAATATCGAACATTTTGATATGATTAAAAAATGCTATTGGCGATATCGATATCAAAATAATATCGAATAATCGAGTGATATAAATATATCTATATAATTATATATAATTATATATATATAAATCGACGGTGCTTACGCAAATATCTATTAGTGGCCAGTGCCGTTGTCACGGTCTCACTTCTCCGACATGCTAGCTTCTCCGAGAGGGAAATTTTGCTTCAACACGCATGCACAAAATTGCACAAAACTTTATTTGTGTGCATAGTTTTTGGGGGGTTGTACTGTGCACGTAAGATCTTAGGGTATTTGTATGTATACGTTACAGGGTACCATCGAATCCAGAATTTTTGTGGAGTGCACAACTCCCTATAACCAAAAAGAGTTGAAGGATGCACATTTATTTTCAACCATGGATGCAAAATTTAAGACAAATTGAACATGCATGGAACGAGCAAAGAACACAGACCAAGGAGTTCCTTCTTAATTATTCCTCCATGAACACACACACATGACGCTGGGAACACAAATCAGAATTCTAGCAAAACCATGGAATGACCACACTCTCAATAGCTTGACCCACAGGAAGTGTTAGATAACATATTCTTGGGTGTCCCTACGTATGGACTTGCACGCCGGAGAAGTGAGACCGTGACACCGTGTACAGTTGTCATAATCGTGCTGACCCAGCACTGGTTGCTTGCACCATGTGTTTCTCACAGATTTTGCCTACTACAATGGCGATGCTGACTTCCGGTACCCGGATGTAGGCCTGGTCACGTGGGTCAGTGAGAGAACCCTATATGAACGAGCATTTTGGATTTGACATGAAAGTTAAAGAAAATGCAAGGATCTTACATCGTGTAGTACACCCATTTTTCATCATCTGTGTCGATGTACGACGCTGCGTCGATGTACCACCACAGAAACGTCTGCAGTCTTTCGTGATACGCATGGAATCCCGGCACAGTGATATCATTGGTGTAGATCTCAAAGTGCCGCGTTGGCCCCTCCCCTTCTACTGAATATGCATGAAGCAGGTCACCGGTGGGCTTGAAGCTGGCATCATCTGAGATGAGATTGAGGAATTTGTCGAGGTTGTCTAAAGGCTTGATTTCCAGCTTGTCGATGATTGTTTTCAGGACGTCGTCAGCCTGAAAATTATAAGAACCATTCTTTTTTAGATATTTCATTTGATTTGACGTCTTGCAATTCCAGCATTAGGTAATGTCCGTAACAGAGCTTTTAAAGTTAGAGTATATCATTTGCGGCTATCCAAAAAATAACTGACAAAATTATTGATGAAACGCGCACTTGGTTTACAGATAGTAATGGCACTAAACTCCCTGTGAAATTATTCTTTCTGGCATGCTGTCATTTTTCGAAAACAATGAAAGAAGGCCATTTCCAACGATGCCTCAAGTGATGAACCGTTGGAAATTTCTGTTTGTAGTTGGTTTGTAATTCGGCGCATCCGTGAATGTGTGCACGACGTACACGCACTCGCGATTGCTAATATTCGTCAGTTCAGCGCATGACATAGCGTAGCTGCAATCAGCTGAATGAGAATGCATCCTGGACAATGATTTCAGGCCCAATTCAAAACATGACTAAGGAAAATTTTGAATTGAAAACGTGATCCTAGAATATTGTTTTTCTCGGAATATACAGCAGAGAATTCACAGAGCTAAAACTTCATCAGGTTAGTTGACAAACACCCGTCCATAGATTTAGAGCACTTCTGTAGCTTCAAAAGAAAAAAATGCACAAATGACAAATGATCTACCCTACCTTTAAGCGCTCAGTGAATAATTGTTTTGTTTCCTATTTGAGTGAGAATACTCTATTTTTCAACTCATTTTTAGTTCAGTACTCAACTTTATTACTTTTCAAATAAACACCTTTTTAATTCAGACTACAAATGTGTCTGGTTCACTTGGGCATTGGTCTAGTAAAACTTTTGTCCAGTCTAATAAATTGCTATTAGCCCCGTAATCTAGATCAAATTATCCTGAAATTGTAATTGCCTTAATCTTTAAAATAAAAAAAAAATTAAAAAAAAAGTGGATGCAACAAAAGTCTGCACAATTCGGGTGATTCACAATGCAGTGCGCCACCAAGAGTTTGCCACAGACAGTTCATTCTTCCCAGTGCATTGTGGGAGATGGTCGACAAATTCGCAGCGCGGGACATTTGAAATTGTTCGTTTTTTTCGGTTAGTAGTTTCGTAAGCCTATGATTCGAGTATCTGTTATCCCTTTTCTTTTCTTTTCATCAATATGGTGTTTATGTAAGGCGGCAGAACGCTATGCCCCAGTCTATAACGGATAAGCTCAAGTTGTCTACTGACACTCATTCAAATGGGCGATGTTTTGTCAACCGTAACTTGAAAAATGGATTCTCCATGGCAAACTCTTGGTGGCGCACTGCATTGTGAATCGCCCGAATTACCTTAACTCCATCAAAAAGTTTGCTGTTGACCTTCTCTGTGCAGGTCATGTGGAGGTATGGCATAAGCCTACCGGCAGTGAAGTACAGCTGCACCCTCAAACCCTTGTAGCCAAAAATGTTCTCACTGGGCAAAACAAATTAAAATGAGCAATTAAAGGGAAGATAAAACATTTGCAAACATCAAAAAACGAAATGATCAAATCATCACAAAATATCTTACTGGATTGATAGGGAATGACAGTCCGAAGCATCTTGTAAAAGCGTGGCTCCTGGTTTTCCAACGCTGGTCGGCCAAAAAAATTGATATTATTATCCTGCTTCATTTCCAAATCCCATGTCACACTTTTGTACCCCTTTAGGGTGGAAAGGCCCACGTGATAGAGCCATTAGGAATACTGAGCTCAGCTCTCCAGAGACCTCGTAAATATCCATATTGGAAATGACTTTTTGACGTCGGCCTTCTCTCCACAGATCACCTTTCAAGTTTGGTTGAGATTGATGACTGAACTTACAGTGAACTGAACAAGAACACACACACACACACACACCCACCCATACTTGTTTCACATGACTAGTGTGGACTTTCAATTGCTTTCGTGTAGTTAAGAAAAACCAGTGAAAAAACTCATTTTTCTCAAACTGTGAAAACTCTTTCAACCCAATTTTTTTTCTATGATTCCCTTTAGTGTTTCTCTTCATTCTGCTACGGATAAACCTAACCCAAAAATGCCTCTAAACCTGTTATCCAGAAATGGGGAAACACTGTGTGGACGTGGGCAAGTCCACACAACGTCGGTGCTACCTACATTATGTGGACGTCTTTTGTTCGGAAGTCCACACTGCGTATGTAAGACAAGCTCAGACTTGTTTCACATACGTAGTGTGGACTTTCCTTTCTTTTCGTGTAGTTAAGGAACACCAGTGGAAAAACTCATATTTCTCAAACTGTGAAAACTCTTACAACCCAATTTTTTTTCTATGATTCCCTTTAGTGTTTCTCTTCATTCTGCTACGGATAAACCTAACCCAAAAATGCCTCTAAACCTGTTTTCCAGAAATGGGGAAACACTGTGTGGACGTGGGCAAGTCCACACTTCGTCGCTGCTACCTACATTATGTGGACGTCTTTTGTTCGGAAGTCCACACTGCGTATGTAAGACAAGCTCACACACACACACATGAGACACACAGAAGGAATACGCGATCGCAATATCCCCTAGTCTGGCTTGAAAGCCAGGGGTAATAAAAACAAAAGTTGAAATATAGCTTTTTATAGGTTTCACAGGTTTAAAAGTTTTGCAGTGAGGTCTGAAACTGGTTTATAATCTGACTTACCTCTGACCAAAGAGCTGATGGGTGAACTCAGGACGGAAGATCTTGCCATCATCAAAGACGTCTGCCTCTTCTCGGACTAGGGACAGTAAAATAATAGACCCTTACTATATTGTACCACATTGTATTTATTCCCTGAAGAATCCATGAAACTATGGATTGCTTGGGAAGTTTGGGGAAATTGGGGCAGTTTTTAGCCGTTTCGGGCAATACAGAGACTAACAGCCAGTTTATAGTCGGTCGGCACGCATAATGCTAGCTCTACTGAGTGGAGCGCTAGAACTTCAGTACCCTCCGTACAAGTGCTCCACCGATTTGCCATACTTTGGCGACAGGTACACGGTATGCATTTTGTGCATATCCTTTCGAGGACAAAAGGCCCCCCCCCCCAAAAAAAGAGCGCGCCGTCTGACAGTATGGGTTTTTGGTGCGAGGCACATATCAGTAAGTACTTGAAACAGTCATTGATTAAGCACGACTTGTTTTTCTTCAATAGTGACGTCACACACGTGCTTGATGATCAATATATCAGTCACGTCAGTGAAATGGACTGCACGACTCGGCAGACACATTTAAATTGTGAGCAGTAAGTTCTGAATAATTTTGTTCTTTTTTCAAAAATTACCGGTTGTTTGGAACAATTTAAAAGGTCTTATGGAATGTCATGAATGTGTGGATCTATCCAGGGTTACTGTCTTTCTCATTTGTATTCTCTTTACAAGTTTTTTTTTTTTGGGGGGGGGGGCCTTTTGTCCTCGCGAGGGTATGCACAAACTGCAAACCTGTGTACCTGTCACCAAAGTATTCCAAATCGGTGGAGCGCTTGTACGGAGGGTACCGAAGTTCTAGCGCTCCACTCAGTAGAGCTATGCAATGCAAAAATCTATTCTTGGTCATCTTTCATGCGCCAAAGGATGCTGGCGACATTGCTACAGAGTTCAATTGATTGAACTCTGTTATGGTAGCCGACTTCACTTTTCACCATTGGGCAAAAAGTGTTAACAACTCACCTAGTTTGAGCTCAATGACACCATTGGAATCACAAACAAACTCCTCCAGAACATCTTTCATCAATGATAAATCTGTTTCAAGAAGAAATAAAATCAACATAAACAAAAGTTGAAATACAAATGTGCAACCACTTTTTTAAAGCCAGCCCACAACTGGAACATAACATTTGCATTTCAGATGATTTTGCATTTCATAAATTACAAAAACAGTGTCATTATTACTTTAGAATTGAGAGAAGTCTCAAGAAATTGACAGAAAGCCACGAGGGCCTTTAATATCTCATCGAGTATGTTTATGTTTTTCTTTACATTTATCTACCGATTTGGTAGAAAAATAGTTAAATAATTACATGTTGTAAATATTGACTCAAATGTGTGCGTGTCTTTTTTTTAAGAACGCGTGCAGCCCGCAGGTGAGCATGTCATCACCTAAAAAAATGGTTTATTCATGGTGATTGGTTCATATTCTCGACCCCCCATTATCTGCGCAGGTAACGCTCGCTACGCGCACGCGTTGTCACACACAAATTGAAGGTGAGTGTGTAGAAAAGGACCACATAGCTTTAGGGGGTCTGACAATATATCCGCATGCATGCAATGATGCATGATTCGTGTCACTTAAAAAAAATGAATGATTAGGCCAAAAAAAAAAAGTCTCCAGTTTCTGGTATGCGCGCGCGTCGCCGTAGCCATGCGCGTCGGCAAAATGAAAAAGTTTTTTTTTCAATACAAGATGATGTTTCAAAACCGCCAAACTCACTGGTTTGACTGGAATTCTGCTGCTGCACAATTTTAACGTGTTTTTAGATGGGGTTATGATCGAGAATAAGATTTATGTGGCCTCTCTGGACTCCCATATATTTGCACTAAGTTTAGTCGGGCACCATTTGCAGTCATCAGCCGACATTTGAAGCCAAAAAAAAAAAAAAAAACAGGTAAAAAAAAAAAAAAAGCCGCGTCGCCGCACCACTTTTGGGGCAAGCTCCATACCAGAAACCGGAGACTTTTTTTTTTGGCCTTAGCTCCACGAGAGCTTCGCCACTCGCAGTCGCACTGGTCTATTTTCGTGCCAGATTCTGGGGCGCTACGCGTCTGGGTAGACAAGCGCGCCTTGACTGAAGGCTACGGCTGCCGTAACGATAGCCACACTACTTGACGCATCGTAGGCCTTACTGATGAACTCATTCTTAATTTTATGGAAAAAAATGTTGCAACCTGACTGACGCCACTTTTTTTCTTCAAATATCATCTCAATGAAGGTCATTCATTGCAAAAATGATGATAAGACTGAGAATGAGAATGAGATTGAGAAATATTTCCAATTTTGTTAGGAAATTTGTTTGGAGTGTCATGGCCTAGCGGTTAAGAGCACCGGACTCATGCTCTGGTGTTTCAGAGGAGCCCGGGCCCAGACACTTGTGCCCTTCAGCAAGGCACTTAACCATGCACTTTGTCCTTCGGATGGGACGTAAAGCCGGAGGTCCCCTGTGGCCTGTGTTGTGTAATGCAATGCACGTAAAAGAACCCAGTAACACTTATCGCTAAGAGAAGGGGGAGCAACTAAGAATGCAGGGCCATGCCGGAGCAAGGTTTTTTTTTCTGCTTGGAGGCGTGGATCGAGGCCGGCGATGTGAGGATAGGAGGCTACAATATAATAATATGCAAACCTGCACAAAGTGTTAAGTACAGCGAATGCACTTGTCTTCTCATCAATGATCGGAAGGGAGGGCGCGCTTGTAAATGTGTCGGGGCACGGAGCCACAGAGTCGTGGAGTCGCAGAGACTAGACGCGGGGCACTGGAGGCGCGGAGTCGCAGAGTCGCAGAGACGCGCGCCGATAGAGGGCGCAATTCTCGGAGGTAGGTCGACTGTGGCTCCACGCCTCCACGCAGCCGTCATGGCCGTACGGAGGCGCGGATGTAGAGTGTAGTGGCCCTGTATTCTATAGTTGTACCGAGAAGGGGTTTGTCCGGTGTTTCTGGCCTCCTAGCTATACTCCCTGGAGCAACTATAGAATGCAGGGCCACGCCGGAGCAAGGTTTTTTAATTTGCTTGGAGGCGTGGATGGATAGGAGTAATAGATATGCAAACCTGCAAAAAGTGCTAAGTACAGAGAATGCACTTGTCTTCTAAGCTTCTCATGAAGGATCGGAAGGGAGGGCGTGCTTGTAAATGTGTTGGGGGCACTGTCTGGATCGGAGTGGCGGAGGCGCGGAGTCTGGGAGTTGCAGAGTCTAGTCGCGGAGACGCGGGGCACTGGAGTGGCGGAGGCGCAGAGTCGCGGAGTCGCAGAGACTCGCGCCGATAGAGGGCGTAATTCTCGGCGGAATTTTTTTGAGAACGAAGCATCCGTATCCATTTTAAATGGGCTCGCAAATTAGGAAGGGAGGAGGGCGACGGGGCACTGTCTGGAGTGGCGGAGGCGCGGAGTCTGGGAGTCGCAGAGTCTAGTCGCGGAGACGCGGGGCACTGGAGTGGTGGAGGCGCGGAGTCGCGGAGTCGCAGAGACGCGCACCGATAGAGGGCGCAATTCTCGGAGATATCGACTGAGCTGCGGCTCCACGACTCCGCGATCGATTTTCGGAGGTAGGTCGACTGCGGCTCCACGCCTCCACGCAGCCGTACGGAGGCGTGGATGTAGAGTAAAGTGGCCCTGCATTCTACAGTTGTACCTACTCCCTTGTGGAAGTCCTACAGGAGAAGAACCAACCAAGAAATACTTAGAAAATGTTCTTGACTCTCCATAGACTTTGTACACAATCGCGAAAGGCGGAAATTTAGTTGCAACATTTTTTCCAATTTTACAACAGCATCATCGTATCCATACTCATCACATTCCCTCTTTCAAATATCAATGTCCTAATTCTCAAAATTACAAAATCATGGGCATCAAAATTGGCAATATTGTTGGTTCTTTGGTTCAACCACAATAAATATGATAAACTTCACCTAAACTTACCCGCCATATTTTCGACATTTCGCGCTACCGCGCTGTTGTTGATCGCAATGAATGACCTTTCACCTGTAATCTGAAGCTAGTATGGATTCTTAAAAGTCAATATAAAACTTAAGTTTATAGTCGTCTAGCTACCAGACAATTATTAGACTTGTTGCAAATCTTTTTGCAACATACATATAAGGGAAGTGGCAAAATCACCAATATTCCGTTACAGTCTCATCTGTAGACATTAACACAGTGTCGACATAGTGTCAATAAAAATTATCCACAGTAATACAGTCACAAAAATGTTTATAATGTCGTTTTGATATTATTTCCACATTGAAATACGTTGTTCAGATTTGCATCAAGTTTATAACTAATTTCACGAGGATATTCGGCATTCCACCAATGAAATCGTTCCAATCACATGCTGACTCTATATTTGGAGATCTGTTTACCTTATATGGGGAAAGTCATCCTGACCGAAGATGATGGAAGGTCACGGAGGTTGTTCGTAAAAAAGTTCTTGGGAATTTACCTCATATTTGCCGTAAAACAACAAAGTTCCTCGTTTGATTCGAATGCATATGGTCTTTGAATCGGAACTTTTGAAACAAAATCGCGAATCAAAGCATCAGGATGTTTCAAACTAGAGCAAGCTGCCAGCCGGCACCCGGGGCTCAGGTACGTCCGTGAGTTTCTTGCTGCGTTCGCTCGTGAGCATTTTGCAAGTTGCACCCGGCATTTGATCTTGAAAATCGGGGTGACTTCATGTCCATCTTCTTTACTTTTAGTTTTGAAAATCCTGTCTCCCTTCAAGACTATATATTTTATTTTTTATAGTTGAATCATGAATGAATGGATTATAGTCATTAGTCTACTTTTACCAGTATATTTGACCGATTTAATTGGAGGATGAGGTATTTATGTTTGTGAGAAGGGGACCGGGAAGTGAGCTGGGGGAAGTGGGAGGATGTTTTGTAAAATGGTAAACCATGTTTTTGTAAACAGTGTCTCACAATGTCCAAAACCCTACAACTTTTTCTAAACCTTCACTTTGGGAAAAGAAATATTCATTTTCACATATTGTATAGGCCTTAGCTGGAGTTACCCAGCCCTGAGTTTTATCATTGGGTTGGCATCTAGGGCTGGAGCGTATTTTTCTCGTAACTTGTAGTATATTCAAAATTTTTTGGAAAATGTTCAATTTTGTCCCCGTTACACACTAATTGCAACTGCAACTCACCCCAAACTTGCCTGGAATAACCATTACACAGGTCCTTGAAGTAAAAAACGATCCACGATGAAGATTCAGCCTACAATTGCAGTGAAAACAGGAGGAATAACCGCTAACTTGACAACCTTGCTGGATTGGCCAGGACCGCAATTGGTCTGTGCACACAAAAAATTGTGTACAATGAATGGCGGTCGATTAACAGGCACAGAGAGCGATCGCTGTCAACTACTCGGTTTTGCCGGCTGCGCTGGCTGTTGGCGCATGACGTCACGCGGAAGCGTATGACCCGATGACTGTTTCATGCACTAATATAAGGTTTACCACTCGCATCACAGCTTTGGTACTGGAACCGCAACCAATAGTGCATGAAACAGTCATGAATACACACACATGACAGAATTCTGTTTGATTAAATAATGCAGCGGCAACTTGTGCTTGTGACTGTAATTTTGAATATACTACAAGTTACGAAAAAAATACGCTCCAGCCCTAGATGACAACCCAATGATAAAACTCAGGGCTGGGTAACTCCAGCTATATAGGCCTAGGCTGTATGTACACTTTGCAATATGGCATTGAAAATTAAAAAAATGTTGAGATGAATTGAAACAATTACTAAATTAGGCCTAAGTGCGAGTGCACAATACGGATAAGTTCTGGCTGTGTTGCATTTGCAAGAAGTTTTTGCATGGAATCGATCAAAGTCAGTGATCCCTGCCAGGGCTTTAAAATGTGACGCCAAAAAATGCGACGCCGGTAGCACTTATGGAATAGGCCTACCATTCTTTATTGTCAATTTTCTGAGACAGACAGACAGACAGATAGACCGACCGACCAACAAGTGACAGGATGTAGAAGCTCCTGCCAAGGCTTACAAATTGAAAATTGAATTTTGGTGTGAATTTTTTGACCAGGACTCAAGTCCAGTAAGCAAGCATAAGGAAAAAATTTTCAACCAGCTGACTCTACTTCAGCAGTTGTGTACAAAGTCTATGGAGAGTCAAGAAAATGTATTTCCTAACAAAATTGGAAATATTTCTCAGTCGACATGTCTTATCATTTTTTGCAATGACTGATCTTCATTGAGATGATATATGAAGAACAAAGCAGCGTCAGATTGCAACATTCTTTCCTTAACATGATAAATAGCATCATAGCAGTAACACACACAATTTATTTATTTGCAACAAGAACACACTCATTGACATTGTCATCTATATCTGCATGAAATACTGTAGGCCTACCTACTTGAAAGATGCACTCTGCCTATAGTTTTGGTTTTCAAAAATTGGTGAAATGAATGCCAGAGACTGGTAAAAGGCCTTGTACATTTCAACAGCATCAGCAAAATGCTGAAAATAAAAGCAACAGTCATGTTGTTTTTCAGCTTTTTACCACAGATATGTCCTGGAGTAGTAGGCTTACCCCAAATTGGCCAATATAATTGTAAATTCCTGTGAAAAAGTCAAGATAATACTGGATAGTGTAAAAGCGGTTCCCAAATCTCTGTGTTTAACGTGGTCTTGTGTGAAGATTTTGGACATTGTGGAAAGGCCTAAAGTATTCCGGTTGATATTGTTTACCAGAGCAATTAACAAAATATCTTTGGCCTACCTGTAGCTTTTAGCTGTGGTTGGACTCGCCAGTGTTTTTATGAAACACTCGGAGAACAGTACGGGTTATTAGGGAAATAATAAATTCTTTTCTGATTTTGTTTTCTCCAATAGACTCTGCATCTTGTTAAGAGAGCTGACCCTTTGCTGCTGAGGCAGATCTTCAACAAGGTATGTCCAAGAAAAAGTGTCCTCTTTCAGGATTATGCAGAGGGGCGGACAGAGTTGTAGTGACTCGTGTAAGTGACTCACCTCGAGTCACAGCTTTTCGATGACTCGACTCATTTTGAGTCATTACAAGCAAGTGCCTCGACTCAAGGCATTGCGAGCAAATGACTCGACTCGGCTCAAACCTCTTATCGAAAGACTTGACTCGGCTTGAGTAAAAGACTCATCAACACCCAAGTCCTTAAAAATGCAAGAAAATAATTGCAGTGACTTATGGTATAAATGAATGGTTGAAGTTGTCCAGTTGTAAGCTGGCTTGTACTTGGAGGAGGCACGCAAATAACTATCAGATCACAGACTCCTACCTTCATTACAGGTATTTCCATCCCAGAACCAGATGGTTTTCAAATGTCAATCACTTGATTTGAGTCGACTTTGACTCAATTCGACTTGACTCGTCCTTGTTGACCTACATGTGTAGTAGCCTGAATTCCTTTTATTATTATTGGCAGCTGCACTTACGCAACGCGAGTAGCCAAGCGTGTCCTTTGCCTTATAAAGCAGCATTGGTTCCATGCACGAGCCCCCAGTTCCGTGTTAGCTCAACCGGCAGCAAGACAGGCCTACATCGTCACGCTCCGCAATTCAAGTCATCTTATTTCATTTATATTAGTCCGTGAGTTTTTGCTTCGTTGCCGTAGTGAACCAGTTTGGCAGTAGCATACAGCTAATAGGTGAGCTACGGTGACGTCGCATTTAATTATTACCTTTACCGGTAATACTTTTTCCTTTGATTTATTCTTCAGCACTTATAAATAAATACAAACCTTATTTAATTTTCATCGGCAAGGAAATACTGCCCAGATTATCTAATAATTTATAGACAAAAGCCTGTCAAATTTTATTTCCCTTTTTGGCAAAGTTAGCCACATAAACGTAATCTTTTTGGCAAAGTTAGCCACAGAAATTATTCAATTTATTATTCTAATTTGGCACCCGCTAAACATGTAATGACTCGGGTCACTGCCTTAGGTAACTCGACTCGACTCTGAGGGTGGCTTATAGGGATGGACTGCATTCTGAAAACATACAATTTGATGACTAAAGCTCAGCTGTGCAATTTTGTCCAAAATTGACATTATGTTTTGGCAGATTTCATGTGACTGGGATGCAACAGTCAGCAGAAGAGTTGTGCTAACTTTTTTACTGTTGCCTCCCTTGTTCATACAAAGTTAACCTCATAAATTTGCATGTATGCCTACCTCCTTTTTTTTGCCAGGCACATAAACCAGAGATTTGTTTGCCCTTTGCAGTGGTGAGAAAAGGGTACTCAGCATCCATGCTGAAAGGAAGAAAGGTTTTTTTCACGGGACACCCGGTATCTGTAAAATCAAAAGTTTCGAAGGGTGGGGGGGGGGGGGGGGGCCTTGGGGACCTTAACCTATGGGGGCGATGTTCAAACCGGAAACTTTAGGACAATATTTAGTGATCTTCGAAGCGGCACAATTACAAACATTCGCGTGACTTAAAACAAGGGCAAAAGTGGGGGAAAGAAGGGCAATCGTGAAAATTGGCACTCGTGGAAAAAGCACGATCAATAGCACAAAATTGTATTGCAAAATACAGTTTTCATCCCATTACACATTTTCACGTCCGATTTTGCTTTTCAGCGTCCCGAATTTGCTTTTAAAATCTCCATCCTTTAACAATCTGCCACTCTGCAACCCCATTCCGCTGGTTACACTACTGTTGTTGGCACTACCTTTCATACATCTTTTGTATGAAATGAGCCCATTCATTTACGGGTTACGGGATATTCCCATACCAAAGCACCGCTTGGCTCTCTTCACCATTTTACAACCAGTCTAAGACATAAGGAGCAGTTGGTCAGTCTGTCAGCTCGATAGGCCTCTGGCTCTAGCAAAGAATCAATGGTTTCACCGAGTGTTTTGTGCACGATTCAGTATGCAGGAGTGGAGAAGGAAGCTGAGAAATTCATGACGTCGGAGGATTTCATCCGAGGCTTCCTCGGCATGCAGCCGGAGAGGAACTACAACCCCAACACCATGAAGCTGTTGGCCGGTGTAGCTGACCAGACTAAAGATGGGTAAGCCTTGAGCGTTCCCTTGAGAGAATAGACAGGGTAACCTGTATAATAACAGTCTCAGAACTGTTTCATTTAGAACCAGCCCTTCTCTTAAGAGGTTGATATTCATGTGGTGTCATCCACAAACCTCTTCCTGTATTAATTTCACCACTTGACTGGATAGTACCTCTGATATTGGAGCAATAAGGGCACGCTAGTAGAGGATGGTTAGACTAGAGGTGGCTTGTTAGTTTATGTGTCACCTGATATCCGTACCCATGCACTCTGCAGCATACACATTAAGCAAGGAGCCAGGCTTGAGGTGTTGTATAAATGGAACACGCAAAGACGGGAGCGTTAAATATAAATGATCATAACTACAAAAGCCTTTTGTCTGATTGAACTAACACTTGCATATATGTAACTGAGAATGGTATTTGCATTTCTGAAATTGGAAAGGGGGGCCTTTTGTCAGATTTCAAAACTCCTTCCAAATGAAAATGTTCCAAGAGTTTTCAAACGTTTCCTTAAGGCTGTTTTAGAATGTAAACGCAAAGCAAATTTGACATAATGAAGCGATTGTGGTTAGACTTGTTTTGGCTTCAAACTCAAGTTAATCTGCAGTGCAAATTCCTAGCGTGACACCACAAATTTCAATAGGCCTTATTTTTAATCGCACCGGGATTATTTTTGCCAAAATTTTTTGTTTTCTTAAAAGGCAAAATGTTTCAGCCAACTTGTGATATACAGCCAAATGCTACCAATTTATACTGATTCGCAAGAGTCTTTTCAACAGTATTTGTACGATATTTTTTGCCGAAACATCATATGTTTCAATACCCTGGGGTATGCACTGGAGTGTAAATTGTACAACAATAGGCCGTGCACAACGGCCAATCCAAGATCAACACACGGTCCGCCTCCACAGACTTCATGGACTTTGAGTGTGTGTTCAAAGGGCAAGAGGGATTAGCGTGTTTAGACGTCACCCGGAGGCCAGTCGAGGCACACTTGAGGTCTTAACCCCATTACCCGTCAGCCATGCCTGTGTATAAAAACAACCAATGCGTGTTGTCATGTCCTCCGACATGAACTGGTTTAGCAAATGAGGGCACTGTAATGATGCCACCTGCTACTTCCCAATAGAAATAGGAAGCAAAGGCTTCTACATTGCATCCCTGCCAAAATGCCTTGCAGCAGTACTTGGCATGCCAAAAGGGAAGAAAAAGAACATTTTGGACCATGCAGCTGAAACAGCCTTAAAAATGGCTCCGCAGAAACTCTAAAGCTTCCAAGAAGGTGTCATTGGTACCAAAGCCAAGCTCTGAGGTAAGGCAGATGTGGTTGTGGCCACATAAATCCGTTTTAACTTACCAAGGCCTGGTCTGCAGCCCAGGGACCTCAGGAGCTTGTTCATCAAGCACATAGAATGTAATGGCGTCGTGGTTGCCTTCCAAGGGAATGACACATCCTAAAACGGGTGGTTGAGCTGTGAAGGTTAACGATGCTGGTGTTAGTCACCCATGATCTACATCTCTCTCTCTCTCTGCCGCCTACTACATGGAGAGACCTTGATTGATAGGCCTAACTCTTTGTGTGTTTTTAATTTCAGCCTGATCTCCTTCATAGAGTTCCAAGCATTTGAGGCATTGCTGTGTTCTCCTGATGCCTTGCACATGGTAGCCTTCCAGCTCTTTGACACCAATGGCTCGGGATTTGTTTCTTTTGGTAGGTTGTCTTTAAAGTTTCCGTGTGATATGTCTTAATTTTTACACTGTGACCAGCACTAGATTTCTGCTACTTGTTGCTTCTAGTTTAAAGGCATATAGGATTTTTTTGTTTCATTCAGTGTGTTTGTTTCCAACAATACCATTCAACATCCAAAGAAGAATGTTCAAAATCTGTTGAAGCTTCAGCTCAGTGGATATTACTCTTTTTGAGAAAATTTTGTCAATAGCACTCCTTATCCCAAAAATTAGCCACATTTTAGCTAATTTGTACCAAAATGGCAGCACCTAGCTGTGTACTCCCCAGGGAGCTGAGATGGTCTTTGGAGTGTTTCATTGGCCCAATAAGCAGTGGGTAATATTGATATAGCGCCTTGAGCATCAGTTCTTCTGGATATGTGCGCTTTATGAACACGCATTATTATTATTATTATATATTTTCTGTAGAGGAGTTTAAGAAAGTGTACGGTGCCACTGAGGTACACCAGCAGATCCCCTTTGACTTCAACTGCGCATTTGTGGGCCGCCACTTTGGCAAAGACAAGAAGAAAGAATTGTCATATGCAGAGTTCACTCAGTTTCTTTGGGTAAGGTGTTTGATTGATTTCCATGCGTACTGTTGATGACAGTTTGTATATTTTATTGAATAGAGTTTGTATACCAATCTTGGAACGCTATCTGTTCTATCACGGAGGCCCCTTCAATGGTGAAAGCATTGTGCTAGCTATTGTTCAGATCATCTGTCATAGGGCATAGGCTTTGCGCAGTAGCGTGCACAATGGTTTTGCCATTGAAGGGGGCCTCATGGGTATGCAGTGATCATGTGCTCAGATTTGTCTATGGAGTACCAAAGTGTGACGTCATTTAGAACCAGAAAGTGTGGTGCAAACGAATGGAGTACGCATGCATGTTGGTTCACAGGCTGAATCACGCGCTAATGTCTTTCACACACATTTTGTGCGCGTGCCCGTGACACATTTTGTGCTCGTTTTATCTGAAGTAGGGTCAGGGAACCAGACTACAAGAACAGCTTCGGCCAAGTTCGGGCAAGGACCATTAGTCGACTAGTGGTTGATTTGTGACGTACCTTACGCCTGCGCACTGGTAGCAACGTGCGAACGTCCCTAGTCAAACGCTGGTCAAATGTCATCGCAAAACTTCTGGATCCTGGCTCTCTGATAGCGTTATGAATGCGCGCGGCTATTGGTTACCAGCGAAGCAACCAACCCCAGTAGGTTGGTTCCAAATAGTCGACTAGCGTAGTCAACCATCGTCGACTAGACAGAGTTCGGGCAAACGTTAGTTAACCATTGGTCAACTATAGTCCTTGCGCGAACTTGGCCTTTATTGTTGTTGGTTTTTCCAGCATCCATGAACACAAAACTTTAAACAAGTCAGTTGAACAATGTTTGCTATAAAACACCAACACCAGAATCCATCCATTTCTGAAAATTACATCAAAAGCAAATGTTGTGTATTACCTTTAAATTAGTAATTATTGCCAATATCTCTACATGCCTTTAATAGTACCAAAACCTTTTTACTCACATAAAGCCAGAAATTTAAGCTTTGAAAATACTGCTATTTTAATCAGACTGCCAAAACTGAAATGTTAAAATGAAAATCATTCAATTTTTGTTCCAGGTTCTACAAGAGGAACACGCGAGGCAAGCCTTTGACATGTTTGACAAGAACAACCTTGGGGTCATCAATGCCTTGGAGTTCCGCAAGATCATGACCACGATCAAGTCCCACCTGGTGACGGACTACGTGGAAGAAAACCTGGTTTCAGTAAGTGTCTTCTTGTGAAGTTGCCAGGCACATTATTAAGCTTCGTCCAAAACAGGCACCCAGAGCTATGGACTGTTTTACGGATACCACCATCCTTGTGGTCACAATGGTAATCTTGGGGCATTTACTTTTAAGTAGATATTAATGCCATTGTATCTGGGGTATGGTGGAAGTATTTTCATGACAAAATATGGCGGTATCTGTCAAAAGCTCCATTGCAACATCTATGGTGCATTGCAGTCACGCACAAATCAGACTTTCAAGCATTCCTACTTTTTTTCCTACTTTTTTTTTTTTTTTTACCTTGCTTCTTCTTTTCCTATTTGTTTCTTTAAATTCCTACTATTTCCTACTTTTTTTGTCCCACAACTCCGAAAAATGAAAGCTCATTGAATAATTTTCATAACAATGTTGCACACTGTCATATGTAAATCACTCAATGAAGGGTTTGGGCGCAGGAGTACTGCAACTGTACTTCCAAGAGCTTAGTTCAGGATGAAGCACAAGTGTTGTGAGTACAGAACATGCCAAATGACGTGTATGATGCTATGGACATGGGTGAGTATCAAGCCCTGCAAAAAGCCCTCCTTTTATCCTGATTTTGTCCTCCAAAGTCCTACATTTGTTCCTGTTTTTTTTTCTCTTAAAGTTTGATCCTACTGTTCTACTTTTTTCACGTGGGTCTGCCTTCAAACCTGAAATGTGTTTGTGGTCATTGGCTGATTGCGAATGTACCAACCCCCAAATGGAACGATGTTGTCCTAAACACCTCACATCCTTACTTCAGGCTGAGACTGAGAAATGAAACTTTATGAGAGATTGTCATACCTTCTGTCCGCAGGTTGCCGGAGGGGAAACCAAGCATCTAGTCAGCTTTCCATATTTCAACGCCTTCAACTCGCTACTCAGCAGAATGGAGCTGATGAAGAAAATCCACTCGGACATGACTAACTCAGACCCTAACGCCGGCGTCACAAAAGGTAACTGATCTTCCCAAAAGAAAATTGGTTTATCATTTATTTTTATTGAATTAAACTGCTGCAAACTGCTCACTGACTGGATTGACCTAAAATAAACAAAAATTAGTTGGACTAAAGCGACCCTCAGGTCGACCTGCTATTTGCGTGAGCCACAACAGAACCATCGGCATCAAGCAGAAAATTAATGCTCAGAAAAGTAGTGCTGATTGTCTTAGAATCGTCACAGTTACAGTCAAATTGCAAAAAAAAAATCGGCGAATCATAATTATGTTCCCGACAGTCGTAGCTCAGGTGCAGCTTGATCCTGAACAGTCAATCGCCAACTGATTCATCGACAACTGATCTGTGTTGTCCCATGGTCTATTTGAGCCTGAGGGTGGTTTAAAGTTTTGGTCTTAAGCAGAGACCTTTGTCAAAAGCCTTTGAGAAAACACTTGCCTTTGAGAAAACACTTGCCTTTTACAGAGATCTTGCCTTTGACTAAGGACTTGCTTAAGTCTGAAGCGTTGGGCCAGCTCATTTTGTTGATTTATCATGTTTTTAACCCTCCTATGGAAACATGCATTGTCAGCCTGGTTATTGCTTGGGTCAGTATTGGTCAAGACCCCCATTGGTTTGTACACAGTAGGCCAGGAGGTGAGATACAAACATTTTGACCATTGGTGACCTCTTAAATAGTAGGAGGTTCTGTCAGTCAATCAATGTAACTTTTTAGTAGACAAATTTCTGTAATGGGGTTCTCAAGATTTGAACAAAAAAGTTGTTTTCAAAATTGGCTTAGGACACATATCCAGTACTGTGCATAAAACCATGACACTCTTTAAAAACATTTAGTAAACAATTTTTTTTCTGTGGATTACTTTCCAGAGGAGTTTTTACATGTTGCTCAAGGATTCTCACAGATCACACCACTAGAAGTCTCCATCTTGTTTCACCTTTGCTGTTTGGAAAGTTCAACAGGGTAAACCGATAGTTTTTTCTTTGATCATTTGTTCATTATTAACCAGTGCACTGTTAAAAAGGCGACTGCAAACCATGATGTCACACATATTTATTTTATAGTGTAGCTAAAACTGCACACACAAAATTGAGTTGGTTGACAATTTTTTAAGGTGGGAGTGTATCACTCAGACCATTTCCATATTGTGAGGCATTCTGGCAAATGACACGCAACTTAGCACAGGCCGTAGTGGAGAAAAATGCAAAAAGCCAAATTGGATAGCTCAGTCAATTTTTTAGTCCATTTCTTTGTTCAACTTTTCAGAAATTAAGAAAAAAAGTTTAAAGGTATAGTCCATCATTTGCAACCATCCGAAAAAGTAACTGGGGTATTATTGTTGAAAAACATACTTGGTTGAAAGATAGTAAGTGGACTAAACTCCCTGTGAAATTAATCTTTCTGGCAAGCTATCATTTTGAAGTAATCAACGAAAGAAGGCCTTAAGACGCACCGTAGGAAAATTTAAATTAGTAGTTCGTTTTGTTATTCGGCGCAGCGCGCGCAAGCATTGGCACGACGCACAGGCGCGCGCGGTTGCTATAATTCGTTGAATCAGTGCGCGACATGGCGTATAGCAGCAATTCAAATCAATTCAAAACAAGATTCAGCAACTTTTGATTTGAAATTGAGATCCTAGAATGCTGTTTTTCTCGGAATATACAGCTGAAGCTGAGCTGAAACTTCATCAGGTTAGTTGTTCAGTATCCTTCATTAGATTTTGAGCACTTTTGTTGCTTCAAACGAACAAAATGCACAAATTACAAATGATGGACTATATCTTTAATACATGTTTGTTTATTTGCTTGTGCTGATCTATTCTGTATGATGGATTATCTAGATAGCTGGTCTGTCAGCATGCATGTTGGTCATTGGCTTATATCCAACTTATGTATCCATAAAAACAAAAATTAAAAATAAAAAAGAAGCATATGTGACACTCTTGAAATTAGGGATCAGAAGCTCTTTTGTTGTAGTATACATGCAGCAAATTTATTCTGTATAAGTGAAGACAAATGTACATGAAGTGATGTTACTTCAGTCTTCAGGAAATAACGAATGATCAAAATGTATTTACAAAATCAGTACAACTAATCAGTTAGATTAATGTAAGACGAACTCGAATTACTTTCAGTTCATGAAACAACAAGGATTCAATCAAATAATTAAACAATAGTTACGTTTTCCCACCGAAACTTTCGCTGGGTCGGCCATATTGGATTTCAGCATTTCAAGAATAAAACTTACTTGAAAATACCATTAAATAAGGGAATAAGGAAATACAAACAGAAATGGGTAGTCAAGGAATTGTGATGTCATCTATTGGCTAGCAAAAATGAATAGATAGTAATACTAACCATGTATAAGTGAAGACAAACGTACATGAAGAGATGTTACTTTAGTCTTCGGGAAATAACGAATGAGCTAGTGTCCGATATCAGACATTGGGGGCGCTAGGTTAATTTGAATTTACATGTAAATAAGGTTGAACCAAAAAATAATGGGGGTGTCTTTTTATATAAACTGTCACATATATTTTAGGTTACTTTTGTTCGGGAAATATTTGTTTCGTAATTTTTTTGAACTTCGTGTTTCCATAATTTTGTTCTTGTAAACAGCCGTATCACAATGGACGACATAGACAAAGTCGCCCCCAAAAATGACCTAGTCGGCGAGCTGGAGATACAACAGCCCAAGCGTCATGTCGAAAGGACGATCTTGATCCAAATGGCAGAGTCTATCTATAGGTTCGGCCTGGGAGCCATCGCTGGGGGTGAGTGATGTGGGGTCGTAAGCTTTGGGTCAAAGGTCATCTTAGAGGTAAAAATATAAATCTGGAGAACTCATTTGCCATTTTGTTTTAAGGACACCTGAAGCCAAACGCAGCTGCTATGCCACTGGCATATCATGTGAGGCAGGGTTCCCATGGACAATGTCCTGAAAAATTCCGGAATCAAAAGCTATCATGGAAAGTCATGGAATTAGTCATTGATATTCCAAGAAAAAAGTCATGGAAAAGTTATGGAATCCTGCACGGCCCATACATGGTGATGCGTAATATTTGGCAGGCTTTAGCAGTCTTCAGTTTGCATTCCAGTTCACTATACAGGGTGGATAAAACAAAACGAAACCGAGATATTATTGCTAATTTGAACAGAAGTAGGGCACATGTGAATCAAAGGGAGACATCCTCTGTTTAAAATGACACCCTGATCATGTCATTACATTCACACTTGACTGAGCAGTGACCAATTATGTGAGAGGGTCTATTTAGAGAATTGCACCACTTTTCAATTGTGGTTTCTGTTGTGTCATTTGTCACAGAGTGAAAGGCTATGGTTGCCAATCAAGGCAGGTGGGAAAAAAAGAGATTTCACCATGAAAAGTGGCGCAATTCTCTAAATAGACCCTTTCATAAAATTGGTCACTGCTCTGTCAATCGTGAATGTAATGACATGACCAGGGTGTCATTTTAAAGAGGAGATTCAACCCTAACAGAGGATATCTCCCTTTGATTCACATGTGCCATATATTTGTTCTAATTAGCAATCAGGGTGACCGTAAGGTCATGGCAAAATTCTGCTAAATGCACTCTAAAAATCTGTCTTATTTATCAAAAATCTGCCAAATTCCCCCAAATTACTCGAAATACACTATAACACTTTGAAATCACATGCAGGTGTTGTAATATTGCCTTAATTAAGATTAAAATTACATTATAATCAATTTGTAGTCACATAAAGATGTTATGAAATTGCGTAAATTTCAGGCAAACGCGGTTGCTTCATCTGGTTCCCAGTGAACCTCAGCACCTAGACCAGGCAACCTGTCCTATTTTGTTTGAAAAGATTGAAGTTTTTAAAACAAATGTATCATTTTTTTTTTTTCAAATTTGCTGTTTTATGTCAAATAACCATTTTTGCCGATTCTGCCAGAAATCTGCCAAAAAAATCTATTCTGTCAAATTTTCTGTCAAACTCATTTTTTAACAAAAAATCCGTCAAAGTTAGCCGAAAACGGCTAAAACGGTCACTATGTTAGCAATAATATCTCGGTTTCATATTTTTTTATCCACCCTGTTCATCCTCTTTATGCATGTAAGCTCTATATTTGTTGCAGATCCAATGTACCATTGTGATGCTTTCGTGGTGCTCAGAGGTCTTGTAGCAAACTGGAAGGCTGAAAGGGAGTGGCATCCTTTGCCTCAGTGTGATGACACTAGATGTCAAAACAGCATAGGAAGTGGTCTTGCAAAGCCCTAATTTTTTCCTGGAAAAGTCATGATAAAGTCCTTGAATTTCATTGTAAGATTTCTGTGGGAATCCGTATGAGGTCAAACTGTTACAAACTAAGCTGAAAAAGAATCAACTGAAATTTGTGCAACTGTTATTCACAAAAAAAATTCTTGTTTTTCACACGCATTTCAATTTATGTTGTATAAAGAGATAAAAGACACCATCTTTATATTGGCCTCCATGTTTTTCAAAAGATACATTGTAATGAGAGTTGTAATATGTGCACATCTAAGTAGTCTCAATTGACAATTGTGAGTTGTCAACAAATTGTGGAAACAAATATTATTTCATCAGTATCCAAAAAAGTGGAACACCGTGGAACACCGCACTGTGGAATCCATTGTTGGCCATAAATGCTTCACATGTTGTCTGAAATGTGATGTCCTAATTCATCTTTCAGATTAATCCAAATACAACGTGGTGCAGCCCGACATTTTCTTCGATATTGATGTCAATTTCATGATTTTTTTACTACCATCAGCTGTTGGTGCCACGGCAGTTTACCCCATCGATCTGGTCAAGACCAGGATGCAGAACCAGCGTGGAGGCTTGGTGGGCGAACTCATGTACGAGAACAGCATAGACTGCTTCACTAAGGTCATCCGACACGAAGGTTTCTTTGGCCTCTATAGAGGTAAGGCAGAGGAAAGATGACAGGGAAGATTCACAAGCAAACAGTAACGGTTAGGACCGGATACGTCATCGGTTCGTGTGGTCTTGTGATGCCATATGCAACTCGCTATCACAGCACAGATATATCACACGCTTTGTCGATTTTCACCTTCTTTTCCGATAAGTTACTTAAAGCTACAGCCCATCATTTGTAATTTCTGCATTTTGTTCGTTTGAAGCAACAAAAGAGTTCAAAATCTAATGAAGGATACTGAGCAACTAACCTGATGAAGTTTCAGCTAAGCTTCAGCTGTACATTTCGAGAAAAACAGCATTCTAAGATCTCAATTTCAAATCAAAAGTTACTGAATCATGTTTTGAATTGAAGCTTTACGCGACGTCTCGCACTGATCCAACGAATTATAACAACTGCGCGCGTGTGTGCGTCGTTCCAACACTTGTGCGCGCTGCGCTGAATAACAAAACGAACTACTAATTTAAATTTTCCTACGGTGCTTCTTAAGAATCACCGTTGGAAATGCCTTCTTTCGTTGATTACTTCAAAATGACAGCTTCCCAGAAAGAATAATTTCACAGGGAGTTTAGTCCCCTTACTATCTTTCAACCAAGTTTGCTTTTCAACAATAATTACGCCAGTTACTTTTCGGATGGCTGCAAATGATGGACTCTAGCTTTAATCATGAATGACTTGATTAAAAGAGGACGAATTGCTGGACATATATGTGCAATTATATATATTATATATGTGGCATGGGTGGCTTGTGCATAAAGCACTCGCCTCTCACCAAGGTGACCACGGTTCGAATCCTGGCCGCGGATCCTGGCCTGGCCGCAAATCACATGCGCGTAGAGTTGTGCGTTGGTTCTCTCCTGTGCCACATAATTTGTCTGTGTTTCAAAGCAAGATAAGCTGCAGATGTGAGACTTTTATTGGAGGCTGTCATTTTGGATTACTGTTTTCATTGGTAATGGTTCCGATAATGCGTGCATGTACAGGATGTGAAACAACGGAATGGTCAATAACAGTTATGGATGGCTAAATGTATGCGCACAAGTATCCATTCGGATGCGAAGCCTCTCTAATAGTGAGTACAAAGCACCGTCAGAGTGTCAAACAGTGCGCACATGCAATGTGGCCACAAACGAAGCTCTAGCAACATGTCTCAAAGCACAATGCGGTCCACAAAAGTGTCAGTCATTATAGCGACTACCCACTGCCTATGCTCAATGTAAATGTTCATAAACGTTAGAAGCTAATAAAGATGTTTATATAACCCACATACAGATCCTTGTCATTTGATTGGTGGAACTCACATCACGTGACATTCGTTATTGCTCCCATTCAAGCCGCGGCTCAAAAAGTACTATCCGCCCATGGGGAATGGGAAATACTATTCAACAGTTAGGATCAGTCTTGTTCCATGACGCGGTATTTGTGTGCAAAAGCATGCTGGTGTGCGCATTCAGCATTGCACGTAGCGCGTATTGTTTCAAAGAGCCAGCGCTACAGCGTTGGGTTCAAACATTTACGTGAAGGGGGGGGGGGGGGTGTGGAAGAGAAAAATACATTTTCCTCCAGTTTTTATTTATATAAAAGTTCAAATATATCAAATGACAAGGATCTATATGTCAGTTATATAAAACAAATATTGAGTGGCTTTAACCCTACAGGGGCCCCCCCTCAACATTTTCCGTGATGGCTTCTAAAAAAAAATTTTTCACGACCCGAGCTGTTATGACTTTTTAGCCTCTAGCCTTGCGCATCTTTTGATACCAAAAACATAAAAATCGGACCACGGGTTGCCGCTTAGCGAAAAATTTTCGCATATACGTCGTGTACACAGAGCAGAATTGCCATTCGTACATATGAATAATTAATTAGCCATAATTCCAAAACCCTTTGGCCTATAGTCATGAAATATTTTGGGTATGTTTAGGAAGAGTTGCTCTATGCATGTGCCGAGTTTCAAAAATTTTCGTCACTCGATGGCCGAGATCTTAGGGGGGGCAGAATCCGCCCCCCCCCCCCCCCCCCCCCCCCCCCCCCCCCCCCCCGGCTGAGAGATGGTCAAAATAACCCGGCCCCTTTAGGGTTAAATTGTGAAATGGGAGGAATATTATCGCTCGGTAAAATCTGGACTTTTCCAGTTCACTCGGCTTCGCCTTGTGAAATGGAAAAGTCTAGATTTTACCTTGCGATAATATTCCTCCCATTCCATGCTGATCCACTCAGTATTTGTATATTATTATATATGTAACTGAATGTTGTCTTTGCAGTGTTTGTCATTCCCTTCTGTTTCTCATATTCATCTTGACAGGTCTGCCTCCCCAGCTACTGGGTGTGGCCCCAGAGAAAGCCATCAAGCTGACCATGAATGACTTTGTCCGTGATCACCTCAGGAGGAAAGACGGGATTCCCCTCTGGGCTGAAATTGTGGCCGGTGGATGTGTAAGTATTAACCCTAACTGCCTAAGCATTTTGACTAAATCCCTTCATCAACCCATCAAATTGCAGCAGCATATGGTAAACTCTAAATGTTGGCTGGGAGCTTTTTAACTTTTAACAACAGTCACTTGATTTATTTTGACTGAAGGACAACTTTGAATGTATGTTTGCATAGGTGGTTTAACTTTATTTTTAATAATTTGTAATGTATGCAGGGCCATAATGTAAACCAATTTTAACCCTAAAAGGGCTGGGTTATTTTGACCATCTCTCAGGCGGGGGGGAGGGGGGGGGGAATTCTGTCCCCCCCCCCCAAGATCTCGGCCATCGAGTGACGAAATATTTTAAAACTTGGTACATGCATAGAGCAACTCATCATGAACATACCCAAGAAATTTCATGACTACAGGTCAAAGGGTTTTGGAGTTGTGGCTAATTAATTATTCATATGTACGAATGGTAATTCTGCTCTGTGTACAGGAAGTATAGGGGAAAATTGAGTTTTCACGGCACGTAGCCCCGGACAATTTTTCGCTGTGCGGCAACCCGTTGTCCGATTTTTATGTTTTTGGTATCAAAAGATGTGCAAGGCTCGAGGCTAAAAAGTCATAACAGCTCGGGCCACGCAAATGTTTTTTCTGTCCCCCCCCCCCTCCTCCCCCCCCCCCTCCTCCCCCCCCCCCCCCCCCCCCCCCCCACGGCCCTTTTGGGGTTAAACTGTTTGGGCATACCCTAGGTAAAGAAATGTAATTGCTAGAAGGACATGGGTGTTAATAACAGGGGAGGAATAACTTTTTAATTATTATTAATTGAATCTTTGTTTATATATTTTGTTTTGTCATTGTTGTTTACTCCTTATCTTTTTTTTTTAGGCTGGTGCCTCTCAAGTGATGTTTACCAACCCATTGGAGATAGTGAAGATCCGGTTGCAGGTCGCCGGTGAGATTCAGTCAGGCCCCAGAGTCAGCGCAATCACAGTAGTCCGGGATTTGGGCTTCTTTGGCTTGTACAAGGTAAACAACAACGATAAAACTTCCATTCGTGTTTCTTCTGCATACATTGTGAATTCTTTTCATGTGTCATATTCAGTTTTTTTTAGTTCCATTGAAGCTGTTAGCTGCAATTCAATTCAATTCAATTCAGTTGACATTTATTTAGCACTCTCCAATAAACCAATACAAAGTTGGATAATGTAAGTACAATACAGTTATATTTAAACAAGCGATTACAAAGGTTAAGGTAATTACCACCAGAAAAAAAATAATGCTTTAATTGAATCTAATTATTTAAATTAAGATTAATAGCAAGCGGAGTTGAGAAAGAGTAGAATAGGATAGGAGAATACAAGGCTGTTCACATAAGCCAAGGCTTGTAGGTGGAACAGCCTGGACAGACTATACAACGTAATCACACACACAAAAAAACACAAAAAGACAGACACGATCGGACACACAAACAAATGACAAACAAAACCAATGTAAGTCATATTATAAACCAGGCAAGATAAAAGAACAACAATGGACAAAGATATCAATGGAAACGAAGGAAAGCCTCAATATTAAATATTGAAAAAAAAACCACAAAAAACAACAACAAATAAACGGTAAAGAAGGGAAGGCTATGTTACATACTGGGAGAGAAGAAATCTTTTATAGGAAGATTTGAATCGACCCACGGACAGCATTGCCCTGATGTCATCGTGAATGGACTTCCATAGATGTGGACCATCGAACTTAAGGGTGAGGCTAGCGTATAGGGTGCGAGTGAAGGGAAGGAATAAGTTATTACGTGATCTGGTTGCATGATCGTGTATTTGTTGGACAGATGTGAAATATGCAGAAAAGATGTCAGGAAGGAGATTGTTGACAAATTTATACATGAATATGCCAGTTTGCAGTTTGTTCAGGTCAATGACAATGTAATGTAATATTATTAGTAAATTTAAAAAATACTTGCCTCTGTAGGGCAGTTTGTCTTACATTAAAATGTTCACAAGACGAGTCCCTGCTTGAAGATCGATTCTAAGGAAATTGAACAAGGCTAGAATTCCCTGTTTTTATTGTAATTAAAACTACACAAAGTTTTGAAATTCAACTTTTGTTGTTATAGAACATATCGTTGTGTCCGTGCAACAAGGTTGCATCTTCTAAAATGGGTCGTACGTGAAACGCGAGTTTCAGAATGTCAAAAGGTTGTATCTCACTTAACATAACCCGGATGTACACACAAAGTCAATGGACGTCGAGATACGACCTTGTTGCACGGAGCGTATTTGCGCGAGATACGACTTTGTTGCACAATGGGGTAACGACCTTGTTGCACTGACACGAAGATATACGCTTCACCTTATATTTCGTCGTGTCAGTGCAACAAGGTCGTATCTCCTAAAATGGCATAAACGCAAAACGCGAGTTTTAGAATGTCAAAAGGTCGTATCTCGCTTAAAATAACCCGGATGTACACGCAAAGTTACTGGACATCGAGATACGACCTTGTTGCACGGAGCGTATTCGCGCGCGATACGACTTTGTTGCAGAATCGAGTTACGACCTTGTTGCACTGATGCGACGATTTCCTTTATTACCTTGTTTTTTGTTCAAGAATATGTATAACATTAAATGCTCATATTTTCCCCAGAGTTAAAGAAAACAGTACCAATGTACAAGCCATGGAAATGAAGATAACATAAGAATGCTAATTTTAAAATATTCCAGTCATGTGTCACGGTATATGGATGCTAACCATGATGGGAAACATGGTGCTTGTGTTCTTAGGCAAGACACTTTACTACAATTGCCTCTCTCCACAAAGGAGTATAAATGAGTACCTGTGAAGGTAGATACCAGAATGTGATCATTTTGAACTGATATGAAGTGCTATACAAGCACCACATCATTGTTAGTATTTGCTTCAGGCTCTACACCAAACAGCAGTGAGTCAAACTGCAGGGTTGCAGTATTAAATCCATCACAACTCCGGTCACAAATCTGGTTATATGTAAATCACAAGTGACTTATGGGGCGCTGTGGTCCAATGGTTACGGTGTTCGACTCGTGTGCCGTGGTACACGGGTTCGAATCCTGACCGTGGGAACATGGTGCTTGTGCTCTTTAGCAAGGCACTTTACCATTATTGCTTCGTCCTTCGGATGGGACGTAAAGCCGTAGGTCCCATGTGTTGTGTAATGCACGTTAAAGAACCCAGTAACACTTGTCGCTAAGAGAAGGGGTTTGCCCCGGTGTTTCTGGCAGTGGCAGCAATTATGCGCCGCAGCACCTAGCAAAAAGGTGCAACATAATGGGTCTCATAATGTTCATATACTTCATTTACCTGGCTTTGGTTGCATTCTCCCCCAGCGCTTTGTATCCTCTGGCAAAAAGCGCTATATAAATACAGTTATTATTATTATTATTATTAAGAAGAAAATGAAATATTGATGACAAAAATAGTGAACCAATCAATAAAAAGGGAAACAAGTACATGTACACTTACCCTCCAATGTCCTATTGTGAGCCTAAAAAATAAATGTGCTTACAAAGAATAACATAAACAGATACTGAAGACTTTGAATTTTTTTAATTTTAAATCATGTGTTAGTGTCATTATTTTGTTATTCTTATTTTGTGTTCAGGGTGCCAGAGCCTGCTTCCTTCGTGATATCCCATTTTCTGCCATCTACTTCCCCGGCTACGCACACCTCAAGAAAGCTCTGGCTGACAAGGACGGCCACAACAACGCTCTCTCCTTGCTGACTGCTGCCACGCTTGCTGGTAAGAATAAAATCAGGCCTTGACACATAGTGACACATGTATTAGTGTAGCTCCTGAAAAATATTGCGTTTCCTGTGCTGTATGAACAATTTCAAATTTCAAGTTACAAATGCGATTTGGGCTTCTTACTTCGGAAGTGGGTTGACCTTGGGTGCAGGTAAGTTTGGATTGGTTTTAGGGGCCAAAGGTCAAGGTCACAGTGGTGAGTTAAAGATTAATGTCTTCCGGATGATAACTTGAGTTTGAATTGAGATTTGGGTTAATTTGAGTAGGGGTTGGCCTTGGGTACAGGCAAGTTGGGATTGGTTTGGGGGTCAAAAGGTCAAGGTCACAGTGGTGAGTTAAAGGTCGATGGTTTCTGGGTGATAAGTGGACTCCAGCTGAGGGGTTTCCACAGCAATTCTGTTATTTTTCAACATGTATGTTTTATTCCAACTAAAAAAACTCCCTTTTTTCCTTTTTCGGACGTCTGCACCTCTCTGACACCAAAAACAGTTTTTTTATTTTTTGCACAAACCGATCTGTTTGGCTCCCGGTCCATACATTATGGATACTAATTTTTGGACAGGAACCAGCCTACCCCGCAAGAATGGAATTATTGTCTGGCAGCTAAGTACTTGAAATTGTAAAGTAGTAATTCAATAACTAACTTTTGACTGATTGGGTTTTTTTTTCAGTGGATGTCTCATTCAAAAGTGAATAACTTTTGTTTGCTGGAATACTATCAAGTGAGAAAAGGAATCTATTTTTTCCAGATAAAATTCTTTAAAATAGTACGGGAAATGCAATTTTAATCAAGCAATTCACAAAATGTGTGCAGCTTTGGTTTTTGCCTCAGAGAGGCATTTTCAAATTCGTATTTGGTTTTGGCCAAGTTAAGAACATTCAAAAGTGAAATTGTGTGTAGGTGGTATCAGCAAGCATTGATTTGCCAATAGCTTCATTGAATTGAGTGCATTGAATTTGGGTTTGAATGACTTTATCTCTTTTTTTCCTAATTGCCAGGACCTCCTGCTGCCTACCTAGCCACACCCGCCGATGTCATCAAGACAAGGTTACAGGTCGTTGCTAGGAAAGGACAACAGACGTACAATGGGGTCTTTGACTGCATCCGCAAGATCTATGCCCAGGAGGGATTCAGGGCGTTCTTCAAAGGAGGTCCTGGTAAGTTTACAGAGCCAAGACGGAATTGGTTACAGTGTTCTAACTTTTCCCCTCAAACATCAATCTATAACCCGAAACCTCTGCCTCATCCCACATTGTCCCTCACCCTGCCTTATACCCGACCTCAACCCTCTGCCACACCCCATGCTGTTCCTTACCCCACCCCTTCACTCTGCCTCACCCCCACACTGTTCCTTATCCCCATCCCTACCCTCTGCCTCACCCCACCTTGTCCCTCACCCTGCCATCTACCCAACCTTGACCCTCTGCCACACCCTTTTCTTCACCCCCATGCTGTTGCTCACCCCACCCCTTCACTCTGCTTCACCCCCGTACTGTTCCTCATCTCTATCCTACCCTCTGCCTTACCCCATCTTGTCCCTCACCCCACCATCTACCTGACCTCGACCCTTTGCCACACCCTTTTCTTCACTCCCATGCTGTTCCTCATCCACCCCCACGCTGTTCCTCATCCATCCCTACCCTCTGCCTCACCCCATCTTGTCCCTGACCCCGCCATCTACCTGACCTCGACCCTCTGCCACACCCTTTTCTTCAATCCCATGCTGTTCCTCACCCCACCCCTTTAGTCTGCCTCACCCCTTTAGTCTGCCTCACCCCCTTCCTCATCTCCATCCCTACCCTCTGCCTCACCCCACCTTGTCCCTCACCCTGCCATCTTCCTGACCTCAACCCTCTGCCACACCCTTTTCTTCACTCTCATGCTGTTCCTCACGCCACCCTTTCACTCTGCCTTACCCCCCCCCTTCCTCATCCCCATCCCAACCCTCTGCCTCACCCCACCTTGTCCCTCACCCCGCCATCTATCTGACCTCGACCCTCTGCCACACCTTTTTCTTCACTCCCATGCCGTTCCTCACCCCACCCATTCACTCTGCCTCACCCCCATACTGTTCCTCATCCCCATCCCTACCCTCTGCCTCACCCCATCTTGTCCCTCACCCCGCCATCTATCTGACCTCGACCCTCTGCCACACCTTTGTCTTCACTCCCATGCCGTTCCGCACCCCACCCATTCACTCTGCCTCACCCCCTTCCTCATCCCTATTCCTACCCTCTGCCTCACCCCACCTTGTCCCTCACCCCGCCATCTACCTGACCTCGACCCTCTGCCACACCCTTGTCTTCACTCCCATGCTGTTCCTCACCCCACCCCTACTGTTCCTCAACCCCATCCCTACCCTCTGCCTCACCCCACCTTCTACCTCACCCCACCTTCTACCTCACCCCACCTTCTACCTGACCTCCACTCAAACCAACCCACCATGTTCGTAATTCCCCCTTACCATCTGCCTTACTCCCACCTACAAATTGAACTCTCCCCTAGCCCATCCTTTCACTTCCATCCACACCCTAACCTTCCTAATAAATGCACTAACTCGTATCCTTCAAATCCAGCAAAGTCCACCACAAAAGTTATGCAGGATTAATTGTTAAATTCAAGGGACTGCTCTAAAGCTGGCCTCAGGTTGACCTGCGATTTGCTTGCGCCACGACCGAACCATCGGCATCAAGCAGAAAAATAATACTCAGGTCACAAAACTGAGAAATTGTGTGATTCTCTTGAAACAAGCGGCATCCCGACGCAAAATAGTCTCAACCATGCTCATGTCACCCAAGGTGCGATGATATACCACGTTTCCACAGCATAGACAGCCATGTGACTTCTTTGACAACAAGGGAGTAATTATGTGCTTGGTCGGTTCGGCTGGAGCCTTTATCAGCTCGCATTCCCCTGATACGGTCTTAAATGTACTTGTATTCCCATTCACAACTACTTTTTGAGTAAAAAAGTCGACACAAGTCAAAAATTACACATTTCCAACAATTTGGTTGAACAGTTTTACTTCATAGCTATTTTAAAACACCCCTCTAGCTATGGTATGGAATATCCTCTCGCAAGTAGTAGTAAACAATCTCCTTATATGGTGATTGACGCGCGCGTGTTGCGTACTGCGTGATGTTACGCGGAGCGCCGGTGTGAAGTGTGCTGATTGGCTACACAATTGAAAAAGGATGTCTTGATGCACGCACGATCGCGATGTCGTCGCAGAAGTTGAAATTTTTCTACTCTTGCGACTGTTGAATTTTTTTTAGCGCCGACTAATTCCGATCGTCTTAAAATCGGTGACTGAAATGTTCCCGACGGTCGTAGCTCATGCACAGCTTGATCCTGTAAAGTCAGTCACCGACTGATCTGTGCTGTCGCAAGATCGACCTGAGGCCGGCTTTAGTTGTTTCCGGCATACAATGAGAGTATTGGAGAATTCGGTGTTCACAAATTTTCAGTATTCTTAATCCCTTCTTGGGTAACATCATATGTAGGCGCCTTCACTTTACTATACTGAACAAGATTCAACTGCTTGATAGCTCTCGTTGAATCGTTTTAAAGGTCTTAACAGTGAACAAGTACTGTCTTCCATTTAAACTGTGTTATCCTATTGGATTCAGTAGGCGTCAAGCATGCTGGTTTTATAGTCTTTTTGGATTATCACAAATTGCGTTTTGACTTTTTATTTCTCCCAATAGCTCGAGTGTTCCGGTCATCACCCCAATTTGGTGTCACCCTCCTGACGTACGAGATCCTGCAGAGAAATCTTTACATTGATTTTGGAGGACGGTGAGTATAATTATCCCCTCCATCAACCTATGGATTTTTGGCTCAGGCATATGGGCATATAGGGCTCTCTCACGACCCGGCCTACATCCAGGTATTGGAAAGCCAGTGTCGCCATTGTAGTAGGCAAAAACCATATAGCGCACTGTGTAGTAAGGTAGTAGGCAAGCCTTTAAAGCTGTGATGGATTGCAAAAACTGTGAGAGAAACTTGGAGCCAGTCTCTCCAACGCTGGGTCAGCACGATTACGACAACCGTTCACGGCACTGGTAGTGACGATTACGCCATTTGATGAAGAATTTGCGTTTATGTTACGTGAAAGTAAACCTTCTGTCTAGTTTACAACGTACGACCTGGTTGCTAACCAAATGCTTGCCTACTGCAATGGTTGCTAATCACGGAGAAACCGAATGGTCACATGGTACTTTGACGTCTTACGACTGGACCCTATTGGGCTCTGTGCACAAGTACATTCTTTCAGTGATGAAAATACAAAACATTGGTTGCTGTCACTTTTGGGCAGTTCACTGGTATGCGGTGATTTTGAAAGGTTAAATAGTGTTAAAACGGGTGAACCAGTGAAGTTTGCTCTCTCCTAGACTGATTGCCATCTTCTGTCCCATCTTGAAGTTCAGAAAATAAGTCCAGACTCCAGGTCAGACTAGGGTTAATGTCGTGGCCCTGCTAAGCACACAATTTTCTGCTAACAGAGCCTCTGTCTATTTCATATAGACTGTAAGCAGTAAGCACAGCAAAAGCCGAGCTTACCTCAGAGAAAAAAGGTGCTTAACCAGTTCGCGTCAGAGGACGTGATAACATGCACTGGCTGTTTTTATACACAGGCATGGCTGACACGTTAAAATGTCAAGATTGCCTCGACTTGCCTTCGGGTGACGTCTAAACATGCTATTCCCTCATGTCTTTTGTACACACACCCGAGTCCGTGAAGTCTGTGGAGGTGGACCATCTGTTGATCTTGGATTGGCCGTTGTGCACGGCCTATTGTTCTACAATTTACGCTCCAGTGCACACCCCAGAGTACTGAAACATATGAGGTTTCAGTAAGAAATATTGTACAAATACTGTTGAAATGACTCGAGCGATTCAGTATTTTGTAGCGTTTGGCTGTATATCAGAAGTTGGCTGGAAAATGTTGTCGTTTGCAACAATCGAATTTTTTGGCAAAAATAATCTCGGCGTGAAGTGGTTAAATCAGTGACATAAAAGAATAGAAATATCCATGGGCACACAACCGTTAGTACTTCCACACCATGAAATAGTGCTGAAGGTTAGCACAATTTTCTGCTATAGTTAGCACAACTACGAGGATTAAAGGGAATGTACATCATTGACTTTTGCTGTAATTGTCAGAAATGAACTATTTGAGGGGTTAGTATAATAGATCAAATATTGTTACACTGACACGTTTGAAGTTTTGTGTTCGAAAATGCTGGGAAAACCAAGAAAAACCAAAAATGTTCAAGTAGTCTGGTTCCCTGACTCCACTAAAGATGAAATGGATCAATTTATAGATGCTGGAAAAATGTAAGGTAAGGGAACCAGTCTAGCTGGCCTGTAGCTGTTCATGAACATGTAACCAATAGCAAACAAAATCTGGACTGAAACAAAATGGTAAATTTGGAGCAGTAGTTGAAAAATAGTTAGGTTTTTCCAACGGTGGTCGGAAATTTACACAAAAATACCACTTTTCTTGAAAATGACTTCACACTAGGTGCCATAATTTTACAGGATGCTTTAGACTGTCATTTACCAACATCCTAATAAGGTATTTGATAAAAATTTGGTTGTTTTGTTTTTCGATGTTTGCAAATGTTGTATATTCCCTTTAATCACAAATAATCAAAAGCTTTTTCCTTTCTTTCTTAGGCGACCCGAAGGATCAGTAACCAAGCCCAGTACTCATGTAGCCGACCTGCCGCCAGTCAACCCAGATCACATCGGTGGTCTCCGGCTCGCCGTGGCAACCTTTTCGGGCGTGGAGACCAAGTTTGGCCTGTTCCTGCCCAAATTCAGGAATCCGCTAGCCACCGCAGTCCACACCAGCTAGTAACGCAACTAACAATGTATTGGATATTTGACTTCAAAATTGAGACTCAAGTGACTTTAAAGGCCAACTCCAACGATATAGGGAAGGTAAAAGACCACTTCAAGGTAATAAGGCCATATTTTTGAGAGAATGACATCATTTTTGTAATGATGCCATTTTCTGGGTGCAAACACTAGAAAAAGGCATATAGCATCATTTGCTTTTCGTGCATTTTATTCATTTTGAAAAAATGACACCACTCAAAATCCAAAGAAAAACGTTCAAAACCTAACCTGTTGAAGTTTCAGCTCAGTGGATACCCGCTCCGTGCAAGTATAGCGTGAAATAGTAATGAGTTGCTTATATAGCGCTTTATACCAAAGGTCTCAGAGCACTTCACAATTATTACCCCTGTTCATTAGGCCGTGAGACCATTTTTTCTGCAGCAGCTCGAGATCAGCGCATTCTAGTCTCTACCCTCACAGGTACCCATTTATACTCTTGGGTGGAGGGAGGCAGTTGTAGAAAAGTGTCTTGCCCAAGAACACAAGCACCATGTTCTCTGGTAGGATTCGAACCCATGTATCACGGCCGTGAGACCATTTTTTCTGCAGCAGGTCAAGATCAGCGCATTCTAGTCTCTACCCTCACAGGTACCCATTTATACTTTTGGGTGGAGGGAGGCGATTGTAGAAAAGTGTCTTGCCCAAGAACACAAGCACCATGTTCTCTGGTAGGGTTCGAACCCATGTATCACGGCACGCAAGTCGAACCACTGTAACCATTGGACCACAGTGCTCCACGCATGGCAAATTATATTCTGAATGTGCACAAAGCAACTTGTCTTCGCGTGAGCGTCAGGTGTCGTCAGCAGTGCATTCTAATGTCTTCCCAGTGGTCTCCCCAAACTCTCCCTTTCTTACCGATGAGGGGGTACTTGTGCATGGAGCCCATATTACACTTTTCAAGAAAACAGTGAAAAACCATGAACAAGCTTTTGATCCTGAAACACGATTTCGTCAATAGAACTCTTTTATTTCCAAAAATCAGTCAGTTGGCTGATTGTGGAAATCACCTACATTTCTTGATTTCTTCTAAATGACAGCAAGCCAGACGGAATAATTTGACGGGGTGTTTGGTACTATTACAATCTTAAATCCCAATAAGATTTTGACAATAATTCGGTAGGCTACTTTTGGGATAAATGCAAATGATCCTAAATGCATTTAAAGCAGTTTATTATAATCTGAGAATAAAAGATCATAAAATTAACTTTTAAATTGTAGCAAAATGGAAACAAATATTAGCAAACATGGATACACAGCTGTGTATGCACCTTAAATGGTGTCCATACATTTGTTCAAAAATAAGGCCTATTATTAATTATATCAGGCTTCCAGTGGTAAAAATAAATGGCGTGTTGTATGCTTTCGTAAAAAGTACCGGGATGAGAGCAATATTATGTCAGTAAAAAGTACCCGGACAAGGACAATATTATTTTTGACATTGTCCTCATCTGGGTGTTTTTAACAAATTTCGCTGGCTCCCGCACAGTCAAGAACGTAGAAACTCACAGTTGTCATCCAGTCAACAGAGCGTATCGCGCGGCACCGTCGCGTGCGGATGTAACCCGCAGCAGGATATGCGCACTCTTGTCAACAAGCACAACGTCAGCTTCGAGTGGCTTAAAATTTACTTCAGTAAGTAAAGAATATTCGACAAAATTTGAGAAGTAAGGACAATGTCCTGAAAATAATGTATTTCTTGCGGATCAAGTAAGCCTGGTATAAATAATACAAATAATATTGGAGGGCTTTTTTCGGGGGATACAAGAATATATTGCCATAACAATATTGCACAAGTCTTTGACTCAAGCAATATTGTTATAGCTCGTGCAATATGTTTCTGTATCCCCCTCAAATCCATCCAATTATATATTGCTACTCGTTGGCAGTTGAGTTTTAAAAAACTTGCCAATATGAGAAACAAAAGTGTCATGATTCACTCTGATTTTCCCCAAATATTCCAACCTTTGGTCATTGGTGGTGCTTTATCGAAATTTTGGTTTTTTGATCGGTGAATGATACTGTACTATATGAGTGCTTGTCACCACAGGTTTCGGTTGGAAAAAGTTGCATTCTTTATTTTATAACAGTGTATCAAGGCCTCCTGTGAATTTTGTGGCTTTTTTTTTTTTTTTAATAATATACATAATTTAATTTAATTGTAATGTAAAAGTTTTGGTTGAAAACCTTGTTTTTCTCTCTTGTTGGAGTTGCTGTTTTAAAGAAACATGTAGGGCTTTACCATTTCTGTGCATGACAAAAAGACAGCAAAACCTTTATGGGGAAGACATATTATATTATGGATGAATTATACCCATATTTTGTTTGTTCTGTCTTGAAGATTGAAACATTTTCAGCAGTACTTGCAATAGATCCTGTAGGATTGATTAAAATTGGTGTTGAGTACATTTCAATGACCATTTGAAGTGTTATCAGGCCAAATTATGAAGCAATGACATCTATTGCAATTTTAAAGACTGCCAAGTTCTGCCAATAACTTGTCAAGCTCATTGTGGAAAATATCTTCACCAGTAATTCTACATGGTCAAGCCAGAATTTTCAGTACACCATTTTTTTCAATTCTTGTTACCTACATATTTATCAATTGTGAGATGATTTCATAAGTGTTTGTCATGTACTATCTAGTCAACAAACTTCAAAACTGTCAACTGCTTTCAAAATCTGGCAATGTGATGTCCCATTTTGTGGGGGGGGGGGGGCAGTGGAGAATGTTTGCAAAGTGCCGCAAAAATGTTTTCAACAATATTCTCTGTCATTTATGAATATATTTTTTTGGTGGGGGGGGGAGCTAGTTCCAGTCATGAAATAATGGTGGTTTCAAAGTCCCCTTCCTGTCCGTTCCGTTCCCCCCTCTCTCCCCCCCCCCCCCCCACCGAGACACTACTTGTCACCGTCAAACCTACCCCCACCCCCCACCCCCAACCCCCACCCCACCCCCACCCCTACCGAGACACTATTTGTCATGGCCGGGCATGCATTTCAACTGTAAATACTGATGCTTTGGAAAATTGAATTTACAACATGTACAAAATTCACAGTACAGTTATAGCATTCTACAGTATTTCTCAAGTCGTCCTCTTAAACACTGTCAAAACATCTTGCATTGTACAAACTTTGCCATATTATAAATGTACATATGCTCTGAATAATGTTGTAAAGACATATTTTTATGTCTCCGTTTAAAAGAAAAGTACTTTTTTCATCAGAGCACTTGCAAGGTTACCGTCAAATAGAAAATACAACTCAATTTTGCCATTCATCAATAGCTTTGCCCATTCATAAAAAAAATTCATCTTCCAAAATTATTATCAATAATAACATCACAAACTGAATTGCTTTGCTGTTCAATTAGCCACCCCTTTTAATTAGGATCATTTGTTTAATTTGTATCGTACTTGGATATTTTACATGCAATAAGAAAATCCATACGCACAATGAAAATGGTTTGCTGTAAAAATTGTAATAACAAGTATTGTTGAGCGAAATGTTTGACGTTTGCCTATTTTTTTGGTTGAAAAAAAAAAGACTGAAGTGCTGTGCTTTCATCAGTAGCTTGAAACAACTTTAGCTAGCGCACGAAAAAAAGGTGATTACTTCTTTTGTTGGTCTTTTTTTAAGATTTGCAAGATTGCAGCTGTTTTTTTTTTTTTATGAAGTTGTAATTTGAAATGGTTATGGTTAGAAGGTACGTTTTTTCAAGATCCGTTTGCGACATTTGTTGAGCTGATTGAAGGTTGTTATTTTGCCGTGATGTAAATCTGAAGAAGCAAGTATTACTTTTTTTCTGTTCGGAAGGGTACGTTTTGATGGAAAATGCAGATAAGATTTTTTAAAACAATTTTGTAAATTAAGTAATATTTATCTTTGATTTGTATTGCCGAGTGTATTTAATTCACACTAAAAGAGTGAAGTAGACCACTTTGTATTTCGTGCAAATTTATCGCCAGTTAGTGAAGACAGGGTACCCGACTAATTCTTCATTGTTCATATGTCTTCATTGTCGAATTTGCATGAAGTGCAAAATGGCGCCTATGCAAATGTAATATAAATGTAATTTACATTAAAATTTCAAAACTTCAGTAATTTTGAAAATTCTGAAAGTGCATTCTTGCGTGCAGGATAACGACATTGGAATATGATTGGATTTTTTCTCTTCAAATTTTGAAAGAGGAAGTAAAAGTGTTTGCCAACTAGATGCATTTTAACTACTTGCAAGTAACGATAGTCACATTTTAGATTTTTAGTGTGAGAGGTCGTTATATTTAAAGTTATGAAGAAAAGATTGCTGTTATATTTTGAAATTCAGAGATATAGTATTTGGAACTGACTATTCAGTGCTATAGTCGAGTCCACCCCGTCCGAGTCCTTGAAAATCGGGACTCGAGTCCAAGTCCGAGTCCAGACTCGAGTACTCCAGCACTGTGACAATTATAAGTTTAATTTCTGTTAACAGTTACACGTTCAACTTGTTCGAAATAGTTGAGTGGGGTTTGTGTAAACAAACTGTTCAGAGTTTTTCCCCAAAATAAAGCTGTCAATCTTTATTTTGTACTTTAGCCAAGAACCAAATCTAAAACCTACCACTCGCTTGTCCAAAAAAAAAAATAATAATAATAATAAAAGGAAAACAAAGTGAATATGCAACTTTGTTAGAATTGTATTATCCTTGTGATTTTCCACAAGGCCTGTTGACAAAATTACTTCAGCCTGAGCTGAATTTATTGAAGAGCGCCCCCAGCAGTCAGACTTTAGAAATGTTTATTTCTGCAAGAAAAAGACATTGCTTCCAACTAAAGTCAAAATTCTTCAAGCCTGCTTGCCTTTTTGTACAGCTCTGGAAACTGTTAAAACTTAGCATTGCAAAAAAAAAACATTTTTAATTGAAAAGGATTTGTGATGAACTCAACTACATGCAATTAACAGTGCTACATGCGAACTGTAACGAACAACAAAACCCCAGTGTTGACCAGGGATTTTCAGTCAGTAAATATATTGGAAAATTTAAATGATTTAAAGTCAGACCATGGATAATTGTACTATAATTCCTTGAAAATGCTTGTTGTGAATGTTCAACTCAATTTAATATAACCTCTAAACCTTGGCCTCATTGCAGTTTGATGTTCCTGACAACAGCAAATATGTGTCGTCATATCTCTGGAAGCCGAACCCAGAATCAAAGTCGTGGTTTCAAAAACTGCGTAGTTTTAGAAATGGATCCATGGCCAGTTCCTTGTTTAGTTGATAAACAGCGCCCTCATTTGATGTTATTTTGGCATAGTTATGTCATGTTTATAAAAATTAACAAATATGCTTTTATATAAACAAAACTTTGCATAAAACAAATAAGCTTATGTAAACAGAACTTTGCATATTATAAACTCAACTTTTGTGCAGGTCGATGGAATGGGCGTACATTTAAGTTATACAAGACTTCTCGTGTTCAGAAATTTATGCTGGTAATGAGTTACAAAACAGGTGTTTAATTGAATATCAAAGTGATTGCTGTGAAAAGTTATTGGTTCAGCATGTGATGAAATGTATGCTTTCATGTAATAAGCTGAACATTTTTGGAGAGTTCTTGGACGTTCTTGATAATAATCAAATGTATATTTTAATAGAAATAAGTTAACTGTACATTAGAGCCAAGGCTTTTTTTCCACACTGGAACTTGAAAGTGTAAACTTATGTGCAGCTCTGTGGACTATTGTTTGTGGAGAATTTAAAGAAGATATTAAAAAAAAGGTTTACAGAGAAATTTTTTTGGTATTTAATTGTGGTTTCTTATCACAGAAATGCAGTGAATGTGTTGTACTTGTCACAACTGTACGTCGACATCAAATAAACAATAATACTCTTAAAGGGAATGTTCAACATGTAGTTTGCTGCAATTTTCAGAAACAAATGGATTTGGAGGATTAGCATGCTATAGCAAATATTGTTAAACTGACTTGTTTCTCGTTTTGGGCTTGTACATGCTGGAAAAAAAACAAAACCAATGATGTTCTTATAGTCTGGTTCCCTGACCCCACTTAAGATGAAACGGAGCAATTTATAGACTTTCGGGAATTGTAAGGTCAGAGAATCAGTCTAGCAGGCTTGTACCCCTTCACAGGTGTGTAATCAATTGCAAAGAAAATGTGGAATAACTAAATATGAAAAATAAGGAGCAGTCTTTGAAAAAAGCCAGTTTTTGACAAGCATTGGAAAAATACAAATTTTCTTGAAAGTGTCAGCACACAAGGAGCCACGATTTTACAGGATACTTTAGACTGTCATTCCCTAACAATCCAGTAAGTATTTGTGATAATTGGATATTTCTTTTTTTTTCCCCCTTTTTTTTTTTTTTGATGTTTGCAAATGTTGTATGGGTCAGGCTTGTGTAAATTCCATACTCGTTTTTGACCATCACCACACCAATGTATTGATTTTATATCTATTTTATAAACACTGTATGTTCAGTGTTGTCCAAGTGCTTGTGAGACAAATTCACAAACTACTCGGGTGGGACTCGAACCCACGACCTCCTGCTTATGCCGGTGAAGGACAAAACCCCAAATTTATTTACATCACCCTCCTGACACAAAATTCCATCTTATGAATAGTTCGGTTGCGGTACCTGCTGCTAAATCAGATCCAGCCAGCCAGCCGACCCCGATGAGCTTGGTGGTCGAGCGGCAAGACGTCTGCACTAGAAAGCAGGATGTCATGGGTTCAAGTCCCACCCGGGTGAGTTTGTGATTTTTTTTTCTCACAAACACTCTCACAACATCAAGTATGCAGTGTATATTTTTGTTAAAGTTGGTGATGGGCTGAACCAGTTGAATGAACAGCCATATTTTGTACATACTTCAGTCAGCTAGCAACGGGGAGAGCCAGTGTTTATGGAGTGTTGAATTAGAAGTAATTTAATCCATGGCTTCTTAACCCATTAGCAACTGTACTACATCGTATTAGGTTGTGTTTATTCACTGATTATATCCAGCATGATTTGTGACAGAGCGTACCCCCCCATGTCCCTATAGTATACTGTATACACAACATAGACTATTGCTACCTAGCAGCCCCTCCCCCCTTCCCCCCTTCCCCCCCCCCCCTTCCCCCCCCCCTTCCCCCCCCCCCCCCCTTCCCCCCCCCTTCCCCCCCCTTCCCCCCCCCCCCTTATCTGAAATTAATGCCAGAGATTCTGGTAACACAATGACCAACACAAAAGAGGGGGTGGGTCCTTCTGTCACATATCTTGCTACATTTGTCACTGATGACACCATACAACCACTGCATGCTTGGGCAATTTTGGGTGCAACATGTACATGGAGTAATAGGCAGGACATTTTTGGGCGGTACAGACATCGAGTAATAGGCAGACCAATTTTTTCTTTTTATTTATTTTTTTTGGGGGGGGGGGGTGAGTTACAGTGAGTAAAAGCTAAGGGCACTTTCTGTGGTGGGCTAACCTTAGTGTGTTTAGGATTTTTCGATGCACCTTGTTCTTTTTTTTTAAATAAACAATATTGCAGAACAATTATTTCTCATTTTTAAATCCAATTTTACATTTTAAACAAGTTTATTTTGTTCAATGTCTCCCCTTTATGCTACCAAACTCTCACTGGAGCCTTTTAAAGTGTGCAAGAGTTTAAAACTAATGTTGATTAATATAAACACACCGATTCCCAACTTTTGAATATTTCAATTCAGTTAATATCCACAGAACCTAAATTACAGTCCACACAAACTACATATTCTCGACTGTATGAACTTTCACAGAACACAGGTAACTTCTGGTGATCACAACATATGATTTATTACAGATCTTGCCCGTACAAATTGTCAATTTAGTTAATTAATTAGGAATTAAGCAAGTAGTGTTCACATGCAACCAATTAACATATCAATTTTGATGAAAATCAGGTTTCATGTACTTATGAATTATTTTCATAATAATCAACTGGCCACACATTCACTCCCAATTGAGGTACAATTTTACACTAATTTTTGGTAAATTGTTGGTGTGTAAAGACTGATACTAAGACGGTTCTCAAGTTCTATATGGTTGTTTGGTTGGCTGTGTATTAAAAGACGACACTGCAATCAGATAAATAGCTGTGTAGGCTGTGCAGTTCTTAGAAAGCAAACAGAACTGTTAACTAAATTCTATTAAATTAAAGAAAAATCCTGAATATGATCTATTTCACCCCACAGATTGCGTTCATTTCAAGTGCAGAGACTTGACTCTGTGTCATAATTACTAAATTCTGTGGAAAATTATTTTAAAGTGTCGACAAATATACCAGGAACATCCATTAAAAATATGTGATATATATTTTTCAACATTCATAAAACTCTTTGGTCATGCTTGACATTTGTAAAATATTTTACCAGTCTTATACATATTATAATAAACAATTAGCTGAAAAAAAGTTTCAAACAAAAACAAAACAAAAACAAAAATACGGGAAAAATATAAGATGTGGAACAGCTGGTTTTAAATCTGCTAAAATAGTATGGAATCATGTTTTATCATTTGCCTACTTGAGTACATCGCAGCATTATTTAGCACCTGCTAAAATGCTTTGGTATTTGGTGAACAAATGTTTTGGTGAACAAATGGTGCAATTTTTGACATCACAGAGTTTTTGACTGTCCAAGTATTTTCCAACCTCAATAACTAACATTCATGCTAGGCGATAAAACTCATACCTACCTTGTTACTATTTTTGTTAAAATAAACAAGTAAATTAGAATTTTAATAATAATTTACATAAAATAGAATTCCTGTGAGTGTACCCTTAGGGAGACACTCTACCATAAAAAGTTATACCTGTGGGTAACTCACATTTCTAGGCAAAATGTTACCGTCGCAATTCGCAAATAGCCTACATTGATTCCTCGTATGATGCAAAACCTAAATTTACAAAGTTTGTTGGGGTAGGTTTAGTTAAATTAGGGTCAGGGGTCAATCAAGTTAGAACATTTTTTTGTGCACAAGTTTAACTGGTTAATTCGACCAAGTAGACATTTTAAAATGTCACATAGAAGACTCTATTTGAATTTTATTTTATGATCTCAATTAATGAATTCTGATGCAACTTGAATATTTGGGTTTTAAGAAGTAACTAACTCAGCTGATATGATGCGCAAAAAGAGATACTATTCTGGATTTAAAATAAAAGAAATGTTTCATCAAAAGCAACGCCAAAAAAAGTCCTTAACCCGACGACGGAAAAGCAATTAAGCGTCATATCTATATAAGGAAAATCCCACTAATATAATTAAGATCTAGTATATTATAGAAAGGGCAATCAATCATACTTGTTCTAATTATATTATATTTTGTGCTTATACACAGGTACGTTCTCGGCAATCTTTGTTTGGGTTCCAAATATGTTCATATGCTTACGGAAATGTTTACATCCGTGGAATAAAATTTAGGGACTTTTGCAACATTCTAGTGATTCATTTGGTTAATGAAAATAAGAAAAGGGGTGGGGGGAAATTTGGGGCGGGGCTACGTGTAGTTAGGGGTGTTATTTACCAGCACCTCACATAGAACCATGCCCGTTTACACTCAGCTGAATTCAATATTTGTCCATTGCGTTAGGAGATTGCGTTTAGTCCTTCTTGTCTGTCTTTTCCTTGATGTAGTCCTTGTACTGCCGGTCAGTGCCAAAGATCTTGTCCCACCAGGTGAAAGTGGAGGAATAATTGCCGTTGAAGTTCATGTGGTGGAAATCGTGGAATCGGGCACCTGGGTGTGGGGAAGAATGGAGGAATTTACTCAAGACGACAAGAACAAGAAAGGGTTTTTAACGTATAAGCCGAATTCAGTTTAGAAAAGCTGGTAAGTCTGTATCTTTGGATCAAGGAGTTATGTCATTTGGCCCTTGTTGAAAAGACAGAGAGCTTACAGTTACACTTGAGTTTGTTTCTACTAACGTCTTTCCCATAATCCTTTGCTGCAATCAAGACTCTCCCATCGCTTTCAAAAACCATGAACTTGTGGCATACCCATTCAATGGACCGTTGAACATTGCATAAACTGATCAAATAATAGAGCCAAGCAAAACTGTGTTCAAATCGTGAAGTCTGGAAAGGTTACAAAACAAATAACTCTCCACTCTCTCCGCAATTTCACCAAGCGCAAAGAACCCTGCGTGGTTGGCTCCTATATTTAGGGGTGTTGGTCAGTATTAAGACAAGACAAGTCATGGGCATGGTATCCTAACACAATTTTTAATTGTCTGTGCCCATTATATGGGTTTTGTAAGTCTAGGGCAAAACAGAGTTTGCAGTTGCACGTATCCAGGTTTGGTTTTCTCATGAGAAGTTGTGTTGTTGTCAAGTCCATCACAAGTCCTTTCAGAAGTATGAGTAACGGGATGAACATTGACAAAGGACTTGACACTGAAGGATTTGTGATGGACTTGCAGGGAGCTTGTGGGAACTTGTGATGGACTACAACACTGAAGAGAAGGCTACGGGTGCAACGGACTGAACGCATTACCAGTAGACACATGTGCACTGGTTCAAGCGATACTGCACGAAAAACAAACCTGCAGCGTTTTGCGTGAACACAAGGCATGTGACTGCAATGCCAAACTCTCTCTTTGTAAATCACCGAGGGGGTACTTGCGCACAGAGTCCAATGTCTTTCAAGACCTACCTCCATAGAATGGCAGCAGATGCAGGGGGCTCATGGGAATGTCGTAGCCACTGTGAACATCAATGGTTTCCAGGAGACGGACTACCATCCAACCCCACAGGAAGGCCAGGTGGTTCCCCATCAGCAGGATGCCCCACATGGTTCCCATGCCCAGAACTGAATGGAATGGAAGTAAGAACCACTGTAAGAATCCTCTTGTAATACAGGAACCATTGAAACAGATTTCCGTATTACAAATTTGGCCCATAGATTAACTACCAGTGTTTTCAAAGTCAAGTTTACTTAAATATGAACTCATCAAGTAAGAATCAAGCCCAAGAAGTACGTCTGTGCTGATTGGTTGCTATGAATAGGGAGAAATATGAAAAATTTGTTCCACATAGCTGTCACAGGTAGGCAAGAAATGTACACATTTTGGAAAAGGACTCGAAGGCAAGTTTGAAACATTTGGAAGAAACTTGGAAATTTTCAATGGTCTTCTTGTCCAAATACTCTAGTTTCTAAACCATACTTTTCTAAAAGGCCATGTACTTGATACAAAATGTGGAGTACTTCATGCTCAATTCCTACTACATCACCATATATTTCTGTGTACTTGTTGGACATGCAGGTTTGCAGTAAAGTCAGACATTTGCATGCTATGGTATGCTTAACCATGTCACCAGAGTTGGTCCAAATATTATGGTCACAATTATGATAGAGTTGTTGCCGAGTTTTGTAAAGTGAAAATGCATTGTTAAGCAACTGGGTTACTTCAGTTTTGCTGAAAATTCAAGACAAAGATATTTGTAATTAATATTTCCAAATCAGTTTCTAACTGATTACTTAATTTTCTTATTTTCTTTCTTCTTCTTTTTAGTAAAGTTGTAAAATAATTTAACAGGAAAAATGACTTCAAGACGTTTAACTGGTGTGCTGTAGAATTTAAACAAAAATCACTTTTCTAGATGTATTTGCTTTTAAGTTATTATATATAGGCCTACTGAAGTCAATCCGCTATTGCATAAATACATTGATTAATTAATCAGTTCCTCTAATTTTACTTATGACACACATTCTTATCTAATCAGATTATTACGATATCGAGATTTTGTTGCAAAACAGGTTTTTGTGCCACTTCACTCCTCCAAAAAAAACACCCTCCAATTATTAAGAAGTGAGTCACTTTGGTTAATGCCGAAAGTTACAAAACATTTACGCAACATCCTCTGTGCTGCCAGTATATTTACACTGAAAAACCTTTGAATGCACAAACGCAACCAGCAGATTGTTAGGCCAGTTACAAAATTCCTCCCCCACCACCAATCTGTTGTATAAATGTGGGAGCTGTCAACCTTTTGAAGTTGTGATTTTAAACAGGATATGCAGGTACCCTCAACATTTGCTAACACTCTCTAAAACCATGCCTCCGGAAATCCACGATTTGCATAAGTGAATTTTACGACTGACACAGTATCCTACCACAACCATCTTACATAAAGTCCAAAAATCTGGAGACTTTGTAAAAATTATACATCAATTTTTCATTGTGTTGAAGCCAGTTGAAGCAATTTTGTCGTGGTGGTTTTGACAGTTGGTATGAGTATGTAAACACCAGCAATCTCGGACCTAGGACAAAAGGGTTAGGGCACAAACGATACGTCCACGATTGACCGATAGTCCACGATTGAAATTCATGTACAAAACCAATGAGAGCTGTTGCTAAAAAGTTAGAGTACACACAAAGGAATGAGGATTAGGGACAATAGGGGGTCCACGATTGCCGGTGTTTACATAGATGGGCAAGTGTGTGGAACCACACTGACCAATTTTTATAAATTTATCAAGATCACTTTATGAGTAACAGAGTTAAACCTGTTTGCGAATGCAACAACATAAAAGCTACTTCTTCTTTGTTTTTGGATGATTCCAGACAATGAAAATTTTAAAAGAAAGTGGTTCATTGAAAAATAGACTAAAGTAGTTTTTTATATACAGAAATATACGGGTAAAAAGTTGTCAGGAGTTAAAATAAAATCAAATTTGTTTAAGAGCACAGGAAATTCATCTTAAAGGTTCCTAATAAAATGGAAGCTGAGTTAGGGTTAAAGTTTATAGCTGTGGTATGTATTGTTGGATTTTTTTGCTGGTTGTTGGCGAACATGTTATTGAATGCAACACTAAAAGTCACGTAGGCCACAAAGCTATTTCAAAAATACCACCACAAGTTCTCTATAAAAGTTGTTTTAACAAGACTTTGCTGCGATGGCCACTGTTCAAGTATTTCAAAAGATACAGTAAGATGTAAATTGACAAAGATCTGTAGCAGTAAACCTCACTTTTTCTTTAGTTTTCTTGTGGACAATGGCTCATCTTCTTTTTTTGGAATCTCCAAGTACCAAAAGAAATTTCATACAAAGGACATTTGTTGACATATTGGAGATATGGCAGATAAAGTACTGTATATAGCATGCCACCCTACAAAAGTGGACTTTTGGAATATTAAGCAAACAAAGAAACAAAGACAAGATAAGCACTTCTTTATATTTGGGATAAAAATGGGAATGATGAAGACAAAAATAGACATAATTATAAATACTTTTGGATTATGTAAACATGCAAATGTGATAATTTGTTACAGTTATCTGTTTGATTGATTCATTTTCTAGGTTTTTTGTGTCAGCTGCCTGTCACAATTTGGATTCAAATATTAATTCTGTGCCAATCGAAAGAAACTAAAAAAAAGCCTTGTTGAAAATGCACAATAAGTCTCTTCCTTCGAAAAATAATGATGTTTAAGTGATTTTTGTGTCCCTTTCAGGATTTTTTTTCATAAGAGATACAGTGAAATCTCGATAAGTCAGACTTCAGGGGAATGGGCTCAAATTTTGAGTTAAGCAGAGTTTTGAGTTAGCAAATGGATTTTCCTTTCAACAACAATTGACGGGAATATTTTCTTAATTTGAGTTAGAAGGGTTTTCGAGTTAGCAGGTTTTAACTTATCAAGATATCACTGTATGTCTAAAATAGGCCAAATTAGTATATATTCAGAAAATCAGAGTGTAATTTGTTGCCCCTTTTGGAGATTTTTATGCAGAAAAGTTCAGGAAATGCATATCTCTTTTCTTTGTTGACAAGAAGATGGTGTAATGTATCGATATTCAACATTCAGCATTCCTACAAATGTGATTTTGGTACATGTATTTCCTTGAACACATTGCACATTTGCAAGCATTTATCAATAGTTTGCATAACTTTTCCTTTTCGCGTGCAATCAACCCCTATTCTTAGCATGCATTTGATATTCTATAACGGGAAAAGGATCTACTCAGATAAACCTTAACTCCACTTATATATACCGGTATCACTAAAATTTCGCAAAGTTTATAACTTACTCATTGTCTCCGCAGGATGAGCGTATTCAGCCACCATTCCGAAGGGAGCCTGTTTCAAACAATGGAAACATTGGAAATTTGATATTATGCTCGACATCCTCAATGTTTTGTTACTTTTAAATGACATTTGTAACTATGTAACTTTACGTTATGACTAAGAATGTTAATGGGTCACTTTTGGTCGATAAAAACTTATGCCCGGTTTGTTTTTTTCAGGCTAGCATACAAAAATTGTGCAAAACTAAGATATAGGTGGGGTCAACCCAAATAGATTGTGGTCTCAGACTGATAAATGTTACAAATTAACTTCTTGGAATCCGGTATTGTTTGAATGATTGCAACATTAGCTCTTTCGATGTAAAATTTAGTCGCACATTTCATGCCCTTATTCAAATCTTTAGACTCTGTTGTGCCGGTTTCAAACACGAATAAAAAAATAATAATTGGAGATTAAAACACTCAAACTGACCTGGAAATTGTGGTGGACCTTGTGGATGTATTTGTAGATTCTCTTGTCGTGCAGGGCTCGGTGGAGGAAGTAATGCCAGGTGTCCTCAATGACGAGGCAGGCGTAGAACTGGGCAAGCAACACATACCTGAATACAAACAGAACGAGAAACATTAAAACTGAGTAACTATCCTTAATTTCTCAAAAGTGGCTACAGCTTCCACTACAAATATAGAAGCGGCTGTAGCCACTTCCCATAGACATGTGTGTTACTGCTAGTCATAGCCAAGTAAATCGGATGCCTTTCTTTACCAAGGACTTGGTGCTAAAAAGCAATAGGTAGGCCTAAGTATCCCTTAAAAAAATCTTGTAAGTACAGGTTTACTTAGAATTGGATGGATTTTATTTTTTGCACTCTCATTTATATACCGACTTTGAAAAAAATTATAATAAATTTGGAAAGAAACAGTTTCGCTTCCCCCCTTTTTTTGGAGGAGGGGAGGGGGAAAAGGGTGTTATAAAATCAAAAAGGCATGCAAACACTTGAATTTTACAAAAAGGCCTGTGTAGGCTATTGATAAATAGTGCAAATTACAAGCTGACACGCAAGAACCAACAGATACTGATGATCACACTTTACTCCAGTTATCTGAATATAAGCTTGTGACTTGACATGACACTGAATGACTTGTAATTGACTTGTTGCGACTTATGATGATTTCTGATCACTCCTTCTGTAATACAAATCTTCTATGATACAAATCAAATCTTCTGTGATACATATCAAATGCTTTTGGAGGCCAGTTTTTGCTACATCTAAGACAAATACAGGGGGAAATCTTTGTAAAGACTTATTACCAGGCTGGCATCTTATCCCACTCAAAGGGAATGCTGAACATCTCGCAGTAGAGGTAGGAGGCACAGATGATGGGCAGCTGGATGAACAACTGACTCATCAGCAGCAACTTCACGCATTTCCACTGGTTCTTAGCAGTCTCCGGTTTGTCCTAACACAAATGATTTCAAGGTTTTCAGGTACCATAGATTAACAAACTGGTCATCTGATATTGGGATGTATGTATGTGTGACAAAATTCAGTGTGGAGAAAAAAGTGTGTGCGGGTAACCAAAATTATCTTTGTGTTCATTAACAATTTTGTCTTGTTTGAAATAGGCTTAAAATCATTAGAATTTTCAACTTGATAGTGAACTCCAATTTGAATTTAATGCTGTACATATATATGTAGCTTAACATTTAGACAAAAGCTTTGCAGATAAGTACAATTAACAGGCACATAAGCCAAAAATCAGCCGTCAAAAAGTCTACCATTTGACTGGCAAAGCAAAACGATCACTGACTGAACCTGATGAACTCCCCCCCCAAAAAAAAAAAAACCATTAAAAAGGTTTAATACATTAAAAAAAAAAAGGATCTATTAATTTCTATAAGAAAAGACAAACACAATTTCCAGAAAAAATAACCCAAGATAAACCAGAAAGTGTTATTTTCAACATATACATGTACAAAAATAATAACTGGAGAATCCCTATAAATATTTCACCAGAGGCACATTTTTGGTTTTCCGAACACAACATTCATCCTTGCCAAATCCTTCAACTGGTTGATTAAATAGCCTATATCTGAGTTTATCTGTCATATTTGCTTGCGTAACTAAGCTAGAACAATGGCCAGTCCGTGCTTGTTATTTAAACTGCGACATCAGATGAACAGATTAGCGCGACTCTGATAAAGTCGTATTCAGACAGACCAACTGAATGCAAAACATCTCTGAGTTTAATCCGCTAACGGCCCTATTATATTTGTTATTTACAACGATAGCCAAGTTTCACATTGGTTTTTTTTCTCTGACCCAAACAAACCACAAAAGTATCAGCAAAAAAAGCACTCAAATACAAATATAATTTCCAATGACACGTCAGCTACACATGAAGTGAAGTCATTTCGTTTCAATTCATTTTATAGCACATCTCAAATCTGATACAAAATTCCTGTCATTTCTACATTGTCTTCTCTTAAAGGGTTTCTTCAGGCTTTTACGAGCTCACATTGCCTAAGGTGCTTTGAAGGAATGCTTGATTTAATTAAAAATGATATATATTTCATTTAAAAGAGGAAAATGAGGATCTGCCATTGCTTTTGATTGTCAGATTTGAACATTGGGAAAAATCCAGAATTTATTAATGTTCTTTTTTCCCAACAAGTAGGCCTAAGTACTTCCTTTGTAACAGAATTACAGTGAAAAGTGAGGGACAAAAGTTCATAGAAAATTCTTGAAGAAAACTTAGTGTCTATGTAATTGATTACAAAATTCAACTCACATTTTGAATCTTGAACCTTTGCATGAATGGCAAAAACTGACAGAGTATTGAGGGTGTGCTGATCAGGTAGTAAGACAGCTGCAAAAGAAAAGAAATAGGAATATCATCAGAATCAATCAATTTCAGAAAGCGTAACCATACCTTTGTCTGAAATGGGATACTAAATGAGATATTTTTTTTTAAATGAAAGTCCCATAAATTAAATGAAAACTTGAAATACAAGGAAACACATCACTAATTTAGTACTGTCACAGAAAATCTAAACGAAGTATGGGCCCATAATTATGGACAGTTGCAACAGGGTGCTGAGATTGAACTTTTTGGTGCTTACTTGAACACTTTTACTTTTGAACATATTGTTGATAGCACACCTTGCCAACAATTTTAACCAATTTAAAAAGGTATAATTCTGACAAGGAAAAAACTTTCCAGTTCATTTCTTCAATCAAGAGATTGGTTTCAGTATATCAGATTTGAACCAGCCAGCCGACCCTGGCAAGCTCGAGTAGTAAGACAGCTGCAGTAAGCAGGTCGTGGGTTCAAGTCCCACGCGATTGAACTTGTGAATTGTCTCTAGCAAGCCCTTGGAAAACACTGAGTAGGCCTATTCCAGTATACACTTTTTGTGAAATTACATCAGTGATGGGCAAAACCCAATGCTGAATTCATCACTTTTGTCAAGATTTTCATGATTTATTTTGAACTGTGCAGTCAAATCTTGTTTAACACATTAATATAATTAGGCCCTAAATATGCATTATATTTGGTGTTTGAATTTTAATGAAAACACAATTAGGGCCTATGTAGCCTATATATAAATAATCAGTTGGACAGAATGTTGCATCCTGACATCACTTTTTTTCATCATATATTATCTCAATGAAGGTCAGTTATTGCAAAAATGTTGAAAAAACATGAATCTGGGACTGAGAGACATTTCCATTTTTGTTGGAAAATACTAAGAAAATACACTCAACTCTCCATAGACTTTGTATTTGTACACAACCAAAGAAGTGGCGCCTAGATACTTCATTCTTTCCAATCAGTTTTTAATAAGGGAATAAATGTGTGCCCTGGAGGTTTTTATCACTCTGTTTAAGACCACTTAGAGTCTGGGTGCTGATGACTCTAAGTGGTCTTAAACAGAGTGATAAATACCGACGGAGCACATGTTTATTCCCATTCATAAATACCTTTTCGGTAAAAAAAAATCATATAATTCGTTCAAAACATCCCCATTTTGTTCAACAAATTCACTTTATGCTTTTTGAAACATCCCTCTTGCAACATAATGGAGTGTTCAGCTGGTGAGTAAGATGTAAACGACCCTTTTATGGAGATTGATGCGCGCGTATCATGTTCTGCGCGATGTCGCACAGAACGCACCTGGCGCGTTGCGTTTTGAATTTAGAACTATACAATTCTGACTCCCTGGTAGTGTTGCGCATGCCTACGTGAGGATTTCGAACGTTTAACCAATGAAACGATAAGAGGCACTGGATTTTTAGGAGTCCACATTTTATTGTGACACTGGAAAGTGTTTAAGACCAGCTAGCCATGTCTTTATCATCCGTTTAAGACCGGCCACGTGACGGGCTCTCGACCAATAGGAATGCGTAAACTGTCTTAGGTATTTATGAATAAATAATAATAAACAATCACTTTTATTTGAAGGCTGGCTTTCACTGAAATAAAAAATAAATATAATTACAAAGAAGTCAATTGGTCATTAAATTAATACATTATGCACTTGGCAAAGGTTTAGCCTACATTTCTTTTAAATCATGATAAAATAATAAGCACAACCAATTCAAAGTGGATAACTGACAACGAATAATTTAGGTCAGCTGAATCTTTACCATGTGCACCAAAACCGAGCCCAAGGTAGCGATCTGGAAGCGGGTGTAGTTGTCCGTCATGTACGTCCAGGCCATCTCGACGGGCGGCTTGAGCGGATTGCCCGGTACGTAGTCCCAGAACTCGCTTAATCTCATGGTTCCGATGATGCCTTCTTCGCCCATGGTTGCCTTGGTTTCTGACAAGTTTCTACCGAGAGAAAAGTAGGACCACTCTTACTTCAGGTACTTGCCCACCCTTGCCGGTTTTGGACTGCTGCAATTTTGCGAGTGCAGAGGAGAGAAATATCGACCAGTTGCAGCCGCCTAAATATAAAGGAAACAACCGGCAAACTGTGCGTGATCACTAGATACACAAAGCACAGCGCATGCACAAGAATCACCTGATATTTTGTGTGTGTAAAAAACCCTGGTAGTTTATTTTTAGCCCTGCGGTAAACGCGGCTGGCCTAGACGAGAAGAGTCCATTAAAGAAAAGGAACAAAATAACCTCGGCCTTTCTGCATTTGCATTCGTTCACATTATAATATCTCCAGATACATGATAAAATCATATGTAAACTATCTCATGTATAGGATTTTGCAATTTATAGATAAAATGATATTATGCAATCTTTTTTTTTTAAAGATTATTCCATTTTATAACTGCATACGTTTTTACCTCTCCATAAAATGTAGTTATCCATGGTGTCCCACAATCCTTTGCGCTAAACAAGATGGCAGCTTCCATGAGCTCCGGAAACTCAACAAATGGCACCAGTTTAACACTGTAATCTAAGTCGTCGAACAGGGTATCGGTATATATTTTAGCATCATGGGAAAGAAGAAGAAGAATAAAACACCCAAACCAATAGCGTGTGAAAGCATTTCAGTGAAGAAGAATGCGGAAGGCACCGATGTACGAACAGGTAAGACGGAGCTCGAACTCAAACGTTCAAATTGTGCGGAGCCATGAATAGCAATAGGCAATAGGCAGCATGCGCTGCCTAGCCTCGGCCTCACTGGCCTAGGCCTCACTGGCCTAGGCACTTGATTCGGCGATCGTGTATCTAGGGGCCCGGTTCCTATAAAGGGAACAAATCCACTTTTAAGTTATTTGACCTACCAAACTAGTTGGCGACATTAAGAACATATTATTAGATAAAGCCAAATTAAACTTTAAAGGGCAGGGTTTTGAATTTTTGAGGGAAATGTGGGGGTAAAATGACGATGACAACGACAAAATGCAACACGGAAATATAGATGGTGATCACCACGCGATGTACCATGAACACGCATACAATGAATGGCAAGGCACCAACCGTAAACCGTGTAGGAAAATCGTAATTTCCACCCCAAGAAACTCATCAAAATTGGTTTTTAAAGGTGTCATTATATTGAGAGAAGTCTGCTTTATGCTGAAAAGGTCATTTTTGAGTAATAAAATCATCCTTGACTCTAATTTGATCGAAACTAAACAGGGGCCCTACTCTACACGATCGACCTTGATTTGTCGTGCAACTTTTTCTGACCACTTCTGGTCATCTGATTTCAAAAACTGCAAAAGGTTTTCAACTTAAAGCCAGCCTGACATCTTGAAAGTAAACCCAGGTTCAATATTAGAGCCAGAAAAAAAAATCACCGAAAGTGCCTACTCGAGGGAGTCGAGGTTGTGCGGTTTAAATAAAACTTATAACTGGCAGAAGTGAACAAATCCCTCAATTTTTTCCGCTGTTGCACTGGCACTTCCTCTAGACATGCACACTTAACACAAACGTCATATATACAAATTATTATAATAAATTATCGTGGCTCGATAGGAAATGTAGGAATGTGGGTATGCTGTACTTAATCTAAAACTTGTTAAAGAGAAGTAAACTTGGAAATTACATGTTTAGGCTGATTCCCGTCCCCTGAATACAAAGTCACAATGATCAAATACTAAAACAAGTTTTACTCTTGGCCCCCTGATTGACAAATGACTGACTTTTATTTATCGAGTTATTTTGTTTTCATGGTCCAAACAAGTTGCCCCAAAGAAATACAGGTTCCAAACGCCCGATGGGGGAGCAGATGCCAACACAACAGAAGACAAGAGTATTGCCAAGGTCTTGTTACCGGCTAAGATAGAGAAGGCAATTGTAGAGGAGATCCTGAGGCACAAGAAATTGTCCGACGGCCTCGGACCTGTCTCCAAGAAGATGTCGGCTAAGAAACTCACTGTAAGCTGTGTCTTTATGTTGATATTTCAGAACACAACTAAAAGGTCAGATGTTACACAGGATAGTAGTGCAGCGGTCCTACTAAAGCGCGTCAACAAGCGTCAACAAGCGTCAACAAGCCTCAACGGTCGTCAACGAGCATCAACAAATTTTGTATAGGTTTTTGAACATTAAAAACAGCTTTATATGGTAGAAAAAGCAATAAAGAACATCTTCTGCATATCAATTAAAGTTACAATTATTTTAAAACTTGGGGTTTTTTTATGCGAAATGAACGACGAATTTGTCGATAAAAGTTGGCCGCCATCTTGTTTGGATGGCGCTGTAGACTTCGCGCATGCGTAGTATGGCTCTGTACACTTCACGCATGCGTAGTAGGGCTAGCTACACATAAACAAGATGGCGGCCAACTTTTATCGACAAATTCGTCGTACATTTCGCGTTCAAAAAACCAAGTTTTAAAATAATTTTAACTTTAATTGATATGCAGAAGATGTTCTTTATTGCTTTTTCTACCATATAAAGCTGTTTGTAATGTTCAAAAGCCTATACAAAATTTGTTGATGCTCGTTGAGGCTTGTTGACGCTTGTTGACGCTTGTTGACGCGCTTTAGTAGGACCCTAGTGCAGCAGTGCGTATGCTTTAAAACCATACAATGTATGTGTCAAACATAACTTTCCAGAGGTGAACATCTACTCTTCTTGCATGGGGTCCATAACTTTATTGCTTGTCAGGTTCTTACCCGATTAAGCCAAGTTCACCATATTTCAAGCCATTTCAAATGTCATGTAGCATCAATTTACCAATGCATTCAAAGATGAGGATTTTCATCAGAAAACAGTTGTTAATTTGAAAACCTGGGAAGTGGAGCAAGGAAAACCCTACTCCATCATTTTGGCCCATATCGGTTAGACTCGGCACATAATTGCTGTCACAAAGGTCGTCCCCGTGTCTGAAAATTGAAAGTATTTTTTTTCATGGGGATCTAACTGTGTGGAAGTAACGTCCATCCTAAGTCGATCACAAGTCCAGTCAATAGTAAGTGAGTCCAGGCACAAGTAACAGGGTTTGAACAATAATTACAGAAGAATTTGGTTACATTTCATTTGATTAATTAGCTTGTGACTGGATTAGAGACAGAATGACTAGTGATGGACTCAACTACATACGTGTACAACAATGAGATCTATTTATGCAGGGGAAAAGCCCCAACTCCTTTGCCCTTGGAACTTTCAGACATTTACAAAAAAAACCACTTTTATTGCAGCTGGGATCTGCTTGGTTTTTAGTACTCAATGTCATTATTTTCTTCCGTGCAGGACCTCTACATGGCATTATCTGACGTTGGTTTCAAGCATGAGCAGATCACAGCAGCTATGAGTAACAATCTTGGTCAGGGCGGTGACTTGCATTCTGCACTGGACTGGCTGTGCCTCAACCTCCCAGATAGTAAGACCTCTTTGGGTTTTTATTGTATTTTTTTTTTGTAAAGCCAAATATCCTAGATCCCCAAAAAGCTATCCTACATTGTGGAGTGCCATAGTCCACTGTTTACGGTGTTTGACTCACGTGTGACGGTGCGTGTGTTCAAATCCTGACAGGGAACGTGGTGGTTGTGTTCTTGGGCAAGACACTTTACTGCAATTGCCTCTCTCCACCCAGGAGTATAAATGAGTACCAGTAGAGACCAGATTGTACTGATCTCAAGCTTCTGCAGAAAATGTTTCCGTGGCCTGATGAACGGGGGTAATGTTGTGAAGCCCTTCAAAAAGAACACACCCAAAAGATGGCTGCAGTGCAAACAAATATATAGTATAAAGATGCTTTTCTGTACTCGGTTATCCTTTACGTCTGAGGACTTTGAAGAAAGGGTTGCATGAGATAACAATAACCCTGAGGACCTGAGTCCTTGGTTCTCGTTGACAAAACTTTAAGTCATGTAAAGAAAAAGTTGAACAATAGGAACAACAGAAGGGAACATATGGGTCCTCGGAAGTACACTAAAACCAGATCAATGATGCTTATGTGTGCTCTGGCCAGGACTGCATTGTGAGGAAGTTTGGGATTTTTTTAACGAAATTTGGCCTAGTTGTGGGGACATTTGACTATCACCAGGTCCCCTAAAACCTATGTTACAAACTGATGTGTGGTCCCCACAATTATGGCACAAGTATGTGTGTACATACTGCATACATCCTGAGGACATGCAGCAAAACAAAGAGAGAACAACATATTCATTGTTGTCCTCAGACTTACATCTTTTGTTGAGAATGGTTTTCGAATGTAACTCTGTGTGCTTAATCTATGGGAAATTGTTATATTATAGGAACAAAGGGAAACACAATGCCTTGTCCACACATAATGGTAAGGTACGACTGGGTGTTTATAAGGTGTTTATGTGAATCAGACAATCAGGCTGTTATGGCTGTGAAGGTGTGTATGTATTCATTCATTGACTTGTAATTGACTTGATTACACCTGCTTAATATTGTACTTGGCTAATTCTGTCTATGTTTGATTCCAGATGAGTTACCAGCAGGATTTGCTGGCACATTCCTTGAGGAGGGGCGGGAGGACACCAAGGAAAAAGTCAGGATGCCATTCAGGGAGGAACAGAGAACAGAAGATGCTGGGCAAAGGAAAAGGGAACCAGACCCCACTAAAGAGAAGGTATGGCCATGTCTGACTTACTTGGCTATGGCTATCAGTAACACACGGGTCTATGGGATGTGGCTGTAGCCGCTTCAATAGCCGCATGTTCAATTGCAAGCCATAGGCAAGTGATTTGGGTGCAACTTTTAATCATTCAAACAGGGTCCAATTTCATTGAGCCGTTTAGCAGAAACTAATGCTTAATACATTTTTGTGATACGCAGAATACCAGCATATTTTACATGTTCGGTGGTTCAACTGCCCCCCAATGTGGTAGTTGAACAGTGTGAAGGCTCCATGCGCCAACAAAAGAGGGTGCACTTTTACCACTGTTGAGAGCCCAGTGGACAGGACACACAGCGTGTGTGTACTGTTCTACACTGGTTGGCATACACACAACTTCCTGAATGTGCCAAAGCTAATAGCCAAAGCGTCTTCGCGTGAGCGTCAGGCGTCACTGGCGCGCGAATACTTTCAAATTTAACTTGCAATGATCTTCCAGACTAATCTCCGCCCCTAGCAACTTTCATTCGAAACGGATCATTCGAAATATGCAGTGGATGGACCGGAAACCAGTCTAGGTCTTCCCCAACTCTTTCTGGCTGTTTAAGGGGTACTTATGCAAGGAGCAAATAGGGTTTGGGAGTATTGTATAAGAAATCTAGTTGGCACTCCCTTTTTGGTCATTTATAGATAGGTCATTTGAGATCAGTACAATCTGCTAAACTTTCTTTGGAAGTTGGCGTCCAGTTTCATCATGGTCAATTGGTCATCGTACTGCTACCTGGAGAAGGCCTTGTGGTTGTCCCCAGCTTACCAGACTTAAGCAGGTAGCTGATACTGTCCAGTTGCTCCCAAGCGATTGTTGGTCACCTGATTCTGATTGGTGAGGTTGGTGGTCACCAAATCTTCAGAAGTCACCTCCTTTTTTCTGTTTATTTCTTTTTTTGTTACGTAATTTGGCAAAGGCAAAACCGAAGAGCCCCAAGGCTGATGTGAAGAACTGGATTTTGCAGTATGCTGAAGCATACAGTGATGAGGAGGAGGAAGAACAGCTAGAACCCATGCAGCAAGAGGAGGTCACTGATCCAGTGAGTTTATGTAGATTGATTGATAAACTATTAATCTGCGTGATTATTCGGCAATTGGCCGAGATAGGCCACGAAAGTCATTGTACTTATATCCAGTGGCGTCCCTTGGTAGGAGATGTGGAAGGAAATTTTAGTTTTAGTGTTGGGAGGAAAACCCCAGAATGATATTCTAGGGAAAACCCACGGAATCAGGCACGGAATGAAAACCCAATCCCCATATTGGTCCAGGCGTGATTCACACCCGGCTCACAGCGGTGGAAGGCAAGGAAAGTACCGCTACGCCAATCTGACCCCCTAACTAACCATTAATTAATAATTTAGTTCAAATAAAATTAGTTAATAACATTTACCGTGCGTACATTGCACCCGCAGTTGACCAGTTCACGCATGTTGTATGCCCCTTCCATAAACAGGCACTTCGCAGGAATGTCATTACAAATTGAAAAAAAAAGAAGTAAAGAGGCCGAACCTGTGTTAACAGGTAACGGAGTGCCCATCTCTCTTTCGTTAGCGATTGGGCCAGACTCATATGCTGCTGTGGGGGGATCGCCACACCTCCTCCACAGCGAGTCTGTTACCTTCCCAGCATTGAATAATGCGGGTACCCATTTAACACCTGGGTTGAGAGGAGTAATTGAGGTAAAGCGCCTTACTCAAGGGCACAACACGCATGGCCGTGGCGGGGCTGGAACCCACAACCTCACGATCATGAATCCTGTGCTCTACCGCTAGACCACACGTGCCTTCAAATTGAAAAACACTGTACAAAGTCTTTGTGGTTTAGAGTTTCCTCTTTTTTCCTAAATTCTTAGTTGCATGCCTGCATAAAACACCATCTACTGTTGGTGCATGAAGTCCATCCATGTAACAAAAACTGTGACAGTGACCATCCAATTTGTTAAGTTGGCATGGAATGACCCTTTCGTTAATGTGCTCTAGTGTTTTCTACAATTTCTTATTTATATGGCTTCATTGGTTGACTGTCATAATCTAGACGGAGTATTACTTGAAGCTGACAGCTCAACTCTTGGACGCCAAGGCAGCTGCTAGTCTAGCCAAACAGGGCGGTGACAAGAAATCACAGACAGAGGCAGGGAGGGAGATTGCCAGGCTTACTAGAGGTAAAGTGTGTAATCAAGTGTATTGCACAAACAGTGTACGGTGCTTCGTCACCAATCTTGAGAGCTCCTGTGAAAGGACACAGTGTCTTACACACGCAGTCCTACTTTACCATTAGGTCTGAGGACAAGGTATTGAGTATCCCTGTTTTTCCTCAGTATCCTCAAAATATGTCTTTTAAAACAAGCCAACAGGAGCCTTGTGCGAATTGCGGTTTATTTTTAACAGAGATGGCACAAGTCGAGGAGCATCCAGACTTTGACCCGAGGGTTAAAGAAGTCTTTCGAGGGGACGAAGTGCGGGAGGATGGTTCCGAAGAAGTGACGGCAGCTTCGTCTGAGAAAAGGAAAAAGAAGGAGAAGAGAAAACAGACACAGCAGGAGGAAGAGGAAGATGTCGGGATGTTCAATCTCTTTGCAGAAGAACCAGCATCATCATCATCTTCTAAAACTGGTAATGTCAGAAAAGATGGCAAATTTTATTTTTATTTGTTCTGGTTATGAAACCAAAGATTCTTCAAAAGTACAAAGGTATTGCTGCTCTGGAGCTTGAAGAGACCTAGGGTGGTAGATGATAAAGAGTTTTTAAAATCTATTTTTTCATTTAATGTTTTATTACCAAGGTAGTCCCATCAATTGTCAAAGAACTGTTCTCCCTGGAGGACACGGGTTAAAACACATGGTTGGACAATACACAAAAATACATACATGTATAAAAATCAGAACAGATAACAAATTAAAAAAAAAAAAACACCACAAAATATGGTAAACATGTTTGTGATCCAAGACGTGTCCCTCAGTGGCTGTTGTGGTTAGCCGTCTGCAGTTTCTGCACACAGTCAAGGCTGGATATGCATTTGTTACTTCTTTCAAGAAATAAAAGGGTGAATTTTGAATGTGATTCAATGAAGTAAGATGACATTGAATATTTTACTTTATTGTTGTTTGATGAAGTTGAAATAGATTGTCCACACAAGTCTATTGTGCATTTTTCTAGGAATATTGACATTCTGCTAGCAAATTTACATGTTTAAACCAGAAATTTAAGTGGTGTTGCCATGTTAGTTCCATAGAATTCTTATGAGAAGTTGTTCCTCAACCATCTTATTCCGTCAAGTTGCCTATTCAAATTTGGCTGTCAGTGTCTACTTTGTTTTACATTGGTGAAGCATCACAATTTCTTAACCATCCTATGCAAACATACCATATGTACGAAGTTGTCCTTTCAGTCAAAATCAGTCAAGTGACTTTTAAGAGTTAAGAGCTCCCAGCCTGCATAAAGCAGGATTGACTGGCTTTGACTGTTTATGTAACTATGATACAGCTATACTTTGGCTGTAGGTGATTGATAAGGCAGCTGTGCCTACTGCTTGCCTGTTTTTGTCTGTTGACTGAATTTGACTAGTCGCAGTGCTTGCTTGAAATATGATCTGACTGTTGGTGACTAGCCTGTGTACAAGGCATAGCAGGGGAAGAGGATTGATTTTTTGACTGTATGTGACTGTTCAAACAGCAGGAGGGTTGAATGAATTAAGTCTGAGAAACTAGACTTGTCCAAATATTGGGCTTTTGATTATGGACAAAAAGATTCGCTGAAATGTCTTGGTATTTATAAAGTCCAAGTCCTTTTGCAGATTTGTACCTACCAAGCTATATCAAAGTGTGTGTCTGAGTCATTCGACATAATCAGTAAGACCCCCTTTACACAGGGCTGCGACCTTTGGGCCTCCCTTGTGCGACCATAAAACTGGCCAGGTTGCCGTTGGAGGCTCAAAGGAGGCCGAATGGTTGCCTAGGTCGTTCAAAGGTGGTACACAGGATGTTCAGACATCGCCATGGTCGCCGTAAACTTTTGAACATGTTCAAAACAGTCGCACAAAGATCGCCGAGGAGGTTGGTTGCTCAAAGGTGGATCAAATGAGGCAGAAGGGAGGCACAAGCATTGCCATGGTTGCAGAATGGATGCACAATAGTCGGCCAATGGTCGCCACGTAATAGATCCGTTCTGTTGCAAATTTTACCGTCAATCTGGGCGATGCTTCTGCCTCCCTTGTGCCTCAAGGGTCATTTAGGAGGCAGAAGCATGGCTGAATGGTCGACAAGTGATCGCTGTTAGTTGCCGTTGGTCACCGATGATGGCACAGAGGAGGCACAGGGGAGGCTCAATAGTTGCCCAAACGTTGCTCTGGGGTCGCCTATGTTGCCTATAATCGCGTCGGTTGCCGTAGGTTGCACAGGGGAAGCACAGGGAAGGCAGGCAAGTGCCTCAGTGAACGCACAGTTCGCTCGTAGCTCGACATGGAAATGCCCGAAAAATGCAGTTTTGGTGGTTCAAGGGAGGCACACAAGGATCGCTGGAGCAGTTACATTGAAACAGGATTTTCCCTGGGTTTAGGCGACCATTGAGTGTCCTGGCCATTTTTTGGTCGCTCATAGGTGGTACAAAGGTCGCAGCCCTGTGTAAAGTGGGCCTTAACACAAACTTGACGTTCACTGTTCGTACACTCTCCAAAACATTTTAAATGTAAACCGTCAACAGTACTGTAGGTTTTTGTATTTTTGTAGGATTTAGTTTTTTTGTATCGTACTTACAGCTTCTACTAGTGCAACTCCCAAGCAAGACGTCCGTAGCTTTGCCTACAGCCAAAAGAACTGGACCGGCAAGTCCCCAAAACAGTTCTTGATAGACTGGTGCCGGAAAAACCTCCCCAAAACTGCCGCTCCTAAGTACCACAAAACCGAGGTCCGAGGCAATTGGAAGTGCAAGTGAGAATTTAATAATGCGATTTAAGTTATTAAACAAAGTTAACTACATAGTTTTTACTGTTGAATAATTTTCACAGTGTTAGGTTCTTGTGATCCACGAGTCCTTTTGAGTTTCTCAAAAGACAATCACAAGCCAACTCAAAAGAAATTTAAATGAATGGTAACAAAGGGGTCCCTTTATTGTTCATCCCTTGTAAGAGATCATACTCCGCGCAAAAGCCACCAAGAATTTGTGGTGTTGCGTCAGGTTTTCAGGCTCCAAATTCGTAAAAGTTGAACACAATTCAATTTCAGGGAATTTCCCAGCGAATGTTTTGTGACGTTGAATTTGCTTCAAATTCACTTTCATGTGAAGTATGAAAGGGCTTCACTTTGTTGCTGGACTTTTAAAGTGACTCATGATTAACTTGAGGCCAGCCATGTGATGTACATGTGATCCAGCATAGGTATCTTTGAATACAACACTGAATTTTCATAAATTTAGCTGTGCAAAATGTTTGGAATTTGCTGGGTGAGTAATACCTCATTTTACAACTTAAGAAAGTTAAAAACCTTCAACAGAAGGAAACATTTCAAGCAGACTAGATAGCCGTACAGGTAAATGATTGTTGCAAATACATAATTTTGCATTTTTTCCAAGATGTTTAAAAGATTATCATGATTACTAATATTAATATTTCTTCTTAATTCTGATAAGATGTGATGTAATGTCTTTGTTTTCTTATTTCGAAAATCTTGATTGATGGCATTATTTCTGCACTGGCAAGGCTGATCATCGATCGCAAGAAAGAACCACCGCTGATCGTTAAGCCAGATATCTTGACGGAGACCACAATGGAGGCACAGCATGTGGCCAGTGTGCTGGCACTCTGGAACCTTGCCAAGACCACAGTAAGCCCGAAAGACTTTGCCCTTTAATGAAGATGGTGTTGTAGTCGAGTCCACCACAAGCCAGTCACAAGTCTGGTCAAAAGTCCAGTCATAACAATGGATGAACAATAACAAAGGATTGTTGTTTTTTGTCACCGTTCATTTCTACAGCTTGTGACTTGACTTGAGACAGGAAGACTGCTCCAACTATTTGTAAATTCCTTTCAGAGTCCAACACTTCCCAACAATTATTCCCTCAGAAAATCAGCCCCTTGTAGTGCAGGATCAAAGTCCTGAATCCAACGAAATCTATCAACTTGAGCTGTTGGATTTTGCTGAAATTTGACAATTTAAGGGTTAGAGTACATGTAACTACTTTTTGAGGACCTTTGAAAATTACCAAAAAAATCTCTGAAAGTTTGCACAATTTTCAGAAAGCTTCTGTGCAAGTCTGTTGAACTCTATCCGGCAGGAATCCAACACGAGCCTACGGAAAGACTTTTCAGTTTGATTGTTGTAGCAAGCAGTGAACAAAAGATCATCTGTTTCAGTTATTGGGTTTTGTTGGATTCAGCAGGCTTTAAAAATTTAACAAAAAAACTAGTCCTGTGGTACCGTATTTTAATTTCTTTGTAAACAGTCTATACATCAACTACTGCCACCCCCATATAAAGAGTTGTGGTTGGAGTGGAGAGATGCTGAAAATAAAGCTAAGGAAGAAATCAAGACAGAGGAAAACAAGGTAAAGCGGGTTCCTGTTTAGTACGATTCCTCCTGAATTACGCAAATTTCACTACTGTGTTCTTGCCCTTCACCTATGTAATTTCATAAAGCACTGAATCATCATTGCTGTCTGAGAGCCTGCAAGAAAAAAAGTTACAACCTTGTTGGCTGGAGTGGGACTCAAACCCACATATTCCTGCTTACTAGTGCAGACGTCTTAACCACTCAACAAGTTTCCTTTTTTACCAAGTCCTCCAGACTCATATATTTGACTATGCGCCTTTTGCCTTTTTACTGACCCAATTTCCTACTCGGTTTATAGGTGACTTTTAGCTCACAAGCAGTGAGCTGCCTGGTCAAAAATGTAAATTTTATTTTGAATGCATATTAGAATTTAAAATGATACCAAAGTCAGTTCATTCCTACCTTCTTACATGAAGTTTGTGTTTTCAAAGTCAATTGACTAGACCGCCATATAAATGGGCTTTGAACTTGATCCACTGAAAGACACTGTTTTTGATGTGTCACTTTATTTGTAATTAAAGGAGGACACTTTAATTGTAAAATGAAAGAGGACAACTTAATTGCTTTATTTCTTAAAAACTCAAAATAGACACTGACTGATTTTTTTTTTTTTTCAAGTTTTTCGTGCCGTAGTGCGAAGTCAAGATTGAGTCATTCTGTATTTTTTGTGGGTTTTTAGCCCAGGGATCAATTTGTCGCTCAACTGCTCAAGAAGCTAAAACTACAATCACCTTCAGAGGGAGCAAGCACCGACCAGGGTACAGCAGCCAATAATGAGGAGGTAGAGGAATCCTGGGAAGATCATATTGGGAATGTGGTGAGTTTTTTTTAATATAGCATTGTTATTAAAGATACATAAATTTGACTACAATATTGAAAAACCATTGGGTTGTACAACATTTCGGATTTGTCATGGACAGTGTTAACAGATGCAAACCACACAATCTCATGCATTTGTGAATGCTAATGCGAAGCAATTTCAATGTCATGAAATATTCATGGTGAAATTCGCCCGAGTTGAAATGTTCAACCTTGGCGAATTGACAGCGCAAAATCGTGCAGCAATGGCACACGTTCACATTGGCATTCACGATCGCGACAAGTATGACCCAGCTGAAACATGGTGGGACGAGTGGGCACGACATTATACCACCAGTTGTAGCAAGGTCATTTGGTTATTTGTTAAAAGTATGGCGATAGCTTAGCCATACTTGGACTCTTGTCTACATACACTGTACTGCAACGGGGTCAAGGAAATAAACATTTCAAAACCATGGAAAAAAATTGCAAAAATTGAAATATCTCAAAACTTACAGGTATGAATTCATTTAAACTCGCCATACGTGTACAGGGTGAGTCAGAATGATCTGGACCCAATTAAAGAAAACATTAAAAATATGTACCAATTATCAAACCAAGTGTATATCCATTGTACCATTTTGAAGAAAAGCGCTACCAAAGAACACACGCTAAAAAATTTGACGCTAAACATTCTGACAACGGTTCCATGGTTCAACAAATTTATTGAAATTGCGTACTAATGTGAAGCAGTGTTATAACAAATAAAAACCTAGTCATGGTGACTGACTCACTTGAAGTTATTGACACATAAAAAAAGGCAAAACGAATTCCGTGTGCAGACTGGAAAATGAGTCACTTCAATGAAAATGGCACAACTCCTCACCACAGCCACTAATGTGAAAAATTCAAAATTCCTGTGGAAGACAAGGTAATAACCATTCATGTGAAACACTCAGTTTTTTTCTCATATACTCTATTTGCTACAAAAAAGTGGTGAACTTGGGTCCAGATCATTCTGACTCGCCCTGTATAGGACATATGCCTTAACACCCGCCAGCTGTATTTTAATCATGCGGCTATTACGCAAAGTACGTACAACTACGTTTATCCTGAATGTGCACAAACCCACAGCGTCTCCATGTTAGTGTCAGGCGCCATCACCAATGCATTGGAATGACCCTCTCAGTGGTCTCGCCTTACTCTTCCTAGGTAACTTTTGAGGGGTACTTGCAGACAGAGACCATAAAAAGGCTGTTAATCATCGTGTGACATTACAAAGATAAATACTAAGTTAGCAGATTCAGATAAGTTTCTTTGTAATGCTCATCTATGTGTAGGATGAAAGGCAGTCTACCTCAAAAGCTGCCCCAGGCAGTACAAGCAAGCCCACAGTTACTGGAGCAACGTTACGCACCATAATGCAACGAAGACAGGTCAGTAGCAATTTGTCTACATGCTGTTAATATTTTGCAATATCGATCGCAAAACCCAAACCTACAGACCAGAAATTCTCCAAAATGAACCATACCTTTTTTTTTATGTTGCATCACAATTTTGTATGGTTTATCAATTTGCCCCCAAATAGTTTTCACAGAATGAATTATCCAGAATGACTAAACCTCTTGTATTTTTGTGAGAGAGAGCCAAATTTCTTACTTGTCCATTCACCATCACTGTTCAGCCGTTATTTAGCTATTTACCAAGCTCCCACGCTATATAAAACTGAAATCTTACACTTGCTTGATTTTGAAAAGATTTTTTCCCCAAATTTAGCACTTCCTAATGCAGAAAGATTTGAGAGAAAAAAATCAGCAATGTATAATTCTGTTTTGTAGAAATCAGCCGCCTACCATGAGATGTTGGCAATTCGCCAGGCCTTGCCTGTCTACCAGCATCGAGACACCATCTTGAATCGCCTCAAGACCAGCCCGGTGGTCATTGTGGCGGGAGAAACAGGCAGCGGGAAAAGCACCCAAGTGCCACAATTTCTCCTCGAGGTATTAGAAATAAGCTGTAGTCACGGACGGGTTTTGGTGGTCGTTGCCAGAAACTAGTTGGGTTGTCTCTCAATGGTTTGGCAATTTGAGAAGTGCAGTAAATCCTTCTTCACATCTGAAGTAGCAAAAACACTCAACCAATGAGAAACAACCGAACCACTCGTAGGTTACAACTCTTAAAATGCGCCCAGAGTTAAAACCATGTAGGATCATTTGCAATTACCCAGAAAAACACCTTCAGATTTAATGGCAGAAACCTTGCTCAAAGTGAAGATAGGACTGGCATCAAATACCCTGTCAAATTGTTCTATCTGCGCCAGTAAAGGACAAGAGTTCAATCCAACACACACAATAACCGCAACTGTAATCGACTTATCGGATATAACGGGAGACTTTAATGAACAAAGGCGAGAACGCACATTGAGCGATAAATGATAGAACCAAGACAAAAGGTCGAAGGTCACGAACGCAAGAGGGCGTAATCACTACTACTGGCGCTGACATGGTATCATTTGGAAGAAAACTTACATTGAAGGTGGTTTACAAATAATATGGTGCCAGCAAGCTCTGTTTTTACGTGCGTTAGCAGCAGAATCCAGTTAGGAGACCCAAAAACTTCTGCACATGTTTCTGTGGGATTTTTTTCAAAACTGTACAGAATCCACTGAGCTGAAACTTCAACATGTTCATGTTGTGCAGCCTTCCTAAAGCTTTGAGCAATTTTCTTGCTTCAAATGAAAACAAATGCACAAAAAGCAAATGATCCTACATATCCTTAGCATTGAAAAATATCTGACGTCCAGATTTTCTTCTTTTCTTTTTTTCATTACATTTGCCAAATTCAACTTTGAATCCCCTTGACTAAAAGACCCTGTTGCTGCAACACTTAATTTTGGAAAGTTTCCTTATTTTTTGTCATTGTTTTGGGACAGGATTTGGTCATGTCAGGAGAGGCTAGCCGTGCCAGCATCGTGTGTACTCAACCTAGGAGGATATCGGCCACCAGTCTGGCTAGAAGAGTATCGCAGGAGATGGCGGAAAAGGGGCCAGGCTCAAAGGTATGAAGACCTGAGCGAACCGAAAGTAAACCAAAAAAGTGTTTTACATTGAAGCTATCTTTGAGTTGTGTGCTTTATATGCACAGGAACATGCATGAGCATACTTGTGCATTCATTGTCACTGAGTTAAAACGACATACATTTCAAATATGGCTGCTGAAAATATTAGTAAATAAAATACAACATCATACATTAGTTAAGAACTTTTTTCTAAAGTGAATATTCTTTGTGCGTAGCCAATTTCTGCAAGTTGATACAAGGATGTGTACCTGTAACATTAACAATCCTGAAGTGGATATTTTGGGGTATAGGGGGCCTGTAAGGTTAATTTGGAATAGGGGATTCAGTAAGGTTGGGCAGGGGCTGGGCAGGGCTGGGCTGGGTAAGGTTGGATTTGGTTTGATAGAAAAGGGTTGGGCTGGGCTGGGTTGGGCTGAGCTGGGCTGGGCTGGGTTGGGCTTTGCTGGGTTGGGCTTTGCTGGGCTGGGCTTGGCTACGCTGTGCTGGGCTGGGCTGGGCTAAGCTAAGTAGGGTAGGGTAGGGTTGGGTTGGGTTGGGTTGGGTTGGGTTGGATGGGGTTTGATAAGATATAGTTGTGTTGGGTTGATTGGTTATGGTTGGATTGGCTCTGGTGGATTAGATCTGGTGGATTTCATTCGGGACGGAATGGGTCAGGGATTGGTTGGGTTGGGTTAGGTAGAGAAGGGAAGAGTAGGGTTCGATCTGGTTGGGTTAGGTTTGGTAGGGTTGAGATGGGCTGGGCTGGGCTGGGCTTGAATTGATTAGCTTGGTTGGGTTGATGTTGAACTTACTGTTACCTTCAAAATGTGCTTGTGGTCCTCATCCAACATACAGTGATGAACAAGCCCTTACCAATTTGATAACTCATTTCCTAATATTGACTTGCCTCATTCTAATTTCTCGCTCATTCTACTTTTTTCCCTCATCCAGGATTCCATGTGCGGATATCAGATCCGGATGGAGTCCAAGCAATGCCCCACCACAAGGCTCCTGTACTGCACCACGGGGGTGCTCCTACGCAAATTACAACTGGATCCCAAGTTGCAGGATATCAGTCACATAATAGTGGATGAGGTTTGTACTAATTGAAAGAAATTCAGTGGCAGTATAAAATACTTGAGGGTGCCCCTACAAGTTTATAGAACTCTCAACAAATGAGAAATTTTCTTACTAATTTATAGAATTATTCTGGTTTATCACGTTAACCAAAATTCCCATTAAGAAAAAAAAATTGATACAGAGTGCATGTAGTTACACTATAATCATGGCTCCATAGCCAAATACAGCAACCATCTCGCAAGCTCTCCAATAGCAGTTGCAACCCAACATTAAAAGTTGTAGGATGTATCAGTTTCAGCCTGTGATGATCGGTGGTGATTGGTTAGTAAAATATTCCGTCAGGAATAGTAATTTACACCAACTGTAGTTGACAGGGTTCACACAGTCATGGATAAATCCAGGAAAATCCTGGAATTTAAAGCATAGACTGGAATAGCATAGAAATTGGTTGTGGAAAGCCCTAATTTTGCCCTGGAAAAGTCATGGCGATATTTATGTGGGAACCCTGAGTTGATATTACGCATGAATGGATGTCCTCCAAACAAAAATATTGACACTTACAAGGTAAAAAACAATTTTGACGTCGGACTATGTTCACCAGGTCCACGAGCGCAGTGTGCAATCAGACTTCTTGATGGTCATCCTCAAGAATCTTCTGCTGCTGCGGCATGATCTTCGGGTGGTGCTGATGAGTGCAACGGTAGAGAGTGCCAAGCTGTCAGCATACTTCCAGCATTGTCCGGTGGTCAGCATTCCAGGCAGGACGTTCCCTGTACAGGTGAGTGCATCTGGCTGCTTACCCTGTAAGCACACCCATGTTTACGTTACATACCTAGTGTGGACATTTTTTTGTTTTCGTGTAGTTAAGAAAAACCTGTGAAAAAAAATCATTTTACTCACACTGTGAAAACTGTTTAAACCCACATTTTTTTCTATGATTCCTTTTAGTGTTTCTCTTCATAAACCTAACCCCAAAATGCCTCTGAACCTGTTTTCCAGAGAGTGGGCAAGTCCACACAATGTCGCTGCTACCTGGTTTATGTGGACATCTTTTGTACGGAAGTCCACACAGTGAACGTAATGCTTGTACATAATCCTTAGTTATGGGATACACGCATGCGCATAAGCCAAAAGTCTTTGCTATGTGAAATATGCTAACCGTAAGCACAGATTTTTCTGCTACAGTAAGCAGGGAGTTTTCGCTGATGGTATTAAAGAGCCATGAAATTAGGCCTAGCAGATTTATCTTTTTTGACTTCTCTTGTGTGCCATTAAAAAGTGAAATACACTGCTCAGAGTCTTGTAAGGTTGGCGTTTCCTCTTTTTTGTGTGAATTCCTAGTTGCACGCTGGTAAAATATTGCTCACAGGCCCTGGAAACGCTCTGAGAAGACAACCATTACAAACTTAAATTGCAAGGAAACAGACCCTAATATTCAGATTTGCACTCCCCAGCATAAAATCCATCCTAAAAGCTTGTTCAATCCATTTTTTAATTAATATTTAGGTACATCACATAGAAGACGTGATAGAGCAAACCAAGTATGTACTAGACAGTGACTCCCCATACGCTATGAGGTTTGAGTCACTGGCACAGGAGGAACACACCACAGTGTCTGTTACTGGGAAGGCTGGACAGACGAAAGACATCCAAGTAAGTTTAATGGTCTAGTGTGATATTTGCTGATCATTTCCTTTTACGCTGAGGGAAATAACCATAGCAGAAAATCATTATTTAAATATCCTTTGCACGATATCCTCAAAAGATTTTGAGCGCTGTGGCCTCGTGGTCTGGAACTCATGGTCTGTGGGTAATTCTACAGGGTGTGGGTTCGAGTCCAACCTGGGTGGTGCGTGTGTCCTTGGGCAAGGCACTTTGTCACTCATTGCTTCTTCCCGCCCAGGAGTAGATGGGTACCTATGAGGGCAGATATGGTATATTGTGGTTGGTTTTAGCTGCTTTGCGCCAAAATGGCAGCATCGAGCTGTAAGGACGTTATTCACGAGGTGCCAGACTATTTATGCATTCTAGCCTCACTTTCAATTTTTTGAAATGTGGCTTAAAACATCAGGGTGTTTTTAATCAAAAATTTTGAATTATTCATCAGAGCAGACTGTTATTAATTTTTAACTTACTTTATGTCGTTGTTTTTTTCGCAAGTTTCAAAAACGAAGATTTTACCTCGTTTTCAATTTATATGGAAGACTCATGCATAAATCCCATACTCCCCACGGAGCTGAGATGGTATTTGGAATGTTTCATTTTCCCAATGAGCAGGGTATTAATGATGTAGCGCCTTGAGCACCAGTATTAATGGATACGTGCGCTTCATTAAAAAAACACAGTATTATATTACATGCAAAGACACATCCAAGTCAGGTACGCAGAAATATTTAGAGTACGATGTCTAATGGTCTGGTGGGATATTTTTCATCTATTTTTGTTCACCCCGAAGGAAGTGACTTTTTGGTAATCATAATTTAAATATACTTAAATATAGCTTTTCTGTAAAATCTCAGATTTTGGATGTGTCCCATATTTGCAAAAATGCAGTATTCTGGAAACCACACTTTGGGGAAAAAAACGGTGATGTAAAGTCTCTTCCAACATTTTATTGTTCCAACATTCTCTCTGTTTTATCTGCAGGTAAGCTGGGAAACACAGGATATATCTACTCTAGATGAGGTAGGATTTTTAAAAAAAATTTAGTGAATACAAAATTAAACTTGTATTTAGAATAAGTCGAGAGTCTAATTGTATGTATGAGGTCAAGCAAAGCAATTGACATTGGTGGGAATTAAACCTTCAACTAATGGAATTGGTGGGAATTAAACCTTCAACTAATGGAATACTTCGCCACCGCTCTACCATCATGGTCTTTCACAAGGGGCACTAAATCCAGCAAGCAATGTAAGATGCCATTTTGAGGTAGAAGCAGGCTTGCACGCAGGTGGTATGTATGCACTGCAATGTAACTAATAGGGTTACTAAAATGCGTGCAACCTCGACTTAAAAAAGCGTGATACAGTTGTGTGAGAGTAGTTATACCTCAAAAACGGCTTCTACGGACCAATTACCGAGGTAAAACCACAAACCGAGGTAAAACCACAAACTGTCATTAATTCTGTTGACTTAATCTATAAATTGATTTTAAAATTTGACAGAGCGGTCTGGACCCAGACTCCTACAGCAAAAGGACCAGGCAGGTGTTGACCAGACTAAACTGGGACCGAATTAACATGGATCTCATTATGGTGAGAGTTTGTGTATCTGTTTCAAAACTGTCATTTTTTCCCTGTTAATTCTTAGCACATTTGTTTCATTCATATTGATTTTTCGAAATAACGGACGGTTCATACGTCACATGAATGCGGACACAAAGCAAACATGACAACAGGAAACACTCGCTGGGAAATTGCCGGACTTGAAACGTGTTCAACTTTTGTGAATTGGCAGTTTGAATACTTGCTGTGATGTCACAAGTTTGTGTTCACGTTTGCTTTCGCGCCAAGTATGAACCAGACTTTCATCAGTGTGTGAACTGCACGCATGAACAGTAGACTTTGGTCTGTGAACATGTTGTTGCTGTAATTATTTTTAAGTTTTTGTTGTTGGTACAGGAATTAATCTTCTTTCTGGGTGAAGACTCGTCCTACAGAAGTATAGGTGGTGCTGTGTTAGTATTCATGCCTGGCCTAGCCAACATTCAAGAACTTTACGAACTACTGCAGAGTGATTCCAGATTTCCGTCGAGCAAGTTAGTCATTCTGAAAACTGTATTCACCAATTTTATTTTACTAGATCGTTTACACCATGTTAACGGATATCACTTTTGGTAGTTATTACAAGTGATTGTTAGGATAGACAGTGTTTGTTTAGATATGTCTATCTTTGCCAGAGTTCTGGTAATGAGTCAATCAAAAGTTAGCCATTCTTTGGTCACTGTGTGACATAAAATTGGGCTTGTCTGATTTTTGAAGCTTTAACTACATCTGAATTATATTACTTTTACTGATATAGTGTCTGCTTTCACAAATTATGTCAAACACAAACTTATGAAACATCCTATTCAAGTAAAACACGGGTACTCGGGTACCCGTATAAGAAACCCAACCTCAAAATTCAAATCCTGGAAGTCATCTGACGGAATTTTTTTAGCTTTACAGTGTAAACTGCAACTTTCGCGAGAGTCATCTGTCGCGTGTTAAAATGCAGAAAAAATCTGTTTTGGTTTTCCATGTAGCCTGGTTTTCATTTTGAAAATTCCCCTCAAATGACATTAAAACCTTTCTTTTTCATTGTCTGAGAAGGTAATAAGTAATTTGTAATTTGTTGGTTTCGGGTACCGGATCCCCTTATCTGGAACTGGTTTCCTGACATCATCAGTCGGGTTCCACCTGGTTCCGATGCACAGCCCTTGCATTTATCCTTTTCATTTTCCCTGGGAAAATAGGGATGATGTATCCCCAACATATTTGGCCCAGCGTTAAATATGACACAGGATCATCCAAACAGGATGTTTGTACTAAACCCCCTCACCCCCTCCTACTCTCAATCACATCCCCCCCCCCCCCCCCCCCCCCGCCTCCTAAAGTATCTTGAAGATTTCAATCTCTATCCTCCATTTCCATCAGGTATAGAATACTGGCGCTACATTCAGTCCTCTCCTCAGAGGATCAGAGCTCGGCCTTTGAAATACCGCCCTCTGGAGTTCGCAAGGTCGTCATAGCGACCAACATAGCGGAGACGGGGATCACCATTCCCGACGCGGTGTTTGTGATCGACGCAGGGAAAGTGAAAGAAACAAGGTCAGTGAAGATGCTGTTTAATTAAGCATCGTGATAAATGGTCTTAGTTCAAATAGAAACATTAAGGCAAGCAGAGAATTAGCAAAACTGTATTTTTGGTTTTTGTCAAGATCTATAAACAGCACACTGTAAAAATGGTTTTCTGAAAACTAGAGAACAAAATTATTTCAAAAAAAGTTTTTGTGTCTCCATTGAAAATTTTTTTTGTGAATCAATTTTTTTTCTTATGTTAAGACATGTAAGAAAATCATTTTTAGCCATGCAGTATTTTTAAACAGTTTTATGTCAAGTTTATGGGGAGAGTGGCTGAGTCGTAAGGGTTTGTTATTCGACATCAGAGGGTCAAGGGTTCAAATCCAGCTGCTGGTCATAAGTTGTGTCCTTCGGAATGCCATTTTACCTCCAATTGCCTCTCTCCACCCAGGAGTATAAATATATCGGCATTAGCTTGGGAGTAACCTGTGATGGACTGGCATCCCATCCAGGGGGAATGGAAATATTCTCAGTAAGGATGTGACTTTGCATGTAATTTTGTAAATGTTTGGCAAATACAGGGTGAGTCAAAAAAACAATACCCAAATGGCAGGACCAATTTTTGAATGAAGTTTGGCCTGTAGCACTTTCAAAATCTACACGATTAAAACACGCACGCACATGTACCGTACCTTGTGCACAACGAATGGGGAAAACTGCGCTCCGGTTTTAGCGAGGTTCCGGCTATAACGACAGTATTGTGAAAGTCCATCGGACCTCGTTATAACGGGAGCCGACTGTACTTTTCAAGTTACGTAATTTTGAACACAAACACTGTTTTAAAGTTCTGTCCACGGATCACAAAAAAGTAAGTGCTCTTTCAGCAAAACGAAAACAATTCTCATAGGGATGTATGTGAATTGTTTTTGTGTAAACGTTTAAACGTGTAAACATCGCATCCTTAATTCTCAGTCAATTTGTGCCAAAGAAGGCTAAAGCCGTTTCGTCAGTGATGACCAGCAACACACATACTTTTTGTTGGTCTGTGTTTGTGAAGAGATTTAGACAAACTGAGCTATTTTGCAGGTACAATGAGATGAGTCAACTGAGCGCTCTGGTGGAGACTCACATCAGTAAGGCTAGCGCCAAGCAGAGACAGGGCCGAGCAGGCCGGGTCAGAGAGGGATTCTGCTTCAGGCTCTACACCAAACAACAGTGAGTCAAACTGCAGGGTTGCAGTATTAAATCCATCACAACTCCGGTCACAAATCTGGTTATATGTAAATCACAAGTGACTTAGCACTAAAATGATCCAAGTATTCAGCAATGTATGGGGTGCTGTGGTCCAATGGTTACGGTGTTCGACTTGTGTGCTGTGTTACATGGGTTCGAATCCTGACCGTGGGAACATGGTGCTTGTGCTCTTGAGCAAGGCACTTAACCATTATTGCTTCGTTCTTCGGATGGGACGTAAAGCCGTAGGTCCCGTGTGTTGCGTAATGCACATTAAAGAACCCAGTAACACTTGTCGCTAAGACAAGGGGTTTGCCCCGGTGTTTCTGGCAGTGGCTGCAATATGCGCCGCAGCACCTTGTAAACCCTTATAAGGTGCTACATAATGGGTCTCATATTTCTCATAAACTTTATTTACCTTTCTTTAATAATATACATAATTTCAAGCATCTTGAGTACCTAATTGTTGGTAGATACGTGCGCTATATTAGACTTTATTATTATTAATGTTACTCCTCCTGCATTTACAGGATTTGAGGCTTTTTTGTTAGTTTAATTAACATGTGTGCTGTTCATGTATTTGTATACACCTATACCTCAAATTTCCTGTATATTTTCAGAACATATCCCTGAGTATTTTTTAGATGAAATAATTGCTTTATTTCATTATACCAAACAGATATGAATCTTTCAAGTCCTATTCCCCTCCTGAGATTCTGCGAGTTCCCCTCGAAGATCTGTGCCTTCACATTATGGTGAGTTATATATGTTCCTCTGGACTGTTACTTATGATAGAATTTGTCTTGGAAAAAACCTCTGAACTTTGTAATTTGCCATTCAAGGATTTGTAAAAAAGTTGTATCTTCTCCAAGTGATCCCAGTTGCCATTTCCCAAGCTTGCAGCATTGTTGATATTGCTAGCATCGTGTCGTTGTGCTTTATTTAATAAAAAGAATGTGGTGGTTTGTTTTCTTCAGAAATGTGATCTCGGATCACCAGAAGACTTTTTACATCAGTGCCTGGATGCTCCCCAAGTCAACACAGTACGGGCCGCCATGAACCTCTTGAGAGAGGTAGGGGCATGTAAGGCTGAGGTCCCTACCCTGACACCCCTGGGGGAGCACCTGGCTGCATTACCCGTCAACGTCAGGGTGGGCAAGATGCTACTGTTTGCTGCTGTCTTTGGCTGTCTGGAGCCTGTGGTGAGTGGAATTTTAAAAGCCTAAATATTCTGTAAGACATTTGAATTCAAATAATCTATTTTTTACTCAGGTTTAAGGGTAAAATTTAGGGTTAATGGAAGAAAATAATTCTTGTTTCATGCAAAAAAAATGTCGTTACTAAGAAATATTTTCTTGAATTAAGATTTGTTTTCTTGAATAAAGTACTAGGAAGTGTTTTTTTGAATAAAAGTGGTGCTTTTTTAAAGCCACCAGCCTATTTCTGACAAGAAAAACAGTCTCTTAGATCAGCATTTTAGGAAATTTAATATGTAATTTTTTGGGGGCTAATCATCCTTACTCGTAGCAGAAGCTGAGTTGCGTAGGATGCAGGTACAATGTAGTCAAGCCGACCGCATGTAAAGGTGCCTTAGGCCGGCTGCCACCGTACGACCCATGTCTGACCACGGAGCTCAGCCAGATTGAAAGTGTTGATTTTTGCGGAGGGAGGAAAACCGGAGAACCCGGAGAAAAACCCTCGTGGCACAGGAGAGAATCAACAAACAACTCTACTCACATATGACCCAGGCCGAGAATTAAAAAAAAATATGAAAGTTATGAGCTTCATTTTCATAGATAAAAACTCTATGTACATGGTATGCACTTCTAATTTGTCACTTTACTTGATTTGGTTGTAACCAACAGGCCGTGATAGCCGCAGCCATGACAGACAAGCAGCCCTTCATTGTACCCATGGGTAAAAGACAACAGGCAGACGCAGCCAAGAAAGCCTTAGCCATTGCCAACTCGGACCACATCACTGTCTACAAGGTCTATGCTGGGTGAGATTTCATTCATCATTGTATGCGATAACTTAGATGATAGCTGTTAATCAACATGTACCCAATCACTTTTCAGTACGATAAGAAGTACTTTCCAGGGCACAAAATCAACATGCGCAGGTGGCTTAATTGCAACCCCGAATCTCCAAATTGTGCCCGTAATCTGTGAATGTCGAGAGCAAGTACTAGCGCCCGTTTTCCTACAGCATTGTTCAGTTCAACGTGTTCAGTTTAACATCGTGTATTCCTGTATGCTCTACCAAATTTGACCTGAACAAGGTTCAAGGCTGACAGTTACAGGCATTAAAATGAAGGGACATTCAAGTCATGAATACACAGTCATTGAGTACACATATATCGTTGACTTGTTGAAAAAAAAGGAACAAATAAATCACTTTTGGTAAGGATTCTTTTGTTTTGGACTTTGGTTGCATTGTTTTCGTGTGAATAAGCTATGTGTTGATGCACATTGAGAAGCAAGTTGGCAATGCATATTGGATATTATACCTGCTAAGATTTTAATTAAACTTTTGGCACAGCTCAAAAAAAATTACAACTTTTGAATACTCAGTTGCAGGAGTTTGAAACATAAATTTCTTGATCAAAACAACTTAATTATTCCTTTCCATTGCCCTGGCTTTTTTATGAGGCAAACTGTGTGGTGTTGGTTCAGATCAGTCAAGCATGAGGCTCGTTGCATGACTGCTTAAGCAACACCAGAAATCAACATTGCTTACTTTTCTTCGTTTTTTTTCTCTCAAGTTGTGTAGAGAAAGTTTCCTGAAGAAAAAAGCAAACATGCAAGTGCCTTGTTAACTGCAAATTGACATTATGGAGTTGGAGAAAGACTAGAACGATCTGTTTCTAAACAAAACTAGACTAAATTGAATAGTAGGTGGCAATTTTTTTGAATACTAACAAAGCTCTTGACACACTGCGTCCCCGCACTGATATGCAAATGTATAGCAACAAGTAGGCACCCCTCATTTTAAATATGTTCAAACCATACACCATCCTGAAGCGACTTCAAATGAGCACCAGACGAATGGAGGAAATGGGCTCTGGATGATGCTTGATGCTCATGCGAAAACGATGGGGATTTGTGCACATTCACAACAGGTCTCTCAGCCATCTCTGTAGGAGAACTGCAACTGCGTATTTTATGCAATCTAGCATGATTTGCGCAGTGTTGAAAATGTTCCAAACACGCGCGCTTGTTGATTAAAATGTGTTCGAAATATGACGCAGCCGATGCGCGTTATGCAAGTTGATGCTCAAAATGACCTGTCTGAATCTCTATTTTGTCATTTTGTCACTTTGTCGTGAGAACAATTAGCCCACCCTGCAGAAGTCCTTAGACTGATCCAGACATGAATTTTTTTTCAGACTTTAGTCTGAAATCAGACTTTTTGAATCTGAGAGAAAGACATTATCCGTATAGAAAGAAATGCATCTTTCTGACCTTTTTAAAAGGCAGTGAATGGCAGTTTCTTATGTTATATTTTGGAGGTCCTTGCAAAAACGTAGGGCATTTTCTCATGTCATGTGGGTCTAAAAGAAATGGTTTAAGTGAAGTCAAATATAGAATTGTCTCCCTTTTGGGGTAGAATAAGTGTCTCTGATCTCTTCCCTGGGGTATTTACAGATTCCTTATTCTCCCAAATGAGGTAGTTTATCTTTAAATTTGTCATTTTCATTGCATTCAGCTGGGAAGAGGCTATAGATCGAGGGAGAGTTGCTGAGACGTCCTACTGCTACCATAACTTTCTCAGTAGAACCACACTGCTGTCAATTAAGGTGAGCATAGTTAATCAAATGTGGATCTTGCCCTAAAGATGATATCATATTAAAATTGGCCTTCCAGTAGTAAAGAAAATGCACAATATTAGTTTTACCCTTCTATTCCCGGCATCATGGCAATGTTCTCTTTGGAAATAACAATATGCAAAATGCACAAAGTGTACCAATGAGTTTTAGTGTTAAGGTTAGTACAAAATGTACTCTATTTCCAGATTGATAGTAGATTTGGTTAAATTGCCTCTCGAAAACATTTATCTGTTGTATTCATCTCAAATTGAAAATCATCATTCAAAATAATACACTTATTCTTGTTTATTTCTGCTAATGAAACCAATGAAACTTGCGCAGTTGTTTTTTTACAGACACTCCATGGATCAAACAAATTGTTCTGTTTTCACACAAAAAAGGAAAAATGTGTTGTGATGAGGGAAAGGAAAATTGTCTCTTCATAAAAACTGTTTCAAAATTTTAGAAAAACCCTTTGATTAATTAAATACATTCTGTGTTTCTAAAGTCATCTGTTTAGTGTAAAGGACATATTTTGGGATATACTGTGAGTGGCTTTTCTTTAATACATTATAATGGTTTGTACTCAACTGAATGTGAATATCAACATGATTTTTCGATATCTAGGCAAGAATCTGCACTGTGAATTTGCAAAAGTCAAACACATGTCAACTCCAGCAAATTTTGCCATGGTTCGTGCTGTGCGTTGCATTCACATTCACACAAAGTTTGTGCCCTAACTCTGTTAGAATCAACTTTAAGATCTAGCCATCATACCTCCTTTTTTTCTTCAAGGATGTTAAGAATGATCTGATTAGGTTAATCCAGTCCATCGGCTTTGACGACGGTCTCAAGACTAACTCAGAGCCTTCCGGGGATGCAAAGGGTTCCTCGCACAGCCACGTTCACACTCCCGGCGACGTGTTGGAAATCAGCAAGTTCCGGGCCAAGGGTCCGAAATTCCCACTGACAACCGGGAACCTGGCTCTCCTAAAAGCCGTACTGACGGCCGGGCTGTACCCCAACGTAGCCAAAACGTCTTACAAGAAACGAATGGAGGGAGCCCCGGAGTCCAAGAAGATCTGTTTGGCGGAGACAACTAAAGGCAGCGTGGCAGTCCATCCGGCCTCAGTCAACCGAGAACTACTGACCAATGGCTGGCTGCTGTACATAGAAAAGGTACTTCATCCAGCGACTTAACCCTTGTGTTATTGTCACTGCAAGGGTCTGATTTCCCAAAATAGTCTCATCTTATTATGCATCTTAGGACAGGTCAATGCTGCCATTTCAGCGCAAAGCAGCTAAAATTTATCACAGTGACCATCTCTGCCATCACAGGTACCCATTTACTCCTGGGTGGGGAGAAGCAATGAGTGATAAAGTGCCTAGCCCAAGGACACACGCACCACAACCCCAGGCTTGACTCAAACCCACAACCTGCAGAATTACCCGCCGATCATGAGTTTAATGCTCCAGACCACATTTCCACGGCACTCCACAATTATGTAAATGTTTACAGACTTCAGGGCCAAGCTCCATATTAAACGTCTATTTTTCCATGCGTTAATTGTCAGAATACAGATTTATCCCGTGTGGTATATTTGAAAAATTGCTCAGGTTTCTAAGCTTAGAGTTCATCACTCTATTTCAGGGAATGCATGCCCACAGTGTTAATTGTCTCATTGAAACCACTGCATTCTAATTTACTTTCCCGCCTGGACTTGTGTTACCACATTTAGAGTAAATGGTCTCTTAGTATCAGTGTTTTGTCTGCCTGTAGGTGAAGCTGTCCCGTGTGTTCATCAGAGACAACACCCTAGTCTCCGCATACCCATTGTTGCTGTTTGGCGGTGCTTTGGCCGTTCAGCACAGAGAGAAACTCATCACTGTCGATGAATGGATCAAATTCCAGGTAGCAAACTGTTTGGATAATTTTTATTTGAATTTACCGTTGTCACAGGAAGGTTTTAAACTATTAGAAACCCACTTTAAATATATTGTCAAAGACGGAGTTAAGCCAAAGAGCAAAAGGCTGAGTAATATGGGAAATTATACATTATTGTGTTGTGTGAGATCTTTAACATCTGCTGAACCAAATGTTTGTTGACCCTTCTGTAAAGGCTCCCGCCAAAACGGCGGTCATCTTCAAAGAGTTGCGCAATCTACTGAGCTCAATCCTCGTCAAGAAACTCTCCCACCCAGGCCTAAAGATACAAGGTAAGACATCAAACCTTGCCATTAAGAGAGATAGTATTTCGAGGAGTTTAACGGTACAAAAAAAAATTACTGGAAATTGAAAATTGTGACATTCTTTAGAGGTCGTCAAAAAAGGGCTGGACAGCTCAGTTGGTAAAGCAGCAATATGGTATTCTGGAGGTCTCGGGTTCAAACTCAAACTTGTCAATATTCAGTGACCACTCCCCAGTTTATTTTCTTGAAAACTCAATAAAATTCATATAGAGTTAAAGGGAAGATACAACATTGATCACATTATCACGAAATACCTTACTGAATTGTTAGGGAATGACAGTCTAAAGCATCCTGTAAAATTGTAGCTCCTGGTGTGCAGACATTTTGAAGAAAAATTGTATTTTTCCAACGCTGGAAATTTTTCAAATTTAGTTATTCTGCATTTTCTTTGCAATTGATCACACACCTGTGGAGGAGTACAAGCCTGCTAGACTGATTCTCTGACCTTACAATTCCCCCAGTCTATAAATTGCTCCTATTCATCTGAAGTGGGGTCAGGGAACCAGACTACAAGCACATGATTGGTTTTCTTGTTTTTCCAGCATCTACAAGCCCAAAACGTGAAACAAGTCAGTTTAACAATATTTGCTATAACATACTAATTCTCCAAATCCATTTGTTTCTGAAAATTGCAGCAAAAGCAAATGTTGTACATTCCCTTTAACATTAAGACAACCCAATTCAGGTGACAAGCTGGCACCCCTCTTTCCTCTTTCATTTTCATCCTAACTTATGAACAGATCATTGATTTGAATGTTGTGATAAACTTGTGAACGACTTGTGATTGACTTAATGTTTAAACCTAATACGCTTTGTATGTTTGTGTGTGTGATGAATTCAGATGAAAAGGTGATCCAGCTGATGATGGAACTCATCCAGTCAGAGAGCTAATCCACCTGATGCCTCTTCAAGAAACCGCCTGCTTCCAGAACGTCTTATTATGTGCTAAGGATTTTTCTCGAAGTTTGGTGGTACAGTAAACTCCGGCTAAACCGACATCGTATAAACTGTCATATCGCTTAAATCGGCCGTCTGACGAAAGTCCCGATTGTCTCTAATGCATTTCCATTGACGTTTTCATTTCTAAGTCAGCCTTTGTAAGCCGCCATTTCGCCTATGTTGGCGTGTTACTTTCAGTCCCATTTCCTCAAAACCACAAAAATTCCTCTGTATAAGTCGGCATCGTGCTCTGCGGTTTGCAAGAAGTGTCGAGTGAAAAGTCCCACACACTGCTAACTGACATCTGTTTATCAATGGCATGGCCCGTGATTGATGCATCGGCCAGCACGTGTACACTAATCGCACGTGTACACTGTTTCATGCACAGTCTGTACATTGTGCGCATCGTTCACTTACACGTGCGCGATCAAAAAGGGGTTTTCCCGATAGCACATCAATACCAGTACCCCCTCTCGACTGCACGCATGCTCTCTGTTCATTTTTGGGGTCCCCTTATTGTACCAGTACCGTGCACACATTTAATTCGTGACTGTACACGTATGTATGTATGTGCACAATGTACACTACATGTACATCGACGTGCAGTATGCAAGTAATCTGTATATAGTACGTACATGTACATGCATGACTTTCTGTGATCAATACCACAGCCTGTTTGTGATGATAAACATTGAGGATATATTTGCTGGAATCAACCATGGATGTAGAAATAAACCAGGGTAAATCAAAGCCTTTGAATTTTAGCCATGAATCTTGTTTGCATGATCCAGATACAGATGCGCATAGGCTATTAATTCAATGTGTTTTTTTCACTCCGTGATTCAATTTGTGTATTTGTGTAAGTCGGCAAAATTACTTGCAGCAGAAGCCGACATTCGCGTAAGTCGTCACAAATTCTCTGGTCCCGAGAGTGCCGTCTTAGCCGGAGTTTACTGTACCTTCTATAAACTAATTCAGCAACCAGTGATTACAGAGATGGAACCACTGATCTCTATATACTGACATTCTCATGCACAGGTGGTACACGACTTTTAACGATAAGGTTACCGTAAAAACGTGAGCTCCTCGAATTGAAGAAAGTGTGTACGCTTGTGTGGTACCAATTCAGTAACAGCGTCTGATTTTGTTTGCTGAATTAGTCCATATATTTTGCAGTCCTTTGCTCTATTGTTAATCCCAAAGAGAAAATTGTGAAATTCTGAGGTGTGGAAGTGTAGTTGGAACACTGAACATACACTGAGCAGGCTCAAGCCAAAAAAAAGTCTCCGGTTTCTGGTATGGAGCTTGCCCAAAAAGTGGTGCGGCGACGCGGCTTTTTTTTTTTTTTTTTACCCGTTTTTTGCTTCAAATGTCGGCTGATGACTGCAAATGGTGCCCGACTAAACTTAGTGCAAATATATGGGAGTCCAGAGAGGCTAGGTAAAGCTTATTCTCGATCATAACCCCATCTAAAAACACGTTAAAATTGTGCTGCGGCAGGATTCCAGTCAAACCAGTGAGTTTGGTGGTTTGAGACATCATCTTTTATTGAAAAAAAAACTTTTTCATTTTGCCGACGAGCATGGCTAGGGCGACACGCGCGCATACCAGAAACCGGGGACTTTTTTTGTTGGCCTTATTGTCATCATTTGGGGTTTTTTCCTCTGCCAAAAGTACATGTAGCTGGCCTACAACCAGAAAGTTGTTAATTTTTAAAACTTTATCAATCGGGCACATGCAAAACAATAATGAAATGAACTTTTCACAAAATAACTTCAGAAACTTTCTTGTAAATGGAAACACGTTTTAATATTGTCTCAAAAACATGCCAACACGTTTGAAAACAACTGATCAATTTTAATATGTACACTCATAACAAAACCCTATTTATTGTTCCGAAAGGAATGTCAAAATATACAAAGTGTTACAAAGGCACAAATATTTTACAGTTATGTGCAATTTTCAAGTGCTCAAGGAAAGAGGAGCTTGCATAAACCATGTCATCTTTTTTAAAATCAGAAATAAAATCAGTTGATTAATAATTGTCAGTAAAAATAAAATGAGAAATTAAATTCAATAAGACTCCAATAAAATGCTTGATAGAATTGTGTGTTCAGTGGTGTTTTTTAAAGTTATTTTACCCCAAATTAAAGTTTTCTAGGAATGTCAAAACCAATCCATAAACTAAATATGACCTTGATATTTTGACTATTTCTCAAGTTGCCATGTAAAGAATATTTGTATTATTTGTAAACCTAGACCACTCCACAGCCAAGTCTTTGACCTCTATAAATCAGGTATTTTTCAACTTATCATGTACACGTTTTCTTTTATTTTTAACTTTCCGACATTAAAGTTGCTTTTACGTCATTACGTGCGATTTTCAGTTTCACCCCCAACAATACATTGAAATAGAGAAAAAACAGGTATTTTTAAATTGCCAATTTTCTTGCAATAGGTGTGGGCGGAATTACATCAGCCGATAAAAACATCCATTATTTTGCACGCCAGTTTTCATTGGTTGCTGTGTGCTACCAGTTAATACTCCAGACTCAAGAACCATAGAGTTTTAAGTAAATAGGTCTGGGAACTAGATGCTGCCGGACGTCCGTGCCTGCCTATACACAAGGTAGTTACCTTTGAAAGTGACACTGAACAAAATAATCAACCCACGCTTAGGCCAAAAAAAATAAGTCTCCGGTTTCTGGTATGGAGCTTGTCCAAAAAGTGGTGCGGCGACGCGGCTTTTTTTTTTTTTTTTACCTGTTTTTTGGCTTCAAATGTCGGCTGATGACTGCAAATGGTGCCCGACTAAACTTAGTGCAAATATATGGGAGTCCAGAGAGGCCACATAAAGATTATTCTCGATCATAACCCCATCTAAAAACACGTTAAAATTGTGCAGTAGCAGGATTCCAGTCAAACCAGTGAGTTTGGCGGTTTTGAGACATCATCTTTCATTGAAAAAAAAACTTTTTCATTTTGCCGACGCGCATGGCTACGGCGACGCGCGCACATACCAGAAACCGGAGACTTTGTTTTTTGGCCTTAGTTATGGAATTTTCACTTTACACATTTCAAAATATTTTTGGCCCGACAAAATGCAAACTTCAAAATTTGTTTGGCGTAATTTGTTTGGCACAAGCAACCAAAAATAAAAGCGTAATTTCAGAGGGTTTCTGATTTGGTGATTATATGACTTTAAAGGGCACATACTAGATCCCTGTCAGAATTCTTCTTCAAATATAATTGTATGGGGCTTCAAAAACAAATTTCTATTTATATTTTCCAACAAAACAATTGGAGAATCCAAGCTAGAAACTGTAAATTAAAAAAAAAAAATTCAGCTTTATAAAAATTATTTTCTAAAATACTCGTTTTATTTGACAAATTCAAAATGATATGAAATTTTTTTTAAATGTCAAAAATCCCAAAAAAGCACCCCTTTCGCTTGGAAAGTTCACTAGATAATGCACATTTGGCATGTTGGTCTTTTTTTTTTCACTAGTTACTCTTGTCTTCACTCACTTTCACAGAAATGAGTCCAATCTTTGTATCTGACTAGAAATCTTCATCGCTGCTATATTCATCATCTCCCCTGAAACCTTTATCATTGTTGTTACCCGGCTTACTGCTCCCTGCTTTCTTGGTAGGCGTTGGTAGATCCATGAACAAGTCCTCATCAGACCTGTCCAATTCCTCCAGCACTGATGAGCCCAGACTCTCATGGTCCTCGTCGATGGAATAGGTGGCAGAAGCGGGATGATCGGATCCTGGTGGGGTGTCCTTGCTTCTGACCGGTGTGGATGTCCTGTGGCTGTGGCTGAGGCTGTGACTGTGGCTGTGACTATTTGCTGAACTATGACCTGAAAGCTCTTGGTCGGAATGCTGTGATGGCTTGTCAATGGCTTGCTTTGTATCCACTTCAGCTTTTGGTTCAGGAATTCCAGGATCTTTGACGCCAATCCTTTCACCACCTGCAATCGGTTCCTCCATCTGTCTCTGAATCCCAGCATCGCCTGACGAACTGGCAACGTTGTTGGTGAACTCAATGTGGGGCCTCTTCAGGTCCCCGTCAAAAGTTGTTTGGTGCTCTTTCTCGACATCGCCTCCCGTCTTCTGTTGAGTTTGCGTTCGTCCGTTGGCAACTGGCTGAGCCTCTGTGGTATGATCCACCGGCTCGGACAGGGGATGATGAAGAACCACAGGTCTGGAATCCACTGTCGGTAAATTGCTGACTCCAGTCTGAACACGCTTGATGCCAGACTGACTAGGACCGTTCTGCTCTTGCTGGGACACGAGTGGAGCATGCACATAAACCTGTCTGGACTCTGGATTAATGTCAGCGATACTTGTCACCGGGTTCTCCTCCAAAGACTGTTGTGGTACTCCGGGCTCATACGGGGCTTGGGGTTCCCGGTAGGGTGGTTGGGGTGCAGGGTAAGACACTTGAGGTGCTAGCCCCGGTGGGTACTGGGGTGAGACTGTCGGCTGGTGTTTCTGTAAGATTGACCTGACATGAGGGTTGCGTATCTCATCTGGGCTGGTTCCAACCAGGGTGCAGAGTTGACCAAGACTGGAGAGAGAAAAGAAAGAACACATGAGTATTTAAACAATACAAAGGAATTTTTCAAAAAAAATTGTTTTACAACTCAATTATTTTGTCTGCTTAGTACTGGTGGGAAACATTTGATGGGTCACAATTTAGCTTCAACCCTAACTTTTCAGAACTGAAAGAGAATGCAATAAATATTCATTGCTGAAAAATATTGAAAGAGCAAAACCAACTTATTGTTTAAGCTTTTTCTGCCGTAGTGCAAAATCAACATGTCAGACTTTACAGCCTGTTTGTGGTAGACATTCATATTTGAAGGGGTTCTAGTGCATGGGTTCCATAGACCACTACCCCTGCCATTACCCCAGACATTACCCTGACATAACCCCCAACATTACCCCTGACATTACCCAGCCTCTCTCAGTAAGTCCAGAAACCCATGGAACTTGGCAAAGGATTCTTCAATGCTGTCCAGTATGCTCTCGTCCTCTAGCTGGCCTGGCGGGGGCCGGTCCATCCTGGTGCCCCGCAGCGGGGACGTCGGTGAGCGCGCTTCCAGCAGCTGGACCTGGTGACGGAGCCGGCTGTTGGCAACTTCCAGCTCGACAATGCGCCCGTCGGCTGCTGCCCTCGCTCGGCTCTCGATGTACAGTCGGCGGTGCAGCTCCTCTACCTCAATCTGAATTAAGAGAGCGATGAGAAATGTCAAGACAATTGTCTCAAATGAGCACTGATGGATCCGTGTTATTTTCAGGATTTTGTGTATAATTAGTAAAGAAAGGTGAGTGTGCATGTAGAATGTTTTGAGCACAGCTAGTTAAACTAAAGTAGTACACCTTGTAATATTCCCTAGATGTGTTTTTATCAAGTGAAGGGAAGGGTACAGCAAGTCAAGGTTGGCCTAGATTTAAAGCCAAAAGGCTCAGTTCTTGAGCAGCTTTTTGGCCTCAATTGCTTCTCACATTCAGTGATTGCATATGTTTTTGTGTGTAAAGGTGCTTTGTGATGAAATTCAGCAGGTATTCTTTGGCAGGAGTTCACTCAACCCACACTTTTTAAATCTGGTTTTAATTATAACAATGACTCATGAAAGGCACTTTAGATTACAACATTCCTTAGGATAGATTCAGTGTTTCTACCCAGCAAGCTTTTGGGTAGCTTACTGGTCTCTTTACCTGCATCTCCCGCCTCATTCTCTGATTAGCCACGCCCCTCTCATCCTCCACGTCTCTCATGCTAGACATCATAGTCCCCGGTGTTCCCGTGTCTTTGCTGCTGGTGTCTAGCTCTCCAGACGACAGCGTGCTTGCTGCATGAACGTGGATAGACGCTGCAGACTTGCTCGGCGTTGAGCTGGGGCTGGAGTCTGCTGGAGTTGGCTGCTCGTCTGGTTGGACCCTGATTAAGAAAGTATACTCAAAATAATATTTTCTTGTACTGTACACACTGATGCCCCCTTTAACTGGTACTGATCTGGACCTTCACTATTTGAAGTTATATCAGATAACGGCAGATCCCAGTGTTGAATTGATCTGGATCTCTGGTCCTGGATAAAAAAGTCTTTCTTCAGATTGCGCTACAGAAGATGCCTCGGCCCAAATTCATGGCTGTGCTAACCACAGAATTCCGTGCTTATGGTCATAATTAGGTTCACAAACATTTTTGCCGACACTGAGAGCACAAAATTCGTACAGGAGGCAGACAAGCTGGTTTAGTGGGCAGATTTCAACACAGCTGTGCTTGAGAAAATAGACCATCTGACACATGCATGTTGTGGTAACATGACGGCGACTTTCACTTAGAACCCCCCCCCCCCCAGCTCCCCATAGTTACGCCATAAAATGCTGGGATGATATTGTCAATTACGAAAAAGTCTGAAAATTGAAGAAAGGTCTTTCTTTACTGCTACTGTCTTTCTTCTCTCACATTAAAAAAAGTCTGATTTCAGACAAAAGTCTGAAAAATCTCATGCCTGAAAATTCCAGATTCTCCTTGTTATTTTCCCTTTGAGGAAATTCTTGTGAACACTTGTATAATGCTTCAATTCCTTCCCCCAACTTATCACTTACCTTCTTTGGCTAGCCCTGGCAGCGGTCCTCCAGGGCACAAACCCTGGTCCTGGCTTCATGACTGCCGGAACCACAACGTCTGGTTCAACCCTATTCATCCTCGTCACGTGGACCGAAATACCATCCCCGCTGGACTTTGTCCGGGAGCGGTGGGGCGCTGAGGAGGGCCCGCTGGCCACACGAATGGTGGTCTTGCGACCAAAACTACTGTTGAGTGTCCTGGTCCGTCGTCGCTGTTTACCACCGTGGGGGTCGTGCTCCCGACTGCTATTTGCTCGGAGCCATTTGTACTATGAAAGGAACCCCCCCCCCACAAAAAAGTTAACTCTTTGTGTAAAGTGAGCCAATCAGAGTTTATAGTCACAAGTAAATCACAAGTTCATTCATAAGTCCAGTCACAAGTTACAAGGGATGAAAAGTAACAAAGGAAAGCCTTTGTCGCAGGTCATTTTAATGGCTTGTGACTCGACTTGGATTTGAATGACTGGTGTTTGACTTTTCAGAACTTGTGAGGATTTGTGATGGAGTCGACTTCAACACCAGAGCAAAAATACTAGAATGGAGACCACAAGAGAAGGTCAAGCATTTATACCGGCTTGAACCACATAGGGTATTGTTTTAATTCTGTATAATTAAGGCAATTAATGCTGTACTCAAGGAAAGATAGGTGGATGAAGTACTTTCCATCCACCACTACCAGTTCTGTCAATAACCACTGTAAAAGGAAAAACACTGTTTTGAATCTTTAGACATTCCCTACACTGACCTCATTTTCGTCTCCGCCTGCGTTTATTAAGACTTGTTCCATCACCGCTTTCAGTAAGTCACGATCTGCAGAGAGATTAAAAAAAATAATAAACATGATTCCGGTAAAAGAAAAAGACTCTGGTTTTGCCAAATATGGATGAGCCGACTGTGGGAGCCGACTCATGAACTGCCAGGAGGGGGCGGAGACGAGCCACGTACATCGACACGCTGCGGCGGGACGTTGGTCTCAGTGACACCAGGGGAGCTGAGGACACTAATGCTGGATAGGGATGAGCACAGGGCGGCGACCAAGTCCTGAGTTGGTGTAGGCTAGGCTGCACCCTCGCATCGCATCGCATGCATGATTTTGATGAATATAAATCGGAAATATGTTTTTAAAAATTCAGTAAATAAAAATACAAATAAGTATTTGCAAAACAGACTAGGCACAGGTTTAAACACAAAGGATAGGGGAAGAAATTGAAATGAATTGGAAAACAAGTACAGAAATTTGACCATTAAGTTGAAAAGTGACCTCTTAAAAGGCAAATCTTTTGTGGCGCACTATATTTGTGAATCCCCCAAAATGGGAGCCGATACGTCAAAATCCCTCTGCAGTGTAACTTACCAACAAGATGATTTTTCCTGATGTCGAGAACCACAATGGAGGAGTTCTGATGTAGGCCATCCAGTAATGATTTGGCTCCTAGGTTGGATATGCCACACTGCTGCATGTCAAGCGCTGTAGGACAGAAAAATAGTACATCATTGCCTTTCATCTTCATCATGGTTATTCCCTCTGCGTATATATTTCAGTGAGGGCGCTTTCAGCAAAAGGCCTGTCTGCATCGAAAGTCTGCGATAACCCTGTACATGTAAATACAGAATTCTTAGTTATGGGCTGCACAGTTCTGTAAGAGCCAAAAGTCTTTGCTTAGCTATTATGCACGCTAGCCGTCAGCACAGAATGTTCTGCAATATAGATCTTTCTCACTGACCCATGTGACTTGGCCTACACCAGAAAGTCAGCGCCGCCATTGTAGTAGGCAAAGATGGTATAGCACCGTATGCAGAAGGTAGTTGGTAAGCCTTCAAAGCTATGATGTATTGCAAAAACTGTGAGAAAAATGCGGAGCCAACACCCAGTGCTCTCGGCACGATCATGACAACTGTACACAGCACAGGCAGTGACCACTATGCCATTTGATACAGAATTTGCAGTTATTTTATGTTAAAATAAGCCCTACTGTCTAGTTTACAACACAGGACGTGGTAGCTACAAAAAAAAGGTTTGCCTACTGCAATGGTGAATACAGGCAGTCGTGACATGCTGTAGCATCTGAAGCGAGGCAGTTGGAAGACGCCCTCATTAAAAAGGGAAACTCACTCGTTTGTTCTATCCTAAGAGTCCGTTGTCAAGCAACTACTGTCCTCATCCAACCTATCCAGGCAAGTCCGATACCATTTGATATTGCAACAACGTAGCCAATCAAAGTGAAGGGTTAATGTCCGAAGTAACAAAGACTGACATGCTGCACTTGCGTGATGCACAAAACCAGAACGTGCACGTGTACATGCGCAGAGGGTGAAACCTGATAGATCAGCCTATTGTCTGCCATAACATCAAGTTAAAACAAGGAAGCTGAATGTAAGCAGGTATTAGCCTGAGAGAGATTGTGAATAGAGTTTTGTTAACTCTCGTACCTTTAAGCCACAGGTCGTCTTTCAAGGCCTCAGCGAATGCGGCTGCTCCCTCATCATTGACGAGTGGATTGTGGTTGAGGGTGATACGCCGGATACCAGCCATGCGGTCCAGATCTGGCCGCCGATACCTCAGACTGTCCTTCCATGCTTCGCTGTGTCGCTGTGTTGACTGGTGCTGCCAATTTATCAGAAGAAACGTATCATTGGATTGATGCTTATTGATTACATTGATCAAAACAGACATATGCTTTGTAAAAAGTTGCGGGCCTGGCGTTTTTTAGTCTAGAGGAGCTTTCTTCAAATGCAAAAAGGCCATTTTAGACATTATTGTAATCAAGAAATAAGATTCTGCTAGGATTGGAAAGTTTGGCACTCCTAACATTTGCTGCTAAAAAGAGAATTTGCCAAACAAGTCATCCACAGTAGTTACGGTGTAAGGAGTCAATGTTGTTAACATAACCACGATATGAGAATTCGGCGATATGGCATAAAATATGAAACTCTCTCCCATGATAACTGGGGCGTGTTTTTGCGACCGTGACCAGAAACAGTTTCGGCTTTGGGCATTGGTTGAGCGTTTTCATGACTTCGGTTGGCTGGAGTGACGTCACTGTTCCAACCCAAAACTGAACCAAGGCCAAGGGTCGGTTACGGAGTGCATTTCAAGATGGTAGAAAGATAAATACACGACATTTAACAAAACAGTGTTGGAAAAAATAAGCTTGTAATGCTTATTATTAATACGTACATCGTAAGTTTGTACATTTTAAGTGGCCTGTGATAAAATGTCTATACAACTTACAAGCCCACAAGGTATTATCCCGAATTTTGCCGGGACTGGCTGCGAACACAAGCGGCAAAGCTGCCTCCCCCAAGTAGCGGGCGAGGCAAAGCCTCATTTGCTATAAAACACCACTCCCGAATCCATCCATTTCCGAAATTACAGCAACAGCAAATGTTGTACATTACCTTTAAGTCTTCCAAACTTTTGCCACTGAATAAAAACAAAAAACAACTTGCCAAATCGTCAACCACCAAAGTACCAACTCCATGCCCTTGACTTACTTTGACCAGCTTGGCTAGAGACTCAGCCCCCTGACTGCTCAGCCCACAGGCTGAGAAGTTGAGCGATGTGATGCCTGGCGAGTGCTTGATGCCCTGACAGAGCTTCTCCACTCCGCGGTCACCGATGCGACAGGACTCCAGGGACAAATGCTGCAGACTGCTGTTCTTTACTATCCCCTAAGGGCGATTTTGAAGAGAAAAAAAAAGAAATAATCGTCTCAAGGTTACATGATCCACAAGGTCAAAGTAAAGGTCAAAGTAAAGGTCACAAGGTCATCATACTTCAAATTACCCCGACATGAAAACTAATCCTAAATTTGGAATTCTTATGATGTAACGTTTCCAAAGAAACCAAGATTAACAAATTTGGCCCTCAGATTATGGAGATATGGTCATTTGATAATTGGCCGCCACGCCGATTTTGACCAAAATTGCCAAACAATGGTGGGCAGTAGTGCGAAAACCTTCTGTCCGACAATGCTCAAACTGAAAATTTCAGCTTTTTCAGCCAAAATTACCCCATACACTAAAATATGAACCAATTGGAAGGGGGTGGGGTTTAAACTTTCCATTTTTAGGGGGTGATTTGACATGGAATGACCCCAGTCTGAAATGATGTTTAAATATAAGTGCCAGGTATGAGAACATCAGGTAATTGCTAGTGTCACAAAAGTTCTTTGGTTTTTTCTTCTGATTTGTTGGGTTTTTTTTCAGTTTTGACGTTTTCCATGTGTCACAGTCAGACTATAAAAGGATACTGGAACATACTAAAATGAGACCTGGAGCAGAAAAAGAGCTGTGAAAATAAAAACGTCAGGTTGACTTCAAACTCTCTTAACAAAATTCTGCTAAATTTTCATACGGTATGGCAAATTTCTGAATACTTTGCTTGCCTGTTTATAGTCTTAATTCAAATTATGAAGTGTTTTTTTTTGTTCCATCCTTTTGCACGAGTGAATACGACCTAGTGATTTAAATTTGTAGCATAAATGCAAGACTGGAACATGTCCAATTTGAAAAATATTGTCCAATTGAATAGTCATATAGCACAACTTCGAGAGTTTGTTTCGACAAACTTTATGCGTGCAAAACTGAAACAGTGTTTGTCTAGTTTTTTTCATGTGCCGTTCTATCTTGTATTTCATGTTTTCACTTTCTTATATTTTCACAGCTTGCAATACATTTTAATGACAAACGAAAACCGGTCCGATAAGCCAACAGAACAGTGAGTGTCCCTTTAAATCTTCTGCTGGAGCAGCCATACAGTGAAGCATACAACCCACCTTTGCAATCAGCTGAACATCTTTGTTTCTTAAAGGAACTCCATGCAGCTCAATGTGGCTCAGCGCCTGTGACACAGACAACATCTCGGCCAGGGCCACGCACAGACGGTAGGTGACATCCTTGGAGCGTACCGGAGGTGGCCGACGTTTGACTCGCGACCGCAATTTACCATCTTTAGAATCTGGTGCTTGATAAAAATTGAAATATTCTTAGTGATGGCGTCTTTGAAGACACTGTTCATGAATAACAACACAAGGCAAGACTAGTAAAGCTGGTCCCAGAGTGCACAAATTCTATTCAATAAGCCAATTCGGTATTTCAACTGCGCATGTGCGCATCAAGTTTTGACGAGTTGCCTTTTGGGATAAACAATTCGCCGTATGCAGAAATTGTCTTGCTCTTAAGTAAGCAGAAGATTGAAACGTTTTGACAGTGAAGTGCGTTAGGTTTTTTTGCATGGCCCAACTTTTGTGTGAATGAAAGTATCCATTGTCTTTTGGATCGCAATAGCGAATATAGATTTGGTTGCCACGTCCCCAATAAACTTGCGCGCATTTCTCTGCCGTGTTTATTCCGAAGTAAAAATCGTCAAATCTTGTTATTGCACATGCACAGTTGGAATACCGATTTGGCTTCTTGACTCAGAAAACCTGTGCTCAGGTCTGAGGATCATTACTAGTAGAGGGTTGTCAATGAACAAAATATGAACGACTGAGGCCCGTTCCAGACACTGTGCTACTGCCGTGCCAAACTCAATTAATTTGGCTTTATTAATAAATTCGGCATGGCGATTATACAGCGTTTAGAACCATTTAGGCTTGGCGAATTAAGTTCGGCATGGCACCATCCTTTGGCTTGACAGGGCTGCCGCGCTATCGTCATTCTGAATGGCAGTGGCACCTCACTGTTCTAAATGCTGTGCCATTGCCGTGCCGAACTCAATTCAATTCGAAGTTGGGCCAAACATTTTAGGAATGCTCTCACTCACAATACCTTCTCTCGCGTTCACATTAAGGGAAGTGATATTGGCACGAATATTTTGATCCATTGGAATTTCATTGAACTGCTTGAACTTCTTTAACCTGGCCAGTTACTTCGTCTGCATTAAGGTTCGACTATTAGGTTCGGTGTTTAGAGCAACTACCATGCTGTAGACAAGCTATTGCTGCTCACAATACCTTCTCTCACATCCGCATCACAGGGGAGTGAAATTGGCAAAAATATTTTGATTCATTGGAATTTCATTGAACTGCTTGAACTTCTTTAACCTGGCCAGTTACTCCATCTGCATTGAGGTTCGACTATTACTAGGTTCAGCGTTTAGAGCAACTACCATGCTGTAGACAAGCTATTGCTGCTCACAATACCTTCTCTCGCATCCGCATCACAGGGGAGTGAAATTAGCGTGAATATTTTGATCGTACTAGAAGTTCTCTGAACTGCTTTAGCCTGGCCAGTTACTCCATCTGCATTAAGGTTCGACTATTAGGTTTGGTGTCTAGAGCAACTGCCATGCTGTAGACGAGCTATTGCCACACTCATTTCAATTAAGTTTGGCGCGGCAGTAGCACAGCATCTAGGACGAGCCGAGAGGAATCCATGAGTATCACAAACCTTCAATGCCATTAGCCTGCTGATAGTAACTCCGGACTCCAACAAATCTCAGGCTCTTGTTGATCCGCAGGGCATTGAGAACCGGCGCCCAGTCCGGCGAACGAATCCGGTCCCCATTCAAGTCCAGGACCCCCTGGGCCAGGTGAACTTTGACACAGGTCAAAGGGCACGTGTCCTGCAGGGCACACAGCTGTTTGTAGTAGCCTTCATAGTCCAGGGCACCACGTTGCCGTGCCTGAACGCTTTCCATCACATATCCTGCATTCAGCAATACAATAAATATTATAACATATTTGTACGGTATGTCTATCAATTATCTCAATTGTATATATTCAAAGAGTCACTCCTTATCGACTTATTCCCAAAATATCTTCACCCATAAAATTATCAATACCACACTCCTATAGTTCTATAAAAAAATAATAATAATTGAACGCCTACCAGTACTGGTAGCCTACTACATATTTTATTTATATATTTTGAACCTTTCAAAAAAGGAATATTTATTTATACCAAACTTTCTGATAGCCCTATACATGCAGTGGCGTAGCCACGGGGGGCGTCGCCCCCCCATGAAACCTTGTCGCCCCCCATGAAACCTTGTCCCCCCCCCCCAGTCGTCCCCCCACTGAGATTTTGAGTTTCTAAAAAAAATATCATTGATCTACATGACGCCCCCCCCCCCATGAAATGTTCCAGCCCCCCCAGCGCCCCCCCCCCCCCCCACTGAAAAATTCCTGGCTACGCCACTGTATACATGCTATACATCCTTGCCAACTTCTGTAATCTTAAGCATCCTTCTGTTAATTTTTAAAATGAACCCATGTTTTCCTGTTTCGAACAGTAGAAAGAATGTTGCAACCTGACGTTGCTTTTTTTTTCATATTTAAACTCAATGAAGGTCAGTCATTGCAAAATTGATGATAAGACATGAGACTGGCACCGAGAAACATTTCAAAATTTTGTTAGAATATACTTAGAAATTGACCTATCGCGGTAGAATCGCGTTAGAATGGCTTCAACGCAGCTTGTAAATATTGTCCAATAACATGATATACAATAATTTACAAATGAACGTGGAACGTGCAAACTCTAAGTCTGAGACAAACAAAACATTATGCGCCTATCAAATGTTTCCCCCACCCCTCCCCCGGGATTTGGTCACGTTTTTCATTGATAGGATTCAATTGATAGGCGCATAAGTGTATAAAAAAATGTTGCAACCTGATGCCACTTACGCTAGCTTGAGTAACTCCAGCTGACATGAATATGGAGCATGTCAGCTGGAGTTACTCGACAGTAACACTCAAGCTAACTTACGCGATTTTGTACAAAGTCTATGCAGTGTCAGGAAAAGTACATGAACATTGTCAAAAACAATGAAGTATAATTTCCTAACATTTTGTGAGCAGGCCTAACGTTAACAATAGTCCCACTGTTGTGTCCTTGTGTTCTTATTCCTCCATGATTGTACGTACAGCGCAGCAATACCGAAAATGACTGAGGACACAAGTGGGGCTGGCGGCTAGCCTAACAAGTAACATTAACAAAATCAGTCCCAGATTCATGGCCATCAATATTTTTTCAATGAATGACCTTCATTGAGATGATATGAAAAAAAAAATTGACGTCAGGTTGCAACATCTTTTCCCAGAATCAAAGTTCCGGTCATAAAAACTTTATTTATAATATAAAATGAGCATTTCTTTACGAAAATCGATGCACCTGCACCTTTCTCAATCAATTTCAATATGGCGCCCTTCAATATCCAAGATGCTTTGCGATTTCAGTAAACATCATTTTAGGGAAGGTGTGACCAAAACATCTTCGCTATATAAAACGCGGGGGAAATTCAACAAGTGACCAGACACTTATGTAACCAATTATAATTTTACTTGTTTATCCGTAACATTAAGATGACTTAGCATGAAAATGTATCTAAAAATATGATTATTACGATCACTTTAAAATGTTACCCCTCCTCCAAAATTAGTTCGGTCCACTGTGTAAAAAATAGGGCGAAGTTCAAGGGTTAATGCACTTTCCAGCTGACTTTGACGTGACAGCGGTGCCGACAAATTTTATTTTTGTAAACAACAATGATGAGTTTTTCTCGCTTAGCTAACGTACTTTTTATTAAGTTTCCTCGGATTTGTGCAGTCACAACCAGCAGTAACAGTTACAAGTATCAGCCGGCTTCAAAGTTTCTTCCCAGACTTTTGATATCACATTGTCCCGTGCGACTAGTTGCAAAGGGTCGATTGGCGTCCACTATGGCCGAGACGTCGTCAGATCTGACTGTTGATCATGATGTGGAAAACAAGATGTTCGTTATCAACTTAGGTTGGTTCTAGTCCGAACTAGAACTGTTGCTGTTCATCCTAAAGTTGGCGATTGTGTAGTTACGGGCCCCTCTTTAGTTAAGTCAAGCTATAGATTCTAGCCATGTTTACAGGTCTAGCTAGATTCAAGTGTTTTTACAATTCCCAAATGACTCACTTAAACAAGTTAACTAATTTCTTATTTTTCTAATGACTCTACATTTTGGTAAATTTGAACAGTATCTTTTGTTTGAAATTGCAATTTTCAAACTTATCTTTCAGTTGATCGATGCCATGTGAATCAACGCAGTTTTGCGTATTCATGGTGTGTTGCGGTGATTATTGAGTGGTCGGGCACAACCCGACCACTCTCTGTTATTGTTCCGATAAATCTTCTTCTTCTTTTTCCGGACAATACTTCTCCGCGGCTTTTCTCCTAAACGGTTCATGATATGAACTTGTAACTTTCAATATATATCGACCCTCATCCCTAGTGGTGCATATTACTCTGACGTCATGATGATGTCATCGGGTGTCAAATTACAAGCGATTTTAGCTGAAAAAGTGACCAATTGATTTCATCTATAACTCTTGATCAAAATCATCAATAGTGTTTGTATTCTGTTATCAGATAGACCATTAATTGATAAACATTTTTTATTGTGTATGTGAACTCGCTTGACCTTTACTTCCGGGTCTACCGGAAGGTCAAAGTTAGGTGAATTCACTAAATGAAGACTTTAGCCTGAAATCAAAACAAAGCAGAATTTCTTCCGAACGGTTTACGGTATGATCCAGAAACCTATTGTGAACTTGTACCATGTAACGAAGATGTTATAAATGTTGTTATGTCATCATGACGTCATCAGGTATCAAATTACAAGCGATTTCAGGGTAAATTCTAACAAAATAGTTTGCGCTATATCTTTCGAACTAAATTGAGTATCGTGTTCGTTTTTTCGTGAGGTTGTAGACTCTGCCATGAGAAACATTTCTTGTCCCCAGGCATAAAACCGCTTGACCTTCACTTCCGGTGTTACCGGAAGTGCAATGAAAACCGAATATAATTCAAAGGCGGAAGCATTTTACTACACACATATCATTTTGATAGTGTTAAGTGATGAATGCCAGACAAAAAAAAGCAGTGTGATGACGTCACCTTTCAAAAGGGCGCCCCTAGCGGCACATAAAACAGTGTTTGCTTTCTTTAATTTGAAAACCATCCATTCAAATTTTACTAAATCGCCCTTTGATATTCTTTCATGAACTACAAGTACAAATAAGTTGGCAAGGTTTCAAATTCATGACGTCATCAGACCGGAAATAACTTCTATGAGAATTTGAAAACAACTAATTTTAAATTTAATTTATATTGATCCATGTCGTATATCTTCGTAGCCCAAATAATGATATCCATTATAATGTTCACTTTTTGCTTCCAAATACTTTGACGTCATAAAACCGGAAGTTAAGTGTTATGAATGCAAGCACTTATGTTTTCCATATTTTCATACGTTATTTAACTTCACAATGAACATCTATCCATTCCGAACTAAATCAGTATTAACTTCCCGTTTTTGAATAATGTCGTCATCCAGCAAGAAATAACTTGTTTGTGTACATAATTATTATGTTTACTGAATTTTATCACAATATTATTGATTGTACTGGAAAGGATTTAATTTTGTGATCCTTTGTTCTTACATAAAAATATTTATAACTGAACTCGGCAGTGTTTAATGAAAAAAATGCCTGCCCGACCACTCTGCGTTTGTAACAACAAACGCGAACCTCTAGTTATTTTTGTGTTGTGTTTGGCTGTCTTCATTCAAGTTCATTGTCTTTTTCCCCCCAAAAAATCCCACTAATTATGACACTCATGTTGGTTTTAAATATAGCTAACAAGGGCGAGTCCAAATACCTAACAATGAATTTTCCTTCTATCTTACTCTTAGGAACGGGGCCCGTATTACACGATCACCCTAATGACCATATATACATTTTGTGTAATTTTGAATTGTATCTTTTGGCAGAAAATGTGATTTTCTTACGCCTTTTTTCAGTTAATGTTCACCGTACATTGCACTGATCAAAATGCTTATTTTGCATTGCGGTTTGTTGTCTTCATCGTTGTACCCCAAAATTTCTCTTAAAAAAAACTCAAACTCCTGACCTCTATCCACGAAACTTCTGTTGGTTTTAAATATCATGAACTTGTTGGGTGATTCCAACAGCTAAAAACACAGCCCTCCAGTTGCGTCCAACAGAATTATTTGACTTTTTTTTAGTTTTACAACCCCCAAGAGCGCATGACACCCTCAAGTGTGAAAATTGCCATTTCCCACATCACAGCTGTCAACAATTGATTAAATGTACAGGACACACTTTGTTTTTTTGTTTGGTTTTACACAGCTGGTGAACCAGAGAAGGCTGTGCTGGTGTATAAAGTCATTGGTCCTGATGCCGTCAATCTCTACCATACAGGTGTTCCAGTCTCACAGAGAGGGAAGGGCATTGCTAAAGTCCTAGCTAAGGTGTGTGTTGGATGTGTGGTATATTCTGCTCTGCAGTCTGGACCCAATATGGACTCCTTGCATTAGTACCTCCTTAATGGTTACAACGGGAGAACAGACCTTTATCATGCTGCCACCATTTCAGTCATGTTCCCTGTATCTAATAACAGTAATGAATGATGATTTTTTGTGCAAAAAGGAACCAGACTATTTTTCGCTTTGGTTACGTTGATTTGAATGGGAAAAAATCAAGATGGCCGCAATATGATAATGGCCTATTGAGGGATACCACTGGGAGAGACACTCAAACGCACTGCTGATGATGCCTGACACTCAGGCTTTGAGTACATTCAGAATAACAATAGTTATGCGTACTCTGTGCTATATGCGCGCAAACCAGTATATGCGCACGTGGTGTGTCCAGTCCACAGGGCTTTTGAAAGTGGTAAATTCAGCCGCGGATCCAGAGGGGTTTTTTTGGGGGGTCAAACCCCTCCCCCCCCCCCCCAGCTCTGTCCCCCCCAAAAAAATTGTCATACAAATGCCTAAAATATAAGTCGAACCCCCCCCCCCCCCCCCCTGCTGTGACACCCACAAAAAATTTTACTGGTCTAATGTCCGCCTGTTCAAAATACGGTACACCATTCTGTAATGAGTATTAATAATCGTCGAATTTGAACAGCGCCCCCTATTGAAATTGGTGCACCCCCCCCCCCCCCCCCCCCCCCCCCCCCAACCACCACCACCACCACCAGTTTTTGATTTTACGGAGGCCAAGTGTCCGGAGAAAAAAACGTGTGTACATTTTCAGATTTTTGGGCTGATGAAACACCCCCCCCCCCCCCTGCGAAAATTCCTGGATCCGCCCCTGCAATTAAGTGCCCTCTCTTGTTTGCACACGGAGCCCATAGAGTTGTAAATTTATATAAAGACCAATCCAACATTGAATTGCTGTTCACTGTCAAATCCAGTAATGGCAGAATCAATATGCTAGCAACCTATTGTACAAAGAAGTGCTCCTTATTTGAAAGGGAATGTACATCATTGGCTTTTGCTGTAATTTTCAGAAATGAACTATTTGAGGTGTTAGCATAATAGATGAAATATTGTTAAACTAACATGTTTGAAGTTTTGTGTTCGTAAATGCTGGAAAAACCAAGAAAAACAAAAATGTTCAAATAGTCTGGTTCCCTGACTCCACTTAAGATGAAATGGATCGATTTATAGATGCTGGAAAATTGTAAGGTAAGGAAACCAGTCTAGCTGGCCTGCCTGCACCCGTTCATGAACTTGTAACCAATAGCAAACAAAATTTGGACTGAAAAAGGGTACATGTGCAGCAGTAGTTGAAAAATAGTTAGGTTTTTGAATTCCACCCGAAATCAGCGTCCGGGACACATTCTCATTCAGCCGATTGCAGCTATGTGATTTCATGCACTAAACCTACGAATTCTAGCAACCGCGCGGGCTAATCAATTGGGTATTCACTGGGTGTTAAACAGTATGTGAAACGCACACAAACCACAGGTGGGTAGGGCTGATGGGTGCAGACATGTAAATAGGCCTAAACTTGCCAACACCTGCCAAATCACGATTTGCATGCCGTCAAATTCTCAGGTATTAGAGCTTTTTGAAGGCCGTGAACTTGAGGAATTGTAAAAAAAAGAAGGGTGGAAGCTGTGCAGAGGACTGCGAGCTTGTATTTCTGTGAAATTTTGATTAAATAAGGCCCTAAAACGGCTCTTTTTTTGCAATGGAGCTCAGGCATCTATTTTTAAAATGGCGATGGGCTTTAGGACTGATTGTAGATGTGATCATCTTTGGATGGAGTGTTCTCCCAAAAGTCATTTGTTAACACCCCCGCCCCCTCAAAAACAAAATTGAACGGTCAATGAAAGATGATATTAGCTTTTAATTTGATGTGCGTCTCAAACCCCTTGGAGAGTTGTATTTTTAATGATTTTGGGAAGTGCGCGTAATTATCACCGAGGTCTGTCGCAGTCTATTTACTGGTCTGGAACCTTATAGCCAAATCTTGGGACACTTCATTGGTGCTCTACTGAAAGAAACCCATTTCTATTTTTGTTTGTTTTATTATAATAATATGTATTTTTTTCCAATCTTGAAGGCTGCATTGGATCACTTTGCGTCCCACGGCACCAACATGAAGCTGACGTGCACCTACCTACAGAAGTACTTCCGTGAGAACCCCTTACCCCAATACAAATCCAGAGTCTTGGATCTTTGATGGGGAGGTTGGGCCAGACACCCAAATGTCACGACTTTGCTGCCAAATCTCAATGCTTCGCAAGACAAGGTTGGATTTGAGTGGAATAGAGCTTTTAATCATCATGCTAAATATTCACGATTATGGTAATGTTGACCTTGCATATATAATCAGTAGGCCAAACATTGATTCATACATATATTTTTTTTTTCAGTTTAACCCATTTGCTCCATGGAGCTTGTCAAATGGGTTAAAACAAATTCTGGTCTTTTATCCATTTGGATCACTAAGTTGCTTCTTGATTTTTCCAAGATTTGAAAGTACAAGCCTCTTGCACAGTTTTTTTAGCCATATCAACAGAATTGCAAAGCATGAAGTATTAAATCTAAGATCAGAAGCACATGTTTGAAATTTATAAAACTTTTTTTTTAATTGGAAATAAAAGTTGCTCTTGGTAAGGTTTAATAATAAGCTAGTTCGGTATTCATACTGCACATCAACATTTGACAATTTTTTTCTTTGGGGATAAACATTGCATCATATGCATGGAAAAGCATAGCGGGGTACCAGCAAAGTTGAAGAGTTTGTCATGTTCTGAAGTAACATTTTCCAAAAAAAAAGAGTTTGGACAGCAAAGTGTTTTTAGGTGTCTTGTGTGTCCAAACTTGTGTGCTAACAAAACTTTCCATCTCTTTTCGATTGCACGAAAAACAGCACAGAATGCAGATTCAGTTACCACGTCCCCCATAGCCTTGTGTGCATTTATCTGCCGCGTTTATCGCGAAAAAAATCGCCGCATGTTTGTTGTGCATCAGACTATTTTGGAATACCGAACAGGCTTATTGAAGAAGTCCAAACAAATTTCATGAAGATTTTAAACTAAAAATATATTTTGAATTAATGTTTCAAAAATGATGTATAGAATGTAATATAAAAAAAATTGTATTCATATTCGCAAATGTTTTGTGCTTCATAATGAGGTTTTTTTTAAGAAATTAAAGAAAATTGAATGAAAGAAAGACAGGACAATTGTGTTCTCAATTGAAATGCATGCAGGAACAAGTGTCTTTATTAAACGTCAGTGCACCGTGTGCTACAATCAATTAATGTGAACAAGTCCAGAAAAAAATAATAATAAATACGGTGGATTTGACACAAACTTATTTTGTCAAAATATTGCACACATCAATCACATAATTAAGTGTCAATCGTGAACAAGGCGGGCTGTGTATGGTAATGCACAAAAACATTAATTACAACATCTTTTAAAGTTTTTTTTCCCCTCAACTGGGATATTTGAAATGAGAAACGTGTACCGCCTCCTTCGGTACAATTAGTACAGTTTAAAACAAAAAACACACAAAAATGAAAAAAAAAACAAGAATATATTGAAAAATCAAACTACAGATTAAAGAAGTTTACACAGTACAAGGTATAAATTTATGCATTAAATGTAAGCATAAGTAACTGTCAAATTTCTTTTATACTTGGAAGCCCAAACAATTTGTGAATTCTAGAAAAACTACTCCAAAAGTCAACAATAATTGTTCTTGTTTATCAACTTGCAAAATTATGTCCTGCTTATAAACAAGAACATGCTGCAACTTTCTCACTGATCAACATGGTCCAGGGAAATTTAATGCGAAAGAAAGATGATTAATTTTCAACCGATTTCAAATCACTATCGTGGTTGATGAGACTGAATTACTTCAATTTTTTTTTGTTCATCTTTCAAACATCAAGCACACCAAAAGAACGCGCTTCGTGAAATTTATGCATAGGTTTAACGGCTACATTTTTAATACACGAGAAGAAATGCTATCCCAGAGTTGTAATTTTAAAAAAGTATATATTTGTAAATATGAAAAAATACCAGGATTCCAACTTTTTTTTAAGCAAACAAAAGGGATAAAATACTGTCACCAATAAGCAAATAATGACGTGCACCTGTTGTCATGGCAACTGTATTTCAGAACATCTACAAGAAACGTGTACATTATATGCAAATTAGACACTTATTTAGTTTCCGACTTTAATTTTTTTTTTTTTTTTTTTACAGTTCGATGCGAACAAAAAGAAAGGATGCACTGACGTGTTATCAAAAAAAACAAATTGATACACTCAACTTTACGAGCTAATAGTTTTAACATTAAACTGTGCAATAAATGGCAAAATTCCGTCGTCGGGGATCGCTTCTAGTCGCAAGGGGAAAACACTTTGAGCAAATAGCAACCTTAACTCCTGATAAGCAGCTTTCTGGTTTTTCTCTCAGTTCCACAATTTTCGTACTTTAAATCTCAACACTTCAAAATCTTAACTCTTTTTTTAATAGCAATCAAAGCTGATACATTTAAAGGCACTTTAAACAATGGTTATTTTAACAGCCACCAAAAACGCATGCAAATTTCTGCCAAAAAAAAAATAACGCAGTCCTTTTCTTTGACTGAGAGTTTAAACATGTCAACAGCTTTGTTGTTTTTTCTTAATAATATTCCGCTAGAATATCAATATAATTTTATACACTTCTCTTACAAAATGAAAATATACAAGTTTTCATTGCTTCTTTTTAAAAATAGTAGTAAAGTTTGAAAGCGACAAAAATCCAAGCACTTGCAATTTCTACTTTCTCAGCTGAACCCCCACACTGAAAGAAAATATACTGTAGTAAAATTGCTGCGAGTGTCTTTCCTTCATTATGCCGCCAAATGCTTTTTGGATGGAGGAACTTCCTTCCATAAGTAATAAAAAATATCTGTTACAACCTCTACATTAAGAAAAATAGCTCGAAAACATTATACAAAAACGGGATGGCTTTTCCTCTTTATTTCTTCCTCGCCTCATCTTTGGATCAAAGAAATATACACACCCGAGATTTTATCTGGGCATCAATAGTAAAAGATAAACGCTATCAAGGCAAAAATACTGAAAATACTTGGGCGCTACAAAATATTTCTCTCCATACAGAGTGCATCAAGTCTGTCTTCGGAACATTCACCCTGGCATATACAAAATAGTACTTTTTTTTAAGCATTCAAAATCTTTGTTGTCATTGTCAAAACATGTTCCCGTACACTGAAATAAACACTTTGAAGAGAAAGGCAATATAGATATGTACATTAAATGTGGACAAAGTGCTAAAAAGTACCTGTAAACTTGCAACAAGAATTTCATCGATTTTTCGTCTTCAGTTTTGAAAAGTCCATTTCCTTATTCGCATGAAATTAGAATGCATATTGTACAATCACCAATTTGTTTTCACCCTTTAATGAATAGATCATGGAAAAAGTGGCACCCAGCTGACGTAAAATGATTCAAATTCTATTAAAAAGAAATAACTCGGTCATTAAAAAGCGCAAAAAACGTCATTGAGGTTGACTTGTTTTTTTGTTTTGTTAAAATACCATGTAGAGCATACTTCTTGGCGTATTTTTTTTTCAGCTATAAAAAGGTGTGATAGTATTACCAATGTGAACATTTCTGCGGTTGATAAGAAATTCATTTATTTATTTTTTTGCTCAAAAAGTCAATAAAATCATTGAGACTGCAGTATTAAAAACACAATGGCTGCCCCTAGTTCAATTTTATTTTTTAAGTTGCATTTCCAAGGATGCCAAATTTCAAAAGAAAAAAATCTGAACAAACTTTGGGTAGAAATGTTTTAAAAATCTGATTGGTAAGAATTAACTTATAAAACAGTACCTGTAAAATTTCCAAAAATAAAAGCCTGTGCCCTGAATCTTCCTAAGTACTATCCAGATTAGATTTCCGTGTGTTCCACCAAATAAAATATAACTTGGTCAAGACTGACCATGCCAAACTGAAAAACCAGAAAGCCTATGCAAATTTCATCCTTAAAAATAATTTATTCTCCCAGTCTTCACAATGTCGCAATCTTTTTGTGGGAACAGTAAAAGCAAGGACCAAACAATTTCGGAGGATTTTGAGATGAACTACCTTAGTTTTAGCACGAAACAGCCAATGGTTGGGTTTATTGTAACTTTGCTTTCCATATTTTTGCAAGACAATTGATCAGGCACATTTAATGAAAAGCCACTAATGTTCAGAACCAGTTAGCTTGGGAATTGACGCACAGCCAGGGATCGAATTACACAGGCACAAGCAACAACAAAAGTTGCCTGCATTTTTCAACTCTTTGCATTTAGGCCCGTGTCTTCCGATCCCTGGGGAAAATGTGGGTGTAATTTAATCAATTACAAACAATTGTTCCACAGTTTGCATTAATTGATGCAAACAGACCAAACACCAGAATTATTGTTTCATCATTTGTGATTACAGCCCAATCGATCGATCCAGTTTCATGACCTATTCCAATCACCAAGAACCTCCAAAAATGGAACTCCTGCAAAAAAATATTGACCAATCAAACGACGGGTACACAAGTTTTCTTCAATCAGCAGTTCTTGCAGTCAACCAATCAGCATGCAGTCTCCTGGACCCAACAGCCAATCAGATGCTGCAACGCATCCTCCTCCTCCTTTGATCTTCATCTTTTTAGTCAGCAATCGTCGGCAATCACGTTACACCAATTGTGTGCACACATGCAACAGATGCGTGCGCAACCATGTGGGATAATTGTTCACCAGACTCCGTAGCAACTCTCGGTGGTTTTGGTCTTGCTGTTGCGCATCAGCGGCTTATGGCTGCGCAGCTGGGTCAGCGAGTGTTGCCAGAGCCAGCAGGAGCGACAGAAATACTTGAAGCAGGTCTGCTCCCGGCAGAAGAAGGGACCAGTCTGGGTGTGGCACAGGCTACAGAGAGAATCTTCCAAGTAGGGATCTATCTGAACCTGAGGTCAGCAAAATACAAGTTTATTTTACACTCACTTGTTTAACCAACCAACTGTGGTAAGCCAGAATACGTATCAACCCTCCCCCACCCCCCTCCCCCACCCCCCCCCCCCCACCCAAAAAAAAACCACGAGCATGACAGAAAAGGTCAAATAAACTTAACCTTCAATTTCATTTTGTCCCTCTAAGCCCTCTCACTAGCAATGACTTTTCCAGTGCTCTGATTTAGGGACAAGATTGTCAAGGTAAATTAGGGATGATCTGAAAATTAAATGAACGTTTGCAAAGATGACTTTCTTGCAACTACATGTATTAATATGTACTAATTTGATACCTCACTTGGGAACACTGTGTAAGAAATAACGAGAGCGCAAGCACTGAAGCTCCTGAAACCTCAAAACTAAAAGTTGCACTTAATGAGATTTTTAATGGGCACTGCAACACACAATTGAATGCAGGGCCTGCATCACTGCATTCAATTCGGCTCACAAGGCAGTGCGCCACTAAGAGTTTGCCATGGAGAGTCCATTTTTCAAGTTTACGGTCGACAAAACACGGCCAATTTGAAGAGTGTCAGTAAACAACTTGAGCTAATTATATATTATAGATTGGGGATAGCGCTGTGCAGCCTTACAAAAAAACACCATATTGATAAAAAGAAAAGAAAAAGGCAAAAATTATAATTGAACCATACGCTTACGAAACTACTGACCGGAAAAATGAACAATTTTAAATGTCCCGCGCAGGAAATTTGTCGACCATCTCCCACATTGCATACGGAAAAATTAAGTCTCAGTGGCAAACTCTTGGTGGCGCACTGCATTGTGAATCGCCCGAATTGTTGTCTTGCTAAGTGCAACCTGAGTTTGAGGGTTTCAGGAGCATGATCATTATAAAAACTGTGTAGTTTCTTTTTGTGCCAGGTGTATATAAATTTGTGTATAGATAAAAACACCTTTATGGTAAAACCTTCGGAGTCCAGAAAATCATAAAATCAGAAATAACAACTGACAAAATATCCAGAAATCGGGAAAAATCTGGACATATCTCAAACCTGATATGGATACATAATTTTTTTTACAGAATATCGCAAGTGACTAATAGCTTGCAAGATGGAGTAGTGATGAACTCACTTACAACACTGTCCCATTGATATTTCACCATAATTGCAAAACGGAACTTACTTTCTTGGTGAATTTCGTGGTTTTGATTTCCACGAAAGCTGCCCCAACTGCTTTCATGAAACTCTTGCTGTTGTTGAAGGTCACACGCCCAGAACCTATACACCAAAAAAATGAAATGCAGGTAAAATGACTGTAAGTTGAAATTGGCAACATTTTCTAGCTGAAACTACGCCACTTTTGGGTATAAACATGAATTCAAGTTTAGTAATGTAAGCTTACCTGTTACTAGAATTCAAAGATTACATTTAAGTTTTTAGTCTTTATTAGACTGACAAAAAAAACCTTTTTTTGACTATTTTGTACCCCAAAAATTGCATTACTACAACGTTCACATTAAAGGGAAGATAAAACATTTGCAAACATCAAAAAACGAAATGATCAAATTATCACGAAATACCTTACTGGATTGTAAGGGAATGACAGTCTAAAGCATCCTGTTAATCATGTCTCCTAGTGTGCTGACATTTTCAAGAAAATTTGTATTTTTCCAACGGTGGTCCGCCGACCAGCATTGGAGAACAACATAACAGTTGTTCTGCATTTCTTTGCAATTGATTACACACCTGTGAAGGGGTACAAGCCTGCCAGACCGATTCTCTGACCTTACAATTCCCCAAAGTCTATACATTTCTGTTTGATCTTAAGTGGGGTTAGGAAACCAGACTACAAGAACATGACTGGTTTTCTTGGTTTTTCCAGCATCTACAAGCCCAAAACGTGAAACAAGTCAGTTTAACAATATTTGCTATAACATACTAATCCTCCAAATCCAATTATTTCTTAAAATTGCAGCAAAAGCAAATGTTGTACATTTCCTTTAACTCACTGCCTTCCACGCCTTGATTGCGTTTACTGTTTCACAATTTTGCCAAGGATATCTTCTTGGTAAAATAACTTCGCTATCAAACAATATCTGATTTCTAAATTCTAGTGGAAACGCTTCCTTGACAAGGGATAAAAAAAAAAAATCCCAGTATTGAAAATTACATGATCCATCTTAAACAGGCACGATCTTCTCAAACAGGATCGTCACGTAATCGACGATCGCATGCCTAATTTCATTTTTGGCCATTAGTTCCAAGAGGAGTTCAAACGAACCAAGGAATGCCACCTGTAAACGTCTTCAGGAACTCAAAACAAATTTACAGAAAAAAGAAGAAGAAATTACAAAGTGTGTATGGTGATAACACCTGGGCCCAGCAAACCGGTTAAAATCATTTTTGACCCAATGACCCCTATAACTGACTCCCAGGGTTTGGCCATATGCAAGAGCGATAACGCAAACGGGACACTTTGCCAAATCTAATGTCATTTTGATCCAATTTTCGGTCCCTTGGCAACCAGATGATTAGAAATCCCCAAGATTAAGAATCCATCCCGGACTTGTTAGTATTTTACCTCCCCCCCCCCCCCAAAAAAAAATCTGTTCCTCGAATTGAAAAACTTTTTCTTTTAAAATATTGAACGCTTTGGGAGGTGTCTTTTTTCTCCGTAATCCTGTTCAGCGCTTGGCAGATTGCCATGAGTTTGATCATTATTGAACAAAATAAACCCTGAGCAGCTAGAAAAGTTTGGAGGGAACAACAAAGTCATGGGGAAAAGATATTGTTAACAAACTTCCCTACCAAAAAATAAATCTTTTTTCAATTTGGAAGAAAATTGGTACTTTGGTAATTAATCTATTGTCCTTCTGTCTCTCCCGCCCCGCCCCCCCCCCCCAAGTAACAACATAACCGTCAGGGGTACGTTCCACTCATGCTTACGTTACCAAGGCCCCTGTGAACATTCGTATCCCAAATTGAATGAAAATGCAATCGAAAAACTGAGGTCAAACGCCACAAGTGACGCCATGTGGATAGGAGCTTTTCAAGTCTTCAAAAATTTACCGCAAATACAAACAAACTTTTGTAAGTGATACACAAAATGTTTAGAGTTTGTTGTAATGTAAAAACTGTGTTTGTGAGTCAGCCTTATTGGGGAAAACATTTACTGGTCTTTACAAGGAGTCCACACGGCATCATCTATGGGCTCTGTGCGCAAGTACCCCTCAAATGTAAGAAACAGAGAGTTGGGGAGACAACTGGGGGGAGGGACAATCGAATGCACTGCCAATAATGCCTGGCGCTCAGTTGAGTGAGTTTCGCGCCATGTGCGTGCAAACCAGTACATGCACGGAGTGACTCCCCACTGGAGCTCAAAAAGTGGTCAAACGCCCTCTTTTGTACATGCACAGAGCCCACAGTTTCTTCATTAAGTCCATTGGTTACCCCTCCTATGCAAACATACATTTTGTGCCTAGTTGTCCTTTCAGTCAAAATAAATCGAGTAATTTTTCAACTGTTAAGATTTCCCCAGCCTAAATATTTAAAGCAGGCTTCCCTGGCTGTGACTGTTTACAAAATTGTTACAGCTATACTTTGACTGTAGATGATTGATAAGCCAGCTGTGCCTACCACTTGCCTGTTTTTGTCTGTTGACTGAATTTGACTATGTTACAGTGCTGGCTCGAAATATGATTTGTATTGGTGACTAGCCTGTGTAAAAGGCATGGCAGGGGAAGGTGATTGATTTTTTGACTGTCTGTGACTGTTCAGGTAGCAGGAGGGTTAGACTACATTCCTGCTATCCCTGTCTTCAAATACATTTTCTCGTTGACGAGAAGTCAAAAAAGACAACCTCCCGCATTCAAAGCTTACCAATCGGGTACTTGTGCTTGTCCGTGTCAATCCCGGCATACACCACACCCCCAAACAGGTCGTTCATGATGTGGGCCAACCCCTCGGCATTCAGCATGCCATGAAGAGCCCCCACAAACACGGTCTTGTCTGGGTCTAGCCGCTGCGAGGGACAGCGGACGTAGTTGCTGTCAGAGAGCACCCAGGGGATTACTTGCACCTGGGGGACACACAAAAATGGTGCCGATCATGAGGGTTTAATCAAGGCCAATTAAAGACTGTTAACACGAGACCTTTCAAGTAGATCTACATATGTGCGCTGATGCAAGCCTACCAGTATGTTTACAACATGCACACCTGCATAGAGAATACATTTTTTTGTGGACAACTAGTTTAGTGGATGTCCAACTTTTTGAGAGGGGGAATTGTTAAATGTTCACATTTTAAACAGGTTTCATGCCTTCAGACACTCAACTGACAATAAGCTGTAATTAAAATATTTCAACCAAACCATTTCCAAGAAACAATGGAAAATATCTGTTCCCGTAGAAGTGTGATTTCCATTTTTCAGAACTGCTAATTGCAGATTTCATATCATATGCAGCCTTAGCAAAAAGGGGAAACGGGAGCATTTAGACTACACTTTCTTTCTTTTTTAATTATATCTTTTGACCCTGCCCCTCATAATATTGTACTGTGTCCCAGTCTTTAAAAAAAGTGTTTTGTTGCTGTTGATTCAAGACCACTTAAGCTGTCAAATCACTAAAATTTGAATCATCAACTTTTTTGTGGGGGGGGGGGGTTTAGAATCTAAATGTCAAGAAGGCCAGACAGCATAACTTTGCATTTTTAACATTTTCTGTCATAAAAAAATTTGTCAAGTTTTCAGACTATTCAGACAATAGCAGGGTGGATACAAAAAACGAAACCGAGATATTATTGCTTATTGGAACAGAAATACATGTAGGGCACATGTGAATCAAAAGGAGATATCCTCTGTTAGGGTTGAATCTCCTCTTTAAAATGACACCCTGATCACGTCATTACATTCACGGTTGACTGAGCAGTGACCAATTTTATGAAATGGTCTATTTAGAGAATTGCGCCACTTTTCATGGTGAAATCCCTTTTTTCCCCCACCTGCCTTGATTGGCAACTATAGCTTTTCACTCTATGACAAATGACACCACAAAAACCACAATTGAGAAGTGGCGCAATTCTCTGAATAGACCCTTTCATAAAATTGGTCACTGCTCAGTCAACAGTGAATGTAATGACGTGATCAGGGTGTCATTTTAAAGAGGAGATTCAACCCTAACAGAGGATATCTCCCTTTGATTCACATGTGCCCTACATGTACTTCTGTTCCAATTAGCAATAATATCTCGGTTTTGTTTTTGTTCATCCACCCTGTATAGAATCCTTAAAATGTCTGGAGCTCATCCAAGCACAGCACACATACATGTGTGTGTTTGCAAAAATACCTTTTACTGCGTATCAAGGCCGAAAGATTTACATTGAGGCATTTAGTATTTGGTAAAACTGAAAGAGTTTGTTGAAAAGGTTGGTGCATCACAAAACTTGGCAAAATGTCACAGTATGCCAGCATTTATTGAAGGGTACCTGCGTAAGTACAATCAAAATGATGCGCTGGGCTGCAGGGATGGTTTGTGGGATTTAAGAAACAAAATGCAAAACAAACTCACAACTTTTTCGTAGTCTTGTTGGATTTCTTGGGAAGGGTAGCGCACAGACACAGTAGTGTTAACTTTGACCTGATAAATTGGAGAAGGTTGGGGGAGAGGTGTTTGAGAAGGGGGGGGAAAAAACAATAAATAGTCTGGTCAAGACAAAAGTTTTTGCTTTGCACTTGCTCTGTGGACTTTGCTTTTATCAATATTGGCAGAGTGAATCATCGCCGCTCATCACAGTCGCTACTCTCAGCAATCGGTGTCTGGATGTTTCCATATTTCATAAACATAACTCGTGACCTCTTTTGTGCCTGATAAAGCTTAGTCACATGCATAATGACATCATATAATTTTTTTTTTTGGCATTGGGACAACCAGTTGCAACACTGGACAGAAAAAATGCTTCATCATAACATTGTTGTTTTGACAAAAGGCAAAAATGCAAAAATAATTCCACGAACCTGTTGTACACGAAGTTTTGTCATCCTTTTGTTTAACATAAATTATACATTTTTACATTCAGCATCATCTATCAACAGCTGCAACAAAGCTGGAATTCCACACATACACAATACACATACTTAAGCCATACATGTACAACTTTCAAGCAAACCAAAAAAAATGCTGAAAGAATGTTGCATTAACAAATACAAAAAAATCAAAAACAAAACAATGTCAAAAGCTATATCTTCACATACATGTAGCTTGTTGACAAAATACATGCATTTTTGGAATACCTGATATAGTACTTTTAGGATACCCACAGTTGTCCCTAGATCTGATAAACATGTCAGTTGCAACATTGGCCAGAAAAAAATGCTTCATCATAACGTTGTTGTTTTGACAAAAGGCAAAAATGGAAACGGTTCACAGGGAATTCAACTTTAATAACTTGCTATTTTGAATTGAGGACTTCCACTATCTAATATCCGCCATTTTCTTTTTGACCATCTTTACTGTACCTCCTTGCATCTCATTCGTCTGCTGGTGATCTTGAAATACCACTCGCCGCTTCCCATGAAATCGTGGGTGCAGGCCTGCAGTAAAGCCTTCACCGACTTCTCGTTGTCAAACAGCACGTACACGTAACCTGTAGGCATTTACGCCCAAAAAAAGACAAAAGAAACACAAACATGTTTTATTTTTCCCCAAAGGTTCACGAGTTAGGCTACTGCATAGAATGGGGTTTTTCCCTTTACTATAATGTGATTATCAAAAGCACTGTATGCTCAGTGCTGTCCGAATGCTTGTGAGAAAATTTGCTGTGAAATAAGTACGGTAGGTCTAGTGTCATGGTCTACAGCATTGAATTCGTGGTCTGGTAATTCTGCAGGTTGTGGGTTCGAGTCCAGCCTGCGGCTATGGTGCGTGTGTCCTTGGGCAAGGCACTTTATCACTTATTGCTTTCTCTTCACCCAGGAGTAAACTGGTACCCGTGAGAGCAGAGATGGTATATTGTGGTGGGTTCTAGCTGCTTTGTGCCCAAGCATATACTCCCCAGGGAGCGGAGACGGCCTTTGGAATGTTTCATTAGCCCAATGGGCAGGGGTAATAATCACTATTGTACAGTGCATTGGGACCTTGTGGACATACACTTTACAAGCATGGTTCTTTATTATTATTATTATTATTATGATGGTCGAGAGTCATCATCAATCCAACTTTGGCAATTTTGTAATTTTTTCCCACACCTACTTACTTCATTCTTATTAAAGCTACGTAGAATTGTTTGCTTTTTGTGGGTTTTTTTTTCATTTAGAGCAACAAAATTGCTCAAAATCTCAAGTAGAGTGGATGACATCTAACATGCGAAAGTTGTAGCCCAGTGGATACTATAACGTTTGAGAAAACCGAGGCAACATACGCGCAATTGTTGGGGTCTGATGACTGGATTCTGTTGCCAACACACGGAAAAAGTGTGCCCGCTGGCACCCTATTTTGAATCCACCTTCAATGTTACTTTTCTGCCAAAAGATACCATTCCAGGAGGAACAATTTCACGGGGGGATTTGATACCAGTCGTATCTTCACTTTGAGCAAGGTTTCTGTCATTAAATCGGTGGGAACTTGTACGGGTAATTGCAAATGCTCCTACTGCTCCTACGTGGCTTTAAAAGGTACAATGGAAAAAGTGTTGGAGTATGAACGCAGAAATGTTAAAGTGTACCTACATGTATTTTATGTAACATAGGTTTCCCCCAAACGCTGTGCACAACAGGTGAAAGGAAGTTCTACCGACCGGTTCACCTTAGAATCAATCTTTAATATTGAAATTTGATATGCTGCAGATAAAAAAAATCCAGATGTTTCCCTGCCTGGGAAAATCCAGGCTTCATAAAAATCAATGGCCTGTCCCTTTCATGCAAATTGCAAGTGGCCAAAATGTCAACAAACTCCGTGCTCAATCCACTAAGAATCTGGCATGCAGAGTGCATCCATACAGTTTCGAAACACTGTTAAATGGAATTCAATACTGGATTTTGCGCTTCACCGACATATTTTATAAACACTGTATTCTCAGTGTCATCCGAGTGATTGTGAGAACAAAATTCACGATCTACTCGGGTGGGACTCGAACCCACTACTTCCTTGCTAAATACTAGTGCAGACATCTTGCCACTCGACCACCAAGCTTGCTGGGGTTCGCTGGCTGGTTCGAATCTGATGCAGCAGCGGGTACCGTAACCAAACTATTAATGTGAAATGGTTACCGTACTCTTTTCACCGGCACATCCTGACTTTAAAATTCTATTGCGCCTGAAAAAAATGCACATACATGAACATGTACATGTATGTATAATGTATGACCATGTTATTATCTTTTCTTGTTACGGATAATTAAACCTTGACAGTCATCGGTTCCTGAGATCCTGAATCAAAGAATGCGGCGGTGGAAGTTGACACGGGGTTGCTCTTCCACCAGGACAATGCCTCAGTCCACCAGTCCACAGTGTCCACGGCTGCCATCCGGCAATGTGGATTCAAACTGGTTGAACCCCCGCCCTATTCTCCTGACTTGGCACCCTCTGACTACTACATGTAGCTCTTCCCGAAGGCGAAGAGCACCCCCTTGTCAGTTTAACCCACCACATTTTTTGATTCAGGATCTGGTGACTGTCAAAGTTTAATTATCTGTAACAGAAAAACAAGAAAAGATAATAACTTCAAACTTTCTGTGTAATCATTCAACAAGTTGAACTGCACAAAATATCAGTCAAAACTGCATAGCTCGTCTCCAAGCTTCCACCTTAGGCCATGAACTTATATCAATCACCCCTCGTACATGTGCGTGTACGTACACACAGGGATAGACAAATTGATTTTGTGGATTTTAATTGGATAATATCCAATCAAATGACTTTACAGATGCCGTATTAAACACATGTACCACTATCACACATGGACTCCATGCACTACAAGTACCAACCCGACAGCGACAACATTTGGTGACAAAAATGAGTTTTCCAAACTCTTGAATACCACTTCTACCATAAGCCGAGTGCTCATACAAAGAGCATTTCAAAAGTCTAGGCTTGCCAAGAGGCAGTAGGGGGAACCCCCTATGAGAATCCAGGTGTCGGATACAGCTTATTGCCAGGATGCAAGATTTAGACCTTTCATCCGAACATCCCCATCCCACCATTTTGTTATCTCATATTTCAACAAGTCCAAAAAAAAAATTCCCGCTGAAGTTGTATTTTCCGGGTTGAAAAACCTGAGTCCACGCAGCTTAAAAATACACAATTATTTTAATATTCTGGTCATGAAGATGCGCGCACATGTTGCTACACACTGTACCAGCAGTGAGCACTGTGCCTAGCTATAGTACAAAACAGCCATTGGAGGGGGCCCTCCTTGAATGTACAGTGAAAGCATGCTTCTACTAGTCTATAGGACTACGGTAGAAATCTTTGTTATTAAAATCAGGTAGGCCTACATGTCAAATTATTTCTAAAATACCAAAAACTTGTGCACTTCACAAGCAGTTACTTTTTAAATCAATCCCGTTTATGCATGCACTGTAAAAAAAGAAGTGTCAAAAATTGCTGAGTAAATGTGTTGGGTACGAAAGTTGAGTATTTTCTTAGTGACGATTTGGCCAGCACTCTTCAAAAGGGAAATTTGACCTTTTGATTGTGCAATCGAAAATATTCAAATTGTAAACAAGTAGTGTAGGACAGCACATTTTCTTTGCTACCTAAACCAGGCAGATACGCTCTCAGATAGGTAAATTTCAATTGAATAGAATTTGGTGCGCGCTTACTAAGGCTGCTCTGATGCTACCGGGTAGCTATATTTAGCTAACCCTCCTGCTAGTTAAACAGTCACAGACAGCTAAACTTCACTTCCACTTCCCCTGCTATGGGCTCTGTGCACATGTACCCCATCAACAGCCAGAAAAGGAGAGTTGGGGGTGACCTAGACTGGTTCCCCATCCATCCACTGTGTATTTCGAAAGTATCCAAAGTTATTGGAGGTGGGGTTAGTCTCAGAGACCATAGCAAGTTGAATTTGAACGTATTCGCGCGCCGACTACGCCTGATGACGCTCATGCGAAGACGCGGTGGCTATATAGCTTTTGCACATTCAGGAAGTCGTGCATACTTTGCGTGCGAACCAGTACAGTACAAAACATGCACGCTGTGTGTCCCGTCCGCGGAGCTCTCAAACAAGGTAAAAACGCGCCCTCTTTTATTTGTTGGCGCACTGAGCCCATACTCTTAACAAAGGCTAGTCACCAGCAGTCAGATCATATGTCAAGCAAGCACTGTGACTTGTCAAACTGGGACAAAGCAGCCAAGTTGTGGTCACAGCCGTTATATCACTCACCCGGAGTCAAAGCATAGCTGTATCAAGGTACTTAAACCGTCACAGCCAGTCAGCCCAGTGCTTTATGTTGGCTGGGAGCTCTTAACTGTTGAAAACAGTCACTTACCGCTATTTGATTTTGACTGAAAGGACTACTTGGCACAGAATGTATGTTTGCACTGGAGGGTTAAACTTTCCGAGTATTGTTCATCAGGGATTTTCAGTGTGGCTCAATATTTGAATTTAAGTTCCGTTTTATAATTATGGCATTTAAATTCAATATCCATATAAATACAGCACACGTACACCTGGTGTGTTTTTTCCCCTTCCATTTCCCATGTCAGGTTCCTGTGACTTCTGTATATGTGATGTCCCATCACACAGGAAATTTAACAGGATAGCCTAGAAAGATAACCTGAGCAGGAACTATTTACTTGAAATAACCTGTAACCAGCAAAATATCCTACCTTTTTGTCACTACACTTTGTTTTTGAACTGATTTACATGTATATTCTTCTTCTTTTTTCATCTCTGATGTAACTTTTACCCCAAAATTATATAGTTTAAATTTTTAACAACCCTGCTGAATCCAACAGGATCCAACTATGTCACATACCCGATGGAGCCTGTTGGATTGAGCAGTTAACCCCTTGTGTACATTCCTCATGCAAAATGTTGGATTCAGCAGGCAACTGAACCGCATTATAACACCATGTTGGACTCCGTTGGATTCAGCAGACAACTGAAAATGAGGCACAGTGGATTGAGCAGGAGAGTCCGGTTGGACTCTGTTGGATTTAGCAGGGTAGTCCTGAGGAAGTACTAGGGGTTAGGGTTAAGGAAACTTCAAGACATCCATGCTTTTTTAAGATTAACCCCCCCAAAATTATTTAATTTGGTTTTTTTTTACCAATACAAAAGTTATTCTCTTTTGAATAAGATATTGATTAAAATACTTACGGAATAATAACTTTACAAATTTCAAATTGTTTTTGGCCTGAAAACAATTGAGGTGGATCTTTTTGTGTGTTACGGGTGCAAAGGCAACTCACTATAAAATTCTTTTCAGAGAGCTGAAGATGCCAAAAATCGACCCCCCAAAAAATTGAGCATAATTTGGGTTAAAACAAAACATACAACTTGAGACTTTTTATAAGAAAAGAATCCAATTTGTTGAAGAGAAGGACAAGCTATCATCGAATTCTAGGTCAGGATTTTTTTAATTCATTCCAACAGATCTGCAGTAATGTCTCCAATTGCATAGTCCTGATGTCTGTATTG